TTTTTACCCCTTAAAAACCCAAATTTTTTTTTTTTACCCAATTGCCCCTTGCCCCCCCGTTTAAATTTGGTTTTACCAAAGGGTAAAATTCCTAAATTACCCCCCCCCCCCCCCCCCCCCCCCGCGAAGGACTCCATCCTCGAACTCATGACCCCCTCCCAATGGCAAGAAGCCCTCGGCCCCAAAGTCACAGCAACCCAGAACCTCGAAGCTCTCTTCCCCGGCCCCTCGTCTCTAGATTTTTTCACCATCCTCTCCTCCGCCATCGGCGTCATAGGCTCCGCCTCCCAGTCCAACTACTCGGCCGGCGGCTCCTTCCAAGACGCCGTGGCCCGCCGCCGCGCCTCCCGCGGCCTGCCCTGCGTAACCATCAATCTAGGCATGGTCGACGGCGTCGGCTTCGTCGCCGAGTCCGACGCGACCGTGGCCGAGCGCCTCCTCGGCAGCGGCCATCGCCCGCTCTCCGAGACCGACATGCACCAGCTGATCGACTACGCCGTGCGCACCCCGGTCCGCTCCGTCAGGACGGCACAGGTTGTCGCCGGCCTGGCCGGCAGTGCGATTCGTCGGCAGGGGCCCGGGTGGACGCGCGAGCGCCGGTTCGCGCCCCTGCGGGACGATGACGCTTCTGGGGGGCGCAACGCGGCGGGTCTGGCGAGGGGGGGTGGCTCCGGGTCGGTCGGTCTGAAGGAGCATCTGGCTGGTGCGCAGAGTGCCGATGAGGCTGGAGGGCTGGTGGAGAGGGCGGTGGTCGGCAAGCTGGCTGACATGTTTGTGATTCCGGAGCAGGACATCGACGCCACGCAGCCGTTGGCCAAGTATGGTGTTGACTCGCTGGTGGCTGTCGAGCTTCGGAATTGGCTCGTCCCCATGACGCAGTGTGAGATGTCCATATTTGACTTGTTGGGCGCTTCGTCGTTGAGAGAGTTGGCAAAGAATATCGTGGGTAGGAGTAGGCTTGTGTATTTGTCCAAGTAATTAGCGTAGGATTTCAGACTTTGAAATAGCTAATTATCCATAACACCATTTCCCATTTCCATCGCGAAAGTCATTGTGAATGTAGGTCCGCAAGCACTTACACGCCGATCCCAATCGTGGTCACCATTGGGCTACCTACTTCATGCCACCCTCTGACAGGGTCTTCGCTAGTAAACTGGCCAACCTCGAGACCCTGGAGAAGCTGTAGAATTGACGCATCATTGACGTTTATCCGCGCACAGCTCTTGACAAAGCTAGCCATGAATTTGTTCTAGCTGCAACCTGTGAAGTCAATCTCACAGGAAACTGCCCCTTGCCTTCCTTCTTCAAACCGTCTTCCGTACATTATCTTCAATAGACAATACGGCCTTCCGCCAGTCCCCAATGGCGAGATACCATTCCCGGGAAACCTTAAATAGGAAAATCACTATCAGGATTAAAGCCAAGGCGAGGATAAGAAATATTACGATGATGCTGCTCCAGAAAAACAATGGGAGGGACCAGCTGACGTATGAGGACGGGATCGTGGCGGTGGCGACTTGCAAACTGCTCAAGATGACGGATAGGAAACCGAAGAGAAAAAGCATTGGTCCGACGAACCTTCCAAAGTATTGGCTATACTGATGATGGGTTCTGTGGTATTCCGTCTGGCGAAGCAGCAACGGAGCGTAGAAGTTGAGTCGTGTAAGTCTGATCTCCCCAAACTGGTATCGCCCAGAAACATCGTTGTTGCAGATATCTCCAAATGATGCAGAAAATCTGCAGAACCGTTCCCATGTAACATCCGGGGGGATCAGACCCAAGAGTGGCTCTTGAGCGATGCGAAAGTCGGATTCGTGCTTGATCAGATAGAAATAGGACCGCAGGAACCCGAGAGCAGCTCCCCTAAGCCTTGAGACTCGTCCGTCTCGGCCAGATTGCCGCGGCTGTGTTTTCGGAAAATAATCTGCCCAGAATTTATGAGAAGACAAGTATCTCGGGAATGGCTTGACGAAGATGCGATCCTGAATCCAGACGAGGTGCAGTCGGGGGTCCTCGGTGACGACGATCTTGCGACTCTTGACGGCTTGTCGGTGTAGCGGAGAGATGTTGCCGCTGTCGACTTTTGACATCCACCACAGCTTTCGCCATATACGTTCGAGGTCTGCCGGCCAAAGCTCCCTCTCGAGGAAGCTATACGTTGCCGCTTGGTTCCGGAGGTCGACCCTCGGATGGCCGGGAAGGGTAGAGCATGAAGAGTCAAGTTCGTCATTCAACTGACTAGTTCTACCAAACGGGCATCCATCAGACATGACTAGGCCTTGAGGATATGACATGTCGCTCGGTCTACAAGGGTCAGCGTCTAAGAAGGGACCGGGCTGGGTGGCAGAAGTCGGGGTAAAACGTTCAGAAACGTACCTATTTGGGAAACATGGATATTAACTCCCGCTAAATGGGTTGGGAGTCGCAAACTAGAAATTGTCGGCGCTCTTTAATGGTGAGGTGCGATTGTGGCATCTGATGCTGACAGTGTAGTTCACTCTTGTGCCGTTTTTTTTTTCGTCATCCTTGAAGGTGGGAGGAGGCGGGAAGAGGGGCTCACTCTTTATTCTCTTCGGCTCCTCAAATAGTGGCTGTGTACTGTCAATAAGGTAATGCCCGTCCGCTGTGCAGCAGGTCGTATATCCAACGGGCGTCGTAGGGCGCCCTGCGTGGGCGAGCGCTGGGCAGTGTCGGGGCACTATTAGGCAGCAGCAAAACTGCAAAGTGACCTGTCGGCTCCCATGGTGTCACGTAGCGCAACAATGAATTATTATCAACAATATTTCCCCTGATCAGCCAGTAGGACTGCTGGTCTTGCGGTTGGGCTGAGGGGAGTGGAAGGTCCCGGCGGACACGATAACCTCCTTCCGGGCGGTCAGGGTATAGGGAAGCCCGGCAGTTGGGACAGACACACCGGTGGCCCTCGCGGAGGTAAAGAGAATCTTCTGAGCCTGGGTCCGGGTATGAACCATGATACTCTCCGCAACCAAGCGAACGCGGGAAGTGAGCCCACGATCGAAATTTCCCCGGTCGCCATAACCTGCTCTGTAACCAAAACCATGGTCGACGATTGGACTGCTGTTCAGCCTATGGTTCGCGGTAGTAGCCACCCCAGGATCGTACTATATGGGGCAGTGGCTGCCCTACAGTAATCCGTACACTGGATCTCCAGGAATACTTGACAATGTGTTCAGCCCAAGCCTCAGCTGTGTCACAAAAGTTAAACTGGCTCCCGATGGCGCGCCCTGAGCGATGCAGACAAATGTAAAAATGGAACCCGGGATCTTGACCCTGCCATCCATCATCGCTCCTTCTCGGCACCTTACTTAACGGGGATGGATGCAAGCATGTCGTCGACTCGAGGGTCCTTTACGCGGTTCTGGTCCCAAGGGAAGCTCAACAGCCGAACATACTGGTGCCTCAAGTTTTTGAGGATGGCCGTCGTCAACCTGTCCCTGCTTCCGAGAAGCCCCGTGATTCTAATGCGAGAGGAACTATAACTTGGTCAGGACTCGAGCTAACTAGCCATGACACGCAGGTGATCGAGACACGCGCGAACACCAGTTACGGGTTCATGCGTGCTTTCATTCCGCTTGCCTTTACAGCCGTCAAATATGGACTCGGTCGGCACATCTCCGATCCCCTCGCGAGACAGAAGTCAGCATGCAGAAGGAATATCAAATTCGACAAAAGCGGACTTCTAAACTTCTAGAACCAAAACTAACTAACTCGACCCCTGCAGTGCGGCTTTACCTCCCAAGTTTTGTATCCCACGTCTCTCAGCGCCATCAAACTGTCGGTCCTGTCCTTCTTCTCGAGGGTTCTTCCGCCTGACCATAGCTGGAGGGTACCGCTTTGGTGTATTGCCGCCTGGCTTTCACTTCAGAGGGCGCTTTCACCATTGCCCTGTTTCTCCAGTGCCTCCCAAATGCATTGGAGAGCCAATCCGCATAATGTGACGTACTCCGGATTATGTCCACATTTCTGTCAACGGAACCTACCCGCCACAACTGACCCGAATCGATGCATAGTGATGGGGGGTAGAAGAGGCAAGGTGTGCATCAGGTGAAGAGAATTGAGAAGCAAGACCACTATTTGGTCACTGCTAGCTAAATGGTTGGTCCGGAATGTCTAGCTAGTCAATTTCACGTAGCAAGACCTGGGAACCTTGATGGCCGGCCATCGATCATCGAAAGACTGGTAACCTTGATGGTTACCTACCTAGTTAAGCCCAATGACAATTCCCCATGCGTTAGAGTAACAAGTAGGGCTTTGTTCGTCATAGCAGGAGATTTAGATATCTCTTGAATGGAGTTAACCAGCGCCTCAAGCCCGGCATCGTCGACATCCGGTTCCTTTCCCCTGATACAAACAATGTTCCTCACAAAACTCCCACTGGAAATCCGAAGCCTCATCTACAGCCAGTATCTCTTTGCCAATCAGGAGGACTGCTGGGTATTCCGGCCGTCCTGGGCAGATACGGCCGATGAAACGACCTCACCGTCGATACAGCCATCGTGCTCAGCGCGATACCCCCTCAGGGCCAACATTACAGCCCTACCCCTGATTCTCACCTGTCGCCAGATGTAAGCCCATCCATCACCACCCTTTCAAGTATCTGCTCGCTGACAATGAGACGAAAGTTACGCCGAAGCCGTCCCCCTCCTCTACTCCCAGGCGAGATTCTACTTCAACGACCTCGTCGTCCTCAACCTCTTCCTGCAGCGGGTTCCCGGCTCGCACACGGACCTGATCCGCACGATACACCTCGACTGGGCCAGCCAGGTCTGGTTCCACTTTGGCGGCTCCGTCGTCAGGGCCGCCTACCTCCGCGAGTACTGGCAGCCCGTCTGCAGGGCGCTGGGCGACATGCCGAGCCTCAGGAACTTGCGGATATGCGTCAACCCGTCCAAGGCGCATGCGAGGGGCCGGCAGGCGTGCGATATGGCTTACTTGGAGCCGCTGAGGACTATCAAGGTTCAGAATTTTGTGCTGGAGATATAGAAGATGGACCTTGGCGGGATTGGGGAAGGGTGGGTGTGGAGCTTTCTGATATGCTGTTTCTGGACGAAGTAGATCATTGAAGTCTTGATCTTGTCTTTGAGACTCGCCATTGTCATGAGTAGGCCAGAGAGGTATCGTAGTCTTGTTGACCGAATTAGACTTGCCGCGAGCAAAGAATGAAATTGAAGTAAGTGAGAGGATTTGTCCCAGTGGAGGATTCAAAGGTAGTCAGTGGTCTAAAATAATCTAGTCTGGCAACAACATGGTGAGGCCCAAGCTATACAAACCGAAGACACTGACGTAACTCTAGCAAGGGGAATGTGCTGGAACAGATCTCAAATTATCCAACAAGAATAATTCGAAGTCCATGAGTGGTATAGCCATTTAGGGGAAAATTGGCATTTTCCATGACTGTATACGACTTGATCAAGTTCTTGCTCTGAGATTGGGAGAGAGCCAAGCTTAGAGACAGAGAGAGGCTATGGCGTAAAGAAAGGTCTCACACAGTTGTGACTAGTGCTATGAATTCGTATTCGCAAGACAACTGACCTAGAATACTCAAGAGGCATCGCACCCAGCCGACATTCTAGTACCCTACCACTCAACCATATTCCCGAGCCCCAAGTTACGAGAGCTCTCTGACGTATGGCGTCGACGTTGTCATCGGCTACATAGAATAGGAGGGTAGCAAGGCAGCTGTGATTAACACCCCCCCACCCCCCCACCCCCCCTTTCACCCCGGGCGGTATATCGCCCTTCCACCCCGACCTGGTCCGTACGGAGCAGTAAGTCGGAGCTGCACGAGCGGCTTGCTCTGGCCAATCCCTGAAGGTGGGGGTGATGGCGCTATTCCGGGTTTCGAGAGTAATTGAAGGCGTGCTTAAGAGGGGAAACAACTCGGGCAATCTGTGTTCCTGGCTGGGTTGGAAATACATCAACTTGCATCATTTCAAAGTCTGATGATCTGTCACCGCTGGAATAAATTGCCAAGCTTCCTATTCCGGGAACAATCACATAGAAGAGATTGAGATGAAAGAGGACTCTTAACCTTAAACAGGTGCATAACCAAAGATTCAGCAGAGTCGGATAGAGACGAGGTGGGCTAGCACGGAATGTTTCATTTCGGGACCCATGCTAACTCATGCTAATCACTTATTGGCCAGCGATGAGATCCGAGGGTTGATGTAAATGTAAATGTAGCATAGCAAATGGCATGGCGGCAATCCGCGGAAGAACCATGGGCAGCCTATATAGGTAGGTAATTAATGCCTGCATACATTGCTGCGCCTGAAAAGTCCCGCCTGGGGTCCGGGTCTTGACCCCAATCTTTGTCGGCCGCTCCTTATGCGAAGCAGAGGAGAGAATATATATAGTAGGTAGATACAACACATACCTTGGCTACCTACCTAGCTTGCTAGGTAGTAATTAGGGTATATTGCCAGCTCCATCGGATCCCCAGAGCGATGGTCTCTTCGGCTGATCAGATGACAGGACTAGAGAGTACATAGCTGTCACATGAGAGCAATGGAACCGCTTTATGATATCAGGTCCCGACGCCACACTCTAATTGCAAGCCTTGCAGACGGCTGCTTGTCCCCAATTGCCTATTGGGGACTAGACGGCAGCGGATGGAGCGGGTGGAGCCCGCCGCACGACCGCGGATCTCAATGCAGGGGGGTTATCATCTATTCTAGATACGGCAACTGGGCCCATTGCCGGCCGTTATCAACCAATGGCCATGGCGGGCTTGCATGAGGATCGTCGTCTAGATAGGGAGGACCAAATACGCTTGACTCGGCCATGTTTGCCTACTTTATTTTCTCTTGCGCCTCTGCCTATTTTATTGTACATTAGGTCCTTCTCTTCTTGTCGCTTCTGAGTGTTACACGTTGTACCTTAATTGCCAAGCTCCTGTCCCGTCCAGTGATGGACACATCCCAGGCCCACATACCCTCATTGATCTACCATTCCTGGAGTGTGCCTGCCCTTGCATAAATACTTCGTTGGATCCTGGCGGACGCTCGCTGTTCTGCTGTCTTCTCTCCAACCTTCTTGCACGGCGTCCTCCCTCTTCCTCCCCTCCGCCGGAAACCGAATCACTGCGTCGTTCTGCTGGCCTTGAGAAGGATTTCGCACAAGGAAACCTACTCTGGTGCCCGGCCTCTTCCGCGACCTACTGGACAAGCTTGCGAGCTCCATCTCGAGTCAGCTACCCACCCTGCAGGACCGCAGTGATATCGGCATAGTCAGCTCCAAAAATGAGGCTTCTAATCCCTCTCATCGCGGCGGGAGCCGTCTCCGCCCGCGTTTTTGACAGCTTGACGGCTGTTCCCAAGGGCTGGAAGGAGATCCGGACAGCCGGGCCTGAGGAAGCAATTGCGCTGAAAATCGGGCTCCGCCAGCAGCGACCAGCGGAATTGGAACGAGCTGTGCTAGAGATATCGACGCCTGGCCATCCCAACTATGGCATGCACATGTCGCGCGAGGAACTCCGCTCGTACACTGCGCCTTCGGCGAGATCACTCTCCGGAGTAACTGCCTGGGTTCGCCAGTACGACATCAGGCACTCGATAGACAACGACTGGATCTCCATATCCACCAATGCGAGGACTGCCAACGAGCTTCTCAACACGACATTCGCCTGGTATAAATACGAGGGCGACGACACGCCCAGGCTTCGCACTCTGTCGTATAGTGTCCCCGACGAGATCGCCAAGCATGTTGACCTCGTCCAGCCAACCACCCGGTTTGGCCAGCTTAGCGCACAGAAGTCCACCATATTCGAGACGACGGCTCTCAGTGGCCCGGCGACGGTTCAGGCGCATGTGAATGCCGACGCCAATCCTGATGCGGTTTGCGGGTCTACCATAACACCAGACTGCTTGAAGTCCCTGTACAATATCAAGTACACCGCCAGCGCTGAAGGAAATCTCGTCGCATTTGCGTCGTATCTCGAGCAGTACGCTCGGTACGCGGACCTACAGGCGTTCGAGGAAGCCTATGCACCGGCCGCCAAGGGCCAGAACTTCACAGTCACGAAATTCAATGACGGCCTGGACGATCAGGACAGCACGGAGGACAGCAGTAAGTACTCAACTTTGGCTTGTCTCCATGGTCTCGCTTTTCCTCCTCTTCCCTTGAAAGGCATTCTAACCGAGCAACAGCCGAGGCGAACCTGGACGTGCAATACGTCCTTGGCATCAGCCATCCGATCCCCATCCTCGAATACAGCACGGGTGGCCGCGGCCCTCTCGTCCCCACAGCGGACCAGCCGACACCGCCGGGGAGCAACGAGCCATACCTCGAATTCCTGACGGCCCTTCTCGCACAGGATGACTCTGAGCTGCCACAGACCCTGTCCACCTCTTATGGTGAAGAGGAGCAATCGATTCCCGAGGAATACGCGCTCAAGGTCTGCAACATGTTCATGCAGCTCGGCGCACGGGGCGTCTCGGTTCTCTTCTCGTCGGGCGACTCGGGGCCGGGCTACTCGTGCCTGAGCAACAGGGACAACTCCGTCTTCTTCAACCCGACCTTCCCGGCGGGATGCCCGTACGTGACGGCGGTGGGCGGCACGTCGGGGACGGCGCCCGAGAGCGCGGTGGCCTTCTCGAGCGGCGGCTTCAGCATCTACCACGAGCAGCCGGACTACCAGCGGGAGGCGGTGTCGGGCTACCTCAAGGGCCTCGGCGACACGTACGCGCCATTCTTCAACGCGACGGGAAGGGGCATCCCGGACGTGGCGGCGCAGGGACTCGGGTTTGGCGTCATCGACAAGGGCCGCACGGTGAGGGTATCGGGCACCAGCGCGTCGAGCCCCGTGTTTGCGGGAATTGTGGCGCTACTCAACGCAGCGCGCAAGTCGCAGGGCGAGCCGCCGCTCGGCTTCCTCAACCCCTGGCTGTACAACAACTCGGCAGCCCTGACGGACATCACCACGGGTGCTGGCATTGGCTGCACCGGGATCAGGACGTTTGGTTCCACTGGGGCCCAGTGGAACGCCACGGAGGGTTGGGACCCGGTGACGGGGTTGGGGACCCCCAAGTTCGGCGCCCTGCTCGAGGCTGCGGCACCGGGGGTTGAGAACGCCTGATGGGAGTTTGGTGGAAGATGGTGTTTCTTTTTCGACATTGTTAACCTCCCTATGCCCTTATGGTTAAGACAGCAGCCGGTGTAATACGTCCTTTGCATACCTACCTACCTAAGAAAAGTCCGGAATCCAAAGTCCGGAATCATACGTCAGTAAAACCCAATGGTAATAATGACCGAAGGTGACCTCTCCTGGACTCCATGTGCGGAGCTACCTACCTACCTAATGTATTGCACCTTCGCTTCGGTACCTGCCACAGGCGCCCGACATCCATGACGGCGGGATGCATTCATTGCAGGGGTCCCTGCACTAACTGGAGGACCGCTGCGGGGGTTGGAGTTGCCGGTACCTGTTACGGACGACGCTAACGAATGATACCTGGTCTTGCCTGAATGTCGGCCTTAAGCGTCTCGGGTCATCGATAACGTAGGTACCTCACCAAACACAGTATCCACAGGACAAATTCCAGCCTCGATGCCGAATCGGCGCGAGGAACTTTGCAAAAGGGACGTCTGCATTGCAGGATCTGGCAGAGTCGGACTCATAGTTCAAGCTAGGCTACATACCTAGTGGTCTATATATACTTGCCCTTGCGGGCAAATGCACTCTGCTAGCGCTCACCCAATGAGACTCGCACCTGATGCGCATTCAAAAAGTGTCAGTGAAGGAGATCCCGATGAGCCTTGAACAGATGACTGGATATATTGCTATGTATCTAGTGTCAAATTGGGAAGTGTCGGGGTGGATATCAAAGAGATGAGATGCGGCAGATGATCCGGGTATGGCCAGGATTGACGGCAACACCTTGTGCGACTCCAGCGCGGCATCATGCTTCTTCTCTCACAGGAACGGATGGCTGGTGTTACGCCGCCGAGATGAGGAACCGATGGTTGAAGGGTGGATGCAAGAAAATGGGCCAGACCATCTCTAGCGTAGAAGTCGTAGGCTTTCCCCACCAATTTCCGTCATCACATCGACGCTCTCCCCAGATGTTACCTTTTCGCGGAACACTGAATCTTTTGATTGCCTGGAATACCTCCTCTTCTTCTCTTAGGAGTAACTCGTCCAAACTTGTTAAAAGCTGGATTGTGAGAGACATAGATATAGATACCTGAGGAAGCTTGACGGAATAAAAGGGTTAAAATAGCATTGGAATCCATCATTGCCCACCAACACCCGAGTACGGGTTACATGCGGGATTGGTAGTGTCAGTGCAGAGGTAAAATAAGGTGGAGCTACAAACTTAGCATCATGGCCCCTGCTTGTCAAACACTCAAATCTGGACCCCTGTCGATTCGGCTAATTTTTTTCCTCCCCTTCGCGCCCTGCCACCCGCCCGCCTAATTAAGCTGGTTGGGAAAGGATGGGGTCAGTGTGGTAGCTGGTCACGCAGCTTCTCCAGACGAAAGCAAACCGCAAATTTTATGCTTTTCTCCCCCAACCTTCCAACGATCCTGCCAAGAGCGTAGTTACCCCAAGGGTATCGGATTCTCGACCTCTTGCGATCATTGCGATCCCATCTCAAGCCCTCTCTGCCTGCCCGGGCCTTTTCGCGTCGCGATCTGGGCCAGGGAATTTGCGCTGCCCGGCCAATCCTCGTCCCTGCTTTTCCAAGCTAAGACGAGCCCGGCTGCAGCCATGGATTCAAGGCAGCCGCCACAACAACCTCCGCCATTCTCACGGAATGCTGCCTCGCCATACAGTCGGCAATCCTTCCCGCCGCCCACGACAACGGCCACACAACCATCAGCATATTCGTCTGCATCGCATCCTGCCTCGACAACTCCTGCCTACTCCGATCCCCAAAGAAGGCCGTCCGACAACGCGTATTATCCCCAGTCCCGATCGTACCCGCCCGAGCCAAGCTCCCATCCACAACCGCCACATTCCCACTCGCGACATCAAAGTACGTCATCAATAACTTCAGCTCCCTCGATTAATCGCTCCATGCCGCCGCCCAACTCACCTCCGCAAGGCCCTGGTCCTGGTGCGCACCAGATCGGCGCCGCTTACGGCCTGCCTCATCCCCGGGCACCGCCGGTGTCGGTCGGCCCACCTACAGGTTTCTCCGGGGGTCGTGAGCTGCCGGCGCTGGGACACCTACCGCGGGCTGGGAGCACTGGAAGCAGCATGTCGATATCGTCCATGCTTGGTGGCCCTCCACCGGCTCGAGAATCCGCTCCGCCCTCTCACTACCCGCCACCGCATACCTCGGCTGGTAATGTGCCGGGACCATCTTATTCGCCTTCAATCCACGCTTCTCCTCGAATACCCCCAAACGCGGCCGACTACGGACCTTTCAGACGGCCCCAGACGCCGGAACACGCTCATAGATTATTTGACAACAGGGACCCAAGGGGTAGTGCTGCCGCGTCTCCCCAGCATGGCTACGGGACGCCCGAAGTACAGCGTTACGGGACGCCACAGGCATACCCGCAAAGAGGGCCTCCAATGCCGGGTGCAGAACAGTCCAGAGATAAGGCAAGGATGCCGGGCGCCGCCATTCCGCGACCCAGCAGCCAGCCCAAGTCCTTCCCGAGCGCGCCCCCTCCGCGACCGTTGGATGTCGGTAGGCCACCACAGGGGCCACCACAGGGTGACATTTACGGACGCAGGGACGAGGAATACAACCCAGAACGGCCCCCAGTCAGAGTGTTGAAATACGAGGAGCCGAGATACCTATCGGAGCGGGAGCGCCAGGAAAGAGAATTTCAGCAAAGAGAGCGGGAACGGAGAGAGAGGGCCATTTCAGGAGGCGGTGATCCAGCTAGCCACCACCCGGTGCATCAGGCCGAATACTCGCAGCAGATGGGCCAACGGGCCCAACCGGCTCCCTACAACCGGCAGCCAGATCCGAGAGACAGGGGCGGCTGGCCGAGGCAGCAAGTGTATGAGCCGTCGAGGGCTCCCTACGATCCTGCGGCATCATTTCCGCGGCAACACCACGACTACCCGACCACGACAGCACCATCATACGGCGGACATCCGACTTATTCCCAACCCCCCGTTGAGCGCCATCCTCCATCGTCGCACCCGGCCCAGCATGCCGTGGCTGCCCATTCGGGGCAGGCTCCCTCCCAACCGTACGAATCCCCCGAACGGCAACGGTTGAATGCGCTTCAGCATGCTCGCGAGCAACCGCCGCCTTCCCACCGACCTCGGCCCTTGGATGAGGGCCCTGTGCCGCCACCCTCTGTCGCATACGGTACCGCTGGCACGCCTGCTTTGTACGAACCCCCTAGAAATAGGAGCATGGACGAGGTAGCCCAGCCACCTCATCATCAGCGGACGTTGTTGCACATACAGGAGATCAACCGGAGAGGCAGGATATCTCCGTTGCCCCAGGCAGTGCAAGGCGCTCAGCCCCAAATGTCTGGCCCGGCAGGAGAGCCGGGCATCAAGTCAGAGTTTGGTCGCATGTTCTCAGGAATCGGCAGCGGAGTCGGGGCCATTTCCAGTCCTGTGCCTGCCGGCGCGCAGCTGCCATATGCGCCCTCGGGATTGCCCAGACGGGAGGATTCCGAGGCCGCCCTCCAGGATTCCGGCGCGGACGCGCAGGCCAAAAACCGGCGGGACCCCGTGCGAGGCAAGCGGAGAAAGCTCAAGGATGAGGATGGTAGGGATGATGAAGACGTTAGTGGCAGGCTCAGCCCTTCTGCCCGGGTCAAGCGATCCAAACCCCACGCGCATCATCACCAGTATGTCCCCCCCGACTATGGCCAAGTTCACCAGTTAACCATTCCAAGTCATCATCATCATCATCATCACCATCACCACGGCCAAGAATCGGCTTCATCCCCATCCCATGCCGGAAATGCCCCGTTCAAGAATGTCAAGGGTTCGGCACCCATACCGTCCCCGACTGGGCCTTTTGCCAAGGACTTCCCAACGACTCACCATCACCACATTGCCCCTCGATCAACGCCGCAGGCCGTCAACGCCCATATGCACGGCGCAAACTCTAGATCGATCGCGGGACCTCAACAAAGTCCGCGCCCCACCATCTTCCCCAAGCCAAAGCAAATGATATCTTCCAAGGCTGTGCTCGATAGCGTTGCCGGTCTCCCACGTCATCATCTCGGAGACGTGCTCTATGAACCCATTCTCAAGCCGGCTCGACTTCACGATCCGCGTACTGGCCGACCCCCGCGTCACGCATACTCGTCGACGCCGAAGCCCTTGCCGTGGGATCTAATAGAAGACAAGCTGAACTGCACCTTAACAGTCAAGGTTGGGAAGCAACATCTGATACCCTCAGCGAGAGAGGAGATTACCAGCCGCAGAGCCATTTGGGGTACTGAAATCTACACCGATGACTCGGACGTGGTCGCGGCGTGCATCCATGGAGGCTGGATCAGGGGCGAATGGCCAGATGACGTGGACCTTGATGCGCTGGGCCTAGACGAGGGCCCCGATAGCCCCGATGCCAAGGAGGCCAAGAGCCGGAAGTCTACCGGCGCCAAGCAGCCAAACGGCAGCTCCGCGCAGCAGCACACCAGCCCAGACGTGCTCACCGAGCCGCCCAAGACCGGCCCCGTCGCCGTGCCCGAGAACCGCGACCTCCACGTCACGCTGCTCATTCTCCCGCGGCTGGAGAAGTACGCGTCGACGGTGCGCTTCGGCATCAAGAGCCGGGAGTTCGGCGGCAGGCTGGGCAGCGGCGGCGGCAGTGGCGGCGACGACGACGGGCCGCAGCAGCGGGCCGTGCACGACGGGCTCAGCTTCATGGTCAGGGGCATCCGCTGGGTGTCCAACGGGGCCGGCACCCAGAACCGGCTGAGGGGCAAGGCGAGGCGCGAGAGGATCCGGAGGGCCCTCCGCGAGGTCGAGCTCGGGCCCTCGTGGGCGGGGAGCGTGGCGAATATTGACAAGAACGGGGCGGCGGCGGCGGCAGCAGCGGCAGCAGCAGCAGATAAACAACCTGCCGCTGATGTCGCGGGCGGGATACGGTGGAAGCTCGCCGATAAGCCGCCGAGCGAGGCGGATAAGGAGAATCAGCCGGTGGCGGAAGACGGTGACGGGCGGGATGATGGGCCGGGGGTGCCTACGCCCGGCAAAGAGGTGGAAGCTGAAGAGGAGATGGCCTTGGACCAGCCCGAGGCAAGCGGTGGAGAGAAGATGGCCGTCAACCAGCCCGAAGGAGGCGGTGAAGAGAAGGAGCCTGTTGATGGAAAGGAAGAAGTTGGTGGGAATGGAACTGTCGGTGGCATGGCGGAGACTGGCACCGAAGGGGTTCACCCTCCTCTGCTGTTGGAGTCTACCGAGGGCTGATGATAAGGTTCCACCTCATCCCTTTGCACTACGCTTTTGTACATGTACTTTTATTTGCTCCTCGGCATTGTTGATGCGTGTCGCATTCATGATACCTCTGGGCTTTGCATTTGGGGATCCATTGTAACTCTTTTCCTTTCCTTTCTAGGCGTTCTATCGCACTATTATGGCCACGGAGCCCTCGCGGTTAGGTTTCGGGCGAGAAGGACTTCTCACAGCTTGCGTGTGGTAGGTACGCTTGTGTGGTGTGGTTTAGGGTACAGTATACAGTACACATAATACAGGATTGACCCCCTCTCAACTGTTTCTCGAGATCCATGACTTTATCGGTGCCACCGTCTCAGACTCCGAGTCCCTCTCCCTCTCCCCTCCTTTTCCAAAGACCATTCCTCCATTACCCCATAGTATACAAAATCTTTCACCAGAACCCCCCCGTTTCATCACCAAGCCGTTGGACCAGAAGCGACACCCCCCTTTCCCACCCAAACCCCAAATCAGAAATCCGTCACTCGCCCATTATAGCTCCAATCCCCCTCCCCGCCCCACCGCAGCGGCTCGTTCTTGGGTCCCCCCACCTCCCCCGTCCGCGGGTTCACCTCGCCGTCGAACTCGGGCGGCGCGCCCTGCCGGATCCCGCCGCTCAGCGTGCCAGGCGACGCGGGGAGCTCGCCCGTCCCCGTCACCGGCGCCTTGGCGGCGCCGGGGTCGGTGACGTGCCGGGACGTCGTGAGCGGCGAGGGCGGCGGCGTCGTGGGTTGCTGCTGCTGGGTGTGCGTGGATAGGCGCGCCTCGGCGGCGCGCTGGAGGCGCTCGAATTCGGCTTGTTGGTCTGGGGGTAGGCGGGGCGGGGAGGGGTGCGCGTCGAAGGAGGAGGAGAAGGCGCGAGCCGGCGGGGGGGTTGTTGCGGGCGCGGGCCGCGGGTGCCGGCGCAGGAGGGATCGGACGAGGAGGGCGCGGGACATTTGGTGTGGGTTGGATGGGTTTTTTTTGCTTTTGTTTCTTGTTGGTGGTAGCGCCTGTCTGGATGATTGTGGTAGTTGTAGATGTGGGAGCTGGTGTTGACGGTGTTGAGTCAAGATTTGTCGATGATATCACGGACAGACGCAATATATTTTTCCCAGAGTGGTGTCAGCGGTGTGGATCCGCCCCGGTGGGGCAAGGGACCGGGGAACCCCTAGGAAAGAAAGCTGCCGAGGAAAGAGCTGCCCCGGATCGACCCGCCATAGTGGATCTCTGCTGGGGCGCCAACTGCGCTTCAGGGCGACACTCAAGAAACGTCAGGTCTCGTAGGTCTCGTCCGTCTCGTCCCATGGCCGCGTTTGCAATTATGAGTTGCACCTCGCAATCTCATCTGTGTCGGTAGTCAGGACCGATATTCCGTCTGACTTGTCGCCCGCCTTCGCAGAGGCAGGCGTGCATCTCGTCAGGGCCCATGATATGACGACTGTTTCTCTGATGGGCCCGTTTCGGGCAGGAGCAGCCAGTGCTCTCCGGTTCTCGCAGGAGGATCCAGTGCTCTATCTAGCTACATAATAGCTTTATTCAATCATGGGGAAGACCCCAGTCATCCGAGCCCAACCGCTGCGATCCACACGTCTTGAGGCCCAATCCAGCGCCTTGCAGGGCCATCTCCAGCTCCTCGGTGCTAATTGGCCGTCATGACCGACGCTCTGAGCGCCTGCGGCTGGGAGCCTCAACCGCCATCATCTGACCGGGGCCAAGTTAACACTCGTCAGGCTAAAAGGATGGCCAGCCGAAATATGCATGCTCCTCCCCTCAAGGCCAATCACGGAATCTGTCCCTCGTCTCTCTCTCGTCTTGCTCGTCTTATCTTTGGGAGCGCGAGGAAAGAACACAAATTCTTGAGCGAACCTTCGAGTCCATAAGAGCATACGACCGTCCCCATCCACATCCCCCCTCCCCGCACCACCTTTTTACGTCCCGTTTCTCATCCGGAGAGCCACATGCCAATGTGACGAAACCTCTCCGTATTTTCGAGCAGCGACCATCCCTCTTGCTGCGACGGCCGACGCGCCAATCCGACGGTCCAGACATGCTGTCACCGCATTCATGGGACTGCCCAAATTGAACCCTCTTGTCGTCCAGTTGCGACGATTTCTTGATGAATTCCGCCAAGTTACGCAGCGCCGACCTTGAGCTGTAGCCAATTATGGCTGACCTGCCCGGCGAACCAGTCGTTCTAGCACCCCCCGCATTCGTGCTTGTGCCGTTGAACAAGGAAGCCAGGAAGGCCGTCCGCGACGCCAAGAATCAGCAATTCCCCACGTTTTTAGTAGACGAAAGCATATTGGGCTTTTACATAAGTTTCGAGAATGCAGACAAGCAGGAGTTCACCCTTGGGCGCAGCGGCACCGATATCCACCTGCCTGGGGGACCCGGCACTGATATCTCCAAGCACCAATGTTCCTTTGTGTGCAATGAAAAAACGGGCGCCGTCCTCCTCGTCGACCATTCCACCAAGGATAATACGGAACCGTTCTCGTCAGATCAGGGAGGGCAAACGATCCCGTTTCACAACAAGCGGTCGATTCTCGTCGCCAGGGGAATCAACGGTCAAGTGGCGTTTGGCAAGAACAGGTTCTATCAGTTCCGGATTCGATGGCACTCCGACGGCCTCTACGACTTCCCCAACAAAAACGAGCCTTACTCAGTCGGCCCAGTCAATATGCGAAAGAAATATCTCCTGGGGAGCAAGATTGGAGGCGGGGCCTATGGAACCGTCTGGTGGGCCTTGGATATCACCTCTGGAGAGATGATGGCGATGAAGTCTTTCAATAACCTGACCGGCAAGCATTTTGTTTTTGCAAAGAGGGAGGTTGACAACCTCTACAAGATCAACCGCTCGTCAATTCCTCATGTGAGATAGCCCCCTTGCGGTACTCAGGGACATGATAAGATCGGAGATTATCCCTCCTTGGATGGTCGTGCTAATGTCCACCTCCCCTTCCCTCTTTGCAGAGCCATATCATCGAGATCCTTGACCACGCGGGTGAAAAGCCCGGGGATAACCTGCTCGAGATCATGATGCCCTTGAAACAGGGCAATCTAAGATCTCTGGCTGAGGGCAACCGGGACCTAGATCTATCGCAACTTGTCTTACGCCAAATGCTCTTGGCCCTTCGGTGCCTCGCCCAGCACGAACTCATACATCGGGACGTCAAGCCGGAAAACATACTTTGGGAGTTCGACAGCCGTGGCAGATACCACTTTCGCCTTGCCGACTTTGGCCTCTCGCACGACCCAACCCTAGCCATCACGATCGCTGGCACCGAGACCTTCATGGCGCCTGAAGTCCTGAATAAGGAAAACCAGACCGAAAAGGTCGACATATGGTCCCTGTTCGCCACCATCGTCTGGGTCAAGGATGTTGACAATTTCCAGCGGCGCTGCTCGTCAAAAGGCCCCCACGAGATCCACCGGTGGCTGGTGAACCTATCAAAACGAGACGAGTTGATGTACATCGGGGCAATGGCGAACTTGAGACCTTCGCGTCGCCCTTCGGCCAAGGAGCTTCTAAAGACTCTTAAACAGCTATCAGCGGCATCCTATGATCCCGATGCAGAACTAGCAGATGCCATGCAGACCGGTCTGACGATGGGTGATGATGATGGTGGAGGGGATGTCGACCGCCTTTCGAGCGGGTCGACTAACAACTACGGAGTTGACGACGGCGGAAATCCACTTCTGCTTCCACATCCAGAGTATTATGAGCCTTATTCCTTTGATGGCAGGAATCTAGTGGCCGACGGGGACGACTATTCACCACAGCGATACTATCCGGCGACGGCAGAATCCCGCCCTAGAGGGGGCAGGAGGAACCAGGTTAGTCTGACCTTAGATCCCAGATGGATAGTTTAAGGGTGTTCGCGCAAGTGTCGCATCTCCTACCCGGGATATTTCCACACCTGAATTGACGGGCTAACCCATCCTCTACTGTTTAGGCCTATGTCGAACCGTATGAGCCGGCCTACGGCCTTCCCGAAGGCTCGACCAGCGGGACAGCAGTTCCCGACCGCTGGACAGTGAGACCACTGCCCACGCAGGACACCGAGGCAGGCCAGGCCAGCGGAGACGAATAGAGCCCGATACCCCGGGGCACTCACACGTTATTTCCATGCTATATTCGGTCTGCGTTGGTCTGGAATGGCATTCTCGTCGACGACCCCCGACCTCCGGAGAGAGACGAGTTTGCGCCCCACTAGAAACCGAGCTGGCGAGAAGTGGAACGCACGGCGATGCAAATGTGACTGCATCGCCACGATCTACGGTCACAATTCCAAGGGCTGGCAGGGCAGGACTGCATCCGATAACGTCGGTTCCACGCCCGGTTTTAGACGCATAGCACCAAAGACGACAATAGCAACAGCCACAGGACTGGTGTGCCGCACCGGACAGTTTGTTTACGTTACATCATTCAGCATTGGGTAGGTAGGTCACGAGCTAGAGAGCATTGGACCCGGCAGGCCCGCGAGCATAACAGACTATTAACGCCCCTTTTCTTATCAACAGATTCCTGGTCTCTCTGTGGAAGTGTGTTATTTAGTTTGCTCTCTTTTTGGCAATACCACTAAAGGAGTTCGTCATGGTCATGATTGTTATATTTTCATCAGAAGCTTGCTTGAGAGTGTGGGGCAAGGCAAGTGGCTCGAGGACGGTCTCAGGGGGAATAAAGTGGACGCGAATATAGGAAGATGACGGCCATCATCCCTGTTCTTAATTACTCCGAAAGCAAAATACTATTACAGTCCAGACTCCCGATTCTCATGAGATGGGGGTATCTTCGTGTCTCTACAAACTTGTATCATTGTCCGCACGCCTCCCCAACCCTCCCCGGCAGCGGTGCCTCCGCCGGCCCCGTCCCTCTCCCCCTCCCCCCAGCCAGGACTTGGATCCTCTCCGCCGCCCCGCGGGGCAAGCCCCCGCGGACGCTCCGGCCCAGCCTCTCCGCCGCCGCGGCGGACCCCGCGAGGCCGAGCGGGTCGGCGGCGAACTCGGCGGCCAGCAGCGCGGAGCCCGCGACGGCGAGGGCCAGGGCGACGAACATTCCCGCCAGCTGGATGGCCATGTACAGGCGGGCGCGGAAGCGGAGGACGGCCCAGCAGGCGGCGGCGGCGGAGGCGGGGAGGAGGAGGAGGCCCGGGCTGCCGGAGGCGGCGCCGAGGAGGGCGGCGCGGGAGAGGGGCCAGAGGGCTGTTGTGGTGTAGGTGTGGAGTTGGAGGGCGACGAGGGGGAGGGCGGGGAGGTGGGATTTGAGGGTGGTGGTGAGGGCGAGGTGCTCGGATGGGGAGCGCGGAAGGAGGAGGCGGCGGAGGGCTAGGAGGAAGGAGATGGTGTTGGCGGTGCGTGCGAAGATGTAGTCGGCTGCTGAGAGCGCCCATAGGATGTACCCGACCCTGGCGGCGCGCATGAGCGGCTCGGGGACGGGCTTCGGGCTGGCTGCGAGGGTGGCGGTGTCGCCGGTCGCAGCAGAGTGTAACGTCGCCTGGGGCGCTCTGTCGTTGTCGAGGAGGAGGAGCCCCATCGCGAGGCCGCCGAGGATGTCACAGGCGTACTTTTGCGCGTAGCTGAAGATGGCCCACCCCAACGAGAAGGAGAGGACCTGGTCTAGGAAGACGTCGGGCCGGGACAGGACGAGGCGCAGGTCTTCCATGGGGTCGTGGAACATGTACGTGCCCATCCACGGGAATAGCGTCCGGCGCACATGGTTCAGGAGAATGGCGATGCCGACGTAGGCGGCCGCAGCCCGGTACCCGTCCGATAGCAGGGCCGACTTGAGCAGCGGCCAGTTGTCGTTGAACCTGCCCGTCAAGGCGCCGGAGCCGAGCTGGTCCAGCGTATCGGCGATGCTGGAGTGGGTGATGCGGCCGAGGAGGGGCGTCATGCGCTTGCGGTAGAAGCCACGGAGGGCGTTGGGGATGAAGGGCTGGAGGAATCGGAGAGGGTCGTCGGGAGTGAGCATCTGGGATGTAAACGAGGCGAATGACGACGTACGGTGAGAGAGCGATCGGACGTCATTGATCGTGAAGGTTGAGCCAGGGGTGGCCGGAGACGCCCAGTTGGTTGCCCTGCTAACAGCCGTTGCTGCATACCATCGGGCTGCGGAGATTCCTACAGGCGGTTTGGATGAGCCCGACTCGTGTGACAGCCGAGGAAGGCTTTTATCACTCGTTGGCAGGGACGACGGGCCCGCCGACTTGATGTGCTCGAGGACCAGCCGCGCGGCTTCATAGTTCTCGTCGCTGGTATCCGAGATTGCCAGAGGGTTGTGTGATATTGCCTCGGGGATTTCTTGCCAGTACGGGTAGCTCGCCAAGGCTTCCATCCACTCTGCAGCGTTGACAAGGACGTCCATGGGCGACCAACCGCCGTCATATTGACGGCACAGATGGGCGTAGAGGGCGTGAGTCGCGAACGCAACACACACCGAGCGAAGACCTCGAGCCACTTCGGCAAAGGCATGCACCGTTTGCCTTTCCGTCTCGCCGAAGAGGAATTCCGTCTCCGCCAGGATATTGTCGATCCTGAGAGTGCCGACCTTTGAACCTGCTGTCGATCCGTTCAAGAGTACTCCACTATCTTTACCTTCAGGCAAAGGCCCTTGGTGGTGGTGTTCTACTCTAGAATCTCTTTTCTGGGGCAGTGCTGACCGAGGTCCAGCGTGGGAGTATTTAGAGGCTTCAAAGATCTGTCTTGCGCCTTGCAACGTCGCGGCGTATCCCTCCTGTCGTACGATGGCTGATAGCAGTACCATCGGCTGCTCTATTGCCCTCTGCGCCCTCTGAATGCTTGCGGCGCACTCCAGCCGGTTCGTATCAGACCGGAATGTAAGCGGTCCGGTTATGAAGTCGTTCAGCGAGAGGAGGAGGACCAGGACATCTTTGGATACGCCGAATACCATCGAATTGGCAACATTAGCTGCATTCTCGTTTGCGAGCGTGTAACCCGACAGTGAAAAGTGAGCATTCCAATATGACCAAGAGTAGAGCACCAATGACGAGACCCTTGTGTCGTCGTGAGCGTGGGCTAAGTGCAGTGTGGATACGGAGCATATGGCCATACAGACACTGGCAAGGAAGATGTGTGCCTGAGGGGTAGAGAATGCAAGCGATCGAACCGAGTCCCCCTCAGCAGTGGCGTCGTCGATATGGCCGAGGTAGGTTCGCAGTTCAGCGTCGCAGAGAGCGACATTGATCTTATTTGGATCCGAAGCGTCCTTGGTCATCTTTATCAGCCCCCCCAGGAGATGCCGTAAGGAGGAGGCGGCTTCCTGTTCGTCGACATAGGCCTTCTCGCTGAGAAGTCGCTCCATGTGTTCAGAACCCCTGGACCCCTCAATCTGGAGGGCTATCCAGAGTTCGTGGGCACGAAGCGGGCGCCGGGCGACTGAGAGCCACATCAAAGCAGATCGAGCCAGGGATTGGTCGGCATTAACGGGGTGTGTCTGGAGGAGATGAGACAGCCTCTCGTGGAAACTGCCATGATTGGGGCTGGCCATCCTGAATAAGTTAAGTGGTTGAGAGGGAGGAAGCTAAGCACCAGAGAAATAAAGCTGCCAAAGGTAGTCTCGGAGGACGGTGGCCAACTCTGCCGTTTATATAAGGCCAATCTCTCCCATCTGGTCCATTGGAGAGCGTCGGGTGGATATGGCCGAGACCGTGAGAGGGAACAATGGCTCTTCAGTTGCAAAGCAGTAAAGCACCAGATGATGCCGCGAATAAGCTGACTGCAAGGGGCAAACTATGAGCCTATGGAAACGCCAATTCCAGGGGCGAGAGGTGTGCAGAAATGTTCAGGAGCTGAGATGATAAAGAGGCTTGTGCCGCGCAGATGGGCAGAATCTGCAAGTCGTGAGAGGCTGCAACGTCGACTTCCACCGTTGGCAAAAAAATATTGAAAATTCCCAGACGAAATATTCATGCGTTGGTACTTTAGCTATATATCAAACCGCAACATAGTAAACAAAATTGTCGAAACCACTTCAAGTAGCCTACCCGTGTTTCAATTGTTTGGATGTGGTGTCTGGTAGTTGTTCTGACACTAGCTGGTTCGGTTTCAATCACGTGAGACCCTCCATCCAGATGGTATTGTGTCAGAGCTTCCAACGTGGTGCCCACCCACACTTGTGGTTATGTATGGCTGGGTGGTCCTGGGAAGGGGCCGAAGGAATCAACAGATGGTTTCCTAGAAACTAGGTTCTCAAGTAGAAAAGGGGCGTGGCCTTTTCCATGCTACTGGACATCTCTTCGGCCTTGTCTTGCTGTAGCATCCAAAGGAAAGAGAGAGGAGGGTCAAGGTTGTATGTAATCCACCGATTGTGGCAAACGATGCCCGGGCGGAACATGTCCAACAGTTCAGATTAGAAACTAGGTTTGCTGGCCGCAATGGGTAATGGGCAATGTCCAGATTAACCCATCATGGCTGTGCATGCCATCTGGAACTGAGCTGGAGGAACAACCGAGAGGTATCCTCATTGGCAGACCTAGCTGTTCTCAAGGCGAAGCGATCCTTTCCCTCAGCTGGTCACCTGGACGTTCACTGCATCCAATATGATTCCTCCTTGATGATCTCGCGCAAAGCGTTCTGTCCCTTCAAGGTCAGTCCCACCCTCTCAGCCGACAGCGACTTGATAACCACATTGTATGCCTTCAGTTCCGGACTAGTAAGCCTCCGCCTATTAGGGCTCGGCGGTAGTTCAAAAGCTGGGGGCTTTGGCCTCTCCTCAAGTGAGAATGTCGCTCTGCTCTTAGAGGTGGGCGTCCTCGGTGGCTGCGGTGGTGGTGGTGGCTGCATAGGCTTGGCCGTCTCCTTCGGCAATGGCGACGGACTGAGTTCTATGAAGGCCGAGTTCAGTAACGTTTATGAACGTAGAGTGCAGCCTGGGCCGGGTTTATGAGTACATACCGCGGCGTGTATTGCTCGGCCCAGCTGCAACGGGCGTTGGAGAGTTGGTCGCAGCAGCTTCGGTTGCAATAGCCCGTGTCCTGGGGGTCCTGGGGGTTCTGGGGGTCTTCGGAGAGCGATAGAAGTCGCGGATATCGCCATCTCTCTTCCTCTTGCTGGGAGTCCGACGGACCTGGGCTGCTATATCCTCGGGAATATTGTGATAGTTGATCGCCTCGTCCAGGTGGTCTTCCCACAGATAGAACCGGCACTCATCCCCGCTATGCTTGGTACGATCACAAGCCCAGACTGAACACCGATTAGCAAAAACTGCAGGTGGCTGGAGGTTGATCAGGTGGATGATGCGTACATCTCATGCCAGCGCAGGTCGATCTGGTTCCCGCCGTGTTCTCCACGGCCGGGTCACCATGGACGCAGTGCCAGGCCCCGTCTTTGAATCTGCCGATCTCATATGTGGACACATGGTACACTGCCTTTTTCGTTTCCGCCATCCTCACCAAGGGAACAAACGTGAATGCAAATGGTGGATGGGCGGTGACGCTTCTCAGGAAGTTGACGGTCCAGCTGGGACTTCAGAGGGAGTGGGACTTAAGAGCCATCGAAAAGAAAGCAGCAAGACTTGTTGAGTGTGCTTGGACTCTTGGCGAGGCAGACTCGACAATTGATGTAGTGCATAAAGGCGTGTTTCTTGTTCTAGAGTCGGGCACCTGTAGTACAGTCGACCTTTGGGTCATCTGGCTGTCCCAATCGGGAGCATGCATGAGCTGATTGAACAGCCACAGGCGCTTCACAGGGCGTTTCCCGCTCCAATCCGGTGGATGCCTTGCAAGACATTCAAGATGTGCGGCGGCTGCGCAATCTAGATGCTTAGACAGACTCCTTTGGCGAGAGGCAAATGCTTGTTTCTTTAACTGCAAGCCCCTTTGGAATGGGAGCTGCCCAGGCAGATCATCAACAACCCCAACAGCTCCCTTAACAGGGCTTCCCGAATGCAAGGGTTGTTTTGTCAACAACATCTCGCAAAGTTGCAACAAGTTGCAACCGGCGGCTGGTATGCCCAAAACAGAACGGAAGAACGGGAATATGACATAATTCCCAGGATGGATGGACGGTACGGATTACTTTTGAGATTGAGCAATACTATCATACAGCTGCCATCAGGATTGGGAGGGGAGGATCATGTGGTGAGAACTTGATGCCAAGTTCCTTGCACCAGAGCCAGAATGAAGGTTTCGCTTGTTCAATTGGGTGCTGTACGTAATTCCGGGCACTGTATTGTAGGTACGTACTGGCGCTTGGGGGCTTGTGCCCCCAAACCGCCACCCCATTTATCCAAGAGCAACCCCTCTCTCCACAGCCATCCACAGTCATCCACCACCTCACTCATTCTCTCGACAAGGAAACTTGTGCTAGTCCATCGATACCCGCCTGCTCTCGAGCCATTATTTGATGCCTATGCGCACATACAAAAGGATCGAATGATTTGGATCATGCCTTGAAACCGAGCAAGCATTGTTCTCCACGCGATTTATCGGCAAAACCTGCAAATTCCCCCACTTCCTCGAGCCAGCCGGCCTCCGCTATCACAACCGAACATGCCAGAAGTGAGTTGGCCTTCCACTTCGACAGGCGATTCACAATGGACACTATGGTCTCTCAGGTCTCTCAAAGCTGCGACTTTGTTATTTATTATTTACTAGTATAAGTAGCGAGTATGTGCCCAGAAACGAAAAGGATTGAGGGACAAATACTAACCCAGAAAACAGGTGCGCCGATAGGCAGCCCCGCATGCTGTTGTTCAATATGCACTCGGTCACACTCCGCAGCCAAAGCTCAATCACACCAGCACACAACGCGTTGTGGTTGTGGCGCTTAACAGCAAAGACATTACTTCGCCACCAACCCCTTGATACCAAACCATACCCAATCTTTGATGCTTCCTAGCAACTGAACTCTAGGTATAGCATATCATCCCACAGCATCCCAACGAAACAACCATCGAATAAAACTCTGTTCCCTTCGAGGGTGAAGAGCGGCGGCGGGCTGCCGGGCTGCCGTTCCCGCTGAACCTACCTTTCGATATCGGCCAGTTCCTGCTGGTATGTATGCCTTACCTTTTCTTGTTGTTTCAATTTGCTCCCTTCCCAACTTTCGCATTTCTCCATGTCAGTATGCCCTTACTCAACCCCCTAGTGGGGGAGAGTGCCGCCGTTCCGCCGGCTTGTCGGTCGGTCTATGTGACGGCTACGGCGGCAGTGATCTCGCAAGGTAGCGAGCAGGCATCTGTCACAACATCACAAATACCGACACGGGACTACTTGGATGTCTTGTCTCATTTGAGCTGTCCTAGGTAAACTACCAGCAGAGCAATATTGCCCAGAACCCCTGAAGCTGCACCCCCCCGAACCAATTCCAGAACGCAGCGTTCCCTCTGCCCGTCCCCTTTTGTCTCTCTTTTATTCGGCTGTCCCATTCGCGGATTCCAATCCGGTGGCCAGGCCGAAAAACTGTTGCGGGACCATGGTCTAGACGCCCGTCCCTGCCCTCCTTTACTCGAAGGGAGCCCCATACCGAATATGCCGGTAACCAGGGGATAAAGATGTGTTAATAATGTACATGGAAGTCCAATACTCTTACAGACAAGAAAGCGAGGACGGTAAAACCCGATACGGCAAAGGGGCAAGGTGGAACGATCATCTTGACGACGGTCGCAAGCAGAGCGATGCGCGAAGACCGAAATACCTAGGATCCAGGAGGATCTAATGATGGATCTCTTGAAAAGGGCAGAAACGAAGACGCGCCACTCCATCACGATATAGGCGCGGCGCCATCCGACTTGGATGCTTGGCTGTTTATTGCATCCGGCAGAGTCGTTGGCCAAGCATGGCACAGCCCGACAACTTCAACAGGCCGAGCCTCTGCCGTGCGTGGATAGCTCGGGGCCATGGGACCCTCGGCATCCATTCAAAGCGACTTCACGGTGGACAACTCATTCCTCTTCGGAACTCTCCTCGTCGCTATCGTTCATCGGCTCGAGCATATCATCATGGGGGCTAAGGGCAGAGCCGCCGTTTCCCTCAATCGATTCCATGGGTTCTTGGCTTCCCGAGCCACGATTCTTAATCGAGGCCTTGAGCTCGTTCAGCTGCTGAAGCCGCCGCTCCTGCTCTGCCTTGCTCATGGGCTTGTTCTTCTTGGGCTTACCCGACTTGGACTTTGCCGGAGCTGCATCCTGCGTCGGGGGGGCTGCAAGGTTTCGCTCCTTCTCCGCCTTGAGATGAGGGAAGGCTTTGATGGAGATGTCATAGAGCTTCGTGAGGGCGTCCACGGACAGAATTTCGAGATCCAGCTCAAGCTCGCCGGAATCGTTCTCCTGCGAATGGTAAGCTTGCTGTTCAAGTCGCATTGGGAGAGGGGGAGGGAGGGATTGCAGAAGGTCAGTAGATGGGCTTTTTCTACTTACGTTTTCGTTCGTGTCCTTCTTTATGATGTCGATGGCCCTATTAAGCAGATCGCCATCGAGACTCGGGACGGCGGTGGCGATGATCTCTTTCTCGAGTGTGCCTATGGCTCGCTTCCCCTTCTTGCCACCGCCGGCGGCCTTCTTGCTGGCAGCTCCCGAGGCGCCGCCGCTGCCTATACCAGCTGCGGCATTTGCTTTCTTACCCACCCCACCTGCCTTCTTGCTCTTCGCTGGCTTGGACTTCGGTTTCTTTGACGTTGCAGCTTCGACAGAAAGCTTCTGGCGCTCCTGGATGATCTGTTTCTGCAGCGTAAAAACCAGACTCTGCGACACCTCTACCATGCCCATGTCCGGGTTCTTGCTGTTCATGTAACCCTTCACCTTCTGTTCTTCCTCTGCTAGTCTGCGTTGCAGGGCTTCGAGGGTAGCCGAGCTCTGCTCCTTCTCATCATCTGCCTCGGCTTCCGATTCAGCATCGTCCTCGTCAGAATCATCCCTCCCATGAGGGCTCATGGCGGAGGCATGAGACATCGCCGCCGTAGAGGCTGCGGCGTGTCTAGCCATCCAGTCGTCCTTCCTAGCCCATTCTCTCTTGAACAGCTTCTCCAGCTCGAGCGCCTTCTGTGTCACAAAATGGTCATCGCCATTGAAAGACTTGCAATTCTTGATGACGAGGTAGAAGTCCCTCTCGAATTCCTTTGAGCTGCTGTATTGCGCCGTGTGAAGCTTGTCGGACATGGTCTGCAAATCCATGGGCTTCTTGACGACCTTGTGATAGTTCGGAATGTTCAGCGCGATGGGGTCAACGGGTGCCAAGAAGTATTGGTTCAAGTCGTGATACTTCACCTTCTTGAGCTCAGTGAGGACCTCGTCACAGAAGCGAAGGTCGGGAGAGAGTTTCTTCTTCTTCTTCGGCTCGTAGCCCAGATCCTTGTTCTTGGGGGGATGGATAGGGCGCTTGGGTCGATCATCGGCATTCTTAGTCGAGTCCCGCCGGATGAGAGGCACCCCATTATTGTTGGGTGGAATCGCGAATGCGGGTGACTCGACTGGCTTATCGACCGGGCTGGCAACTGGCGCCTTCGACGGCCGCCGAGCTGGCGGAGGTGGGTGCGAAGGCGCGCGGGGTCCAGGATGCCTACTCGGGTGGTGCTTGACAGTCTCCCTCTTGTCTGCTTTCACCGTTTCGACGGCGGGTTCGGCGGCCATCTTCTCCAGAACCTGGTCGCGAACAGTCTGCGCATGCCTCGTCACATCGTGGACTTCGCCATTGAACCTAACCGAGTTCTCATAGAGGAGCTGCAGGTCATTCTTGAAGTCCCCTATGGTGGCATACGCCTTGTAACTGGGGTCGCCGCCTTTCAGTCGCTTCTCCATCGTCCCGATGTCTGTTGGGTCTGGAACTTTGGCTTGGTAATCGTGCCAAAGACCGGGCCACAAGGTCTCCACGGGGGCCTTAAAATTCGCACCCGCTTTAGTCTTTTTGATGCCTGCCAAAATGCCCCGCAGCTTCCGAGCCTGCCATTGCGTAATCGAATTACCCTCGAGAGACGCATCGGCCAGGTTCTTCGGCTCTCCGTCCGTGTTGACGAGGGGAGCTTGTTCGGCCTGAGACTCATCAACTTTGGCATTTCCGCCGGCGGATATCTTGACCTCGACAGAGTCGCCCTGCAAGTCAGTCTTGGCGCGCTTTGCGGCGGGCTCGTCCCCCCCGTCATCATCCCTCTCTCGTGAAACCTTGGTAGGGGATTGGGCGGCGTCGGTCATGCTGGTGTCTGCAGTTCCGATAGGAGCAGGCGAAACAGGCGGAACATCAATTGCGAGACTCGACATGCTCTCAGGGCGCAGGCTCAAGTCTGCTCCCGGCGTTGTTGCCGTCACATTGCTGACAATCGTGTCCTGCGTGCCCTCAACTTGTTCCGGGTTGGAAGAGGGGTCGGTAGGCGCGGGCGCATCGTCCATTTCGACGTCTTCTTTCCTGCCCTCTCCGGCGGCTGCATCTGGTGAGGGATCGGGCTTTGATGCACTTACTATCGCCTCCGGTGCGGTAGATTCGGACGAAGGGGGCTCGTGGGCCTTAGGCAATATGGCAGGTTCCTCTGCGGATTTCTCATCCAGTGGCGCACTGGGTGTTTCCTTCGCGGCCTCCGGCGCCGGTACGTCAAGGTGCGCATCACCCATCTCTATGTCTGCTGTGGTGACCCCTTCTGCTTTCGAGTCTGCTGCTGGAAGGGACACCTCTGGTTCGGGGTCGTCCTTGGTTCCCTCCTTGTCAACTGATATTGTCTGGTTGTTGGTGAAGGCTTCTTCGTTGTTGGATATGTTGGTTTTGATCGGGTTTCCGGTTTCGAGCTTCTTGTCCGTCGCGCTCACAATAGTCTCAGATTCGGGCTCGGGGTTGATGTCAACGGGAGAGATGTGGCTGCAAACGAAATGTGAGCAACGAATAAATACTTGGCAAAAGCCATCGTCGGATACAAACGGAAGCAAGATAGAACGCGTCAACAAGCGTGTGTGGGGGGATAATTGAAACTTACCCATTAACCTCATGGCTGCCGTTGCGCCCATCCTTCTCAACTTCTGACGACATTTTGAGCGGCTTCGGGTCAAGTATCGCACTTTCTGGAGGATGCGATGCCATGACTGCCATTCGGGGGAATTGCGCGACTTAGAAAGATGAAAGTGACATCAAAATCGAAATGCGATCGATGCCTGCGGAAGCTCGGTGGTGGGTTGGATGGGAAAGAAGGGTTGATGGGTGGCGCGGGCGGCGATATTTGTGGCCGCTTTGGTGAGGTGGGAGAAACGCGCAACTAAGGTGGTGGGTGACTGAGGTCAATGCGCGCGCAGAGCCGCGACTGGAGGGAGAGGCGGAGATGGGCGGAGCGGCGAGCCCTTGGTAAGCGGCAATTAAAACGGTGGCGCGAAAGCCACAGTTGCAAGAAAAGAATTGGAATGCAGGAATGCGAAGGTCGAAAATAAGATTTGGTCGCGATTGAATAAAGGTGCTGGCTGGACGGGTCCGAAGCTTTGTATGTACCTTTGTAGCTTTCTCGAGATCTGGTTGGCTGGGGCGGGGTTGGGGAATGGCCGCGTCGATTTCAGAAAGTCTGATGGAAAGCACAGATGTCAGTCCCGGTCGGTAGCTCGGGGTTCTTGGGGCTATTTATCGGAGCTCCCAAGCTCCAGAAGCTTCACTGGATAGCCGTTCTTATCGAGCTTCGTGGTTGGTCAAAAACAGCCTGGAGTGGGCCGTGCGAGATCGGCAACAAGGTGTCTTTCGTCACACTCAGCCCTGGTAATCAAATTCCAGTCTTCTCTTCTTTCTTGACCGGGTTTGTTTGCCATCCTCCACCAGAACACACAAACCTTTCACTTGAAGGTATACATGCGGTTTTGGGAGGATATGGGGGGTAGAGCTAACATAGGAAGGGGTGCAGGGCACCTGCCGAGGGTGGCACTTTGGGAAAGAGGAAGGAAGGCTTTACCTTTCTGGACAAAAGCCAAAATTGACCAGCGAACGATGATATCTGTGGGAATGCGACAGAGCAGGAGGAGCGCTGAATACGTTGCCTCAGATGCTAAGCTAATTGCGCATCGGAGATTCGAGCATCTCAGACAGCAAAGAGATCGCTTTGAGTACCTTACAGTGAGTTCGCAATGACTTCAATTTTGATCGCTGGGGCCACGTGACATCAGACTTGCTTTTCCCGAGTTTGACGTGATAGATTTGGGGGCAATTGGCCGGGATCCCTAGGGGAGCGTGTTCGTGTCGTGTCGTGTTGTGTTGTGGCGCCAGTTTCGTGACTTGGGTGGATGGGCTAGTACTTTGAGTAAGTACCTATAGTCCGAAGTTTCCGGCAGGTGTGCTGGGGTTGGGAGGGCGAGAAGGAGGCAAACAGGACTTTTTCGCGAGCAAAAGGCCACGAAACTCTGGAATCGGGGCTGGTTCTTATTTGTAGGATTGGCTGATTGGGCAAGTCGCGACTGCCCAAGCTTTTGCCCTAGCCAGGGTGCCACTCGCAGGGATGAGGGACCGGTACATCCAATTACAGCCGGTGGGACCCGCTCTTTTAGACAAGGATGGCTGGATCAGGAGAAGAGGGGCGCAACAATGCGCGCCCAATCACAACTCTAGAATCTTAACCTTTAGGCTACCGGCTACCGCGTGGCCAATTAAAGAGCGTTTCCGGCTGCAAATTTCCTTCGAGTTGCCTGAGGCAGAACAAAGATGGACACAGCCACAACTATTTCTTTGGTTGTCTGGCTTCGGAATATGTCGCAGCTTGATGAGTCAACCACAAAGCGGGTACCCGGTCACATGGTCCAAGGCGTGATCACATGTTGATTCAGGTTCGATTTCGATCAAATGGCCGGAGGATACGTTATCCCGTTACCGTACATCCCCGCCGTAAACTAAGGGTACCTACCTAGGTCCCGCCGAGAATCAAGATACATGCAATTCCCCTAGCACCAATGCCTGATTTGAGCAGGTGTTCATCCAGGCCCTCTGGTTTCTCAAGAGAAAATAGCTCCAACAGGAACTGGCTCTTGCATGCCAGGATAAAGTTCTCACATCAGTAGTGGCCAGCCCTTCTCCCGCGGGAAGCAGGGGGTTGCGCTGACTGACGGCAAGCAACCGACGAGAGCCGTGTTGATAACAAGGGGGGTAGTGAGTTAAAGCATTCGACGTTTACGACGCAGAGGAAAGCTGCGAGGTAAACGGCCAACATGCGTCTTGGTTCGGGACCATGCATGCCGCTGCATCCTAGCCAACCCTTTGCCCGTTCTCGGTTTCTGGAACGACCGTCGATAATTTCCGGCATCCAAACAGTCGCCGGTAGATGACAGATCGAATATTATGGCCGACCCGGTGGAGGTCAAAGGCCATGCTACATCTTAATATGAGCAAGGATTTCTGGTCTTTTTGGGTCCCTCGGCCTGATATCCCGGGTCCCTGGTCAAACAACTTGCAAGAAGGCTGCCTGGCAAGTCCGTTTGCAGGCGGATGTGCGCAACCGCGAGATCAGCTTCTCTGCATTGTCGGTGGATGGTTGCCAGAGCTGAGATGATGGATAATTTGATCGCGGGAAGTCAGAAATTACCGCCGAGAATCAAGCGGCCCTTGCCATCATGTAGCGTTCCCGAAACTCTTCCCAACTGACGGGAGATATTGTGAAATTCAGCTTGGCTGTAAGACGCATGGCATGAGACGGATATTACCCACATCATGAGCACGAGCCATACATGCACAGAGTACAAAATACATAACATAAGCGACTGGACTTTGTCCTATCGCCGCTATCAGTTTCGAGGAAGTTAACATGGTTCAACTGGCATCGTGCATCATTTGATAACGGAGGGAAGGCGATCATTTTGTTGTATGTTTCCAGCGGTAGCTTGCCTCAGCCGCCAATAAAAGGTGGGCCATCCACTGCCCTGTCTCCATTCTTTTGCAGGGACCGACAGAAAGGCTTCCGCAAAAAGCGAGAGTCAGCGGCAGAAAAAAAAAGACGGAAAAAAAAGTCGGACCCAGACTACCATCCAGAAAATTTCCCACGGCCTGGTCTTGAGGAGGTTCTGTTGATAAAGGAAGCTCCACCACGAACCCGACAACAGAACCTAGACAATCCTTCGGGTGAGAAGAAAGTCCAACCTAGGACGGAGAGCCCATAGGCAATTGGGCAGACAAGTCACTTCTTCAGGCCGCTTCTCTTCCCTTCGACGTATCCACGGAACCGTCACCGTCACCGTTCAACGATGTCAATGAAGCGAAAACCTCCAATGGCCCTGGCACGGCCGGTGGTCAAGCAGAGCGCAAAGATGCCCATCAAGCCGACCGTTGATGAGGCGATGGCCACAGTATCGGCTGCCGGATCAGCACATCTGTCAGCAAATATGGGCGTAGAAACCATCGAGATATCCAGCGACTCGAGCAGCAACTACGACGAGTTCTCAGATGGAGAAGAGGCCCCGAGCGGGGGAGAAGACAACGACGGGGAACACACGGGGGCGGACAAGAACCACATCCCCGGCCAGACAACCCCTCCACCGGACGACTCCACGCGCGCCGCTGCGTCCAGAAAACCCACCCGAAACGGCGCCGACGACGACACAGAGATGATGCAGGAAGACCGCCCATCCGCCTCCGCCTCCGACGACGAGGCCACATCCCCGACCTTCGGCGACCTCCTCCGCGGCAGCAGCAGCAGCAACAACAACAACAACAACAACAACAACAACACAACGACCACGGTCAACGTGCCCGCCACCGCCCCCATCCACCACCACCAGCGTGACGGCACGCCCCTCTCCCTCTCCGCCTCCGCCTCCCAGGCCCTCATCCCGGGCACCTCCCGGGGCCCGCGCCCCGCCGCACCGCCGCCAACCCTCTCCTCGCTCGGCACGGTGCTGAACCAGGCCCTCCGCACCGACGACGCCGACCTCCTCGAGTCGTGCCTGCACACGACGGACCTCCCGACCGTGCGCGCCACCATCGAGCGCATGGACTCGGCCCTGGCGGGCGCCCTGCTCTCGCGCCTCGCCGCTCGCATGCACCGCCGCCCCGCCCGCGCCCACAGCCTCATGGGCTGGGTGCAGTGGACCCTCGTCGCCCACGGCGGCGCCCTCGCCTCCCAGCCGGACCTCGTCCGCCGCCTCGCCGAGCTGGCCCGCGTCCTCGACGAGCGCGCCCGCGCACTCCCCAGCCTGCTCGCCCTCAAGGGGAGGCTGGACATGCTCGACTCGCAGATGTCGCTACGCAGGGATAACCTGGCCGGCAGCATTAGCGGCGGTAGCGGCGGTGGTGGTGGTGTCTTTGGCGCCGTTGAAGGCGGCCGGGGTCGTGGACGGGGCCGAGGCCGCCGTGACCGCGGTAGGTTGGGGCACGGCAGAGACGAGGACGAGGACGAGGACGAGGAGGACGAGGAAGGGGTCGTCTACGTCGAAGGGGAGGACGAGACGACGGCGAACGGCAGCGCGTCCCGGGCCCGGGCCGTCGAGGACGACGAGATGGTTCTGGCCAACGGGATCGGCGGGGAGACGGACGACGACTCGGACGACGAGGGCTCCCTGGGCGACATGGACATCGACGATGACGAGGTCGCCTCGCAGGAGTCGCTGGACGAGAGCGAGGTGGACTTTGACGACGCCGACGAGTCCGGCGACGAGGACGAGGACGAGACTGACGGAGATGTCGCCGCGCCTCCGGCTAAGATGCAGAAGGTCGGGCCTCGGGCTGTGCGGAAGTAGGGGGGGATGGATAGATAGATAGATACCTATCTACCTAGGTAGCCTGGTTATTCGTAACAGACGATAGAAAATCAGAGGCGTTATGTTATTACAGGTTTACTGGAGTCTACCTACTCTTGGAAGGGGCGCCTCTCAAGCTTGGTGGTCCCTTGCGTCCCATCCCGTCGCTCCTTCCAGAGGGATGATTCCCAGGTACACCAGGTACTGTCCTGTACAAACCAATCATCGTCATCACATACCCGTTTCAGCATAGAGGTACAACAATGATAACCATAAGGCCAAGTTCCCATCTGAAGAGAAGAATAGGAGAGGGCATGTCAGCCCGAAATAATGATTAAGTAAATAGGTACTACTACTATATAGTTTCCATGTGTGCCCCGTTTATGCAAGCGCGACTCCGATTGCAATGCTATGTATGCCGCCGAGCAACACGAGAATCCAACCGGGTTTCGCCAAAACGCTAATTAAGAAAAAGGTTAACAACAATCATGACCCCAAACATGTGTCTATGTTCATAATCGTCTTCTCCGCCCAGCCAAGGAAAAGGAAGAGCTCCCCGGGCGAGGGGGGTTTCGTGTAGATTGATGCCATTTGATCCTTCCAAGATTCCCAAAAAGCCAACTGAGAACCGGCGCGCGGCTTAAGGCATGACACTCTGTCTCCACCGCTCAACCATGTCGAGCTGGCCCTGTGTCGGGGGCATCTGTAGCGGCCCAACGCCATTGTAGGGGCCATTCATCCCATACGCCCCCGCACCCATCGGCACGCCGCCGCCGTACGCCGCCGGGTTGCCCATCGGCACGCCATAGGCACTGGCGGGGGCCATATTCGCGGATCCCGCTGGTCCCACGCCGTACCCGGCAGCGCCGCTGTACATGGCCATCCGCTGCTGCGCGGCGCCGGGCCCGTAGACCAGGCTCTGGCCGGACCCGACCCCGCCGCCGAGGCCGTCGTTGAAGCGCCCGCTCATGTAGCCGCCGTTGGCGGCGCCGACGGCCGGGCCGGTCAGGTACTGCGGCATCTGCGCCCTCATCGCCGCCATCTGCGCGTCGCGCTCCCTCTGGGCCCGGGCCGCCTCGGCCTCGACGCGCTGCCGCTGCTGCTCGCGCGGGTCCTGCTGGACGACGCGCTGCTGCTGCGCGCCGCCGCCGTCGAGAGGGTGGGCGCCGAGGATGTTGGCCATGGACATGGGGCGGGAGAGGGGGGTGCGGGAGCGGGCGATCGGGTTTCCGCCGGGCCCCATCTCGCGCTCTCGAGCCTCGCGCTCCGCCTGGAGCCTCCGGCGGCGCTGGCCCAGCGTTTCTTCCTCTTCGGGGACGTCGTCGGCCCCGTCGGGGGAGACATCTGCTTCTTTGTCCTGGTCAGGCGATTTTGTGGGTATCCGCTCCCTCCCTTTGCCCTTGGGGTCTGCGCCGGCCTCGTCCTCGTCCAGGTCGTCGAACTGGCCCAGAAGCTCCGCCGAAAACGCCCCGCTGACGGGACGAGCACGTGGCAGCGTCTCGGCATTTAACCTCCGCCTTCGCTCGGCAAGCGTCTCGCCTTCAATCTCCGGGTCGGCCTCCGCGCCCAGTGCGTCATCACCGGCCACTGACAGGGATTCTTGCTGCTGCAACGGAAGCATCAGGCGAGACTGGGTTCTCGCACCCAGCCCGCCCTGCGTGAGCGTCATCATGCTCATCCGCTTCTGCAGGGTGTTGAGGTTCAGCGACGAGCCCAGGTCCCGGCCTTGCAGGCGATCGCGGCGCCGACTCAGCGGCTCGTTCTCTTCCATGTCGCGACGCTCCATCAGCCCCAGGGGCCGATGGATTTCGCTCATCACGGCGCTGATATCCACGGTTGATCTATTTCCTCCGTTGGCGGCGGCCGCGGCTTTGGCAGCGTACAGCATACCCAAGGGGACATCGTCGTCGTTCTCATCCTCCACGGGGTCTGGGTTGGCGGTAGGGTCTTCCCACGCAAGGTTGACCCTCTTGCCCTTCCTTTGCTTTCGCTCGACCTCTGCAACAGTATCTAGTTCCAGCAATGTGCTGTGCAATCCATTCGGGTACACCTTGTGTACAGGTCGTGTCCGCAGCTTCTGCTGCTGCTTCCGAAGTTGCAGCTCGGCTAGGAGCGTTGTGGGCGGGCCCTGGTACTGATCGTCGTCCTCGTCGTCGTCTTCGTCGTCTTCGTCCTGTTCCTCTTTGCCGTCCTCTTCCTCGGGCTTCTCGTTCTCTTCGCGGGGCAAGGGTTGGCCGGGCGAGGTGAGTGGCTGGTCATGTCCCGTTGCTGAGCTGCCGTCAGAGCTGACACGGCGAATGCCTCCTTCTCCAGCAACCCCGAGCGCGGTTCGCCGTCCATCGACATCGACATCGAGTGTCTCGCTATTCTGCCGTCCCCCTACCATCAGTGATAGTATAGACGCGCGCTTCTTGGGCTCGGCAACACCGAGCATGGTGACGCCGCTGCCGCCTCTCTTGTGGCCCATGCTCGCGGGTTCTTTCCCCTTCTTCTTGGCCTTCTTCTCGCGCCCGTACACCTCGGCGCCGAGCTTGCCGGCGAATGTGTGGTCAACGAACGCGCTGACGGGCGCGATGGCTGACGCGTTGAGGATGCTGTCAAGCGTGGCCGTGGCAGAGCCATCTTTGACTTCGATTATCGGTGCTTCTGGTGGCAGGTCGAAGTACACGCTAGCTCTGAGCTGCGGAGCAAGGTCCCCAGAGACCGGCATGTGCGATTTGCGGTTTTCGCTCTCCATCATGCGCGATTGGCGTTGGATGTCCCGCTTTTGGGAGTCGGACGGCACTATTGTTCCTGTCTCAGACGGATGTCTCGAATGCCCAGCCAACAATTGGTCTGGTTTCGGTACAATTTCCGGCGAGGGTATGTCTCCCGGTGATACCAGGCCCGCGGGGTCGTGGCCACTGCTCTCTTCGCCCATCAATGGGCTACCCATATCTCCGAGGCTCTCCAGAGGGTCAGGTAGCCACACCCGTGATTCACGTGATTCTGTCGGCATCGCGCTGAGAATCTGGGATCTGACCTTCTTACGGGCTGTGGGTACCGAGTTCTTGGACAGCTTCGGGGGCAAGTTGAGCATCGCAGGCACCCTGGCCGGATAGAAGAGCATTTGCTGCCCAGTGGCAGCATCAAAGTATGAGGTGGGTCGAGGGGCAGGAGCACGAGGTGGCTGAGGCGCCCGTGGTGTCTGTCGGGGAGAAGGCTTCCGAGGGAGTGGCTCCGGGAAATCAAGCACTTCAGGATCGCAGTGCACGCCATCGAAGTCGCCAAAGGCGGTTTCGGCCTGTTCGAGGGTCATTCCGGACTCGGCGGTCGTGGGTCGCTCGTGCTCAAAGTTCCCATAGTGCACGTAAGAATCCGGCTGGTGTAACTGGAGCCGGTTGGGAGATGGGAGGCCCATATAATCGCTTGGAAGCATGGGCTGCATCACCTCCTGAGCGTCCGCAGCGGCGTCGATGTCATCCAGTTCTAGCGCCCTCCCCAGGCCCAGGCCCACGTCTATATCTATATACTGGAATGCGCTCGCCCGGATTGTGGCGTCTTCGTCGGTAGTGTCCTCGTGGGCCTCGGCCGCGCGATCTGCCTCGTCGAGGGCGTCCTGGGTCAGGGTCATGGGTGGTTCCATCTCTGCGATCTCCGCTAGAGGCAGTTTGGCCGAAACGACGCTCCGCACAGAACTCTTGCCTGGTCCATGCCGCGACATGAACCCGAGGTCTTCGCCGCTCCCGATATCTGGCGAGAGGGTGAGATAATCCATGATTTCGGTGGCAGGAGGCGGCGCTCCCGAGGAGCTCGCCTTGCTCCCCGATCTTAGCCGCGACGAGGCGTTCGACAGCGAATGATTCGGGCTCATGACATAGCCAGCGGGCGAATAACCCCCGAGCCGAGCAGCGTTGTTTGTGCTGAGGATGGAGCTCTGTCTGCTGAGCACGGTTAGGTGGGGCAGTCCCGATGTTGAGCCAGCGTCGCTTGCGGCCCGACTAGCCCTGTTGGCGCGTAGGATGGATGACCGTTGACTGTCGCTGCGTTTAAGTTCGTCGTGGGCGTCTCGGATGGCGTCCTCGATGGAGCTGGTCATGGAAAGTCGCTCGGCAGTTGCCTCGAGGGCGGCGATGTTGCCGAGATAGGCACCAGACCGGGTGTTGAGGTCCGGTGCTGGATGCCGAATTGTCACGCTGGCGTTGGAAACCCTGCGGACTAGAGCAGGTTCTGTAGTAGCCTCGGGGATAACCGACGAGGTAGTGGCCGGTTGTTGTTGGGTGTTGGTGTTTCTAGGCGGGGCCTTTGGCTTTGGTCGTAATATTGTTGTCGCCGCTGTCGTCGCTATCGCCACCGCCGTTGCCGTTGCCGCCGCCGTTGTTGTTCTTATTCTTGTTGTCGGGGAGAGGGTATCGGGCCCTGTCTGCCTTGTAGTTGTTGGTTTGCTGTTGCTGTCGATATGGTTGCCGTCGTCGGCCGGGAAAATTGAATTGACTGCCGAATCGGGTTTGCCGTCATGCACAATTAGGGGGCGACGCGAAAAGGAAAGTTGCGGCGACCCAGCAGTGGCGTGCAGAAGGGGATGCGGCAGGTGATGCAATGCAGGATTGTCTCGGGTCTCAACATGCAACGGCCCTGTCGTCGCTGCTTGTCCGGCGGGGCTCTCTTCTTCGCCCTCGCAATTCGAAGACGGCCTCGAAGTTGCTGTCGCGTCTCGTGGCTGCGAGGGAGAGGAGCGAGATTGACTGTGAGCGAGAAAATAGGGAGTTGGGGGATGGTATTCGGAACTAGTAATATTTTTAGTCGAAGCGAGGTCGTATTCCGCTGGCGGTGCCGCAGTGGCGCTACAAGGGCCTGGCGGCGATTGGACCATGCTGCTGGCGATGTCTGTGTCTTTGGTCCTGTCAGCGCTGGCTTTGGGCGCAAACTGGCGGTTTCCCCCGTCGTCCTCCGCAACCTGCAGCGCCGGCATGCACGTATTTTCGGCTTTCCTCGGTTCTGCAGCACAGGCATCGCCGTCTCTGTCTCTGTCTCTGTCTCTTTCGTCCATGAGATCCAGATCGCTGCTGTCCATGGAGAGCGGCGTGAATGTTTGGTCGCAGATGCTCAAGAAAGGCGCCGGCGACGAGGCCGTATGGGCAGACCCCGAGCTTGGAGAGGATATCGACATCGATGCGCCGTCATCTCGCGTGTCGTCATCCGGGGCCACGATTTCCAAGGTTTTCGACCCAGATGCAACTCGGAACCCCGCAACGTCGACGGGGGACCCCATGGCTGGCGTGGTTCCCTGTCTCGTTCGACGTGGCGGTGATTCATTGACTGGCTGGCAAGAAGATAGAAGCGATGGTTTGGCTGGAAAGAGCGAGGAACGAGGCCAAGAGACCCGGGGTATTAGGCATTGTCTGGGTGTCTTGTCTAGGTGTCTAGGTTGGTAGGTCGGCAGTGTAGGAGGGACGAATGCGGCAATCCATCGTGGAGCGCAAGGTATTAGAGGTTTTAGAGGTATGAGAGACAGGATGGGGTGGAACTAAGGAAGGTACTTGGGTTCTAGGTAAGTGGAAGGTTATCTACCGCCAAAGGCGTATAGCACCAAACTCAAGAGAGAAAACCAGGCAGCGCCAACATTCACATAGCAGATCCCTCAGCTAGCCAGGGGCCTGCTTTCTTTTTGAACTACCCAATCTACCAATCTACCTAGCCGTCTCCCAGAGTGGGCGAGGTGATTCGTGTATTGGCTGCTTGATAGCTGCCGATCCTGGATTTGGCCGAATCCCAACCGTGCCACCAGGGAAAGAGAACATGGAACGACGGGACAACGAAGATTTCGACAAGAGCCCAGAGGCCCAGAACACACAGGTGGATGCCCACCAAGTTTGTTGGTCCCCACACTGAGAGGTACCTTACATGGGTATCCGTGAAATTCCCAGGGTACCACTGGTACTCGGTAGAGATAGGTACCTCTCCATGCCAAGCCCCAGGAATTGGACCTTTCTGGTCAGCCGGCACCTTCCCGGCTACCTCTTGGTACTTTAGAGTTTAGGGTTAAGTATTAGGTTAGTGCACTTAGGATGATCTTGGAATCTGCGTGGCGCTAAGAAACCTGCGAGGCGTTCAAACTCTCGTCTCTGCGTCCTCTGAATGCGTTTGGACGCCGGGGCTCTTAGCGCGCATGACGTAGCATTTTCCTGTTACAAGTAATGAGACACTCTTGCTCTTGTCCACCGCCCTTGTTGATTTCTGCATCTTCTCCCCCGATCCCAGTGGACGCGGAGCACCCATGCAGAACCTTGGAAAGGTAACCAGGAAATCCCTTGGCCGATCCATCCGTCCGTATTTGCGCCCGAGATGAAGAGGACGCTGGAAATGAGTTCCTCCCGTCTTGATGACTAGAATCCCAGGCTGGGATGGAAGATTGAGCTTGTATCAGCCGGGCTGTTTGACCCGGCTGTTACAAAAACCACATGTGCCGATATTGGCTGACCAGGTGTACCGCTCCTGTCGGAACCTGGAATCTCGATGGTAATTAACGTCTTGGGGGCGAGCTGGTTGGACAGCCCCCATTGCAATATAACCGATATACTTCGTCGATGCTCGTGTGCCTCATCAACAGCCTCTCTCACTCTCCCTGGCGATCCCAAGGCGCCCATCTGCGTCAAAGGATTCAAATCAGACGACGGCACAGCAGAACAACCCGACCCTACCGTTTAGCCGGCCGACTTGTCTGTGCGGACCAGTTCGTCACCTCCCGAAACGCGGCTGCCGTCCATCATGACCCCTAAATAGCCCCTTCGTCAGGTACTGTAAAGTACCGCCCCCACGGGAAATAATACCTACCATACAACATGTTCCCTGGTGTAGGTGATGTTTCTGCTGCTGTCCTATCCGTAGACGGTGGCGTGTCACTCGTCAGTCTGCCCACCCAGACTTATCCTTGTCGGCCTTATCATGTTTTGGGAGATTGCCGGACTGTCGCTGTTAAAAGTTGGTTGCTCCCGTGCACCAACACAGCCCTGCGGAGACTCAGAGATAGCCGATTCGACGACCCAATAGCAGGCGAGAAGCGAGGTTCCATTTCGACGTTCGTTTCCGCAGCCTGATTGTTGTTTCCCCCTGGTCCAGTGCTGACTGTAGTGTGTGACATCGCTGCGGGTTGCGACGTCCTCCTGCAGACTAATGGCGTAGGTCGCAGTTCAGAGAGGCGTTATCGACCACTCGACGCGCCCCAAAAGCGTTGGCAATATACAAACTTGGTGGTTGCTCTGAGCACTAGATCCTAGCTAGGGGTCATCAAATGGGACCCACGATCGCCCCTAGGAATCACGACTTCGCATTCAGCCGAGAATACGATTGATAAACAGCCCACAACGGCGCCCGGATTGTCAGACGAGGTTCGTTAAAGGCTCTGTATTGGCGCCAATCGCAGTCGTTCCCTCTTGACCCAGTTCTCGCTTGGCTTTCTGCGCCTCGACCGTACCGGCCAGATGGTACATACAAGACTGGGACAAACACAAATTGTTGGTCTGGCAGAAGGGGTGCAAATTTCACGACCATCGCATGTTACCCCGGCTGAGGGGATGCCATGGGTCCTGGACAATATCCTGTCTCCTTTTTCATCGTCGTGTCCAAGTTGGATTTCAGGGGCCATGTATCTCGCCCCCATATCCTCCATGATACACGCTCGGGAGACTGCCGAAGCGAAGCACCCCTGAGCAAGTTGGACCTGCATCAAGCCGTCCAAGAGGCAATTTATCCCAGATCCTTCCTTCTGCAAATAACCTCCCGTCATAAATTCAGGGGTATATATCGCGAAGGAAGGAAGTGCCAAGGGGTGTAAGCAATTGCCGACTCGTCGCACAGGACGGGTTTTTGAAACCTGTACCATCCTTCATTAGATTTCCCCATTAGGTATTTTTGTGCTGTACTTCCCTTCATCGACACATGAAGAAGTTTGCGTGAAGGTCATGGAGAGACATTCCTTGACATCGACGACGGTTCGTCAAGCTCGGTTCGGGGCAGATTATTGGCTTCGGGGAGTTGTGCTCCCGCAGCGAATGGGGTACTAGAGTACCTTCCGAGGGAGTTGATTTGCCGTTTGTGCAACAGATAGAAGTTGGAAACAGGCTGATTTTGCTGTTCGCCCCTAGCACGCAATAAGAGCATGGTGCTGAAGCTGGAATAGGGGGCCAGCAAGTTACATGGCGACTTCTCCTCGCATGTGTGACTGAAGAACGTCGCTCCCGAACTATCGGGAGTGAGGCTGTGGGAGAAGCTGCCTCGAGCAGACTGGGCTCCGGGGGGTTGGGGGGGCAGTTCCACCGCAACGGGCTCCGGCATATAACATCTTGACTGTCTTGATTTGACACCATGGTGGTACGTGCGCCTATTGACTGTCTGTGACTATTGGCAAACCCGGCCAGGCGCGTATAGTTACAGTCCTGAATAGAGGTCCGGTGAGCATGACATCAGGAATGTGAAAGGAAAATCCAAATAGTTGTGTGCGGGAATCCCCTTGTAAACCAGGGTCCCTTTCAGTCAAGAGAGATGGAATGGAACATGCTGAATCCAGACACTTCTCTGGATTTTTAGAGCAGCTAGTAGGTATGGGCAGACAGCCGCGGCTGAGGGAGAGTGTGCGGTTTCTTACCGAAATCATCAATTGGGTAGGGATATTCAGAAGGACTGGGTGAAGGTCGTTGCAGCCGATCAAGCCTTTTGTAGGGATCCTACGCAATGCCAATTCGGGTCCCCGCACCGCGGTCATCGGGGCATCGGGGGCTCCCCCTTCTGAACAGGATCCATGTGTGGTTTCCGGAGTCCGGGCGGATCTGCGGCCGAGCGCGGGCACGGCCTGGGATCAGAGGAGAGCCACGTTTTTGTTCCAATGGAGCAACTGCTCATCTGACCATTTCCCCCCTCCGGAATGCTTCCTAGATGCCGGCCAGAGGGGCGGGAGTGTTGAGAAGGTGTGCAAGCACCATCCAATGACAGGCAAAGGATTGCTCTGTGCAGATGTTCCATGCAACCCGGGCCTTGGAAAGAGGCGGTCTGGGGTGATCAGTGGGGAACTGGGGGGGGAATGCTCCTTCCACGCTTCACCAAGACACATTTTCAAATTTCAACTCGGGCCTCCATACCTTAGGGTTCGATGGAACAACCCTTGACTGTTCTCGGCAAGTGAATGATGAATCATCATTACAGGTACCCGGGTCTGTCTGATGTTATCTTTTAACAATTTTTATGCTGTCCGTACATTGCTAGGAAGAGCAAGGTCTTTTAGAGTTCCCGTCGGTACACATGCCGGCCGGGAGTTGCCTGCCAGGCTCGGCGTGGATCGAAGTTTAGATAGATCGGGTTAGGCCGTAGCTGTCCCCGGCCTCCCTTGGTCACCGCTACCTGTCTGCAAGGTAAAGTACGAGGCAGGTACTGTGCTATGCAAATCGGTCATTACCTACTCTTTGCGTATACGCGGCGAGGTAGGCAGATGGCTCAAGGCCAGGCATCGTTACTTGACGCTGAAAATTGAGAGGATATCACGATATTCGTAATGGAGCGAACCACAATCTCCCAAACTGTATACTTACTTGACTGTGCGTAGGTGCTACGTAGCCAGAAATGCTAAGAGCGTATGTGGCATTTTGTTTTGAGACGCTGACCCAGCTAGTCGTCACTTGACCCAAATGCACTGACTCCGGATAGACCTTCCCCTGCCACCTTCGTGGCTCCAGGGCCTAGACTCTAGTTCGACTCTGGGTAGTGTTGTGGCTGGCGTCTTTCCCCTTTCAGGTTGGGTCCAGTGCCAACCGCCAACTGCCAATAAGTCCCTGTTCAACTAAAATATGCGAATACCCGACCTACTCTGATTCCAGCTGTCTAAGAAGAAGCTATCTCGACCGATTATACAGAGATATTAAACTTATCCTGCCCCGCCAACCTGAGATAGACGATCACCCTTGCCCCTCGCTTCATGAATCGCATTGGTCGCGGGATGATGTCAAGCCAGTGGAAACTTGCAGAACTTGAATGTGGCGGCAGGGAAGTAGGAAGGCCACAGTATGGGCTCCTGGGCTATACGGTCCCCCCGATTTCGGCAAATGCCCTGGAAAGCATCTGGGGAGCCAGAAACAATGAGAATAGGTACTGTACCACATGTTTCGCTGGTGTTCCTGTGCACTGTGTGCGGCCCCTGGTTTCCCAGGGTCCTTGTTGCCCACTTTCCACTAGCGGGGATACGTTAGCAGGGGCGTGCCTTTTTGGCACTCCACGACCTTGTGACCGCCTTGTTCTCCCCACCACCACCAGATCTTTATAACCATTTCCTCGACTCTTATCTTGGTTCTGTCATTCCTGGTGTTGCACAACGGTGACAGTGTGGGACCTCTGGCAACCCCACGCCAACCACTTATTCACCTGTTGACCTGTTTGCTTTGCCTCCGAGCAAGACGTTCATTCATTCTGCCATTGACACGACGGTATCTGTCGACTCAACAATATAGAGCCATTGGGACTCCTGCGTGATTTACCCCTACCTACCATTCCACCATTACTCCTTGGTCACGCCAATTCCAAAGGAGCTCATGTTTCGTCAAAGTCGGTCATAATTCCAAATCACCTAACCTGAAATGGCCAACCCAGCCGAACCACCACGGAGGCGCTTTGCTCCTGTTCCCATCGAGACCACGTTCGAGCAATACCGCAAGACCGGCCCTGCTCCTGAGCCGACCCCGAGTCCATCACCACGCTCAGAATCTCCCCCAGCCTTCCTACTTCGAGAAAAGCGAAGGTTCGCCCCGCAGCTCGTCGAGTCCTCTGTCCGGAGATCACGAAGGGCAGGAGACGATGGCCCCGCTACACGACCCACCGACAGGACTGACATTACCCCATACACCAACCATATATATGTGCCCAGATCAAGGAGGCAACATGGACACAGCAAAACTCGGGAGCGGGGGATGGACCTGGCCCGCCGCGAATCCTGCGATGAGGAGGTTGCCGGCGGGGTCTTCGACCTGGTTGCGAAGGATGCACAGAGGAAGCTGCAGGAGGTGGCCCTCAGTGCGTTCCCCAACAGCAACATAAGAATCGGGGGTGCGGAACACTTCTACGTACGGGAGAGCTCGGATGACGACAATGCCCCGGCCAGAGGCAGGGCAGAAACCCGTGGGATTGGTCGCGTCCGCCGCTCGAGGCGGAACTCGTCTACGGAGGATATTAGCTGGGCCTTCAAGGAGATGCAAGAACACGCCGCGATACTGGAGTCGAAGCAAGACCGCATATCGACCCCGGATCTTGACAATATGAGCATCGATGGTCCGCCTAGCGATGCAATGGGCCTTACAAGGGCTCAGAGACAGTCCATGTCTGGGTCGCCGTTGTGGACCGCGTCTAGATCGTCGAGCTTGCTGGGGGCCATTGGAGAGCATCATATGCCGTACGTGCGCGCCGAGTCACCCCTGCCCACCATCGGCGAAGCCGCCATGCCGTACGTCCCTCCGGAATCGCCGGCAATCCTCCCAATTGGCGAGACCTTGATGCCCTATATCCCCACGGCCCCGGCTGGCCAAGCCGCCAACATGCCCTATGCCCCGGCGTCCCAAATTCCGCCAGAGACTGGGTTTGGCAGCAACCGAGCCTTCCCGCCTCCGTTCGGCGGTCTTCACAATGACAGGGACATGTCCCTCGAAAGGCTAAGGAACCTTCACCGTCTCCGGGCCACTGCTTCGCCGCCCATGCTTGGGAAGGACCTGAAGTTCCGCATGTGCCCATCCCCTGAACAGACCAAACTCGAGCCAGACCACCTCTGGGACCTCCAGACAGGTACCACAGCCGAGGAGCCAAACCGCGATGTCAGCGGAGAGCACGGGTTGTGGCGTGGATATTGCTACACCTCGGACAGGTCCGAGCAGCTTGCCCTTGCCGAAAGGCCGGCAATGATCTCGACCCCCTATGCAGCCACGACACCGGGAGACCCGTTTGCGAGGGCGTTCAGCATGTCGGCACCGAATGCCACGATCTGCGACGAGCCCGAAGCGGTGGCTAGGTCAGACAAACTACACCATCACAACCATAATCTCTCCAATTCGGCGACCATGCAACCTGAGCATCGCAGACTTAACCAAGAACCCAAGGGCCTTCATATGCTACAGGGTCTTGACGAACGCCTTCGCAAAGAGAAGGCCGCGGCAGACCTGGAAGAGAAGATCATTGAGGAGTTTGACGACTCCTTCGTCACGCAGGTTTACAATTACCTGTCCCTTGGCTACCCAGCCACGGCTCGGGCATACGATGCAGAGTTGAGCAAGATCAGCAGGATAAGCCTCGAAGAGCTTGAGCAGGACGATGTTGTTATTATGGACAGCCTTTGGATTCACAGCAGACCTGGTTCCGACAGCGCGAGCGCCGGAGGAAACACGATGTTGGCGGGTATTTCCAATGGCAAAAGGGTCAGGACCGCCTGCCACATCATGCTCGAAAACGAAGAGCAGCCCGACGTCTGCGAGGAGGACCGCACTGCGCGATGGAAAGCCCTGAAGCAGTACATCTACGAGTGGGCAAGGCAGCACCCTGACCTGGGCGCCATCAGCCCTTTGGCATGGGGCATGCAGGAGAGACGAGGAAGCTGGGGGGTCTGATTTTTTATTTTATCTCAACCGGGCAGCATCACCCGGGCAGCGTCACCCGGGCAGCATCAGCATAGCAACGGATGAAATTTGCGTCGACAACCTCATTCAGCACCGTTTGGTTCCATCCAATTGGCCGCTAGTCAAGTGGCTTCCATGGCTACCAACCCACCATCTATCTCCTTCTCCTCCTTTTTTTCTTTGTCCCCTCGGGCCTCGTTGGTACCTCTTGAGGGTTGGAACGAATTATGACCTCTGTCCTAGGCCAGGATTGGCCTACTGTTAACATAGTGTGGCATTTGTTTCTGCGGTGTTTCTTTTCCTTCCTCCACCTACGTTGAAGCCAGGTGGTTGTTTGTTGGTAGAGAAAAGGTCCTTAGAACGATAAGGGACGACGAGCTGTGAAACGGCGCTCGTGATAGATAAAGAGATGGAAACAAAGCCACATCCTGGGGTTTGTACGACCATGCCTGCTGGTTGTAAGGGTGAAGCAGACCGAGAAACGGCTTGCAAAATCCAGTGCTTATTACCTTTGGTATAAGATAATATGTTCCACGTCTTGCGTGGCTCCGTTTTACACATACTTGCTTCGTATAATATGAAGGGGCACACTGAATCCTCAATTCGTACAGTGCCCAGCCTCTCGGGGTGTAGTTCCGCTGTTTCTGTCAAGGTCCACCACCCTTGCGGTCTGAAAGATCAAGGTTTTGCTGCACCGATACCGCCCTTGAGCTCTTGGTTAGGATAGTCAGGGGTATAGATATGTGACGCAGTGTACCGTTATCAGCAGGGGTGGGGTACTGTGCAGTCACAATCGCACATCCCTTTTTTTGGGCGCTACCTGCCTTAGCATAGCATCTAAATACCTACCTATCTTTGCGCGCAACCTGGTGGTTGCACTGTACACGCGGCGCGACCAATGCTCGATGATCGGGCTGTCCCATCCCGAAACTCGCATTCTTCCCCAGACAGGAGTCAAACCCAAGCACAGGACTCCTCCTCCATGGAGCAATCCCCTCTCACTCTGCAGCCTCGACCTGAGGCCTTTCAGCAGAAAATAGTACAGCTCTACGAAGTGCTTTTCAAGGTTGGTTCTCCAGACTGTGCCGGCGCGGAAAAGCGCCAGCTGACCTGACGGTCTCCCAGGTTGCCATCCCTTGGGATATCCAACCACAACAGCTCTTGCGCTGACGGGCCACTGTGTGGAGGTAGGATGAGGACGAGGGCGACAAGTCGGAAGGCTTCTGGAAGGTCTTCTTTCTACTCAAGCCGGACCAGGCGACACTACGGAAGATCCTCGTCGATCTTGGACCGGGCGACCTGCTGCATCTCCAACTACAGACAAGGGAGCTCTTTGCAAGAGCAGTCGCGGTCTTGAAGGACACCTCGGCCGGTGACGCTGATCAACATGCTCTAGATGTGGGCTCCCCGCCAATGCCTGATTGAGCGAGAGAGGCGGAACACTAACACCTACCAACAGACATTGAGGACCTTCCTGTCGGCGGTCCTGGCCAAGAAATACACCAATCCAAGCTCGGATATCATCACGGTGCTGGCTGGCTTGGACCATGTCGATACCATATTTACAGACTTTGTGGCTGTTCTGGATGCGACGATTAAGCATGGTAGAAGTGGTCAGTTGCGCCGGCATCACGGATAGCGACATGCAGCTGACTTGGATTGTATAGAGGCATTGCGGCAAAAGGCTGCCGAGGTGGTCCTTGCCGTCACTTCGGGGGCATACCAGACAAGCCTGCTCACCTACTTCATACATCGGGACCTCTTTCCCTCAATCATGAAGGTCACATACACTCTGCGAGGGATGCCAGCAAGCATCACGCTGACAGATGGTCTCTTCTAGTTCATACAAGATTCCGACAGCCAAGATCGAACATCAAGGCTTTTCACGCTGCTCGGTCTTCTCGCGAACTACAACAAATTCGAGTTCCAAAACCCCTATCAGCTGCGATTGAACGACTTCGTCAACGAGGCGACAATACAAAAGATCATACAGAGCACGGGGTATACTTGTCAGAGACTCAGGCAACAGTTTATCAATGTTCAAGACGACTTGCCAGAGGGATGGACTCTATCAAGCACTCTCAACATGATTGGATTGGGTGCCATTGCTCCAGGAGGCAGACCCGCCCCGAAACAAGTATACGATGCAGAAACTGCCAAGCAAATGTTTTCGAAGCTGTAAGCTCCCATTTATTTTGTTTCGTTTCGTTTTGTTCATCCTTGATCCCCGCCACCCGACTTGCTGCATCAGCCCACTTACGCCTCGCTCGCAGGCCTGGAGAGGAGGCAGCCGCTCTCCTAGCAACCTACGACTTTGCCCACGCCAACAAGCTGTTCTGCTTCAACTTCGTTACCTTCAGCGCGGGGAAGGGAGAGGAACTTCCATTCGCAAGCTACATCTCTCTTACTTCGTACCTCCTTCAGCATGCTCACCTCTCGCAACGAACCACATTGTACTCGCACCTCAACCTCATGGTCTTCCGCCTCCTGATCGAGGACCCGGTCCTCTGTAAGCGCATGTGCAGTGACGAGAGCAAGGTCGCAGTGCGTCTCTGCCGCCAGCGGCAACCGTACCTGCCTCTTGTGCGTAATGAGCGGGTGCTTGCCACTGCCGTTATGGATACCATGGTTGACGCTATCAACCACAACCTCCGACGCCGGCTGGACGTCAGGCTGTACACGTTATGCGTGGGCATACTCCTCCGGATCTTGAGCTACATGTCGCGGTCAAGGACCCGATTGCAGTACCATTGGGGAGAGCTCTTCCGCTCCCTTCTGTCTCTGATCCGCTTTTTGACAACCTACGCCCCCGACTTAAAAGACGTCCCACACATCGACATCCTGCTCGACCACGTTGTCAACCTGATCGCCCTTGCTCTGTCGGCCGGCGAGGCCTTCCTCCCCGGCCCGGCCGCCTACGACGACCTGTTCTACAAAGTAGTTGAGACGGGGGAGATCCTGGTCAAGTTCCGCGAGACGTACAGCCTCGCAAACCGGCCGAGCAACTCGATAGACACGCTCGTCAACGTTAGCACGCACTACAAGGAGATGCTGGTGAACGGCGGGGCGGACGGGAAGGTGGTCGGCAGGAGGACCGGCTCGAACCTGACCAGCCTCCAGGTCGCCGAGGTGATCAAGCAGGGCTACGAGACGCTGAGCATACAGGCCAAGGAGGGCCTGGATAGCTGGGAGAGGTACCGCGAGGCGGACGAGCGCACGCTCTTGAAGAAGATGGCGAGAACCGCTGTTGCGGATGTCAGGGTGCTCGTGGAAGAATAGGTGCTTGAATCTGAGCGGCGACTACTGGCGTTGGGCTTCTTAAGGCAGGCTAGAGAGGTTTTGGAAATGCTTGATTCCGGGGTTAGGAAAGTGGAGGGCCTGACTGGAAGTTAGATTGATTGCACTGCGTGGTACTTGGAGAACCGATTCGAACACCATGTTTTGCTATTTCTGATGTTCTCGTCCTGGTCCAAATTGCAATCCAATGGCTGCTGATTAATAGGAAGCTCAAGTGAAGAGAAGGGTTGAATAATGGGTGACATCTGATTGGCTCGGCGGAGTACCGGAGAACGGGCTAGGTTAGCGCCGACCCGACCCTTGAAAACATGTCATAAATCGGCTGTCGGTTGGTTGTGTTGGGGATCATTAGCAAACCAACAATCGCCAGAAATCATCACATTCCACCACAACGGCAAGAACCTGTTGCTCTAATTTTCGAAGAGACTCACAATGAACGCACCGACATTATTCACAAGGAGAGGCTTCTCCATCTGTCTGTCCTGCAGGAGGAATTTCATGCGCCATTTCTCCTCAACACCAGCTCCGTTCGCCTCTTTCCAGTCCTACCCACTCAACCCACGCCCCCAGACATTGCCTCGAAATGCCTCCATACCAGACTCTTCGATAGCACATCCAGTACAATCTCCATCACCGAGGGTCCACGAGACTCGGCCACCCAAGGAAGCACCGAAAGAGGCCAGCACAATCAGCCCGACGCCACAGACCTCTGTGCGCGAGCAAGAAGCGCAGACATCCAAGCGCGAATTTGCGGCTGGCCCGCCGACGACCGCATCATCATCATCATCATCATCATCACCATCACCGCCCCCCTCCTCAGCAAGCACATCCGTTCCGGCGAAAGAAGCGGCGGCGGCGGCGGCTCCGGCGCCTTCCCCGGCCCCGGCAGCGAAGCCACGGTCCAAGCTGCGCGCCCCGCGCAAGGCGGCCATAAAGCTGACGCAGGCGGCGGTGTCGCAGCTGCGGGCGATGCTGGACCAGCCGGACCCGAAGCTGATCAAGGTCGGGGTGCGCAACCGGGGCTGCAGCGGGCTGTCATACAACCTCGAGTACGTGGACCGGGCCGGGGCGTTCGACGAGGCGGTCGAGCAGGACGGGGTGAAGGTGCTGATTGACAGCAAAGCGCTGTTCAGCATCATCGGGACCGAGATGGACTGGGTCGAGGACAAGCTGAGCCAGAGGTTTGTGTTCCGGAATCCGAATATCAGTAAGTGGTACCCCAGCGTCTTGTCTTAGAGAGCGTTGCAAGCTGACATGTTTTGTTCTACAGAGGAACAGTGCGGATGCGGCGAGTCGTTCATGGTATGATTGCCGCCCTCGGGGATGCTTCATATCCCATAATGACCGGCTATGACCTCTACCTCGGCGCGCTTACTATATGACACCGATGGCTCGACTGGTAATGGTGTTAAGAAAGGAACGCATGAAGAGTAATTAATGTAGTGTAACGGATACGGGGCGATTCCAGCCGCTAGAATCGGGGTATGCGATATAATATCCTAGATACAGGTTTACTAGTTACCTTGCGCATGAATCATCTTCCACTGCGAAGCTGCGCAAAAAGAATTCCGACCACTCAAGTCTAAACTTAGCAATGTCCAATTCGTGCACATTTTTGCCTTGTCTACTTGCTCTTAAGCAAATTTCATGCAGACTACTGTCAGCCGTGAATATGTAATTATGATGGGACAGAACATGACAGATCAAGGGACTTTGGGTGATGGGTTCCTGGTTGAATCTTAGCGCAACCATAGTGGCGGGACCCCTTCACTAAGATACCCCAGACATAGCAGGGTATGTACAGTGCGGGAAAATAAGGGGCGTTGCGCGTCATCGACGATTAATCAATCAATCACTTAAATCCCCCACGCGTCGTAAATTACTAGCAATAGTACTGCTGATTCCACGTTCCACTACGAGACGTGATCAAGGACGATAAAACCCAGCCCAGCCCCAGCTTCAATTTCTTCGGCACGATGGTCGCCTGTCCCATCTGCAATCGACAGGTAAAGTCTTCGGGAATCAACAACCACCTCGACTCGGGCTGCGAAACATTCCTCATCGAAGACGGCAACGGCAGCGGCAACGGGGCTGGATCCGCCAATGGCAGCCGAACCTCCTCTCCGCCGACCGGTAGCCAGAGCATCCCCTCCTCGTCGAGCAAGAAACGATCGGCCTCCACGTTCTTTCAGACGCCGGCTGTAAAACGACAGCTCACAAACTCAAAGGTCCTATCTCCGGTCGTCACCGACTCGGTAACAAAGACGAATGGCGTCAAGAGGGCATATGATGCGGGACCTGGGCAAAGCTCACCCATAGGAGCGAAGAGGGACGGGCAGGCGAACAAAGATCCCTCGGCGGCAGAATCTGGCCCCGTCGTAAAACGTGTCAAGACCAACCGTTCTGCCCCTCTCGCCGAGCGTATGCGGCCGCAGTCGCTCGATGATGTCTTTGGGCAGGACCTCGTGGGACCGCACGGCGTGTTGCGGGGCCTCATCGAGGCGGATCGGGTGCCGTCCATGATCCTGTGGGGCGGCTCGGGGACGGGGAAGACGACGATAGCGCGCTGCGTCGCCCATCGCGTGGGCAGTCGCTTCGTCGAGCTCAACGCAACGAGCACCGGCGTTGCCGAATGCAAGAAGCTGTTTGCGGAGGCGGGCAACGATCTGGCGCTGACGGGGCGGAAAACCATCATCTTCTGCGACGAGATCCACCGGTTTTCAAAGTCACAGCAGGACGTGTTCCTCAGGCCCGTCGAGGCGGGCACGATAACCCTGATTGGGGCGACGACGGAGAACCCCAGTTTCAAGATCCAGGCCGCGCTGCTGAGCCGGTGCAGGACGTTTACCCTCTCCCCGCTCTCGGCGGAGGACGTCCAGCGCATCCTGGTGCGGGCTGTCGGTGCCGAGCAAGAAGCCAGCCCGTCTCAGCCCATTTCCCCGCTGATCGACGAGGAGCTCCTTACCTACCTGTCCGCTTTCGCCGACGGCGACGCGCGGACGGCCCTGAACCTCCTCGAGTTGGCCCTATCGCTGACCAGCAAGCCGCTGCAGGACGGCCATCCGCCGACCAAGGAGTCGATCAAGGCGTCGCTTACCAAGACGCTCGTGTACGACCGGGCTGGCGACCAGCACTACGACACCATCTCGGCCTTCCACAAGGCGGTGCGCGGGTCCGACGCGGACGCGACCGTCTACTACCTGGCGCGCATGCTGCAGTCGGGCGAGGACCCGCTCTTCATCGCGCGGCGCATGGTGGTGATCGCCAGCGAGGACGTCGGGCTCGCCGACAGCACGCTGCTGCCGCTCGCGACGGCGGCGTACGCCGCGGCGCAGCAGATCGGCATGCCCGAGGCGCGCATCCCGCTCGCCCACTGCGCCGTCGCGCTCGCCCTGGCGCCCAAGAGCACGCGCGCCTACCGCGCCCTCAACAACGCCTACGCCGCCCTCCGCGAGCCGGGCGTCGCCGCCCTGCCCGTGCCCGTGCACCTGCGGAACGCGCCCACGAGGCTGATGAGGGAGATGGGGTACGGCAAGGAATACAAGTACCCGCCCAACTACAGGGACGGGAAGGTCAGGCAGGATTACCTGCCCGAGGCCCTGCTCGGGAGGACGTTCCTCGAGGAGAGGGATCTGGGGACCGAGATCGATCCGGATATGGAGATGACGGAGGGCTGAGTTGGTGCTGCGTATGCTGCGTTGGTTGAGAAAGGGGGGCACCCCGTTGGACAAGCGTTGTTTTACAGCCCCCCTTTCCTTGGGCCCTATTTGTTGTCCTATCATAGAGTTGGACTTGTTGTCACTGGGGGTTAGGATAGATTGGCCTCACGGCTGAAAGGCGTACATAATCAAACAAATATCATCACTCGGGAGCAGACAGTCGTGCTCTTGAAATCCTGATTCCTGATTACAGTTCTACAATTTGCATGTAAACCACATTGTTTGCGCGGGGTTATTGACTGCTACCTAGTAGTCACACCCTCCTATCCAGACAAGTTTCCACTTACCACAAGTTGTCTACACCAAACCAGTTGTGACTGTGTCTCCAAGTCGAGCCCGTCCCACAGCCAGGAATGGTGGAGCGAACGGCGGAGATAAAGTGGCAATCAGATAGCACTGTATAGATTACTGTATGACATTACCCCTTCTATTCCAAGCCATCAAGAACACATAAATTGTCATAGCATTCCACCTCTTCAACGAGCCGCAGTAGCACAAAGAATGCCTCCCATACCCTTCCTCTGCAGGCAATGCGCGCGAGCCCTCCTCCGGGACCTCCCCAACCCCCAACGCAATCGCGTAACCAGGTTTGCTCGCCTCTATTCCCAAAGGGCCCCCGACACAAATACCAGACATCCCGACGTCTCGCCCAAAACCCAAGACGCCGCAGAAGATGACGCCTCTCCGACCACCAACAAGTCGGCGCCCCCGGACCCGGACCCGGAGCCGGGTCCCATGACCCGCCGCCTCGAGGAGGCAACCGGGGAAGCCCTCCTCGCGGGCGGGCGCGCGGGCCTCCGCGCCGTGCGCGACGCCGGCTTCAGCGAGGACCTGAAGAACCGCCTGCTGGAGAGGCTCGCGAGCGCGCGCGCCGACGCATCACTGGCGGCAGAAGCAGTCGAAGAAGGTGAAGAAGGTGTCGTCGGGGGGATCCCGGCCGCGGCGGGGCAGGGGACGCGCGACGTGGCCTCGGCGCGGCCGTGGACCGGCGAGGAGGCCGTCCCCGACGCGGTGCTGCGCATGCTAGACGACACGCGGAGGCCGCTGCGCCCGGGGCTCAGGGGGAAGCCGCGGATCCCCGTGCCGAGGGGCGCCGAGCACGTGGTGGATATGCGCGTCCGTAGGGGGCCGGTGGTCGGTGCTGGGGAGAGGGCGGCTGCCGCTAGGGATAGAGCGGCGGCGTATGCGGGGATGGGGATGAAGGAGGCTGATGTGGGGCTCAGCGAGGCGGAGAGGGAGGCTGTTAGGAGGGAGTTTAGGGAGCGGTTCTCGCCTGGGGCGAGGGGTATGCCGAGCACCGTGTCGGGGTTGGCGGCGCTGGCGAATGAGAGGTGGGTTGTTTGCTTTCGTGTTGGGCCTTGAGGACGGATTGCTTAGACGAAAATTCTGGCAGGATCGAAGATGCTATTGCTAGGGGACAGTTCAAGGTATGGGGGATAATACCCCTAGTCATCTGTGGGTTCAACTCTGATGGCTCATTAGGACATACCGCGGGGGAAAGGCGTTGAGAGAGATGACAGGGCGAGCAATCCATTCGTCGATACGGTGAGTTTCAACGCGGACCGGATCCCGGGCGGACGACTGCTAATTCTTTCAGACTGAGTACATCATGAACAACATGATCAAGAGACAAGAGATCGTTCCACCGTGGATCGAGAAGCAGCAGGAACTGTCCAAAGCAGCGCACGTCTTCAGGGCGAGGTTACGAAACGACTGGAAAAGGCACGCCGCACGAATGATTGCCAGCCGGGGTGGGTCGCTCCAAGAACAGATCAGCAGAGCAGTCGCGTTCGCCAGGGCGGAGGAAGCGCAAAACCCGCGCCAGAGGAACGTCGACCAGATGTCGGTGCCGACCAACTCGACCGACGATGCCGTCATGGCAAACCTGCGCCGGCAGGCATGGCCAGGCGACTCCAACCGCCCCGCCGCGGAGGTGGCCCCGGGTGAAGACGAAACCCAAGCGACACTTCCGAGCCCGTTCAGAGACCCGTCTTGGGAAGCCACCGAGCGGTCGTACATGGAACTCGCAATATCAAACCTCAACTCGCTGGCGCGCTCCTACAATCTAATGGCGCCCGAGCTGGCAAAGAAGCCCTATTTCTCGCTAGCGCGGGAACTGAACAATTGCTTTGCGGACGTCGCGCCGCTGCTGGCAAACGAGATAAAGGAGAGGGCAGCAAGGCCATCGAAATCCATGGTTGACTCAGGTGGTGCCGCGCCTCGCGGCATCCTGGATCGGTTCGGTAAAGAGGGGAGCCCTGCACGGATATACGAGTCGAAGGCACCCCAGTACGGTTTCAAGGAGATGTGGAGGGACTTGTGGAGTCGGCCCGGACGATGAAGAACCTGTAAAGCCAGGGGTTGCTGCCATGTGTGGGCAGATATCGCCGCTTCTGGGAGAACGACCTATTTATCCACCGTCTCAGTACCCTATTCGAGACAAGCTCCTGTGACGCCTACCGGATGATGAATGATATTCTTGTCGTTAGTCCCTACTAAACGTATTAGGCCCTGCTTCTAACCTCGCCCCCGCTCTCAGAACATATGAACTCACCTGCCAGCATGTTGCTCTTGGCACACGCGTGGAGCATGTCAAGGACTACCGATCCAGCGACGAAGGCGCTGATCAACACGACATCTCCCATCTTTCCCCTGATACCTTACAGCATATTTCCAAATTATTTTGAGCTTATGAGGGACATTATTGAGGACCACCTGCACAGGCTTTGCAAGAAGGAGGAAAGCCTACTTTACTGCAGCAACGACATGGATAATGCGGACACTTTGAGCCCTGCAGACCAAGCAAGGCGTAGAGGATGGGGGCAAGACATGAAGGACTCCAAGAGCATCGCCAAGCTTGCCGACAAACTCGACGGCTCTCTATATATACAGCTAGCTCATATCATCTTCTTTCTCTTCTCCTATCTAGAACCTTCAAGAAAAGCACTGCCTGCGCCGCTGGGCTGGTCAAACATCATGTTTGATCCGTGGTGGGTAGTCTATGATTATTTTCTGGACACCTGCCGCTGGTAATGCTCGTCAACTATATTTTTGTTTGGGGGCCACGTTTGTCGAGGGATGGCGTCTAGAGGAAATCAAGGAAAGTCGCCTTGGGAGTCTCGTCGCGAAGCACAAAGACAATGCATCTACTCGGATGCGATCAGTGACTCGTCCAGTCCATGTCAAAGGCGAATTAGAATATCACAGAGTGCAAGTGGATGGTCTTCCAATGGCCGTTTCCTCGTCCTTGTCCATTCCCTATGTTCCCTTAACCGGGGTCGTCGACTCATACATCATTCAGACATGGTGGGTGGGAGGATATGGGGAGAGCGCGAGCTCTCCCTCCCCCCAGACGATAGGTACGCGAGTACCTCTTATGCTCGTCTCCACAGATCCTCCACTCCTCCCCCTCCCCCACTCCTCCCCTCATCCTCCCCCCCCATCCTCCCTTCCCTCCCTACTCCTCCGCCTCGCCCTCCGCCACCAGCTCGGCCAGCGCGTCGACCCTGGCCTCCCAGGCGCGAGCTTCCGCAGCCTCGAGGCGGCGAGCGACCAGGTCGTTCGCGAGAACGCGCCTGGGGGCCGCCGGCACACGAGCCGGGTACTGCTCCCTGGGGAGCGCAGGGCGACGGGCCGCCAGCTGGGCCAGAGCGTCCGGACCAGCGCGCCCCCGGAGGGCGGCGAGCGTGGCGTCCGCTCGCTCCATGACGAGCTGGAGCGAGCGGTTCTCCATGTCCACTTCGGCCAGGAGAACGCTGACGCTGCGGCGCGCCAGGTACGCAGCGTTGGTCCGGAGCTCCGGAGCGTTGGGCGGGTACACGCCGTGGGCGGTCCCCAGGTGGTCCGGCAGATCGCCGGGCACGTTGGTGCGGAAGGGACACCCCTGCTCTGGGCAGGCGTGCCTCTTCTCGCCCCCCAACGAGGGGCAGCGAAGCGAGTGCTTCGCCCAGCTCCGTCGGTTCGCGAGAACCTTGGAGCAGGCATCGCACTGGATGCTGCCCTCGTTGCCCGGCAGGCTCGTGAACGTGAGCCTTGCAGGGCCGCCGCCCAGGCCACCACCCACAGCCGCAAGCGGCGCGGGGGGAGCGAGGGAGGCGGGGGGTTCCCGCGCGCGCGACGATCTGGCGGCCGCCCGGGGACGCGACCCGGAAGGAGCGGCGGACCGCGAGGCACGCTCGGCGGCGTGCTGCCGAGCCCGCGAGGTCGGCAGCGGCGTCCGAGAGGCCGACGACGAGGTCGACGGCGAGGGAGCTGGAGCGGCGCCGCCAGCGGCCGCCGAGGCAAAAGCCCCTGCGGCAGCGGCAGGCACGCTGGATAGGCCAGCCCCTCGTGACCTCGTCGTCGGGCCTGGCGGGGGAAGAGAGATCATCTCCTCATCTTCGTCCTCGCCGGCTCGGACCCGACGCGACGACATGGTATCCTCCTGGTATCCCTGGTATGGCGGGATACCCCAATTGTAGGCTGGGCCGAAGGATTGGTTGCCCGCTGTGTAGATAGATGTTAGCAGCCAGCGCAGGTTGTGAGTGGGTGGCTACGGTTTGAGGGGCAAAGTGAAAAGTAGAAAGAAGAATGAAAATGGAAGTAGAAATAAATACCTTGGTTCGTCTGATCAGATGCCAGGAAAGTGTTATTGCCAGTCGTGGGAAACCCGACGGAATGGCTCGCAGGAGTAGTAGGAGTCCTGGTATATTCGTGCCCGTAGGCGTGATGATTGTTGTTGTTGGCCGCGGGAGAAAGGCCTGGTTGGTACGCGTTTCCCTCTCGTGTGGGAAAAGTACCGAAGTTAGGAGGGTAAGGGATGCGAGGTGGAAGAGAGCGAGCGTCCCAGGTATTTATCTGGCTTTGGGCAGGCGGTGAATGGTTCTGGACTTGACCGGCAGAAGGCAGAGGTGAATACTGCTGAGAAGGTAGAGGTGAATACTGCGGCGCTGGTAGAGGAAGCTGCTGCTGGGCAGGCAGAAGTGAACTCAGTTGAGCGGGCAGAGGTGAATGTTGCTGGGCAGCTGGCCAATGAGATTCGGAAGTGGATTGGTCGGCCGCCAATCGAGTAGTTGGTGAGGACTGCGCGGCGGTTGCTGGAGGAAGAGGTGGGTGCTGAGGGACTTGCAGAGGGTTCTCGCCTCTTGGCCAGGCAAAACCAGTTAATCGGACGATTTGCTCGTCGTAATCATGCTCGCTGAGGTTGAACCAGAAGTTGTTATCGTGATATGCTAACGCGCGCGGTACACGATAAGGCAGGACAACCAGATAACTTCGGCCAGTCAGTAATGTTCCGATCTTGGGATAGGATAGTAGTGGATACATACCGGTCGGGACGCCAGAAATATAGCTCGGCGGGAATTTCTTCGGAGTTGTACTCTGTTTGACCGTGTGCTGCAAATTCGTACTGCTCGGAATCGGGCACACTACATACAACGTTAGACTCGCAGGTATTTTGGTGACCAAGTGTGGGTGAGGTAATGAATGATCGTCGAAGGGTAGGGCAAGGCCGTGAAAACCCTACGCGTATCGCCCAGGTCTCGCAAAGTGAGGTTGTTGTGGCAACGGCGAGTCCGATATGTCGGCAACGCCTTCTCGATATAAAAAATAATATCGGGGATGGGAAAGGAGCTTTACTTACTCTATGAGCTGGTCGTACGGGATCGGCTGGGACAAATTGGGACGCATCGTGGTGATATTGCTGGAACTTGCCTTCCAGCTTGGAGATGATGGGTCGGGTTGTCGGTTTGTGGTTGAAATTTCGACGTCTCGGCGGCTGCTGAGGAAGAGCTTTTATATATTTGGAGGGTCACGTGGGGCTCCCAGTCCTAAGTGACTGTGATAGTAGCTGGAGGAATCGATAGTAAACATATTCACTTCAGTTAGATAGACTAGTGGGATCCCTGAACTATATTTAGGGAATAGGGGGTACGCTAGGCGCTCTCAAGTATGCTACCAAGTCCCACGTGAGCGTTGTTCATCTCACAATGCCAGTTATAATTCACCCAGGGACCTAGAAATCATCTGCCATAGCGTTGGACAAATTCCCAGTATTTTCAGTTACCTTCACTGCAAGAAGGGCTCCCTAGGCTTTGGAATGTGCCATGGAATGTGCCATGGAATTTGCATGGTGTTGCGGCTCAAATGGAGGACGTTGGATGTGCCCCATAAAATACGGGCCGTCCCGCCGCTAGCAAGGATGGCACTGCTTTGCAGACAGCCCTGTGCGACCAATCCCATGCAATGTCCTGGATCACCCAAGATGAAATCAATTAACTTGGGCAAAACTTGGGTTTTGGGATGTGCAATTGAATAATTGAAGGCGCCTGACCGCAGAATCATGCTATCAACTCCTCAATCGCAGTACCAAGTTATGCGATTCTGCATTCAAGTATGACGTCGTCGAGGCAGGCAGAATTATCTTCAAACATGCAGAGTTAGGAAGACATAGCAGGTTATTGGGGAAGCCAGTGCGGACCGGGCGGGGCGTTATGATGAGCGACTACATATGAATCGTTTCCTGTGGGCCTACCGCCGAGACCGATCGAGAGGCATTAACTCGCTGCCCGTTTTAGTTCCTATGAAGAAGCAAGTCATAATCTTTTCCTCCTCTGTTCTGCGCACGCTGGCGTAATCTGTGAATCAAAATGCGAGATATCCTGCGCAGGTGACAGGTAGCATACTTCTTTTTTCCCGCAACATGGCAGCGCCGCGTACTATGTAGCTGGGCAAAATACTTGGGATGATTTACATTTTGCGTGGTTCTGTTGTTTGTCAATCACTGTATGAAGTGGCAGGACAGATCATGGTTGATCGTAGATCTCCCGGGTGTGTCCGTCAAACGGCAAGTTACTATTCCAATTGATGGGCTTCTTTTGTGCGTGTGATGCCAACAATATGTTTGGATGTCTCTATTTTCTACAGGCGGAGCTCTGAGAAAGGCTATCGTGTCTATATGAGGGAATGGATGCTACTGCGCTTGAAACCGCGTCGCACGTTCCGAATCACCGTTCCTTGGTGCTGCAATGGCGAAGACTGCAACTCGTCGGACTGGAGAGGCACGTGGGGAGAACAACAATCAAACGTAGGTAGAGCTATAATAACCCTAATATTGTAATGGCAACGGCGAAGAAAGGCCTTCTCACAGCAAGAATGAATAATATCATTTAATTGCTCAGCATCTCCCTTGTTGGCAGTGCCGCCGCCCTTTCGACAAGGCACATAATCGTCTATCCATCCCCCCATCTGGGCCCGTGGCCTCTGAGAAGATGTTGAAGTACTTGGGCTAGGTAAATTACGATTCCTCGCAGATTGAAGCTTGGCTTCAAACGCCACTGATTCGTGGTGATTTGGCGTAATGTTTTTCTCGCAGACCGACATGAATCGGCCTGACATCCTTTGAATCCGTTGGGAAAACGATAGAATGAGCACAGCATCTGGCACCGGAGCAGGAGAGCCATGCTCGCCAAATACAACTCTAACACGTTGAGTGGCCAATATTGATGCTCTCTCAGGGCAACCGTATGTGCTGCACATCCTAAACTACCTAAAGGGAGTTGCGATTGCTGGCTCGCCACGGTAACGTACAGTGAATTCCCTTCCTTGAATGTCCGAACTGGCGCCTAGGGAGATAGGCATGTCTAATGCTTATCCAGAGATACTGGCTCGGCCATGGTGACTGTTTGACATCAGAGGCATGGAACATTGCAAGGCGTCCATTCGGCAATATCGGCCTTGTACCTATCCCCAGATGTGATTTACCTAGACAACGGCACGGGATATTTACCGTCATTCCTGACTAGGGGATGCTATGCGGGCATGAGTCGAGTAGCTCCCCCAAACGAGGTCGCACTTCATGCACTCTGTTTGCAATGACCCCATGGGTCGAAGCTCGTACCCTGGAGGCTGGGACTGTATGAGCAATTGGGATGTACAGTACAAGGAAGTCCTGGAGCTTACAATGGGCAGTATTCTTAGTGATATTGAGCAATGCTAGCTTTGGAGTAGATGGCATGGGTGTCCGTCAATGTCGAGTCATCGGATCACTCCTTCTGGGCGATATTCGGGAGCAGTTGAGCGGTAAGCTGGTCATCGATTGCATTTTCATTAGGTCTGAGTCGATTAGCATTGGACCATAAACCGAAAAAAAAGCCGAGGGGGAGGGCGCCTTACTGGCCGTTCGTTTGATGACCATCGGTGTCTACGTTGGCGGCCATGCTGGCGTCCATGATATTGTCAGGGTAGGCCCCGGCGTCGGCGTCGGCGTTGATGTTGGTGCTCGAGTTGACGGTTGAGTTGGAGGTGGCGGTGGCATCCAAGGCATCGCTCTCCCTCGGTTTCCTCTTGCGATTGGGCCTAGGGCCGGTGTATAGAGAGCATACAGAAGTGTTGTCAAACCACTTGCAATTGGAACAACTATCGTGGAAAGTCCCAGCTAGGGTTCGGCACGTCAGAAAGGGGCCTAAGGCGTTCTTCGCCCGTCGCTCGACGCACTGAGCACACGAAGAAGGGCTGTCCTCCCCCCTCGAGTGGATGAGGAGGCCATTGATGTAACTCGGCCGCTGTGAGGCAACATGCCTGGCAGTGATCCATCCATGGACGAAGTAGATGAATTCCCGACAGGGCAGCCTGAAGATGGCGCGCTGGGTATCATGGACCAGGGTAGCCTCAGTGAGAGCTTGCCGGATATTGATCGCGACAGCGGCGACAGGACGATCGACCTTTGCCGCGTTCCATAATTGAACACTTGGGTTAGATTGATAGTCGGATTCTCGGACGGTAGTGTTGGGTCTGCCTGGAGGCCGACCACGCCTCTTTTTTGGGAACTGGGCCAGCTCATCCCCAGGCTCCTGCTGCGGCTGCGACTGGGGTTCGGGTTCGGGTTGAAGGGCCGCCAAGCGAGGGTCGAGTCGAGGGTCGACAGGATCAACAGGGCTAACCTGGGGCTCCGCCTGAGAATCCGTTTGAAGCCCTGGCTGAGGGTCTGATTGAGATATCCCAGAGAGTTGCGCTTGCTCCGACATGATAGCCTCACCAAAAAATACCGGGCTTTTGTAAGCCAGTGGTGGGTTTCCAGGCGGTTTTTCTCGCTACAAGAAAGTGCTGGTGTGGGACTTCTTGGGGAGGTTATTTTGTAGGAGGAGGCGAGGCAATAATGACCGGCGCACAGACCACTCCATTAGCACCTGCCTTCAATGCATTGCGAATCGTGCCAGGTGTAACCCCGGACCTACGTAATCTGTCTCAAACACCCCAGCGATTTGCGATTTGCGATTTGCTTCAACCGCAGTAGTGCCAATGCCCCTCGGCCGGACCGTCCTCTCATTGTCTGCGTAGCTGATACTTTGGAAACTCGGTCTCTGGATCTAGGTTATTACCGTCCGATACCCGGACTGTATGCCGTCGACCATGTCGAACCCGAACGCTCTTTTCCTCCTCGCCGACCACGTCAAACTCTCGCTCCTCGAGCGCCAGCGTGCAAAGACGCTGAATCTGGAAAGCGATTCCCAAGATGGGCACATATCAAGGTCTCTAGATCAACTTCGAGATGGCCTCGAGTCACTGGCGAAGGAGCAACAGCGGCTCGAGGAAGCCGGCGATGAGACGTAAGCTCTTAACCCCAACTCTTTGTCCGAGGCAACCGCCAATTGCTGACGAGCACAATAGAAAAGCAGCAACCATCGCAGACTCGCTGCCACAACTACAGAAACAATACAACGACCTGACCTCCCAATTCCACGGCTTCTCCACCCCATCAACCGCCGCCACCCTCGCCCACCCCAACGATCCAGCCCTGGCCCCCGACTTCGCCCACGCAATCTCCACCAAGCCCGCGGCCCGGACCAGCAGCCCCGGCGCCGCATCCGACCAACGACCGCCCAAGAAATCCGGCCCCAAGACCGTCCGCTTCTCCGACGCGCCCTCCGACCTCGAAGCACAAGCCGCCGCCACCGACGACGACGACCCCTCCGCCCGCACCCTCTTCGGCCGTTACCGCGACGACCCATCGCAGTCCGGCACGCCGGGCTACCGGGACCGCGACCGCCTGGAGGCGCAGGGCCTCGACAACGTGCAGGTGCACGAGTACCACCAACAGGTGATGGAGGAGCAGGACGCGCACCTGGACGCCCTCGGCGCCAGCCTCGGCCGCCAGCGCGAGCTGAGCATGCAGATCGGCGACGAGCTCGACACCCAGGTCCTCATGCTCGACGAGAGCGAGCGCGTCGTCGACCGCCACCAGGGCCGCCTCGACCGCGCCCGCAGGCAGCTCGGCAGGGTCGCGCGCACCGCCGGCGAGAGCAAGCAGATGGTCGCCATCGTCGTGCTCATAGTCGTGCTTGTGCTGCTGATTGCGGCGTCGAGATGAGGACCGGCGGCTTGGAGAGCGGATCAAGAAGATTTAAGCCACTGTAATAGGAGGAGGGTGGGGCGGGGGCGAGAAGGAGGAGGCTTGGGCGTGCCTCAGCAGAGAGGATGCGGTGGTTCGTTCAAGCCTTCCCATGGCAGGCTTATTTGACAAAGGAGAAGGGGATTGTCTCGGCGTATGGCATTGGCGTCTCGGGCTTAGCATATTCGATGGATGATTATCTATCTGGGTCTTATTTTCCTTTCGAAATATAAATTCCTCGGCACTTGCTCATGATTCCAGCTTTATTGCCTGCTGCTCCGTCGCAGCTCATCTCTCTGCAGACCCCCCATCCGACAAACCTGATGTCCACGATGCACCTTTGCTTAAACAATGAGACCGGATAATGCCAGGCACCCAGTCTGAGCCCAGTCCTGTCTCCAAGGGAGGCCTGGATTGCACGGACGACCACACGGATTTTTCAAGGTTTGGTGGCTAATACTAATGGAAGGATATCAAAATTCTATTTCTAATAGCGCCTCAGCCCCGTGGTTCTCGTTTGTAGCAGGTTCAATGTCAACCCCATTCTGTCAACATCTGATCCACGCCCCTGCCTGCTCCTTTAGCCAAGCAGCCCTCGCATGGAAGGCGTCTCTCCCGGAGATACCCTCTCCACATGAGCCATGGTTTGGCGCCTGGTGGGTGACCCCTTGACATTTCCTTAGCGGATGACGTCGCCTTCCTTGTCGATTCCCTCAAGAGCCTCCAGAATATCACTACCGCCGAGCATGCTAGTCCCACCGACGGTCGACTTCTGGTTTGACGACCATACTTCGTGGAAGTTGACGGTATTATCGCTTGCTAGAATGACAATACAGCCATTCGTTGTGGCTTGATTCTGACTTCTCACCTTCCCCGAATTGGGGATGCCACAGAGACCTTTGGGTTCGTTAGGATAAGCAATTGCGTGGAGGGCACGATGTCCTTGTTCCCATTGAACGGCGGCAACCAGTTGGCACTCTGGCCAGGAGAAAACGGCAATACGATACTTGTGCTCCGGTTCAGCGTACCCGAGTGTTGCTACGATCTCGCGTCGCGTGGTAGACCAGATGAGGCTGGTTACCTGTGCCGCGACAGCGATGGTAGCCAGGAGGGTGCCGGAAGTTGCGTGGAAGAAGTGGATGCTCTTGTCTCCAAACCCTCCTCCAGTAGCCACCAGTCCTTCTTGCCAGGGGCAGAAGGCAATTGCCTTCACAGCAGCTTCATGCGGCCACAAGTGGGTTTCATCGCCGGGCCTCAACTCCACGGCCCGTGGAAGCGTCATTGGCGTGCGAGAAGAACCGGCCTCAGAGCGGTTGCCATCCTCTGTAACTTCGGCAGTGAGACTCAAGTCGCGTAACGCTTGGTCCCAGCGGTCCATGATCTTGGAGGCGTCGACCAGACAACACAGATTATCATTTGCGCCCGTTACAAATTGGTGGCCAGTCGGAGACCAAGCAAGACCACAGATCTGCTGGGTATGAAGCCTGATGACAGCCAAGAGGACAACCTCCCCGCGCCAGTTGTCCCTCTCGCACTCCCAACTTTCCGGCCATTCCACATAGTAATACCATACTCGGCCCGTGTTGTCCCCCGCGAGCAGTTCCTCTGTCTTTACTAGCGATGGATCAGAATTGAAGGGATTTCGAGAGGTGCGTACGGTGCAGGTCGGCTTCCAGCTGAGAGAAGAAATAGGGGCTGGCTGGCGAATTTCGATTCGCGGCACCACTCCGTCTTGGGGCGCAGGTCTGTTGCTGTCATATATCGACAGAAATGTCAGTTTACAGTTCGACCTTCCAATGGCAAGGATGCATTTGCAACCCTGGGTCGACGAGAAAGCGATCGATGTCAACCAAGCGTTGTCATTCCCTCCAGCATCCAATAGCGCACCCCCTCTCTCTAGCGACCATCCGTGAACCTTGTTGCCCAAGCCGACCGCAAGTATGTGACTGTTTGGCGAGTAGGCAAGCAAGGAGCAATAAAAATCGTCTCGCAGATCTGGGGCGTCGAGGACTCTGAAAAGCGAGAGTCAGGCATCCATCCCATTTATGCTACGACGAAGACGAACCTGAATGGAGTAGCTGATATCCTCCTGGTCTTCAAAACACTTGGTCGGTCTGTTCATGTGAGACCACTTTTCCCTCATGACAATATCGGTTCGACTCACGAGAGACTGGGTTGACCCATTGGGTTCCATCCCAAAATGTCTTGAGCCGTGCTAAAGAAGCTCTTGGCTTCCTACAGGAGCGGCTACTGGAGTTCGAAGGCGGGCTGAACTCGAGAACTCTTTGCACCCGATCGAGTTGGAGGGCGGATGCGAGGCGAGCCTCGTGCTTCTCCGAGTCAGCTTTCCCCTTGTGACGAGGCGGCAAGGAGGCGCTGAAGAGTCTAGCGTTCATGCCCCTTTGAACCAATTGATCCCGCCCGCTATTAGCAGCTGTCTCGCTCGGGGCGACGCCACCCACTGCCCAGACTGCGCCGGCGCTGACCTACAACAAGTTAGAAAACCGAGCCTCGAGGGTCGCAAGGCAAGGATTCCACATGCTCCAGAGCAAACGGTTAGGGGCAATGAAAGCAAGGCTTCAGTTGTAGGTGGCGCAAGGCTTCATGGTAACTATGGGTTAACCAACCTGTCTCTCTGTGAACCCTATTACATTGCGAGAAATGGGGCTAAGAATTGACCCTCCACTCCGAACCCCGGGGTCTGACCTCGACAGGACTCGGAAATTGAAAGCTATCTGGTTGGCTCGACTTCGACCGGAGTCAAATGCGTCTGGTGTCGCGTCCCCATTTCGAAGCAGTTTCTCAGGAGGCGTCAGTTGATCCACGGGCTTACTGGTTCGGAATATATCGGTGGTCAGAGTAGCGTGGTCGCGAAAAGGAACGAATCGGTCTGGGAGCCGCAGAGGGTTCTTTCTCAAGCTTATTAGCCCAGCATCGGACTTATGACGACGTGAGTGTTTTGTGCCACTCCCAGGAGAAAAGCTTTTGGGAAGTGTCGGCCGAGAGCTGGAAGTGGATCTGGAAAGGGTTACTGGCTCCCTTGGCAGACCGTCGGCATCCAGGCGTAGGAATACATTGGAATCGTCCTCGTTCTCAGACGACTGTATACGCTCGGAGGATCGATTACCATCCAACAGAGGGAGGAGGCCGTATATCGATGCCCTAGAAAGGGGATTTCGGAAGAGCTTCTCAGGGGGCTCAAAAGCAGAACCGTAACCCGCGTCCGATCGCGTGGGGAGTAAGCATGACGGAGGGTTGGGTGTCTCCCTTTGCAGTTGAGATTCTCGAGGCAGCAAGAAACGGAGATCCATGGCCTCTCACTTGACTCCCACTGACGATCTCTAGATGTGGTTACGCCGAGCAGGTCCGGATCGACGCGAACAAATGCCCAAGAACGACGAGGACGGTGATGAACAGAATGAACGAAAATATACGACTGGAATAATAGTAGAACATGAATCGTTCCGAGGGGGGTCTCTCACTTGCTCGTGGCTTGCGAAAGACGAACGAGTGACTTCTCGGATCGATGGAAAGAGTTGGCGGAAGTGGTGGGAGTGTGACTGGAGTCAGGCCCAGGACGCCGGTTCTGGCAAGGCCCAGGACGCCGGTTCTGGCAAGGCCCAGGACGCCGGTTCTGGCAAAGCCCGGATCACGGATGGATATCCTTACCCAAATACCTACCTGCAGAGCGCGGCGATGTATCGATATTGGAAGATGCTTCTTCATAGGGAAAAGAGAAATTCAGTAGAGTTGAGAGTGGGATAGGGGTGAGAGGGAACCCCGAGTCCCACAGACAAGAAGAGAGAGAAGGAATGACCTTGCTTTTCCTTGGGTACCTACCCACCTACCTTCCAGTTGTGCAAAATCTCCATCGGGTGGTTCTCTGGAAGAAACATGAATTCTTCCAGGTTGGGAAGGGGCCATCCGTTGATTGCGGTTGTGTCGTGGGAACCTAGTTTGGGCGGACCCTGATCGCCCCAGGGGTGACACTATGTAGCCCCACAAAAAAGGTGAACATTACGTAGGTGCTCCCCTCCAACCTCCAATGTCATTCACCAACTCTGAGTTGCGCAACTTCCCTTCCAACAGCATCCCCTCCAACGAGTTGAACTAACTCACTACGAGATGGCGAGCGTATGTTGCCCAAGCAGTTGTAAATTGCTGGATGTTGACTGATGCAAGGCCCTCCCCAGCATGGCGTACCCCGAACGTCGCGGATACGGAACGAGGAGCAACAGAAGCTCCAAGCACTTGACAAAATCCAGAAATATCGCGACCTGGAGGAGCAATTGCGCGCCCACGTACGGCTCACCACAACCCGTGGGCCCTTCCTATTTTACTGACAGTCCCGCCGCAGGTAGAAAAGAAGGACTACTCGGGGGAAACTTTCCAGCTTACCTCAAAGCTCCTTAGACTGAACCCAGAATACTACACCGTATGGAACGTCCGCAGGCGCGTGCTTCTCTCCGGTCTATTGTCCAGGGCGCAGGGTGAGCCACGATCCGCGAAGGAGTCACCGGCCTTTTCCGCTGGGAAGGATGGTGCGGTGGCCGATACTGGCACCGGTGATGTCGCGACTTCAGGCCGGGATGGGGATGAAGAGACGAAGAACACCGACCAGGACAAGAGCGCGGACAAGGCAGCTGCAGAAAACGACTTGAACCTCGTTCGGTCCGAACTCGGTTTTACGATCCCGCTCCTCATCGAGTCTCCCAAGTGCTATTGGATCTGGCACTACCGCACATGGATCCTACAGCAAGCCATCGAGCGCCTGGAGGTGTCGGAAGCTCGGCGGGTCTGGGAGGAGGAGTTAGGTCTGGCGTCAAAGATGCTCACCAAGGACCGGCGCAATTTCCATGCCTGGGGTTACCGACGGCACCTAGTACGGAAGCTTGAGAGCCCCGAGCTAGATGGCAAGAGTATGGCCGAGGCTGAGTTTGAGTACACATCCAAGATGATCCGTGTCGACCTGTCAAACTTCTCAGCCTGGCACAACCGTAGCAAGCTCATTCCACGGCTGCTAGATGAGCGTGGTGCCAGTGACCAGGAAAGGCGGACTTTCTTTGACGAAGGCATGTCTTCCTGTCGCGACTTGAGTGTATGTGCCTGATGTCGAGTGTCTAACGAACAGCACAGAGTTGAGCCTCGTTCGCGAAGCTTTAAATGTCGGCCCTGAAGACCAGTCGCTGTGGTATTACCACCAATTTCTCGTGCTGAATCTGACCAACTTTGTCGGCCGCCCGACGATCACGCCAAACTTCACCGCTGAGGACCGCGTGACGTATCTGACGAGAGAGATCCAGGACATATTGGACCTCCTCGAAGATTACAAGGATATCAAGTGGATCTACGAGACACTCGTTGAGTACACGTTATCATTGTGTCAGCTTGAGAACCGAGATCCGCATGCTGGCGAGAAGGCCGACATCCAAAAATGGCTCTCAAATTTGAAGGTCCTTGACCCGATGCGCAACGGTCGGTGGCGTGATCTGGAGGAGGACCTGCAGTTGAAATGATCCCAAAGCATCAAACAGACGAGACATTTAATGCCAGACCCAGCTGAAAGCTATGCGTTGTAAATTCTAGACCGTATTCCAACTCGTCGAGGCGTACAATCTCCCCTGACACAGCAGCAGAATATCAACGAACGGTGAAGGGTGCAATCCCGTGCATGACAGGTAGGCAATATGGCATATTAGCATTATTAGGCTCTCCGACATCTAAGTCGTATTACACTGCAATCGAGCCATCGCATTTCCCCTTGACGAGACTCGCTCCCTCTCCCGCCAGCCCATCAAAGTAAGCCAGCAGAGTCTCGACAGGGACCATATCCATGACCCCCAGGCTCGGATTCGACGACTTGAGCACCTTGCCGCCGAACAGCACCCGCACATAGTATCCACCATCACCGCCCGTTGTCGCACCCGCCGTCGGCGTCGGTGCCGCCTGCGTCGGCGTCACGACGCACGCGCACGCCGACGCCACAGCCTCGGCGCTGCCCTTGCAGTTAGACAGCCACGTCGGGACCGCGGACGCGGCGGACGCGGCGGTGAAGGTCGGGCAGAACGCGCTGGCGGAGGCGGACTGGCGGATCATCTGGCGGAGGCAGTTGTTGTGGCTGCAGCCCGGGGCGACGACGCCAGGGGATGGCGTCGGCGTCGGCGTCTCGTCCCCCTTCTTCTTCCGCCACAGCTCGAACACCACCTCGCTGCCCATCCCCGGCCAGACCATGGCGTCGATCTGCAGCACGGACAGCAGGCGGCTGACGGAGCCGTCGTGGGCGACGTTGTGGAGGTACAGCGTCGGGGAATTGCCGGAGACGGCGGCGCGGAGGTGGGCCGCAAGCTCGGCGACCCACACGCCGAGCGAGGCGGCGCTGGCGGCGAGCGAGGCCGGCGCGTCGCGGTAGATCTGGCTGTACTCCCAGTTGCCCAGGCGGTACACCGCCTCGGCCATGTCCTGGGTCACGCAGGTTGTGCTGTTGGCGCCGCCCACGAGCTTGCACGGGAGGGGCTTCTGGTGGCACTGGCGTGCCGAGAGGTTGTCGTAGTAGTGGTCGAAGCTGGCGTGGAAGCCCGAGTCCGAGGGGCTGACGCCGGATATGTCGTCGAGCGTGGCGTACAGGGACTGTGCCGCCGTCAGGTGCGCGGCCCAGTCCGAGTTGCTGTTCGACTTGATGGCGTTGAAGAGGTTGCTGCTCACGCCGCACGAGTACGTCGGCTCGAGGGAGTCGACCGCCGAGGCCTGGACTGTCAGGGGGACAGAGTCTGTCGCGCCCCACATGCCGTTGATGACCATGCCGGCGACCTGGCTGGTGATGACGTTGGTGGTCACTCGGTAGGTAACCTTGCTCCGCCAGTCCTCGCTTCTGCCCGGGAGGAAACCAAGCAGATCGTGGTAGACCTCGTAAAGGTCTTGGCCATGCTGCCACGAATCATCAAGGCCAGAGGCGGTGATCTGGGGGAACTGGCAGCTGCCGATCCAACCAGAGGGCTTGAACGGGTTGATCGGGGATATGTAGCCATCCCAGTAGCCCTGAGCGGCATCTTTACCGCCGAATGGGCGTCCGAAATAGTAGAGCCCCTGGTCGTCGCAGTTCCATTGGTATGGCTCGACTGGGAAGGCGTTGGACGAATACGGCGTGCGCTTGTGATGGCGTTGCATCTGGGAACAAGTTTGAGCAATCTTCTTCTCCCAATAATCCGGAAGACTAGGCAACGTACCAACTCGACATATTTGAGCTCATAATCACTAGAAGGCTTCACGTATTCTGCCTTCCTGACATGGGGCATGTTACACCAGTTATAGGTGCCATACTCGGTGTCTGGCGTCTCCGACGAGTCATAGATGAACCCATAGACTCCCGAGTCACTCAGCACATTGGTGAGGTTGTTGACGAGGGTCTTGCTGGGGGCATGCCAACTCAGATCGACCTTCTGAGCAAGGGCCGACTGCAAGGGTGAGACCGCCAGACCGAAGAGAAGGGTCGTTTTCGTCTTGTACCACATGGCCATGAGTTGATCCGAAGACAGGAACTGTAATAGCAACACGACGCCGAGAGGAATGATGACCTTGATCGCACACGAACGACGAGAAAGAGCCATCCCGACAACCGGGGAGGCTGCCCTCCATCTTATAGGAAGGAAGAGAGATGGATGCAAGGTACCACCAACCAGAACGGCAATGTCATAACCCAGCTTGTTGAAGGATTGTGGATGTAGCGTCGAAGCTATTACAAGCTATTGCAGTCCCCACAGTGAACCACGTTTTCGGGTAGCGTCCGAACTGGCGGAAATGATGATCGAAGTCGAAGCTATCGACTAAGTGAGGGGCAGGGCTATGCAGGGCAATACTGCGGGATTGCCACGTGCGCGCAGTAATTCTGCCGAGTGGTTGAAGCTTGCGAGCTTCCATCGAGCAGCTTCAAAAACTGGCAAGGGAAAAGAAAGGTCAAGCCACGAGCTGCGAGGAAGGTATCTTATTGACTCTATCCGTAATATGCAGCGCTCTCTACTTCTACCGAGCCCTACGGCAAACGTAGGTATTCCTTCTTTGGGAAGCACGAGAGGGATTCCACAGGTGAGACCTTGGCTTCTTTGGTTTCTGGTGCCACCCCCGTCTGCGATGCTCCCGGACATTCTCGGTCATGCTCTTACCCAGAAACCCGAGGTCTACCTTGCGATATCTGACCTCCCACTGCAGCCAGTTCTCGAGGCCGTCTAGGTACACACCGAGAGTAGGCAGTGCAAGCATATGCAATTCCCGGCTCTTAGCATTCTCAATATCCCAGCGCGACGAGATGAGAGATTTGTTACTCTCTCCCGGGGCAGTGACTTGCCTCTCCATATCCTTCTCCGCCCCGGCGGGGGGTTTGCCATCATCCACACTGCCTTCATACCAATAACTTGCGCCTCGTAACAATGCCTCGATATTGCCCTTGGAATAGATGGCGGGAAGCGTATAGCGAACCTTGCCAGGCGCATACTTCCTTAGCATGGCAGCAAGATTTTCCCTCGCCTCATCATCTGCGAGGCCTTCGCGGAAGGGCTTGGAAAATTCGGCCTCAAAGGGGCGAACTTGCAGCCGAAATGGTAGTCTATGTCGCAGTCGGATCCAGAGCCTCCCGTCGAACAGCTGCCACGAGAACCAAGTAGTGAATTTCCACTTTTCTGGGCTTGCGCGATATCGATGTCGGAAGTATAACTTTGGAAACTCCAACACTGGTCGCGGAATCTGCGACGGATGGGGGGAGCGGGAGAGGTACCAGCGGAGTGGATGGTCACCGACGAGGGGAACGAAATGGACGCCGCACACGACGAAGGCCTTCGGCTCCAACGAGCCTGTTGCCGCGCTGCCTTCCCCGTCTTCCGCCAACGATGGGAAGAGGCGAGTAACCAAGGATTGAAGATTCGTGAGAGGGGTTAGCTGTGGCTCGGGACTAACCAGAGAGAGGAGCTTCTGGAAGAGGATGGATGCGACCAGCCGAGAGCGCGCCAGCCGTCTCTGGTGACGGAAGCGTGAGCACCTTCTTGGCACCTTGGGCAAGGGCATATGCGGTAGCTGCACCAACATAGTTCCAACGTTGGGCTCGAAGTCGTGTATCACGACTCGGGTGAAGAGCCTGTCTGCCTCGGCATCTTCGGCAGCAGCTTTCGCGTTACACCTCTCCGACAGCCTGAGAATAGCAGGCTTTTGCAGGGCGACGGGTAAATCGTGATGCTTGTAAAGATGCCTCACGGCATTCCTCAGGGTCAATGTGCGGTCTTCATTCGTGTGATCTTCAAACCAGGGGATGTTGTTCTCGAGGCACGTAGCAATGAGCCTGTCCTTGCTGAACTCGAGCAGAGGGCGGTAGACGGTAATCCCACCATCCTCAATGTCAAGTGGCTCCAACGGCGGAGCCCATTTGGAACCCTTAGTAGGCCGCCCAAAATCCTCAGCGGCGGAGGCCGGATCCACGTCGGCGGCAAGGCCGTGTCGGATCTCCTGTGCGAGGAGGGCGGGGTCGATCTCCTCCCTCAATTTGCGCCTTAAGGCCCTTTTCTGGTCCATGGATGGCCTCATATTGTACCACGGATTGGAATTCATCTGATCGTCAATGAAGCCGCTCTGATAGACACTATGCATGCCCTGGCACTCCGGGATATCGGTTGCGCTCCGCATGCCTCGCAGACCACGAACACCGTGTCCAGAGAGAAGCCGCATCAGTACTGTCTCGTACTGGTCGTCCTGATGATGGGCTAGAAAGAGGGAGACAATGTTGGTGAACCGGCAAGCAGAACCCAGACGACGATATCGGAGACGGCGAGCGAGGGACTCGACGTTGGTTTGCTCGTTCGGGTTGACGCCTTCCCCAAGATGGGGCTTCCAATCGAGAGTGAGGATGTCTCCCTTCAGGCCCATCTTCTCCATTATCACTTTCTTCACGGCCATGGCCTCCTCGGAGCTTCCGTCGCGCAGCTTGTGGTCCACGATAAAGACGAGGAACTTGGAGAGTGGGTTGTCCGACACCTTGAACCAAGGGTCCCATCTTCGGGTTTGGGAGCAGAGGTAGGCCAATGCCATGGAGTCCACCCCGCCGCTGACCGCAAGACCTGCGAATAGTCAGCACGGGCACGTCTAACTGTAGATGGGCAGGTATTGGGAGGTGGGGGGAGAGAACTTACCGACATGTCTGTGCAATGTCCCCCGCGAATAGGGGAATCGCGGCGGGCACGTAGCTTGGACCGCATCGAGGAACTCATGTGCGCCAATGGCTCGGGCGCTTCGGTGCAAGACGGGTGCTATCGTTCCCATTCCATCATATAGTCAGCGTCGAACGCATGCTTCAAGCAAAGTTAATCGGGAGTTTTAGCTGCCAAAGAGCTTCTCCCGGGGTTCAAAATTTATGCAGATGGTCCAAGCTCCAAGAAAGGCAGGGGTACCTTGATGAGCTCGACCACCGACTCCGGCCCCCGCGAAACTCGGAGCTCCAATCGAAATTTCGATGAGAAGCCGACAACCAACCTGACAAATTTCACTCAACAGTCATGGAAACCCAATTACCACCACGAGACAGGCCTTAACTAGCCAATCTCCAATGTGGCCTCGATCTCAATTTCCTCCGCCCACCTCCAAACCCTCCTGATAGACCAAACCAAACCCAACCGACCAACCAACCAACCAAAAAAAAGAGTCATGAGCACCCCAAACCCCCCCTTCCAAACCGCCCTCCTAGCCGGCGCCCTCGCCGGCACCACCGTAGACCTCTCCCTCTTCCCGCTCGACACCCTCAAAACGCGCCTCCAGTCCTCGGCCGGCTTCTTCGCCTCGGGCGGCTTCCGCGGCATCTACCGGGGCATCGGCTCCGCCCTCGTCGGCTCCGCCCCGGGCGCCGCCTTCTTCTTCTGCACCTACGAGGCCTCCAAGTCCGCCCTCTCCGCCCGCCGCCGCCGCCGCGACCCTTCCGACTCCTCCTCCTCAACAGCCCTAGACCACATGCTCGCCGCCTCCCTTGGCGAGATAGCAGCCTGCTCCGTCCGCGTCCCCACAGAGGTAATCAAGCAGCGCGCCCAAGCCGGCCGCCACGGCGGCAGCAGCCTATCCTCTCTGCTCGCCATCCTCTCCCAGCGCAGCGCCATCGGGCTTCCGGGCGTGTGGCGCGAGCTCTACCGCGGCTGGGGCATCACGGTCCTGCGCGAGGTGCCCTTCACCGTCATCCAGTTCCCCCTCTGGGAGGCCCTCCGGGCCTGGGGCAGGGAGCGGAGGCAGAGGACCGGGGCGGGGCTCTTCGGGGACGTCGTCGTCGTCGGCGTCGCCGCGTCCCACCACCACCACCACCACTCGGCCGCCGAGGTCAGCGCCGCAGAGTCGGGCCTCTACGGGAGCCTGTCCGGCGCCGTCGCCGCGGCCATCACCACGCCGCTCGACGTTCTGAAGACGAGGGTCATGCTCTCGGCGCAGCGCGAGAGCGTCCTGAGCGTCGTGCGCGCCATATTGCGCGACCACGGTGTCCGGCCCTTCTTTGCGGGCATCGGGCCGCGGGTCATGTGGATCAGCGCCGGGGGGGCCATCTTCCTCGGAAGTTATCAATGGGCCGTAAATACCTTGGAGCGACGACCAAGGTTATAGCGCCGCACGATGGAGCCATAAGAATAGATCCATGGGCATCATGACCGACTTGGGAAGAGGAGAATCGCGCGGAGGCTCGGGATGGGGCAAACCGCAGAGCACGTCCGAACCATCTACGAACTTGTATCATACGAAACCTCATCCACATTACCCCGAGCCAGTTCAGCTCGGACACGTTTTTCTATGTACAGGATTATTGGAAGAGACATTAGATACCCTATAGACGGACATATGCATGGTTGGCTAACCACTACCAGATCCTAGTCCTATTCCCTCGTGTGAGGAGGAGGCATTTGTGGGCTGCCCTGGTTGTGCAGCGACTTGGCCGGGTTCGGCCTGCTCAGCAGGGGCGGGGGCAGGGGCGGGATCCGGTTGAAATTGTGGCACGGGTATCTCCTTCCGGCCATTTCCCTTGTACTTGAGGACAATATCATTCCCGCCCTTCCATACATGCGCGCGCAGGGTTGCCAAACTCATGGTATTAGGCAGTAACTATGACGCAAGATTAGTTAGCATGCAATCCAACTGGCACCCGGTCCATGTGGAACAGATTACTTGCCTGTTCGTTGCAGTACAGTTCCAGATACTCCTCCGGCTTCAGTGCGTCAGGGTCCGGGTTCTCCGGGTCGACCGGGGGGTCAATCCTCTCGGCAACGTAGGCTAGGATCTTCTTGACACGCAGCATCCTGTTTGCATTAAGCCGATTGTTGCCGTCTGCTGCGCTGATCGTCGGGAGCGAGTCCTCGTAGGGATATAGGACGAAGGAGACCTTGACAGGATCCTTCTGCGGAGTGACGTTGGTAAGCAGCACCTCGCCGAGCCACATGGGTCCTCGCTGCTCAATGATATCAGCATCCGCGCCCACCGTTGCTACCGTGCCACGGTAGACTTCCGCGCTACCCCCAGACGTCTCTTCCTGAATGATGACTTTGGTCCCGGGCGGAAGCTTCAGGACCGGCGTGTCGTTCGGCAGACTCGGCGTGACCTTCGTCTCGACCAACCTGTCTGGGCTTTCGGCCAGCTGCTTCTCATACTCGTTATGGATCCTCTGAATCACGCCCAGGAAGCTATCGTCAACCTCCTTCTCGTGATTCGAGGATGACTCCGACTCCTCGGCTTTCTCGTCCACGACAACCGGTTTCTCAACAGCCGCAGTCGAAGCGGAGCGGCCTAGTTTCTTTCCGCCAAAGGACATGCCCATTCGGAATTTCTTGCCGAACGGCGTGCTACCTTGTTTCCCATTGTCTTTCTCCTTTTCTTTCTCCTTTTCTTTCTCCTTCTCCTCGCCATTCTCGGTCGGGCCTTTGGCTGTCTTGTCCTCCGCTGGAGCTTCGGCAGGTTTCGTGATTGGGTTCGTGTCGGCTGAGTGTATCCCGTTGGAGAAGTAATCCTCCTTCTCCGCCGACAGGCAACCGGGCTGGGGTGTGCGCTGGTTCAAAAGGCTTCCTGGAGTCGTTGGGCCTTCGGGCAGTCCTCCAGGAGTTGCGTGGCCGATGCCCAACCCAGGGGTCACGGGAGGATACTGAGAACCACTTGGTCGAGGAGTTGTGAGAGGCGAGCCCGACGCTTCCCAATCATTCATACCACCCTGAGGGAGAACAATCAAGGTCGGAGGGTTGGCTCGCGAAGCCGCAATCCTCTTCTCCACAGCTTCATTCAACTTCTGCCTATGGGCCTCATCACGCTTGATTTCCTCGTCAATGAGGTTTGCGAAGAGATAGCGGAGGATCCATTTGCCAAGATTTACTGGAAAAGGTGTCAATACCACGCACACTCAACCACTGTGGTCAGAAGGGGGGAGGGAGCTTACTCCTCTGATCATCCCGAAAGTCAATAGGTTCAACCGTTACTAGCTCGTCGGCATACGTCTCCGCATCAAAACAATTGAAAGGCTCAAGGACGACGGTAAGGTTGCCAGAGCTCGTATCGATCGAACACCACGGCGCGACAGCCTCTAGCCTGTTTACTTGTGGCTCTACGTCTTCGAGATGTCTCTTTCCGAAGCTCTGGATGGGTTCGCACTGGGGAGGTCAGCTTTCAACAAGATCCCGGATCGAAACGAGAGCCCGACTAACCTTGATCAGGTCCCATAACAAGACATCCCCAGCCGTGTCCAGTGTCAGGACTCGGCGTCTGTCATTCAATAAGCGGTGCTTTACGAGGCCAAATTGGCCCTCGATGGTCTCTTCGGGGAGCTGGTACACCGGCTCCGCGATGGTGACGACCGGATCGGGCAGAATCTCGGATCCCTTTCGGCTAATGGCAGGTGCCCCGTTACCCTCCGGGTCTTGGGTAAGGATGTCTGGGAATGGTGCGGTATTAGATATCCTAAGAATAGATTTCGCCGGGATTGCTTTCCGGGTTGATCCGTTGACAGCGGCAGTCGAGGTGGTCGCAGCGGAACCAGAACTCTCTCTGCCCACGGCACTCGATATAGACGCACGATGCCGCATGATTGGCTCTGGAAGCTCTACGTCGGGACCCGTGTCCACACTGGCCCAGCGATTGATAGAGGAACGCGAGGTTGCCGTCCAGATGTAATCACCGCAAGCAACGATCTTGCTGACGCCGTCGTTCTCTTGGGCTACAGCCAGGGAGAGGCCATAATCCAGCTCGCCGTGCGTCCCTTGCACGTCCGTCTTGACCACGAGCCCCGAGCGGTCGCTGCTGTAGAAGATACCCAGATCCGGGTCGTCCGAGAACATGGACCATACGCTGTCGTTGTGCATTGTGAGCGTATGTGTGCATCTCCCCGCGGTAACACTCCACACTTTAACGGTCTGGTCCGAACTGGCGGTGATGACAGTGTCTCCAGCCTCGTTGAGGAGAATAGCCCGCACAGTGTCGGTATGTCCAACAAATTTGGTGATGCGCTTCCCTGTCCGAGGATCCCACAACCGAACGATGCTCTCGGGCCCACCGCTAGCAAGGATATGGTGATTGACGCTCAGCGCATAGGCGCTTCCCTTCTCGGTGAACTCCTCGCCGCTAGCATCGATCTCCAGCGTCTTCCCCTTGCCGCTGAGGTCCCATAAATAGATCTTGCGATCGAGGCCACCCGACGCGACCCAGTCTGTGTTCTGGTCCGGCGTCGCCAGGCACTTCACGTAATCCGCATGTTGCCCGATGGTGGCGGGCTCATTGTTGTCATTGCCGTGCGGTCGCCACACCTTGACCGTCAAGTCCGACGAGGCAGAGACGAGGGCGCCGTGATTCTGGGCTAGTGCGATGTCGTTGATCCAGTGTGTATGCGCCTGGGTCTGCGCGCGGAAGCGGGTGGTCGTCTTCGATGCGGTCGGGTTAACGACTGAGGAGTGGCAGCCGGTCTTGAGGTCAAGGTTCAGGTCCCAGGCGCAAACCACGCCGTCGCGGCCGCCGGAGTATCTGCGCGGTCATGTGTCAGCTGGCGCTGTCCTCTCTCGTCTTTCCATGCAGTCAGAGCCCCTCCACCCCTCCAACCCCACCCACCCGCTCCTCTCGCTCGGCTTACAGAATAGCATTGTCGCGGTCAACGGCAAGGCCATTGACGCCCAGCCTGTGGCCGCCAGGGGAGGAATTCGGGAGATCTAGGACTACAATGAGAGAGACACAATGTCTCGTCAGCCACGGCCAGGCACACGAGAAAGTCCGAAACAAGCAAAAAGATACAGCGTGGCAGGTTCTCAATGTCGTACGATTGGCTCCGTGCGGGGTTGAGAGCTACTGAAAAGGATGAGGATCGACGAACCATAGCTTATCCTCTGACGCGCCTTCTTGGCCATGACGAACAGAAGATGGGGCGCTCATGCGCAGCCGGCGAAGGGTTCAGCTAAAGCTTTAATGCTCAGATGGGCTGGCAAGAGGCTGTAGTTTATAGCATGGAGTGTAACAAAATCCAAGTGAGCGGCGTTGATTTGATGGAGCATAGAGTGGTTATATATGACAGAATGCAGATGGTGGGATGTAACCGGGCGCCGTTACAGATGCCGCAGCTGTGGTTAAAGTTGGAGGGAAGATCCGGGGGGAGGCACCAGTGGGCTCTCCTCACGCCCAGGTCCTTAGCCCCTTCCCCGCGCAGTCTAAATTCGGACTCCGTACCTAAAATACATAGGTACCTACGAAGGAAGCTACGACGTACAGATCCCTCTAGACTCCATAGCAGAACCTAGGTGGATTGCGGCTTCTGACGGATGCCCCACACGTGAACTCGTGGAGTCGATGGTACAATAACTCAGCTCAATCTTTTGGCTTGCCCATGTGACCACTCAGGTCGTGAATGACGACACCCTCGAGGCTGAACACAGCAGTTACAGATGTAACATGTACGGGTTACTGTAATTGTACGGATGTACTTCCGTACTTAGATAGTTAATGAAAGGGGAAGAAGTTGATCCTGGTCGCCCCTGCAGATCCAACAAGCCTAAACCGTGCGTGGTCTAGTTATCAAAGCTCAAGACGGTCAATTTTAGCCGAGATGTGGCTGAACGAACGAGCTTCATGATCCCCTTTTCTTAGCCCTGGCTGGTCTATTCCTCTCCAGTCAAGTCTGGTCGTACGTCGTTTCCGAGTGCTCCCTCTACTGTACCTGCACGTCGCCTCCTCGATGATGCGCTCGTTTCGTTAGCGCGTCGATTCTTGGGTGCATTCGAGACTCCGGGTGGCCGATAGTCGAATGTTTCATCGTCATCCAGATCCCAATATGTCTTCTACCTGCACAATCGCTCACGTCCCTTCAAGATGCAAGTGGAGCAGGCATTGGTGAACGGATTTTGCAGTGTGCCGCACTTGCCGAATGGTCTTCCTCTGCACGTAACGCACTGCGAACGCATCTCCTCTCCCTAGGCATGACAGATAACAGCTGTGGCTGTGGCCACGTCCTTGTGGTGCAGTCGGAGGCAGATGTCGCGCATCTGATCCGGCCTCCTGCGGATCTCTCTTCGTTGTGCCATGCCCTTTTGCTTACTAGGTAGAGCGATCTCGTCCTCTACCATATGGATGGAGATGTCGAGATCTACTTGCTCGGGACCATTTAGTGGCACAGCTGCACAAAACCCCGGCGTGATTTCGACAACCACGGCACGCTGCGCCAAGTTAGCCACCCCCTGTAAAACCAAGATGCTCTGGGCAGCTTTCAAGAAGTGCTGCAGCTTCTCGACATCCGATAGCTTCCTCGTGTCTGACTATGGAGCAGCTGCGGGGAAAACTTGGTTTGGCCTTGAAAACCAGAGCTCGATGTGAGAAGTCAGTGTATGCTCTTCAACGCGGGCGATGGTGCTGTACCAATGAGTGCAAGAGGTGAGCCATCTCGACGAGCGTGGGTGCTAGTGAACGAGGATCGATGGGAGGTTTAAAGATGGCCAGAGAATGAGGAGGAGACAACGGACATAGAGAGGGGAGGAGAGGGGCTTATGTATTCAGGTCCCTGCTACGTCTCTCCTCCCCTGTCGCCCGGGACGCGGTGGCCGGCTACATCGTCGAGATTCAGACGCTGAGGCCGACAGCAAGGCCAACCGGATTCCGTGAAAGGCTGAGAAGCGGTCTTGCCAAATCTGGGGCCCCTGTCTCGTCAGGGGGTACCCAGAGGGTGGTCTTGGCTATGATGTAGATGTCAGCGTTACCTCTGGATATTCTCATTTGCCCATCGCTGTCACTATCGCCATCGCTGTCACTATTGCTATTCCTAGCAACAGCTATAGCGATGGACAGAAACGGCAAGAGTGACAGGAGTGACAGCAAGAGCGATAGACAGTAATGGCAATGGCGATATACAGCAATAGCAATAGCGACAGACAGCAACTGCCGCCTGTGATGCACTAACCGCCTGCCTGCGAAGCAAATAGAGCATGCCCCTGGAGAAATTCCCCTTAACAAATGCAAAGATGCAGTCGATACCAGCGGTTATCTATTACTATCTCCTGCCAGTCAAATCTCAGCAACCGGAAATAAACTCTCAATGCCGATGTCCACCATGGTATGCGCAAGCTCAAACTCAAACTCTAACTTAGTGCAACTCGCCGATGAGTCAAGCCGTGAACCAACGCTTGATAAACTAGGTACGTATCTGCCTATCCTGGCTCTCCTGGCTCTGCCTAGTATCGCTATTTGTACATGTACTGTACATCAAGTATGCCGATGGTGGGTGTTACCACCACCTCGAAGCCCCTTGCTTCCATCAGCCAAGTCGGTCCCGTTCAATGCCTGGGGTTGCTCAATTGGGGAGAATGCCCCCGTGCCTAGGTGTGCAAGACTAAGCAAATCATCGGAGGACATTCCTCCAAACGATCCACAAACATGGACTCTTGTGATCCAAGTCACTCGCTGGTGCTGCAATTTAACGGTATTAGTGCCCAATTGCCAAATATATGGCAGGCGGAGTCCGTATGTGCAAAAGGAAAAAAGCTCCAATGTTCCGGCCTCGATATCCAGATTTTCTGGCTTCCACACTCCTTCCCACCCCCCCCCCCCCCCCCCTTTTCTCTCTCTCTCTCTCTCTCGCACAATGGCCATCCCCAAGGAGTTTTTAGGTGGGCGGAATCCAAAGCACCCGGGGATGATGACGCAAGGCCGATCAGAAGGCGGCCCCGCCGAGGCCCTCGCCGGCAAGGTTCTTGAGGCTCTTCTCGCTGAGGTCGCTCTTGAGCTCAAATGCCTTGCTCTCGCGCTCGAGCTTGTCCCATATGCGCAGGTTCTTGCGGAGCTTCTCCTGCCTGGCCCTGATCTCCTCCCGCACGCGCTCCTCCTCCTCCCTCAGCCTCCGGTGGTGCGGCTCCAGCTCCTTGGTCACCCCCGTTGTGAGCGGCGCCAGGTTGGGGTCGGGCTTGCCGCCGGGGATGATGGGCGGCATGCCCGACATCAAGGTTTGCGCCAGGGTTTGTCGTGGCGCGTTGGTGTGCTGTTGCGGCGCTGGGCCTGTCGGTGGGTTGAAGGGCTTGGCCGAAGTAAGAGAGGGAGACGGCCCGGAAGACGATATGGACGCGGCGCGAGGTCCGGTGGGGATGCTACTCGGCCCGGTGGGAGGAATGGGTGGTGATACAGATGATCCGGATACGTTGCGGGGCGGCATCGATGGCCAGCCTCCTCGACCTCCACGGGGGACAAAAGCACCGCCACGCGAGGGTGGTATGTAGCCGCGAGGGCCAGCTGGGGGAATGGTCGGGCTGGCCATGTCAGCTCGAGGGGACGGACCGGTTGACGATGTTGGATGTCGGGGGGGCTGAACAACGGGTGAAGCAGCCTGTATGGCGGAGAGTCTTGCGGCTGAGGGACCTGTAGGGGGTTGTCGCAGCGCGGCCGGCCCTCGTGGAGGTGATTTTACAGGAGTAGAAATAATATCTGGGACCGGGGCGACCTGCTTTGGCTGCTCGCGGACGGGCAAAGTTGTTGATGTGCTGACTGGATTCGGCGAACGTGTAGGCGACTGAGGCCGCGACCTATCATCATGGCCTCGATTGGAGCTTGGAAGGGGCGATGGTCGACGGGAGGCCGAGCGCGAGGTCATCCCAGATGAGTTGAGGGACTCTCTTGGGGGAGATGGACGTCGATAGGACGGGCCGGTGTATCTATCATCTCGACGTTCAGGGCTCCGGGACCGAGGCCGATAGGATCCGCCCCGAAATGCCACAGGTGTCGATCGTCTTACTGGGGACTTGTTTCGAACCTCCCAGTCCCTATCATAGGGAGATCGAGATCGTCGCCTGAGCAAGGCGGTCAGTAAATAGCGAGCCGCGGGAGTGAGGGTTATGGCGAGGCTTACCGTATGCTGCGCGCATCGAAATCCCTCGGGGGAGACCGAGCTCGATCGATTCTATCATCGCGTCTCGGAGGCGAGTATCGCCTGGGGCTACGCCGTGCCGGGCTCCTCCTCGGGGAACTGCGCCGTGCCGGGCTCGGGGGCCGACTGCGGCTATGGTCACGTCGTCGCCATACATCTCCATCCCTGTCCCTGGATCTCTCACGGTACCTAAACCGATCTGCGCTTCGGGATCGACGGCGTGGAGACCTGTTTGGGATGTAACTATCACTAGTCGGCGGGGGTGTACGAGCCCTCTCTCTCGGTGGGGGACTTCTAGTGCCGCGAGGTGACCGATCTCGCTCTCTATTAAAAGGCCGGTACGACTCTCCAGCACCGTATCTCCGAACTTCGCCATCCTCGTATCTATTTGGCTTAGAGTTAGTTACTTCTGCAGCTGTCGTATGCAGCAAGCCAATGCGATCACTTTGAGGTGGTTCGCTTGAACCAAAACGACTATGATGGGTAGGGATATTGTTCGGCCAAGTAAGATCCCCGGGTCCAGGTGTCGGCAGCGGTTTCGGTCGATACGGAACATCATCAAATGCGCCGTCCTTCTGGCAGAACGATAAGGAAGAACTGGCGGCAGGGGGTTCGCGTATCCAGGTATTTCCCTCCCTGCGGAGTCGCTTGCACTTTGGCTTCTCCAGGTCCTCGGTAGGCCTTCGCTTGATGGACTTGAACGGAGCCATGATAGATGGCTGGGGTTCTCCGGCCCAAGCACTAGGGGTCCTACGTTGCCTCTTGGTGGCTCCCTTGCTCAGCTCATCGGCCGCTTGCCTCTTCTTAGTATTCGAGGGGACGGTGGCCGATTGCTGACTGTGGAGCTCCGGGGTATCCTGCGAAACGGCTCCATTTCCCACCAATGGGTTCAAGGTGGTCGATGACTCAGTAGTAGTAGGGTTCTGAGACGACGCCTCCATACCAGGCTTCTCTTGGGACTCTGGACATGGCATGGGTGACACGACAGGAGGAGTTTCATGCCCGAGAGGACGGCTCGGTTCCGAGTTCAGCGGCTCGGCTTCTTCTTGCTGACCTCCCTCAGAAGCCAGCTCCTGAATGGCATCGTTATCATGAGTGCCAGGAGGGGATGGAGAGTCATCAGTCCGAATTTCGGGTTCTGGCGTCGACGGATGAAGGGCGGTAGAGGCTTGCTGATCCGAAGCCGTGTGGCTATCGGTTTCCAGGTCCATCCCTGAATGCGGGGAGCACGGGAGGAGTGGAATGTCAGATGGAAGGGGGCTCTGACTGGGAACTGAGCATTCGTTTGCGGAGCCAGCAATATGAGGGGTCTGGGGTGCTTCCATTGGGGCATCCGGAGTATCAGAGATGGGCGTCTCGATGCTGTTGAGATCTGTATCCGCCGTGAAGGTCTCCGGGGAAGATGGGCAGTTCTGTTCATCATGCTCATTTGTCTGTAGAGAAGCTACTAGGACATTGGCATCGCCCTCCTCGCCCTGCGTGTCTTTGTCGTAGTCTTGGATCAAGGCGTCCAGTTCGGCGTCAACCATGGCCTTCAATTCCGGATGTAGCGAATGCTTGACGGGCTCAACACGTTTCGAGTCATTCGAGCCTGTATCACCCGACTTTAGTCCCTCTGCCAGGACTCGATCGACCTCCTCTGGCAAAGTAACGACCGGGAAGACGCTCCTCATAAAGCGAGCCTTGAGTGCGGGGTTGGCATCGAGTTCCTGGGCGTATACGCTTCTCAAATTTTGTTCGATTGATCTTCCAGGGGCCAGGAACCGGACGCGAGGGGACGCTTTGGCGGTCTTGGCTATCCATGTCTGATGAAGGGGGCTGCGACAAGGCCGAGGTTTGGGTCGGGCTTTGGCTACTTTCAATTTCCTTGCGCTGGAGCGCTTGGCCTTCCATAGTACCGAACCAAGACGGAGCTTACACTCTCGGAGGTGTCGGCATACGTCCATCAATGCCTGCTTCGTAACCTCAGGCTTCTCCGTATCCTCAGGCTTCTCGACACCGGGCTTATTGAGATCAGGCTTCTCGACACCGGGCTTCTTGAGATCGGGCTTCTCGACACCGGGCTTCTTGGGATCGGGCTTCTTGAGACCGGGCTTCTTGGGATCGGGCTTCTTGACAAGGCGGCGTAGTGGCACTCCAACCATGGCCTTGAAGCGGATCTTAGTTATCTTATACAGGTATTTCGGGTCGCGCTTCATGTCGGGGATGGCCACTTCCTCGAGAGCATTCCGAAGCATCTGATCCTCAGTCATGGTTTGGGGGCCGTCGACAGGTGTGGGGCGAGACAAAGTGCGGATCGTCTTGACCGCAGCCCAGCCCGTTTCCAGATCTTGGTCGTCAAACTGCTCATGCAGGTTCTCTGGCTCCTCTGGCTCCTCTGGCTCCTCTGGCTCCTCGTCTGAAGATTCAGATTCGTCCGAGGTTTCGAGGCTGGAGTCGCCGGAGTCGCCAGAGTCGCTGTCATCGTAGAATTCGGTTCGTTCGCGGGTGGAGGTTGACCTCCTGTGACCAGAGATGGAGAAGCTGCTGGAAGGGAGCATTCGCTGCTCCCTGGGCGGTGGCAGCAAGGTGCGGCGGACGTTTCTGAACATCTTGGCGGTGCAGATCTGGGAGAGCCAAGGTCGAGGCCAAACGGCGTGATGAAGTATTGGGGAGAAGATCGTGACAAGTGTTGAAATATTCGGTTTCCTCGTCCGGCAACGGAAAGAGATTCCTTGGTACACAGCGGCGGTAGAAAATCTCACGAAGGTTTGTGGGAAAAGTAAGGGAGTCCTTGGTAGAGGGCGGGGGATTGGTGTAGGTGAAGGGTGAATTGTAGGGGACGGACATTGTGGTACTGCACAATAGGATTCAACGGGACGGTGGGCACTGACCTTCTGTTTCTCTCTCTATCCATGATGTAATCTGAGGTGCTGGTGATACTCAAGCTCGAGTGAGTGGTGAGGAACTGAGGCCTGACGCAAAAGTGAATAAGGGCTGAGAGACGCGGCTGCAAGTTATCGCGAACGGGCCCCTGCGAAATTTCGACACTACTCGGCGGTAGTACAAGGAATTGTGAGTTTCTGCCCCTTCCCACCGCCTTTGTCCGTCGCATTCATTGGTGGGGCCGGCGAGATCCGGAGAAGTGGGTAGGGGTGGGGTACCTAGGTACCTTACCTCGAGATGCCCGGTGGTGAATAGAGGTAGGTAGGTGTCAATCTTGGTGCCACGAAATAAATTGATGAATTCCTAACTCGCCCGACAATCCCGGTGCAAAACAACTTGTACAAATCGCCAATCGCCCTCTTAAGCTCAACGTCAGACCATCTTCTCGTCCTCGGTGGCATCGCTAGTGTTCTCCGCAACACGGGCCATGATCCATTGCTGCGCATCTGTGGCATGCTCCTTCATCATCCGCGTCAACCCGCTAACCGAACTCCGCTTCACGGTGCCAAACCGCCGCTTCATCACCTTCCGCGTCAGGTCCGGGTCTGCCCAGCACGCGTGGTCGTTGGCTACAAAGACTTGCGAGTTCTCCTTGTACCATGACGAGAGATCGTGGTCCACATCGGACTTGACCGGCCGTAGATTCCCGTCCACAAAATTTACTACGCCCGAGATTCGGGATTTGACATCTGGGTTCAATATGTTAGCCAAGAAGTCCTGTATTGCAAAAGAGACCGGTGCTGGCATGCCTCGGCTTATGAGCAAAACCTTGATTCCAAGGTATGCATTTCCAACCCCCATAAGGAAGATTTCCTCGGCGGCGTCGTAGAGCTGTAGGTAATTGTCCCATACATAGCACATCAGTTCTTGAACTTGTGCCTGGAGAGTTCGCTCGTCTATCGACGGCGTGAACGATTCTGTGTCCTGTAAACTGTTGTTAGCCACGACAAAACACCAAGGGCAGCTTGCTGGCGTCTCCTTACTTCGGGGCGTGTGATGTAGTGTGGGACGTTGATGTCTATCACACCAAACTTCTCCTGGACAGCCCAGTCCACATACTGCGCGACGCCGTCCGTCTGTAAACGAGTCAGTCAAGTCTCCTGGTCGGTCGACGATCGGAAGAACACCCACAACCCAAGCATTATGAGGCTCGACGGTGTTATCGATAGGGTCTGGCTGTGCATGTAGTTCGGGGCTGGCCGTGTGAGTAAGGTAATCCAATCCTTGTCAGGGGTGGGTGGCCAAACTTACGGATCATGGACAATCAGCAGGATCTTCTTCGCCGCGTGTATGTTCCTGGTCACGAGGACTTGGTTCTCGAAGGATCTAAACAGCGAATCCCGCTGGATATATAGCGGGTACATGCCATATTTCTCCGAGAGGACCTGCCGCTGTGATGTACGAACAACGTCATGGAGTCGACTCGATCCCTGGGTCTGCATGTCCTGGACGTCAACAATGCCGGGTCGCATGCACTCCCAGTATGGCGCTTGATAGGCCTGGACCTTAGCCAGGACTTTAGCTGCCTCCTTGTTCAGCTTGGGTAACTCCAGCTTTGGCGGGGGCTCGCCCATGAGAGTCTTGGCGACGGCCAGGGCGGACTGCGAAATGGCATCCAGATTGTAGCCGCCCTCCAAGCAGACGGCGACCTTCCCGCCAGCGAGAGACATGAGCATGTGTGTCATGTGGGCGTAGCAACCGGGGGTTACGAAACAGCCGCCCAGCTCATCGCCATCGGCCGCGTCGAACCCAGCCGATATGATGACCAGATCCGGACTGAACTCTTGCGCGATGGGCATGACGATCTTCTGGAAAGCCGCCATGTATTCGCCGTCCCCCATTCCTTGTTCATGCCAGCCGATGTTGATGTTCTTCCCAAGACCTGCTCCTGCTCCACAATGCTCAATGCCGCCGTCGGGCGTCATCGGGTTGTCGGGCTTCCCGGGGTAGAAGGAGCCATTCTGGTAGACATGGATGGAGACATACAAGATGTTGGGGTCGTCGTAGAACATGTTTTGGATGCCGTTGCCGTGGTGGACGTCCCAGTCCAGAATGAGGATTTTGCGACACAGGTCAGGATAGTCTGCTTGGCAGATCTTGGCTGCAATGGGGACGTTGTTGAAGAGACAGAAACCCATGGGCTGATCGAACTCAGCGTGGTGTCCTGGCGGGCGGATGATGGCGAACGCATTCCTGACGGAGCCGACGACAACGCTCTTGCAAGTCTCGATGGCTCCGCCAGCAGAGACGAGGGAGGCTTCGAAGGTCATGCTACCAACATATAGCGACTCTCTACCCTGATCCATGATTTTGGTGAGGCGACGGAGCTCGTGGGTGGGCTTGTTTGAGAGCTCCTCAACCCAGAAGTAGTGATTGGGATGGTGGACGACGCAGATCTCTTCCTTGGTGGCTTCTCTGGCAGGGATCCTCCACATGTACTTGGTCGGGCAGGTCTGGATGATGTTGATCAGCTCGGCATCGGAGCCGGTATACACCAGTCCAGCCTTCTTGAAGGTCTTCATGATATACTCGATCCGCGAAGGGTCCTCTGGGTGGTGTGGATTAGGACCGAAGTCGGCGTTTGCATGCAGTTTCATGCGATCGTCATAACAGCAACCGGTAGGCAGCAGGCCACGCCGGCGGAGGGCTTGGGGATACCCTGCAGGGTCGTAACCCTCGCGAGCCTCTTCATCTCCATCGTCGGCACTCTGGCCTTGTGGAGAGGCATCTTGGTCCTCCTGCTCGATTAGCTCTCGTGGGTCGAGGAAACCATTCGTCGGGTGTCCGTCGTCCAGGGGTTGGTCATCGCCATCCATGGCGATGTCGTTGTCGTTCTCGTCCATGGCTAATCAGATATGAAGTATGTGCTTGGACGAACACCCGAAGCTCGTTAGCCACGTCAACACATGGACAGCGGCATTCACTGAGTAATGACCTAAACGCAATCGACGTGTCAGGGCAACACCAACGCAAGAATAACACCAGAACCCATCGGAAAGAGAGAGCGTGGCAGCGAAGGTTCGACGACGGCGCGAATATCCGACGTCAACACCGATATGTACTATATCTTGCATTGTCTCCGGCAAGGATCCCTGCCACACAGGTGAAGCGCATCGAGAACTCTTGATGAAGCCACAGGAGGCATTGTCGGATTGCTCTTGGTCTTTACAAGGATACCCAGCGGCCTTGCGCCTGGTCCAAGATAAAGACCCCCGTCTATGAAAAAACGCCAAGAGGAAGAGTGGTTTGGGATCCCGTTGGTCTTCCAATTTGCGAGCTTCCGTTCATAGCGTCCTGGGGGTTGGAACATGGGATGAGAGAGGTGGCTCTCACTTGATTTGGCCCAAAATAAACATGCTGGAGTGGGCTGGAAGCAAAGCCCACGGAGTGCAGACGAGGTTAAATGTGACGTACCTAAACGTGGCTAATGTTGAGCTGACATGCGTTCACCTCACGGAATTCCTTGGCCCTTGGATACCGTAAGACGCAGTCATAATCGGGGCGTCTTAGATGAGATATGAATGAAGCGTCGAAGATTGGTGACTTTGGAAGATGCGCGACCTGGTTGGCAGTTGCCAGTTGGCACTAGCCGGGCTGTTGGCCCCCACGGAGCGGCAAAATGCCAAACTGCATGCAGTCCAGAACCCAAATAAGAACCCTGGCCAGTCCCAGATGGTCTGTAAATGTATTCGGGAGCAGTCCATTTATTCATCATGTATATGAAGTCCGTTCTGATGGAACTTCTCTCATGATTACTCGCGACGTTTGTCTATGTAAGGCAGGCACTGTGCGGATTACATTCACGCAACAACGAAAGCCTCCAGGTTGGCCACGGGACCCAATTTATGAGGCACCAACTTGGAATGCGATTACCCCGATTCTGGACTCATGTATACCCAATGTACATACATTTGTTCTCTACAGCGTCAGAAGGTCCCTCTTTAGATAGGAAATTGGCAGAGTCTTCAATATCTTCTCATAAATCCTCAACCAAAAGAGCCACACGGACGAAGTACTTAGCCAACCGGGCAGCCATGACTTGCCCGATACAGACTTGCCCGACACACACACGTCTCCCCCCAAGCAATTAAGAAGATGGGTTCCACAACAGTCATGCAAGGCCACAGTGAGTGAGCCACAGAAGACTGCGTGCAGAAAATGAACAGTAATACCCTCATCTACTGAGACGGCTCCAAGAGCCCAGCAGGCATCAGGCGGTGCAAATAAGGGAAAGCCATGGAGATGTGTGGACCATAGGCATCAAGACCAAGGCCCTTGCCCCCGTCGTTCCCGTACTTCACGCGAACCTTCTGCCATCTCTGAGCCTGATAATCCAGGATCCCTCCGTGGGGCTTGGGGAAACTGCGCGCTGGGAAGTACCGCTTGCGTTTCAAGGCACGCTGCCCGACCTCCATCTTGAGCAGCTCGCGCCGCTCACGGATCACTGAGTGAAGAGTGCCGGTCAGGCTTTCCACATGGTTCTCAATCGAGGGGCGTAAGAAGCGAATGGCGGTTATCAGGCTCTTTTTCGTGGCATATACGTGCCGCGACTCGAGGAAATGGAGCATCTGGTCAGGAACAAGTCTCATCACTGTCGAGACTATCGTGTCATTTTCGACTGAATGGCCCCAGCCAAGGCGGGCGGCTTCAGTCCTGGAAAGCGATTTCCCCTGCGCGGATATTAGCCACATGACCAACCTGCAAGGATCTAGGCAGGACTCACCGCGTTGTGCAGCACGAGAGGGACGGATGGGCAGAGGTCAGTAGCAACGGCTGATCGGACAGTCTCCCACAAGTCCTGCAACTCGTACAGCTGGGCGGTCGACAACGTTCGAAGATTGTTGCAACGCATGTCGGGCATTCGGGAATCCCTGACCCAGTAGTCGGTCCGGTGGGCATCATGGTGGAATAACATTGCATAACGCCACCAGTTGTACAATGCCCCGCGGAGACGCTCATTCTCGTGCCCGTGAAGGCTACGAGCAAACTGGGCCCGTTGAGAGAATCGCAAACGAGGGAACGCAGCTTCCCAAGCCTTCACCACCTTGCAGATTCCCAGAAGGCTTCTCACATGCTCCCGCCGATAGCTGACCTGCGGAAGCAGCCCCTTGATGTCTTCCTCGGAGACCAAACGGCCGCTGAAGTAGATACGAGGTCTGAGCCACGCACAGTAAGGGCTGTTGAATTGCTCAGGGAGCACTACCGGAACTCCAAGGAGCGATTCCAAAGGGCTGAAGTCTCTCTCGAGAATTGAGAACAGGATTGCTCCCCAGTTCTCCTTAAAAACGTGAGCAAGCACAAGAGACGTCTTGGACAGGCTGAGCGCGCTTTCGAGATCCAGCTGGGCATACACATGGCACAGTATCTCAGCCGGAAAGCGCTCCAGATGCGGCTGAGACGTTGCCATCTTGCCTAATGTGAACGGTCTGGGGGTATTGGCTGTGTTTCCGTCAACCGATGGTGAATGGTATAGATCTCCTTGGCGATGAGAAGGGGCAGTAATAGTTTAAGAAAGATTAGGGGAGAGCTTGACCCAACGGTCAAAAGCGACTTGTTGCCGACACTTAGCCTGAGACGGAGAAGCAGGTTCGGTGCAAGACAGCAGAAAGTTGAGGAGCAAAATCGTTCTATGGTTTGATGATGAACAGGATTGGAGTTCAGGACCGTTCGAAGCGCAATTCCCGACGCACACCACAGGCAAGTAATGGGAGCGCCCAAGGTGGTGGGTTCCAGGTGATTGTTCGCAGGCCAGCAAAGAGTCCCGGTAGAGGTAGAGATGGTATGATTGGAATCAGGGGCGGTCGAAATGTCGCAGCCGGCCACGATTGTGCAGGTTGGCAGCTTGAAGAGGACCAGTGGATGTGTGTCGCCTCTTCAAGCTATCTTGACTTTGCTCGAATTGGATGTCAAAGGGAGCCAGCCAAGAATCTCTGCATTTGACAAGTTTGTATGTGTTCTGTTCCCAGTATGAGCCATGTAACTTGTTCCCGGGATGACTCGGGGCTTACCTGGATAAATATGGTAATCTGTTTGACAGACGTTTGTGTCATGGAATACACGACCTGGGGTGAGTTCAGAGGAAGACATCGTCCGACTGTCTGTCCTGGTGAGTTTCGACAACTCCAAATAGCCCAAAGAGTATGGGCTTTATTAAACGATGACAACAGCGTTCTCCGGTGCCTCACTGTCAGGCAATCCCTAGTTGGCCGGAGCTTTCAGCATAACCGATTCTGAAGGTGGAGACGGTGCGATTCTAACCTCTGCCTCTCTCACTTCCCCGTTCCTCCGCAGTCCGATGAAACGGACCTCCTCCCTTGGATGCTGGTTTGGCAGGACCTTTCGTCTCCACCAAACACAACTCACCTCGGTGACCGAGGTGTCGGCAGCTTAGGCCTAAATTCCTTGAACCCCGGCGTTGGGGCTATCCAGAATGCAACTGACGCCATGGGGCATCAAATGCAAATGTTTACGCGCCATATAAGCGGCGATAATTGGGTGTGATTTCGACATCATGTGTTTGCTTAGGGAGAAGAAAACCAAGCAGAGACGTGTCGCGCGAACGATCTGCCTTATAAACCATGTATGTCGAAGTACCCCTGGCCAGGGCCCGGGCACACCTTGTTTCGGAACCGGATCAAGTAATTTAACCGACGTGCTCCTGGCGCCCGCCCGCTGGGCACCACCTCTGGACTGGACGGGACGGAGGGGTCAATTCCATGATAATACCAGCCAAGAGATTTGGCACTCCTTAGAACGTAGTAGGGTAGGTTGGCCCGAGGAGCACAGAGTTGGTCATTACGGCTGTATCCCTAGGGGCGAGGTTTTCTATCACCAGGAAACAGCACTCCACCCACGGACAAATCAGAAGCGCGGTCTATTTTTGAGATCTCCTATGAACGCCGAACAAGAAGTCCACTGGAACCATTTCATACACTCGGAAGAGAGGCGAATAGGCCAGATTGGTTTCCCCCAAGTCCAAACAAAAAGCGGATACCGCGACACGAGAAAAACCACCTCTGATCTCTCGCTTTTTGCCGCTTATGCGAAAAGTTTGCGGGTATCCAACTCGTCGCCTCCTCTCCTTGGGCCGTTCGTTCTTAACCCGAGATCCCCCTTCTTTGCCAATCTCTCCATCTGCCTCTCCGCCCTCGCATTGTGCCGTCCAGCCTTGTTCCTCCGAAGATCCGCCCTGACCTGGTTAGGCGATACAAACTCCCTGTTCTCGTAGATGATGGGCCCACCAAAGGAGCCCTCCTGGATCAACACAGGAGTGGCAACGAAACGAGGCCCGATTTCGACTAGGTTGACATCAGTGTCCTTGTTGCCTCCCTTTGACGTCCGAGTAGTTCGGCTCGACTCCTCGCCAGCCTCGTCGTCTGCTGCAATCTTCTCAACCTCGTTTATCTGGTAGTTCCGGATCCATATCTTGCCGTCTACAAACGTGAATCCCATAACATGATCGACAAATGGCTTGGATTTCCGGGCTCCTTGAGGCACGCCGAACATGTGGAGGAATAGCTGCTTGATGACTTTAAGATATGGCTCCTTCTCGAAGGCCGAGTCGAATGACAGGATGGGCCGTGAACCCTTCAGGCAGTTCCCGGTGAAGTTAAGCTCATCCATGGTGTGAGCTGCAGGTATGGTCAGAATCATGTATCGACGTAGTCCCTCTTTGCCACGACTCACCATTCTGAATGTGCATCTTGACGGTAGGGCCGTTCGGGACCTTGCTTAGCCAAGCATAAAGGTCCTTGCCTTTCCTCGCTTCGAAGAAAAACACGTTATTGCAGTTGTGAAGTTCGGCGAGCTTGTTTTACCGGTCCAAATGTCAGCCGGCGATGCTATTCAGAACTTTAGCGGTGTTGGAATGTGGCATACCTCGTTGAGCAGGAAAAGTTTCGATTTCGAGTCAAATTTGACGTCTCGGCGGGAATGTGGTAGCATAGCAGCTAAGTCTTGCATCAAATGACGATGCCTGCAGCGAAAACATGTGAGCAAAGGGGAACAATGGCTGTTAGATTGACCAGTGAACGCACTTATAAGTGATGCCTCTTGAGGAGAGGATCAAAACTCGCTGTTTGTTCTTCTTGGGTCCCTCGCTCGAGGACTCGGCCTTGGGCCCACTCGACTTGGAGAGCGACTTGTAGACAGCGGCCATCTTGTCTGACTGTTTGGGGTTGACGGTAGTCTGTCTGTAGGTATTTGGAGTGTTCAGATTTGGGGGTGTGAAAAAATAAAGTTGATTGCGAGGCTGAGAGAACTTCCCGTGTGCCCCACCCCTCGCCTGGCCATTAGCGCGAGGCTAGCAAATTGGGGGAACTGTACGGAATAGAACTGTGGCACTCTGGGCTACCCTGGGTGTGGCGGTGTCATTTCAATGCCCCACACCGGCCATCAATATGCTGTGTGACGAGGAAAACGGGCCTCCTACAGACTTGCGGAGAAAGAAGTGAAAGGCTGACCGATTAGAACCATGATTGTTCCTTATTAATTCAGCGACCCATCTTGCTAGGAATTGCCACATAAAGCAAGCCCGGATTTTATACCATGCTTGTGGGGAGTCGGGAACCGGGAATCGGGCATGGCAACCTTGAAAATGGCAACATCTTTATATTCCACTAACTTCCAACCACTCCGTCACAAGGCGATCGTCGGATGAATTAGGAAACCTGAACTACCCGTAGGGGAAGAAAACAGAGGAAAGATAGAATGTGCTCCCAAAACAAATCATCACGAAACGATCTGGTCAAAACCAGCAGATCCTACTCCCCAATGATCGCAGTTTCCCTGCATTCCGGACAAATGCGACGCCGTATAACATCCCAGCCCTATGGCCGTAATTGCGGCCCATGGAGAAATTAACAGCAAGCCTTCCCTTTCCCCGCACCGTCGTCTGCTGCCTTGCTCAGGGAGATGTTTGTGCCGGCGCCGATTGTAGCCTGGGCGCCGTCGCCACTGTCCAAGGCTTTGCTTGATACGATGCGATAGATTTCTGGTAGATGAGACAGTCAGATGGTCAGCGAGACTATCTAGATGGTCAAGGATGAGGTTCAGATGATCATACCGGTCAAGATGTTCTGGAATGCAAGTTCGACGTTGCTAGCGTCGAGAGCCGAGGTCTCGATGAAGGACAGATGGTTCTCGCCTAGGACAGCATCAGCATACTTCGCTCCTGGATCCCCTAGTTTGAAGCCATGGTGCCACATACTTGCAAAGGCCTTAGCCTCCTCAGTCGGCACGGCGCGCAGGTGCCGCAAATCGCTCTTGTTGCCAACCAACATGATGACAATATTGGCATCGGCATGATCTCGAAGCTCTTTCAACCACCGGGTGACGTTCTCGTATGTTTGATGCTTGCTAATGTCGTAGACCAGGAGGGCGCCGACAGCACCGCGGTAATAGGCAGATGTGATGGCGCGATACCGCTCCTGGCCCGCCGTATCCCAGATTTGCGCCTTGATGGTCTTGGAGTCCACCTGGATTGATCTCGTTGCAAACTCGACGCCGATGGTGGACTTTGAATCTAGGTTGAACTCATTGCGGGTGAATCGACTCAGCAGATTGGACTTTCCGACACCAGAGTCTCCAATCAGCACCACTAGAGAAGCAGAGGCGTCAGCAGAGATGGTCGCGACTGAATCGGCATTTGAAAAGGGTCTGTGTTAGCCACCTTTGAAGAGGAACTAGGAAGGCGTGGTGGAGTTAGCGAGTGCATTGGAGAAGTCTGGGGCGGGGGATGGTGAACCGGTCATTCAATGCCGGAAGGGCACAGACTTACGTCGTATTCGTCGTTAGCCATGATGGTAGAATCAGAGTCAGGTTCGCCGGGAAGAGGAGGGTTGTCGACGTTGAATTGTTGGGATGTATGGGGGGGGGAGTATGCGATGTTCAGGGAGAACAATGGAAGAGAGCGGTGCGGCTCTAAGATGCGGGTCTCTGCGGGTCTGGGGCACCCGGGTACCACTGGTGCCTGCCCGTTTTAGTCACCTAGGTACACACCCAATGGGGCCGGACCGCCTCGACAGTGGAATGGCTACGCTCTTGGGGCTGTATTTTAGGATTTAAGGCCGGGGAATTTAATGCCTGCGACTACGGAGTACAAAACCACGAAGTAGCCCGTATAAATAGTCCTTGGGGTGGGATTTTGCAAGCAGGCAGATATTTGCTCTGACGACACAGAGACGGTACCTTCCTTGGTCTGCATTCCTCCTGCCTAAGGTACCTACCTAACCCTACCTTAGTTAGGCAGGCACACTTGACAATTCGACGCGTTTCAGGTGTCACGTGTAAATACTCCGTTTTCCTGGACAAATAAATGGGGCCATGGACGCGCCCTCCAAGTTCTCCATTAATTACCTACCTACCAAGGCATTGAGAGCTCTATCCGACTCGCCACCACCCTACCTTTAATGTCCCTACGGCACGATCACTAGGTTGTTGGTGTCGAGGCTCGTCAAGGTATCAGAGGGATTCATTCACTATACTTGCCTTTTTCGACTCGCCCCTTCATTTTGTCCCGTGTTTTCCCCAGTAACACCATATTTCGTTCACCTTCTGTGTTGATCCTCAGCTGGCTGAGTGCATTTATCTTTGACGGCCTGAAAACCGGGTGCTTCTCATCCGGCCATCCGGCACTTTAGAGACCCGGACCTACCCAACCCTCCAGTCTTCCGTTTGACTGCTCACTTGCCGACTGCGTGCACTCAGCTCCTCGTCACACTTCCGTCTGATAATCATAATACTCTCACACGTCTCGTCCGCAGTGGTCACTTGCTACCGCTCTGGGATGATGATGAATTGATAGTTGAATGGCGTGGGATAAACTTTGGGGTTAGAAATTTGCTCTTTACCACCATGTTTAAGAGCCTATCACGCAGAGGTTCTTCGGACCAGCGGTCACAGGCCACACCCGAAGAAGACGATGATGCAGTCTCGGTAACTTCTACGGCCTCCTTTCAGCATGACTCTGATGAGGAATTCGAAGTCGCAAATGTTCTCGCCGAGAAGACCAGTAATGGGGCCACGTTCTACCTAGTCGAGTGGGCTGGCTTCTCTCTGGATGAATGCACCTGGGAGCCAGCGAGTAATCTCGGAACGGAGCTGAGAGAAATGTGGGAGGAGACCAAGCAGAAGCAACAAAGGGGCGAAGAAAGCCCGTTTAACCTTCAAGGCTTCTACGATGCCGTTAACAAACGGGCGTCGGAAAAGCAAGAACGGCATCGACGAAGGAATGCTAAGCGTAAGCGGCTTGGTCTGAAGTTGACCAAGCCGTTTTCAGACAATAGCGGCGATGGAAAGGATACGACGTCGGACAATGATGCCAGCGACGAGGCCGAGGAAGACGACTATGTCGATACTAAGGTTGATGACGCCGTGGCAGCAGAGCGCGGGGAACCGAAGCAAAGAATATCCAATATTCCCGGACCCAAGCCTGCCCAGGTTCAAAGATCTTCGCACACAGCAGCAGCAGCAGCAGCAGCAGCAGCAGCCACAACACCAACAAAAATAACGACAACAAGCGAAATACGCCGCCAAAGCACCCAAGGCTTCACTGTCAAGGCCCCTCCCGCCCCGTCGACGAAAGCTACGCCAACGTCTAAAACCTCTCGAAGTGAACGTCCTTCTCTCACTGGGTATCAAGGCACAGCAAAGAAGCTTATGACCAAGTCCACTACTGCCGGCACAAACGGCACCACCGCTACCGTTGGTAGCAGCAACCCATTAAATGCTGCCGCTGTTGCTCGAGGGACTGTTCCCGGTCGGACTCTCCAAGCTGCTGGCAGGCGTGTTTTCACTGCAAAGAAGAGCGGCGCGGCAACCAAGGCAACTCCTGGCAACGTATTCATAAGCGGCTCGACGAGAAAACCAAGAACTACGCTCAAAGACGCCATGACTGATTCTGCCAAGGAGCAAAGGCTCTTCCACCATTACCGAACCAAGCGCATAGCAGACAAGGGATCCCGGGGGAGAGAGGATCGAGCACCAGATCTCCAGGCACTATCTGGTAATCTTTTCGAAATCTCAAAGGGCCCCTCGAGCAGGAAAATTTCAAAAGAAGGTCTATCAAAGGAGGGCCAAGGACGGCAAGAGAAAGGGTTTAGACCAAGTCTAATCACCTCGGACATTAGCATCCAAGATGGACAGGCAAAGAAGAAGCGTAAATCAGTCCGCTTCCTATCCGATGAGGATGGGCCGCTACACTCTGAGCCGATGGATTTAGATGCCCCGGTGGGCATCGATTTTCAAACCCCGCAAAGCCTGTCCTTTGGTACAGGAGCGAATCATCCTAGCGTCGACAGCAACAACCGACTGGGGCGATCGCGGAGTGCCGATAAGTGTCTCAAGTTCGGGCCAAACACGGGGCCAGTTGCCGTAACCATTTATGGGCTGCCGTTGGAACCAGAGGAGCCCTGGCTCACGCAATTCCTCGCACAAGACATCTTTGACTGCTATTATTCATGCTTCGCCAAGACATTTTCTGAGCAGATGAATCATATCAGGCAAAGGACCTTGTGTGCCGGAACAATCAAGTCTAAGGAGAGCGAAGATGTTCTTGAAGCTGTGGCGGCACATCTCCGGGCAGGCATCCTGGGGTTATACTACTCGCACTCGGAGTATAATCTAATAATATACCCGCCAAGATGCGATGAGTGGAAGTGGTTAGCCGACTCGTTCGCGGCCGAACCCTCATCGTCCAATGAAGGGGCCCTGAGGTATTTTGTCTTCAGCTCGGCGTCGCATTGCGGACCCTTCTTAAGACCCATAGACGCAAGTCCCATGGTGTTAGATGAGGAAACTCCCAGTCCGCCGCCCGGCAGGGTATCTCTCGTGGAGAAGCTCCTTGGGTTGAAATACGTTGATATTCTACCTCGTGCGTTAGCTGGAGGGGACTCGACACACAATTTCTTCCTCGCGTTTCCGCGATCGAAGGGAGATCTGCTCCATGCTCTCTTCCACTGGTTGCGGGCCTGCAAGCCGGACTGCCGCATCTATACCAGCGATCATGCTGGCGGTTGGTCGGCGTTCAGAAGTGCAGTGGAACAGCAGCCGGGTGTGGTCATAGTTCACGAGCTTGTCTCGTGGACCCTGCATCGCTTTCCGTCGCTGGAACAATACCTCAACCAGAAACACGACGTGTACTGGTGCCTCTCGGAAGCCAGCCATTCGCGGCCCATCTTTCCTTCATCTGCGTTACCTGAGGAAACGGTGGCGCCTGGCAAAATAAGCTTTACGCCTCTCTTCCCACATCGCAGCGCCATCCTCGTCACTCCGAGCTTCCTCACATCAGAACCGCAGCGCAGCTTCGAGCTCCTAGACTGGGTCCTATCGAACTGGACAGGTGATCAACAAGTCAAATTACTATCGGGCTGGGATCTCCGCGGCTATCTGGCAGAATTAGCACATGAAAAATCCCAAGCACGAGATGTGATACTGCAACAACCCCTCGGCATTGCGCAGAAAGAGATCAATGCGAACCTAAAAGGGCTGAGTCAGGTCGATTGCGAAGATCGGTTCAAGGCTCTGCTAGTTGCCACGGAACTCCACAATCTTCGGGTAGCCCCATCCGACTCTTTCGCACTTAGCGAAGAGGCAAGCATTCTGAGCTATGCGGACCCATCAATCGATCCTAATGACGAGCAAAGCCTCGTTAACTGGTTCGGCTGGTGGTCGTCCTTGCGGATGGATCAGTTCAGGGGATTCCACGTTGTCGGGTCCAGCCAGGCGATGAAGTATAGGGGGTCATCCAAGGGCGTGCGGATTGTGCGAATTCCCAAGTATACCCGATGCACCATTAACGACGCGGATATTGTCATGGATACCGTCCAGCAGAAATACGAACCGGTCGAGCCGCAGGCACTGGACAACGGTGACGAGATTCGGCAACAGGCTGAAGACCAGGCCGTGTCGCCGACGGCTGCTGTTCGTGCTCCTGTTCCTGCTGCTGTTCCCGTTGTTGTTCCCGTTGCTGCCCCTGTCAAACCCTGGAAATTCGAGAGCCTATATCTCAGTCGTGAGTCTTGGGCCCATTTTAAGCAACGATTGACCGCTTTTGGAGAGGAAGCAGCAATACATTCTCCCTTCATGACCGTCTTTGTGTACCCAGTCTCGTGGACAGATTCGAATATGGCGCAGTACTTCCGGGACCCCCATGAGGAGTTCAGGACCATGAGGACGTGGTTTAATTTCACCTGGTCTTTCGTCCACCCACCAACCACATACCGAGCTCGGAAGTTCAACACCTACGTTGGATTCTTCTACACCATCGCTGATGAGTGGGACCCGGAGAATCCCTCGCTAGATCCGAGACCGCAACGGCACCCCTGGCTGGCAATCTATCGGCCAGTGAAGCCATATCTGAGGCCATATAAGAAATGCGAACTCATCATCTGGGATCTCGCCGCGAAGGAAATGTTTCCAGCCGATCAGGTGCCAAGGGAGAACGAGTTAATCTACGCGCAACGCTACCTCATTCAGCTCATCCGCGAAATTGGCCCCGTGAAGAACCCCGGCACGTGGCTCGGCCAGGTCTGGCTCGGCGGTTTCCAGCAACCAACGATATCGGACTCGTCTTTTCCCGTTGACATCACTCTGGACTTCGCCGGGTTACTGACGGGTGCTGGTCTTAGAGACCACCTTCCGATTCTGGAAGAGCAGATGGTCCAAAAAGGCTACAAGCTAGTGACGCTGGGTGACGACCTGCCAATGTCCGGGGATGACGCTGAAGACGCCTCCCCCCCTCCCCAGCGAATGGAGATAGACCTACTGGACATGGACAATGATGATGACGACGACGCCTCGGAGGACGAAGACAGCCGCATCATTTTCCATCCGCCACGGGGCAGGAAGTTACCCATGGGTTACAGGGGCAAATGCAACAACCGTCTCTACGAGGAAGCCAGTCTGGCCAGAGCCAAAGCCCCCGGGTCGGAATCATATATGCTGTACGAGTTCCAGCACACTCTTGAGTGGTACGAAGAGCAAAAGGCCGAGGGCCGTGGCTACGAGCACATCAACGTCGCCTCGTGGGAAGCCATCTTCAACACCTTCAGGATCGGAAGTGCTGCACGGCCGTCCAGCAGCGGCGCGGAACTGAAGGAATCTGCCGTGGCGAAACTCCTGCCGTAGAGTTGGAGGCGCATCTTCTTGTCTGATAATTGGGTCAGGGGTCCCAACTGTGATTCCCATTTGTATTTTTCTAGTCTTTTGTGGCAGGTTGCCTGTAAATACCCAACAAGAACAAGCACCATAGAATGCGGAACATGCATATAATTAAAGCTGTTCTTGCCTTTGCACGTTTCTAAATCGTTGTTTGATCTGCGGATCTCGACCCTGGGAATCAATCAAGTCTTAACTAGCCATGCCAAGCTTGAAGTTTGGTTTTCATACATTCTTAGTTTACGGAATACAGACTTCGTATTGGATGAGCCCGCCGTCACTTTCATCCAATGTTCATTGAGCGATGACTTCCTACGAGTTAGCACAAGTGGTGAGCTAATAAATATGTTCGAGTCACAGCAAGACAATGGATTGAAGAGTGTACTTTCCCATCCCTACTTCTGAACTCCTCGACCAGAACAGGGGTATCGCTGCCAAAGACCAAATATCATCAACCACAAGAGGGTAGGTATTACTGCCAAACGGGCAAACCAAACGCCATCATTATGCCGAAGAGGCAAACCAAACGCAATCATTACTGCCAGACAGGCAAACCAAACGAAGCCAGCCAACCAACGAAAAACATAAAAATGTCGACCAAGACTCTGTGTGTAACAAGAGTGTTCCCAACCTGAAAAACCACCAAGTCCATCATCACCAGTCTCGGTGGCAAGAAACAGTGTCTGTCTGAAATGAAACCACCAAACCCGTCAACCTCTGTGACAAAGCGAGCCAAACCGAACCTCCACCAACATCATCATAATCTCGTAGGAGAGAGAAAAAAAGCCAACCCCATCACCCCCACCATCACAGCACGTCACCAAACACCGCATCAGTGAAGTCCGCGACGTCCCACACAATCGGCGCGCCGTAATCGGGGAACAAGTACGCCACACGACTCGCGAACTCGTCGTCCCAGCCGGCGGCTCCCCGGACCTGTGCCCAGGAGTTGAGGATCACCCCCGGGCCGCCGTCGTGACCGTGACCGTGACCGTGACCGTGACCGTGACCGTGACCGTGACCCTCGCCGCGGAATCGGCCCGGGTAGATGCGCGGGTCCGGCCTCAGGTGGACGTACCGCCGGTCCTCGCGGCAGAGCAGCAGGCGCGGCGTGAAGGGCCGGACGGTCCCGTCGGCCGCCTCGGCGAACCGGTAGCGCGCGGGCAGCGAGTTCCACGTCCACACCGCCGCCGCCCACATGATGGAGTCGCGGCTCAGGTCGGTGCGGAACCGGTCGTCCTGGGAGCGCCAGACGCGGGACGGGTTGCCGGGCTCGGGGCAGTCGCTGCGGAAGGTCGGGCTGTACGGGAAGGGGAGCCCGTTCGTCTCGCAGAACTCGGAGAGCGGGGAGAACCGGTCGAAGGCGAGCACCTCGGCGAGAAGGAAGAGGTGGGTGTCGTCGTAGTTGTCCTCGGCCATGTCTTCCGGTAGCTCGATGAAGTCTGTGCTCTCGTAGATGGCGGAGGCGATCAACTGGCCGTCGGGTGCGTTGGCCGGAGCAGTCATCTCAGCCTCGGGCTCGTCGACGCCAGTCTCAGTCTCGGCTTCTTCCTCCTCGAAGTCCTCGTCGCCAAAGAGGTCGCCATCGCTGACGTCTTCCGTCATGGCTCCGAAGAGCGAGTCATTGTCGTCATCGCCGTCGTCGGCGGGAGTGGTAGTCGCCAGGACGTCGGTTACGTCCTCCGGAGTGCCAGTCCTGACCTCGTCGGTGACGACCGGAGAAGGAACAGGGGCCTGTCTGGTTTGCTCGGAAATTGTGCGGACGAGCGACAGCGGGGGGCCAACGTGTTGGACCAGCGACGAGGGAGGGACAACAGGAGGATAAAACGGCCGAGGGGGCTGGATAGAGGGGCCGACCATGGGGGGGATGATGGGAGGTAGGATCATCTGGTCAGACCCAGCGGCGGAAGTCGATGCCTGGCTCTGGGCATGGGCGACGCAGGTGGCTTGGTTGCCGTACCAGCTGGGGGGCTCGATGACCGGGGAATAAGAAGCCACGGCATTGGCTTGCTGGCGGAAGGCCGAAGGCGGAAGAGGGACCCAGTCGCTTGGGGGTAGAATGGGCGCGCCAGAGTCGAACTGGCTGGCCGGGAGCTGAATGGCCGAAGGAGGGGGAGGGGCCCAGCATGGAGGGGGCAGAATGGGCTGCTCGGCAGCACCACTCGGGACATTACCACTGGCCGAGGCAACCGAGTTGTCCTTCTTGCCGGCGGCTTTCTTACCCTTGCCAGCAGCGCGCTTCCGGGGAGTCGTCTTCGGCGTCTCCTCGGCAGCCGGCTCGCCTGCCGGGAAGAGGCAGCTGGAGAGGCTCTGGGCCGTGGCCAAATCGCCTGCCCGAAGAGCGGCCTGTAGAGAAGCCGAATCTTCAGGGCTCATGACAGTCTGCCCGCCGGTCGAATCTTTGGCCCCGGTCTTGTTCTTGGCCGCCTTCTTCTGGCGCGACTTGGGGAGCCCTCCGGGCAGGGGAATGAACGTCAGCCCGCCATTGATGAAGATGCCGGCTTCTCCGTTCACCTCCACCACGTTTGGCACGCAAACGCTCTTGCCGGTGTTGTTATTGGCGCCAGTGGACGATTGGCCGGCACTGGATCCAGGATGGGGAGTCGCTGGGGCAGGAGAAGCGGCGGACGATGCAGCCGGTGAAGAGCCGTTGGTCAAAGCCGGCGAGGGCGAAGCGGTTCGGCTGCTGGTGCTCTGAGCAGGAACGAATGCTGTGGGCTCCGTGCTGAGAACAGGCTTCGAGAGCGAGTCCAGGACCGCTTGGGCACACCTTTTATGAACCTGGATCGTCTTCTCGCGGTTTTCAGGCTTGAGAGGCAGCGAACCTGGCCAGATCGGGATGCCAAATACCGAGCTCTCCTTCTCGGCTTCCTCCAGGATTACCTTGATCGTCTCCATTGCTACCTTGTTAACAATGGAGAGTACCCGCTTCTCGACATGCGGGTTGGCTGCCGCTAGCTCGGCGACCACATTGGCATGCCCGAACAGACCGTCCTGGCCCTCCTCCTGGGACATTCCAGTGGAAACCTTCTTGGCAGATCTATCGTCAAGATCCGCCTCGGCCTTGCGCTTGTTGGGCGAGGCAGCTTCGGGGGTCCCGGCGGTGGCTTCTGGGGTGACGGGGGTCGACAGGGCCGCCGAACTGAAAACGACCGTGGCCTTGGGGCGCTTTGCGTTCTCGCGCATCCCAAAGGCCAATCGGCCGTAGGTCTTGTCCTCGGCCGGGCCAGCCATGCTGAGGAGAGACTGGAGCATGTGGAGGCCGGCCTAAATTGTTTGGTTAGCTTAAAATGAAGGTGGGTAGCCAGTAGTGGTCGATAATATATAGGACTTACCGAGCTCTCCTGGGCGGGCTGCCCCTCGACCACTTGCGCTGGCTGCTCCTGGGGTTGCTGGGCGGTGGGCAAGGTGAGCTGGAAGCCAGCCGGAGCCGGTCCAGACCCGGTACTCACATTGGTCGCCATGGTATCTTGAAGAAGAGATAAATTTTAGTATAAGGATTACCTTGCGTGACTTGGAGATGAGAGAGAGACGGGGTTGGTTGAGGTGAAGATATCAAGTAATGTGTGGACGGAGGGCGAGAGAGGAGCGGGACTGAGTAGAAATTTTGTAACTTACTCGTAGAAGAAGATGCAGAAGATGCTCGATGATGGTTTTCGGAGGTGCGAATATGAGAAGCACAGGCTGATGAGCGGATGTAGTGGTTAGTAAGTTGTTGAGTCCAAGGCGGCCAGGAGAGAAGTAATATGGGGAGAAGGAGGGGTGAGTCGAGGTGAAGATATCAAGTAGATGTGTGGTCCGAGGGAGGTGAGGGGCGGAGTGGAAATTTTCGACTTACTGGTAGAAGAAGAAGAGAGATGAGGTTTCTCGGAGACAGAAATACGAGAAGAGCTGGCTGATGGATGGGAGTGTTGGTTAGAAGCTGTCAAGCTCAAGGTGGCTAGGAGTAAGAAGTGATATGGGGAAAGGGAAAGGTGGTTTGGGGGATGAAGTGGGTTCTACATACTGGGAGGAGAGAGTGTGGGTGCTGGAATTTTGTATTGTGAGTAAAGATATCGAGGTTGCACGGCGAAAAAGTGTGGGTTTGAGAGAGAGGGTTCGGAAGAGAGGGCTCGGAAGAGAGGGCTCGAGAGAGGGCTCGAGGAAGAGCAGAAGCGAGTTACCAGAGAAGGTCACGGGGACAGGGAGAAGTAAAAGGGTGGAAGAATGTGAAGTGAGAGTGATGTTTGTTTACTTACCGGTCGGGAGTGTGGTGCCTAGTGAAGAAAAAGTGAAGTTAGCAACTGGATTGGCAGAGTCACAACGCGTCAAGGAGTATGAAGGAAAGGGGCGCTTACTACCTGAGCCCGGAGTAGCCCTCGAATGGGAACTTGTGTTCGAGGCTGAGGCAAGTCAGTATCAACGGCCTCGGCCCCAGTCGATCTACGATTTACGGACAGATATTGGATAACTGGCGGGCGGAGAGGAGGGAGGAGGACGGAGGTAGGAATGCAGGGGTTGGCTCACCGGAATCTGAGACCCAAGTGATCTCCTCAGACTCTGCCAAGAACATGTCCTCTAGCTCCTGATCGTTGATAGTCTCTTCAACGGCTGCTTCCTCGTTTGCCGCCGTTGACCAACTAATCTCTTCAGGTGCCGCCATGAACAAGTCATGAAGCTCGTCGTCGTCGGCGTTAGTTTCTCCGTTGGACACGGGCCCGGCCACGGCCCCTTTTCCGCTCGGTTCTTGCTTCTCCTTTTCGGCCCAGCTGAGTTTCCGGGGCTGCTGCTTCGCTTTGGCAGCAGCTTTGGAGCGGGGCTTGCTCGTTTGGACCTGCCACTGGACGTAGTCCTCGCGACTCTTGAAGGCCCGCGGCCCTATTCCAGGTACCCAGACATTAAAGCCCGTATGGGCGCGAAGATCGGAATCCCAAGTCATGGTTGATATTGATAATCTTCTTGGGTTGTTGATGGTTAGAGAGGGGATGAAATGGAAGAGAGGTTTGGGACGTTGCGTAGGAGAGGTTTGAAATGGAAAAGAGCTGTGGGAAGAAGAGAGGAGGTGAGTCAGAGAAGTAGAGTTGGCGAAGTAAATAGTCCGGAACCTAATCGATATGAATAAGGGGAAGTCGATAGAAAGGATATTACGGTTAGACTCCGAGCACTGTGGTGCGAGGACCGAGTCTGGAGCGTATGGCCCGCGGTTCGATGGGCTTCGATCGAAAGTCATGACTCCCAGCGACGGTAGAGCATACGGGGTCATCGACCGAGTCTCTGGCTGCCCGGGACTTCCCCTACGCCCACCAACATCTGTGACGAGCTGTGAAATTTATTTCGACTTGAAAGTAGGCGCTTCACCCGATCAAAACCTCGAGCAAACCGCCAATGACATAAGCAGAGTGGTGCTTCCCGGCCATGTGCAGTGACTGGAGTACATCCCAGTTCCGTACAATAAACGGATTCAAGTCTGTGTTGACAAAGTTCTGCGGGGGTTAAGGGGCAAATTCACCAGGGGGTGTGAAGACGACGACGCCGAGACTCGATGGTCAGAACCAAGAAAAGTATATTACGGCACACCACTCGCCGTATAAAACGATATCCATCCTTCACATAGACTTCGATGGTGGAGAGACTGAATTGCATATATATATGGTTGGGATAGGGGCTCTGGTGTCAGATTAAGGGGTTGGGAATACATTGACGTATTTTGGACCGGCGATACGATACAGCTTGTTTGCCACTGTATCCGCTCCACGACATTGCCAGCCTTCGATCTGCTTCGAAAAAAGTCAATTTATGGCTTAGCATTTAACCTATATTGCGATGATCTGGGAACAACTCACTGAACCATGGACGTACCGACGTGGCTTTGGCGTAAAGGTCCTGAAAAGCTTCTATCCGCTTCGAGTCCGCAACAATTGGCCAGTGTAAGGTTTTGCTAAGCAATTTCCTTCGTCGTAACAAAATCGTCCGAGGTACAGCAATCCGATGAGAAAAGAAAATTAAAACGAAGTTGTTCAGGGCAGCCGGAGGGGCTGCAATGTGATATACCGTTAATTCATGATACCTCCTCAACCATCTTCTCCCCGCCGAGTCCATGCCCCCCGCCGAAAACTCGTCCGGCGGGCCCGGCGAGCATCTCCTCCGGTAGAGCGACCCGAATACCATCCTTGGTGCTAACCCAGCGGATGAATGCTGGATTCGCCTTCGGACCCTCATTGTCGGGAGTCTCGTCGCCGGGTAGGAGAGCAGTACGACGGTTGGTCTTGGGAGCTTGCTTCTTGAGAAGCTTGTTGATGGTTTCCATCTGAAAATTTTAATCAGCCTCAGGTTCGACAGGAATAAGCGGGAACTCAAAGATCCAGTAGCTACCTTGACCTCCTCGTTGCGCTTCTCGCTCAAGTTCCGCCTGCGACGAGCCATCTCGGCCCGCCTCATGGACAGCTCTTCAGCCGTGAAAACCTTCTTGGCTTGGACCTCTGCAGAAATCGGGTTAGCCTTATCCGTGATAAGCAGTAAGCAGTAGGAAGCTCTTACCATCAGACAGCTTCATGTACTCTTGCGCCACATCGCCATGCTTAGCCCGTTGCCGCGCCGTCATCCGAGATAAATCCGGCGTCTCGGCACGGCTGCCCCCAGCGGGGGTCTCCCCGTCGCTATCGAGAGCCTCCTCCTCTTCCTCCTCATCAGCCTCAGCATCTTCCTCGGCATCTTCGTCAGCAACCTCGATCTCTTCGCCCTCCGCGTCAGGATCCTCATCTTCGTCTTCGGCCGGTCTCTCACCGCCTACTTCGACGGTGTCATTGATCTCTTCCTCAGGCTCGCTCTCCAAGTCGCTCAGTTCCTCATCCTCATCCTCATTGACCCTGGAGGACGATTTCTGCGCGCTTGCCCCAGATGCCCTGATAGAGGACTTCGGGAGACGTGCATTTCTGGCCTTAGCAGAAGGGGCGCCGCCTCTGGCGGGCTTGGAAATTTTGATAGTAGGAGGCGGGGGTAGCGGGGCAACATCCATGTCGACATCGCCCTCAGCATCCTCGTCACCCAGATCATCGTCGTCGCCTTGTGCGTCAACATCCATATTTTCCTCATCAACTTCCTCGCCATCAGCATCCTCCTCACCAAGATCTTCCATCTCCTCGTCTTCGTCTTCTTCTTCTTCTTCTTCTTCCTCCTCCTCGTCCTCATCGTCGTCGTCATCCTGTCCGCCGAGATTGCCGACCTGGATCTCGTCCTCCCCTTCCTCCTCTTCCTCATCGTCATCACTCTCGCTCTCTACAACATAGCTCTTCTTTCCGCCCCGGGTGCTCCGCTTAGCGGCAACTATCTCGTCGCCGACGAATTGCTCACGGCGACCTACCGCTATAGAGCTCGCACCGCGTTTGTTGGCGGTGGTGGCCTGGCGCAGCTTGCTTGAAGGGAGCTTGACCGTGAGATGCATGTGTTGATCCGAGTCTGCGAGGCTGCTCGCGGGAGATGACGAGGGTGCGTGGCGTGATACAGAAGCAACCCCCCGGCCATCTGTGGAGCGGCGTGAGCGGGATGACATTGTCCGCTCGTTATCTCTGTCGGCCATGTCAGTGATTGCTTCCGTTGCCCGCTGGGCCGCCGAGCGGCGAGGTCTCGAAGACATTGTGGATGTGTGATTGTGTGGGCGGAGGAGGAAGACGAATAATAAAAATGAAGAATGGCTGTCCAGGGACGTGGGAGACTTTGTGTGTGTTTATGACAGGTGGCGGAAAAGATGCTGGATATGATTGAAGGGTTCTGATAGTGGGGGTGTATGAAAAGGTTGTGGGATGGTTGTGAGATGGTGAGATGGCAGGTCGTTGAAATAAGCTCGACCAACAAATTTAAAAGTCTTGGGCGACAAAGAGAAGCGAAGAGGGAAGGGGCAATCAAGCGCAAGGCTCAGTTGCATCCTGTGTGCAGCCGCTGCGCTTCCCGCCATCCACAAACTGCCTGCCTTGACAGTGAATCCCTCAGCCAACCTTGTTTGGCCAACCCCGAGCGTCAAGCCAATAGGGCTCGACAAACAATGACGAAATACATGGAAGATATTCCCGGTTTACAGCAACTGACTTGATCTGTTTGGGTGGCCTCTGCCGACATCCATATGACGGGCAATTGCCAAGAAGGGGACAAATCACAGATTCAAGGTTCCCCTTCTTCCCCTCTCCCTCTCTGCCTTTTCGGGGTTGCGCTATGCTGACATGGGGTTGGGGCTGGGGCCTAGAAAGCGAAATAGCAAACTCACACTTTGACTGGAAAGGCGCAATTGATCGTTGTGGCGTGTGTACGTATTTCGTACGCCGCAGCCAAGATTTTGCAATACCGACTGTCGATTGGAGAGGTCGTCTCGATGTGGCCTGACGGCCCCTTGCTTTCGGCTGTGTAAAAAGGCGTGTCGGCAATCGATGATTGGTATACAAGAGGTGTCACCCCACTTCAGCCCTTGAGTCTAGTACAAAGGAGATAGGTATTGCTCTTCAGAAACAATCCTGGAGATCTCTGCTGGCGCAAACTCGAAGGGCCCAAGTGTTAAGCTTGGGGGTCGCGATGCTCGGATCTGGCTGTCTCTGGACGTAGTTGAGTTGGCGAATTAGGGGCAAATGGAGGCCTCAATAAAGATGGGTGAACCCGTTGTGCTTCTTAGTGTCTTGAGCAATGATATCTTGAGTCTTACGGCCTAGAATCTATAAAAGTGGCAATTCTGAGCTCGTTATCGTCGTTGGAAGCAACCGCTGTGATGATCCAGATTCCAGATGTGGGACGACCCCCCTGTTCCCACTGCCGGAGATCTGCCGCCTGGGTTCCATTACGTGCCGGGCCGTCACAGGCCGAGCTATGAAGCTGCCGCCTGGCATTATGAGCCGAGGCACGTCATGTTCGGCAAGGAAGACGATAAGCAGCCATCGTTTATCGAAATCGGGTTCCATCGCCTTGGCCCCTTCTTCAGGTTGTCTCCCGGGAGTGCTAATGTCTCAAGGGCAGCCCCAACAGTCCGACAATGGGGAACTCTGAACAAGATTCCAATTCCGGGATTCCGGCATGGCAGAGATCCCAATCCGCCGCCGCCGACCCTGGTTCCGACCCGCCAGTCCCAGAAGCTACAGCTACCATAGACCAAGCGAGGAAGTTCCTTGAGGATGAAGAAGTACAGAAGGCCACGAGAGAGCGCAAAGTCGAGTTCTTGAAGAGCAAGGGTATTGAGGAAGGCGTTATCCTCGAGCTCCTGAATGAAGAAGGAAAGAAAGCGCTGCCAAAGGTTAGTGGCTTCCTCGACCGTCCCCAAAGTTTGTTTAGACTGATTCTGACCGTCGCTGCAAAAGGCTGTTGAAGATGCTGCGCAAGAGCCCACGACGGCTTCTACGAGTCCCGATACCGTGACAGCCGAGGCAAAAGAAGACCGCCCGCCGATTGTCACATATCCTGAATTCCTCACCAAGCCCGCTCGAGCGCCTCCATTAGTTACCGCCAATGGGTTTCTCAACACTCTATATACGTTTGCCGGCATATCCACCCTTATTTACGGCACAAGCAACTTCGTGCTGACACCCATGGTTGAATCCCTTACCGAGGCGAGAGTGTCTTTACATGACACCGCGAACCAGAACCTTGGCAAACTGGTGACGAAGCTTGAGGACATTGTATCCGAGATACCGGGCGCGAAGAAGGCAGATTCGACAGGGCACCCCTTGGAAGACGACGAAGACACCGAGTACGATGACCCGACGGAGATGTTTCATCGTGACATTGGAGTCCAGACTTCCCTACCATCCAGCCCTGTAGAAGGCACAGGGCAGACATTGATGTTGACAGAGAGTCCGAGCATACAGCAGGCGCGCCGGCTGAGGGAGCTGGTAGCATCGGCCAAGGAGATCAGCGGGGGCATTATTGCGCACAGCGAGGACTACGCAGATGTCAAGACTCTTCTCGACGTTTTCAAAGACGAGATGGATCAGTTGAGTTATCCTATACATGATTTTGTTGGCAGCAGCTCGCTGTACGGCGGTATCAATAGGAACGAGCCGGACGATGAAATCAAGAGAGCCAAGGAGAACATTCGGCGCGTCAAGGGAGTCTTACTGAGCGCCCGCAGCTTCCCGGCCGGCACCAGGTAGCGATTTGAGAGGCCCGAGGGCGGGGATTGACTTGTATTATCAACGAGGGAACATGCCAGGAGCGTTGAGTGGAGGAGGATGTTCTACGGATTACACTGGCACAATATCTATCTACTGCGTATAAGTAGTATGACCTCTATTTGTAGACCTGCAAATGCAACGAATTCCATATCACATATCTACAGGTACAAAGGAGGGGTGTACGGACTTGGTAGGAAATACAGATTACATACTGCATACCTATCATTGGTATCACTGACTGAATTTAGTCCGCCCTTGGCGGCCATGTGATCGCAAAACCCTGACCACCCCTGGATGCGAGACAGCGGGGTTTGGTCTCGAGCTGCCCCTCGAATTGTTTCGCTGCGGAGAAAGACGATGGGATATGGGTGTCGCGGTATGCGGCTAGGTCAGATAGCTTGGAAACAAGCAATTGGACTGGCCCACGGCGCGATACGCTATTGTTGGATTATCTTGGTAGGCGTACACTCGCATACCTACCTACCATTTGTATGGCGCTGAGACGGAGGATGGCGCTGCACTCCAAGTCACACGACGCGGGAAGGCGAACATGATCTGTTGCATTGCCTCCTCCTCCATGTGCCCCTCCTCCTATGTTCCAGCCTGTGTGGTACACTCCTCGCCGATTTGCGCGTTGGAGCTCAATTTGGTGAGATTTACTGAGTAGCCACCAGGCTGCATGCCGATCCCTGCCCTGTTGGGGGACAGGCGGAGAGACCTCGCGCCAGCATGGGCGATCATGATTAACCTGGTTGCCTAGGTATGTACAGTACAGTACCTTCTCCATAGTTTTTGCTTCAAGCAGCATTTTTAAGTTCATCGGCAGGCCCGTCCGTCTGCGCAGCACGGCAAGTGCCGCAATTCGCATTGAGTCAAGCCAATGGTAAGATGAAATGTCATGATCGAGGTGGTGACAAACAGGTGCATGAGGCCGTGAGTCAATGCGTTGGATGCCAAACCGCGGAAGGATTGCTTTAAATATCATGCCACCATCTTTCCTCTCCAAATCCAGAACGCCCCGCACTGGTCGTACAGGTTCAGGTTCATTCTGAGCGGCCTTGTCCCTTCCCTACCCTGGCCCCGTGCCTAAGCGAGTTCTTCCCCGCCACCGACGGGACCTTGCACGGCTTGACATGCAACCAGCGACTAGCTATATAAAGTCCAACCCGCATTTCGAGGCCGCAGGTGGCGAGCAAGGCCTTTGTTGTTGGAGGCCGACTTCCAGTGTCTTGCCGCACTCGACGCTCTTCGACGCTTCCACTCGTCCCGAAAAGATGTTGTTTTCCGACCTGTACAAATCCCCGAGGTCGCCATTGTCCAAGTTGCGCAACTCGCTGCCACACGCAGCGCCCGTTCTATCGCCTGACTACGACGCAGATCTCGTGAGCAAAGACAAAGCCAAGCAAAAAGAGGCCGTAAGGAGATATCTCGCGGACAAGGTTCGCAATGATTGGGAATTTTCTTGGCCACCACAGCCCTCAGAAACGCCTGCGCCTCTGGAGCAAGGGAAGCAAGGAGAGCAAAAAACCTTGGCAGCCGAATCCTTAGAGGGGCACACGGCAGCCAGCTCCGATGCCGAAGCCAGCGCTAATACCGGTCCCCCCGCTGCTGACAGTACCCCGCCCGACGCTGAGGCGGACAGGTCAGCAATCTCTCCAGCTCCCGTAGAAGGCGGCGAGGAAGCAATAGAAGAGTCGGGCGACTCCGAGTCGGACACCGAATCGGTGTATTCCACCGTCTCAGAAGATGCGGCACACTTCCGTTCCCGTGCCGAGTGGATATCCGACCTCTCGGACGACGACTTGCCACCCTCGGGCACATCGCCCTTCCGGTTCGACAGCCCCGATGCCGTCGGCACAGCAGTGCAGGCGTCCATCGTCGCGGGGAAAGCCCGGCGGCGCAGACAGCTGCGCGAAGAGGCGACCTGGAACAAGGGGCTGGCCTGCTTCATGGCCCGGCGTGATGCCTGGACCAAATCCAGGACGGCCCGCCTGAAGCCGAAACCGACCTGCCCCGTCTCTCCTTCGTCGCCGCGCCGGCTCTTCTGGCGGTCCCATACACGCACCGAGTCGAGCTCCTCCTCCACCGCCCCGCAGACACCCATCCCGCTCAGCACAGTAATGTCCGCGCCGACGACCTCCATGTCCTCTCCCCTGTCCCCCATGCCGACCCACCACTCGCACACCTCCCAGCCGGCCGCCGACAGCGAGATCACGCCGCCCCCCTCGGAGCCCGACTCGTCCTCCCTCACCAAGCAGCAGACCCGGACCCTCTACCCCGTCGAGACCCTCCTGCCCGTCCCCGCGCCGCTCATCCCCGCCCAGAACCCCATGCGCGCGTCCATCGGCCCGTCCATCTACCCGTCCCTCTACGACAAGCTCGTCGTCAGCGGCCTGCAGCCCTCGTGCCCCATCAACCTCGGCGACATGGTGCGCGCCTGCGTCGTCGGCTGGAAGCGCGACGGCGAGTGGCCCCCGCGGCCCGTGGCCGAGCCCCCCCATTCCACTTCTGCCGCCGCCGCCGCCGCAGCCGCTGCCGCAGCCGTCGTGGTCGTCCGCCGCCGCAAGGAGAAGCAGCAGGCGCACGCGCCGGGCCAGGGCCAGGGCCGGGGCCAGGGCCAGGGCGGACAACACAGCAGGAAGGGCAGCACGGCGACGACGGCGCCGCGGAGGCTGAGCTTCGGGGGGTTCCTGGAGAGGGTCAGCGGGGAGAGGGAGAAGGGGGAGAGGGAGAGGGAGAAGGACGGCAAGGACAACAACCACAACAATAACAATAACAACAACAACAACAACAACAACAGGGAGGATGAGGAGCCCGGGTCGGTGATGGGGAGGGGCATTAGGAGGAGCCTGCAGAAGGTCCTTGGGCTGGGCTTCGGCCATGCCAGCGGTGGCAATGCGGGTAATGATCATAACGCATCTCACCCGCCGGCGCCTGAGGCGGACGAGAAGAACGGCGATCAGCACGCAAAGGAAGTTACGGCTGCGGGTTAAATGTGATTTTTTATTATTTCCATCTGCCTTGGTTGGTTCTGCGGGCTGGTGTTTCTGGTCAGGCATCCCATACGTGGGATGGCAGGGGAAGGGGGGGAGGGGATAATGGTGGCTCGGTGAAATGGCATGGACTGGTTTTGCATAGGTACTTCGCTAACACATTTGGCATGTCGTCGCCTAAGGTCATCGTCATGATACCCGATTCCAGCCTTCTCGGCGTTGCGTATTTATGATGTTACTATTGAGGGAGTAGGTGCTTTCTACGGGGGTGTTTCAACATTTAACCCGTTTCTAGTATCCCAGTGCCCGAAATCTGCAGGATGGCTACCTAGGTAATGATCAATGCAAGGAAAGGAAAGGAAGCAATACAAATATATACCGACGTGACATTACCCCAATCTGTGGGTTGCCGAGGTGGTTTAAAAATTACTCAAGTCTACTACAAGTTCCTCTACCCCGTTCTTTACAATCATATTCTCGTCCTCTATCAGGTCTAGAATATCACCGTCTTCCAATGTTTCTCTCCCTCTTTACCCCCCCCCTCTCTCTCCCCTTACATGCCAGAGATCCTCATTGCTCCATAGCCAACAGTGATCACGACGATCAGCGAGAGCACGCTGCTGGGCACACCTCTGCTGATGAAGTGCTCCACGCGCAGATACCGCTGGCCCGCTGGGTCTTCCTTCATAATGGCAGCTAGGCAAAACCGCGTTAGTATTTTGAATCAAAGTCCCCGACATATCATGGAGAAAGAAAACTCACTCATATTCGGGAATCCGCTCGTGGGCAGCCCCATGGCGGCGCTGCACATGAGGACGCCGGCCATGACGAGCAGGTTCGGGTGGGGCTCGTCCATCTTCATGCCGACGTCTGCGACGAGCGGCAGGAGGATGAGGGCGGCGACGGTGTGGCTGATGAAGGTGGCGATGACGAGGATGAGGCAGGAGAAGACGACGAGGACGCCGTACAGGCTCATGCCCTGCACCTCGCGCGAGATGCCCTCGGCGACGGTGTGCAGGAGGCCCGACGACTTGACGGCCTTGCCGAGCGACAGACCGCCCGCGGCGAGGATGATGATGGTCCAGGGGAAGTTGTTAAAGTCCTCCTTGGTCAGTATGCCTACGCCGAAGAAGAGGGCTATCGGGATGATGGCGATCACGCCCATGTCGCCGAACACCTTCTCGAGCTGGTTGCTCGCGCACCACAGGCCGATGGTGGCCAACGTAACGACCGTGACGTACCACTGGATGCCCGAGAACGGGTCTCTAACGGGCCGGATGGCGACGATCGTGGTGCCCTTGCCCGGCTTGAACGACACCAGGAGTAGTAGCCATATGAGCACGAGCGATATGATGCCGACGGGGATCACAATGAAGAACCACTGGCCCCATGTGGGCGGGGGTTCCATGATGCCGATCGCGACGACGTTCTGCGGCGAGGCAATGGGCGACAGCATGCCGCCGATGTTCGAGGCGAGCGCAATCCCCATGATCACGGCCTTGGACATGTTCGAACCGGCCGGTAAATTGCGGAGCATCGGCTGGGGAAAAGATATATGTTAGGGGCATGGCTCTTCATCCCGATGGCTTGGGTTGACTCACCTCGATGATGCCGAAGCACAAGACGGGGGCCGCAACGTTACTGATCAGCATACTTGCGAACGCAGCGACCAGCATGTTCGCTATGAGGACCGTTCTCGGCCGGGTTCCCGCCTTGCTCAGCACAAATGTCGCTATCCTCTTATCGATCATGCACTTGGACAAGGCGGCGGCGAGAGTGAAGCCACCCAAGAGAAGCATGATGACCGGAGTCCACATGGCAGAGAAGATATACGCTGTCGCTTCCTTGGATTCCAGTCTCTTGTAGGGTGCCTCGTCTTGACGCACAACTCTGAGTACGACACAGAGGAAGGGGATACACATTGAAGTAACAAACAACGGAATGGCCTGTGGAGAAAGTTAGGGCGATCCTACCCCACGGGGTGTTGATTTTGAGACATGCTTACCTCGGTGGCCCAGAGCAGACTGACGAAGATCAGCAAGGCCAGACAGTTCTGTTGCTCCGGCTTCCTCATGATGGGAATAAATAACAGTGCCAGGAAAATGCCGACAATCGCAATGAGAGTCAGCATAGTCGAGCCGAGGAGCCATGTCGGGCAAGTAAATCTGCCCACTGGCGTCCATATCTCCTTTGACCGAGGGAGGCGCTCGTCGTCCCCCTGGAGAATGGTCGGATCAGCATCCCGACCCAGAAGAGTCCGGCCGAGATTCGCGGCCTCGGCACGTCGTTCCATGCCGATCATGTCTCTCCAGACGGTGTTACGCTCCCAGACGACATGCTCCCTCAGGTGAGAGCGCAAGTCTCTCCTGGCGGCCTCCTCGTCACCGTCTGTGACGACCTGAGTATACGCCTTTTCCATCTCGGCAATGTTGGCCTCCAGCTCCTTCATGGTCTCTGGCCGGAAAGGATATGCCGGCTCGACAACGGTGCTCATATACTTGGGCCTTAACTGCCTGTCGAGGATTTTGTCAAACTTCTTGAGAACTTTCCTGAAGCCCGTCTTGTTGAGCTGGACGTAAGACTTGAGCTCGCACAGCGAGACGTAGAGATTGATGATTCTCTTCTTGAGCATGATGCCGGACGAGAATAACTCAACTTGCTCTGCATAGTCGTCAAATGCTATGCTGTGCCGCCGATTTGACCTTGTGAGCTCGCTTGAAGCCGTCATTTCAGTCGGCGCAACGGGATTCGCCCTTCGTCTACCAACGAGGCTCACACGTTTCTTCTGCGCTGTAAGACCGGTGGTCTCCCCCCCTTCGTCTTCACTGTCCTCGGACGCATCCTCGTCGGAATGCGCACTGCGCGTGCTGCCTGTTCGCTGCCTTGTGAGGCGTCCCCCATCGCTGGGTGGTTGTCCAGCGCCCTCTTCGTCCAGTGTCCCGATATCCGCCAAGAGCTCGTCGACTTCATCACATAGTTCCTTCTCTTTGACATTGAAGAAGGACGAGATCTTTTCAAGCTCTACATCGAGTGCGCGTGCCAAGATGGCTTCGGGTTCCTCGTTCTGGATAAGAGGTCGCGATTCTGCGTCGCCGACGCCAGCTTGGTGGACGGTCTTCTCGAGCTGGTAGATTCTTGGTGGGCAACATGTCAGCATAACTCACGTCAAGATGCAGGGTTGCAGCCAAGGATCGTACAGCTTCTTGATGTTGCTATAGGCGATGTAATGGCTGCTCCAGTCCGGAACGGCGTTGAACTGGATGCTGTGGGAGAACCTCATCTCGTCCTGTTCGTCGAGCCAACGACGTTTTTTGCTTCTCTTGGCCTGCTTGAGGAATTCTTTGGTCTCTCCCTCTTTCCGGGTTTGAATATCAGCGTAATCTATCAGCTCGTACTCCTCCGCGCTGTGCCGTGGTCCGCCTTGATGCGCTGTTCTCCCTCCCCTGTCCAAAGGGCCTGATAGTGGTTCTCGGGTTCCGGCAGGCGGTGTTCGGGCAAGACCAGCTTCGCGGCTAGAGGAGGGGAATTCGGACTTGGGTAGAGAGTATATTTTTGAAGCTGTTGCCCTCGAGGGCTTTGGAATTGTAGCAAATGACCAGTCATGGATGAGCCCGCCACTAGCACTAGGGCATCACTGACGAATGACTGTGTTTGGATTGGGTGTGTTGGTGTACCTTCCGCTTCTCGACACAAATTGACCAGTGTGTTTTGCTAGAACCCCCCGACATTGAGAGTGACTGTTCTTCGTTTGTGTCGCCCCCAAGGACGCCAAGGTGCTTCACAAATCTCTTGCTCAGGGACCAATAGTACGATGCGGATATGGCAGGTGCCCGAGGTAGTCTGCACACGATGTCTTAGGCGCGGCACGGACCAGGGCCCAGGTGTGCCAATTACGCAGTAATTCATGATGCCTTAGGGATAGGGTTATATAAGACTGGCTTCTCTGTGCCGACATACCTTCTATCTCAATTCACCCCCGAGAACTATATGCCCCCAAATATGTATTGAGCACGGGGCCTGAGCTGTAGTGGCTGCTTTAACCTGAGCAGACAGAGGCTGAGCCACCCTAAAGCCCCCCGAGCCCCCTGGAGCTGAGCAGTCGCTGTTGTTTTAGCGCTTGGATAAGCCTGCCACCAGTGACGCTGGAGGCATGGATAGGCATGCCACGTCGCTGGACGCGTCGCTCCTAGGCTGCAGGCTTCGCGCGTTGGTCAATCATTCTCCTCCACCCTCTATCATTTTCCACTTATCCGTGGCTACCTGGTCGCGTACTATGAACGCACTTGGAGGCTTGTGGTGCTGGTAATTCCTTCCTTAGGCTGGGAAAATACGCGACTGATTGATCTTACGTAGACAGGTGTTCACCAGTACTGGTCTCCCAGGTTCGTTAGCATCCTGATACTGGTTTCTAGCGCTCACATGTGGTTTCTTCCCAGTCCTGGCTGTGGTCGCTTCTGTCATAGGCCTGTCTCTGGGTGCATGCAAGCGCGTGATTATATTCCCCCGTATGCTACATACTAGTAGTATGTCGTCCCGTAGTCCACCTCCGCCAGGGGCCGCCGAAGAGGCGAACGGGTCTTTTGGGCAGAGCCACATCATACAGCCCCAGTCCGAGCACACCCACACTGCCATTGTGCTCCATGGACGCGGCAGCTGCGCCGAGGAGTTTGCCGAGGAGTTTCTCGCCTCGACCCTCTCGGACGACCGCACCCTCTGCGACAAGATGCCCGGTTGGCGCTGGGTGTTTCCCTCCTCGAAGGAGGTGTGGAGCACTGCTTTCAAAGAGCACATGCCCGCCTGGTTTGAGGCGCACTCCTTGACGGACCCCACCATACGACAAGACCTGCAAGTCGACGGGCTCCTGGAGTCGGTGAGCTATATCTCGCAGATCATGGAAGAGGAGATTGAGCGACTCGGCGGAAACTCGCAGAGACTGGTCCTTGGCGGCATCAGCCAGGGTGGTGCCGTGGGGATGTGGGCTCTGCTCTGCCAGCGAGACGCGACAAGGGGACTGGGGGCTTTCTTTGCAGCCAGCACTTGGCTGCCGTTTGCGGCTAACGTGAAGGATCTCCTGGCTGGTCAGGAGATGCCGCCTGAAAGGGGACGCCTTGGGCTGGAGAGCATGGAACCAAAGGATGCGGTTCTCAGCATGATGCCACCCGTCAACTGGCATGCCCTTCCAGGCTTCTCCGAACAGACCCCAGTGTTTATAGGTCATGGAATCGACGACGCCTACGTGGATGTGGAATTAGGTCGACAAGCAGCGGATGTCCTGGGTCAAGGAGGATGGGAGGTTGAATGGAAAGAGTACGCAGGGGCGGAGGAGGAGGGCCACTGGTTCAAAGTGCCAGATGAGATGGATGATATCTATGCTTTCCTCGTCAAAGTTGCGTCTGCGCAATCAGGCCGTAAAGGAAAAGATGCAGCCTGAGTAAAGTGGCAGCATACAACTCTCAATCGAGCATCTGTGACCACTATCATCTGCGTTGCCCAAGCCAACGGCCAATGAGACAGTCCAGCGAGCACTCCATGGGATATCTGCCAATAGCCTCCGTAGGAAGGTACTCAATCCAACCCTACAACACGGATTTGGGGGCAAAAATCGAGATAATAGATAATGTCTATGCATCCCTCGATAGGTAAATTGAATACTGCTAAATTAACTATTCGTCTGGGTTCCCATTGTCAACCTAGCTAACGGCCTAAGTTATAGGGGAACTCCGTAGATAGGTAGGTACGTACTTTCCCGATGGAGCGGCAAGCTATGATCTGTGCGTCGCCGTCCCGATGCGGTCATCACCCGAGGCGAACCGCGTCGCCGACCTTCCCTGCCTTTATCCACATGCAACCTCGAATCTCGACCGCTGACGACCATCCGGGCCCTACCAGGGAGGCTCGTCACTCCGATACTGTCATTTTTTGTAGGCAGATTATTGCCGAGTCTCGCATGTATCCCCAACCGCGATAGGAACCCAACAGCTTAGGGGCTGGCCGTCGCCATGCTCTCCGCATTCACGGCTCGGCCCATCATCGAGCTCAAGCAGCGGGACAAGTCCAAGATCGAGACTATCCTGGCCTATGGTAACCACTAATTAATGGATGCATAAGTCCCTAGAAGATGGCTAACAAATGGATCAAGGCGACCGTGTGCTCGTCGGGCTCAACACCGGTTCTCTTCGAATATATCGCGTGAACGAGTTTCATCCCCCCTCCTCGTCGAACGCCCCAACGAACGGCGCATCGGTCTCCGAGCCAGACAATGTTCCAACTCGGAACACCGAATCGGGCAGCCGGCCTCCCCCGAGTTCCCAGACTGCGCCGGCGACCAAACCCACTGATCTCCTCCGGGAATTGGATAAGTTCTCTACGCGGGCTATCGAGCAGCTCGCCGTGATCAAGGAGGCGAACACCCTCGTGTCCCTGTCCAATTATGCAATATCCCTTCACGACCTCCAAACCTTTGAGCCCATCGAGTCCCCGCTCCCGGGCACCAAGAATGCCTCGACCTTCGCGGTGACGAGCAACATCGTCAAGGACCCCGCCATGGGGATCCCTGAGATCATCTCCCGCCTGGCAGTGGCCGTCAAGAGGCGGCTGTTGCTGTGGTCGTGGCGCGAGAGCGAGCTTGGCCCAGATGTCGGCGAGATCGTGCTTGCTGAGTCGATCCGGTCAGTCACTTGGGCGAGTGCTACCAAGGTTGTCTGCGGAATGAATGGGGGCTACGTTCTGGTAGATGTCGAGACCCACACTGTGGAGGATGTTCTTGGACCTGGTACAATAAGCGGCAGCACAGGGGCCCAGGGTAGCAAGTTCGGCGCGGTCAGTGTTGCCGGTATGGGGTATATGGGCCTGGGTGGATATGTACCGAAACCGCTGTCGGCAAAACTGGCGGATGGCGAGCTTCTGCTTGCAAAGGACATCAATACCCTCTTCATCAATGACTCCGGCAAGGCCCTGACGAAGCGACAGATCCCGTGGGGGAGCGCGCCGGAGGATATTGGATATAGCTATCCTTACATCCTCGCGCTGCAGGCCCCTTCGAAGGGGACTCTCGAAGTGCGGAACCCGGACACGCTGAGCTTGTTGCAGACTATCAGCCTGCCAGGGGCTTCCGCGCTACACTTCCCGCCGCCCACCGTCAGCCTGGCGCATGCGGGCAAGGGCTTCCACGTTCTCAGCGACAGGGCAGTATGGAAGATGGACGCGACAGACTACGATTCCCAAGTAGATGAGCTGGTCAAAACCGGAAAGCTAGATGAGGCCATCAGCATCTTAAACATGCTGGAGGATGCATTACTCAGCAGTAAGAAGGAGACGTTGAGGGAGGTAAAGATGCAGAAAGCGGAACTATTATTCAAGCAGAAGAAGTATCGCGAGTCAATGGATCTCTTCAACGAAGATGAGGTCCATGCTCCTCCAGAAAGAGTACTCAAGCTTTTTCCCAGGAACATCTCGGGCGATCTCTCGAGGATTCAAGAAGACGGGGAAGACAGGGATGGTGAACCCGAGCATGAGGAAACCAACGGAAACGCAAATGGGGAAGCCTCAAAACCCGATACTTTGAAACCCGACGCCGCAGTCGAGGCTGCCTCACCCCAGAAAGGCGGGGGGGGCTTCGCAAAATACTTGATGGGGCACCGAAAGGCCCATCCGGAGACAGCGTCGATCGTTTCTTCCAGGAAAAGCCAAGAGGAAGACGACGCAGCCAGCACCAAGGGCAGCATCAAGGGCAAGTCCAAAGAGGAACAGGCTCAGGCAGAAAAGGATGCCATGGCTGCCGTCTTGGAGCTGAATGGTTACCTTGCTGGTACACGCGCCAGATTACAAAGGGAAATTGATCCGGCAACAGGGAAACTGAAGCCGCGAAAGTCCCAAAGCGGAACGACGGAAGAAGCTTTCAACTCTCTTCTAACATCGTCACAAGGCAAAGACCACAAGCAGCTAGAGGACGAGCTCAAGAACACGTTTAAAACGGTCGACACGACACTCTTCCGGGCTTATATGTATTCCCGTCCCACCCTGGCCAGTTCCTTGTTCCGGATACCCAATTTTTGCGATCCCGACGTGGTCAACGAGATATTAGTCGAGCACAATCGGTATAACGAGCTCGTGGATTTCTTCTACGGAAAGAAGCTCCATAGGCAAGCCCTACAGCTCCTCAAGAGGTTTGGAGCCCCAGAAAACCCGGACGAGGAGGCACCATCGCTTCATGGCCCGCAGAGGACGGCCATGTATCTTCAGAACCTGCCCCCGGAGATGATAGACTTGATCATCGAGTTCTCCGAATGGGTCCTTAGGAAAGACGCCAAGCTTGGAATCGAGGTATTTCTCGCGGACTCTGAGAACGCCGAGACACTGCCGCGGGACCGTGTCATCAAGTTCCTCGGTGAGATTGATGCCGGGCTCGAGGTGCAATACCTAGAGCACATCATCACGGAGCTGGGCGACAAGACGCCCGACTTCCACAACCGCTTGGTAGAGCTGTTCATACGGCACCTTAAAGAGAAGGCAAAAGATGAGGAGTGGAATGCGCTGATGGAGCGACTGATCCGGTTCCTCCAAGACAGCCAGGAGTATGGCCGCCTACGGGCGTTTGGGCTCATACCAAGAGCCGGTAAGGTGCTCAAGGGCCTGGCGTGATCAACCTTTTACTAATGAATGATAACAGATCCGGATTTCTACGAAGCCCAGGCCGTAGTTCTGAGCAGGATGGAACAACACAAACAAGCCTTGGAGATATACGTCTTTAAGATGGAGGATTATGAAAAAGCGGAGGAGTATGTGATTTGTCCCTGCCGACTATGACATCCTGTACTAACATGCTGCAGCTATTGCAACCGAATCTACAAGGCTCAAGAAGCCCAGCATACTCCGACCGCCCAAAGAAGCGCCGACTCCGCCGACGATGCGGAGGAGGATCCACAGCCATCCATATACCACACGCTCCTGACTCTGTATCTAAACCCCCCACAAGACCAGGCGCCAAATCCAGGTCCGGCGCTCGAGCTCCTCTCCAAGCACGGGTCCCGGCTGTCGGCGGAATCGACGCTCCCCCTCATCCCGGACGCGCTGCCCGTCGCCCAGCTCGAATCGTACTTCCGGGGGAGGATGCGCGCCGCCAACAGCGTCGTCAACGACACGCGCATCGTCGCCGGGCTGCGGAGGACGGGGCTCGTCGCCAGCCAGGCCCTCCTCCTGCTCGGCGACGGCACCCCCGGCGGGCAGGGCGGGAAGAACAGGCGCGTGGTCATCGGCGATGAGAGGGTGTGCGGCGTCTGCCATAAGCGGCTTGGTGGGAGCGTCGTTGCAGTGATGCCTGACAACAGTGTCGTGCACTATGGTTGTCTGGCGAGGGCGAGGTCCGGTGGGCCCGCACAGGTGGCGGGAGGATGGGGTCGGAGCAGCGGGAATGGGGTGTGAGATTAGAAACCCTGTGTGGTCCTGCCCGAACTTTTGCTGTTCATAGATGGGAAACATATACATAGCGAGGTGGATGAAGTTGGCTTGGCACTTGCACGTAGAGGACAATACCCGGCGCATGAGACTGTAGGATAATCTGAGCACAACGTGCAGAGTTTCGGATGGCCGGTGTCGGTCGTGCGAGTCGGGCCTGAGTATTGTTTCTTTGATCTAGTCGTCCTCCTCCTCCGGGACCTCTTCGCCGTAATTCTCTTCCTCCTTGGCCTCGTCCACGCCGGCTGCGCCTGCCTGTCCCTTCGCCGCGCCGGCGTCCCGAGCCTTGTCTTCCTCCATCCGAGCCGTCAGATCTTGGTTCACCTTATCTTGCATCTGCCCTACGGCCTTGCGCAGGTCCTTCAGATACTCGGTCCGGCTCTCGACGCTCTCGGAGGGAGGCGCAGGAAGGGACTCGGAGAAGGAGAAGTTCGCGTTCGTGGGCGACTGGTACGTGGCTGAGAGAGCGAGCCGCTTGCCAGCGTCGCCACTTGTCGAGTCGGCCATATTGCTCATTCGGTGCTCGCAATGGGGAAATTTTAGGAGAGGCAAGTCTGTAAGAGCTGGAGGGAGGTCCGATGAGAAACTTTATGATGGTCGGCATTAGGTTGACGGTGTGGGGCTCATCAGGTACCTAGGTACCTCCGGTTGAATCCCGTCGGGGTCCTTGGATCTGCGGGGTTCGCCACAGGGATGGGACAGCCCCTTGATGCGTGGGCGCGCTAATCACAAGTCACAACAAGCCGGGTACATGCCTACCTAGGCTCAATTAAGAGCAGGCTGATCAAGTGGTTCGTCGCTGACAGCCTCGCAGTAAACGTCCTGGAATCTGTGGCAGGGCTGCAGCAATAACCCTGTCAGCCCGTGTCTTCCACAAAAGCCCGCCCAGAGATTCGTAGCAGCAGGCCAAGATGTAAGGGAAATTCCCTTACAAAACCCACGACAATGCAGCCAGCACGACCCCAGCCCAGGGCCCCTGGGAGCTTCTCTCCCCTGACCGGAGCCACCTCGTCGACTACCGACCCACCACCCCCGAGACCGAGACGAATCGAGACGTCCTCAAGGCCCTCTCCCGACAGTTCCGCCCCCTTGGCAGTTATCAAAGCCCGCAGCCAAGCAGCCAGCCAGCAAGGCGGATCCTCGACCCCGATCTATAGCAGCTTCACCTCGCAAGCAAACAGCAGCACCAGCAGCCTCCAAAACTTCTCTCGCCCAAACGTATCACCAGCAAAGGCCGCCGCCAGGTCGGTTGCTGGGGCTCGCTCCTCAAGCGACATCCCTCGAAACCCCCCCTCGCCGCTGACCCTCCCGCCCACGACGTCACCCTCGGCGTCTTCCTTCGCTAGCGGCATCAAGGGGCACTCCCGCAAGCACTCGGCCACCGCAGGCTCGTTCGATTCGACGCTTCCATCGGCAAATACGTCGAACCTCCCACATATTAGCATGTCGCAGGCGCCGCCGAATATCGGGGCCACTGCACATCGTGAGCTCTCTGCCAGCCACATTGCGGCCCAAGCTGCAGTCATGCATCATCAGAGCCAACAGCAAGCACAGCAGCAGCAGCAGCAGCAGCAGCAGCAACAGCAGCAGCAACACCATGCTCGCCAGCGATCACAGACCGTACCTATGCCAGGAGGGGAGACGGACCTATCCTTGCTGTCAAACAAGCGAGGAAGTGGCGGCCCTCTGAGTCCGCCTTTGTTGAGTCTGACGGAGGCAAGCGCCCCCAGGGAGAGTGGGTTTGGGAATCAAAGCTATCAAAATAGTAGCCGTCTGGGAAGCTACAGCTCGGCGGCAACCACTGCGGCAAACATAGTCTTTCCCCGTTCCGGACAGTCGTCGCCGAGCCTCCCATCCCACAGTCACACTATGCCCCCTCCACCTCCACCTTCCAACCCAATCATGGCAGAGAAGCCAGCCAAGGCAGAGAAGTCAAAGGTGAAGCTCTTCTCCAGGCCGGGCAAAATCGGCACCAAGGGCGACTCAAAAGAGAAGCCATTGCCCAGCCCGAGCAAGATAGGGCAGGCTCTGTCAAGTCTACAGCGGAGCAACTTCAGCACCACAAGTCTTGACTCTACATCACAACAGTCCTTCTACAGCCAGACAAACTCTTCCACTGCCACAATCCGTGCTCTCGAGTCACCTGTGGTACAGGTAGAGAAAGAGGGGAAGGAGAAAAAGCACCATCATTTCCTATCGCGGCAGAAGCATAAACTTAAGGACAAGGACGACTTTCACCTTCCATTGTCTTCCGCTTCAAGCAACTCGAGGCCCACAGATCCAAGCGCGCCAAGCAGCCTCTACAACTTCAACCTCCCTACAAGTCCGGCGCCCACCACCACCAGCTTCAAGAGTATGTCGGGCCTCGATCTCCGACACGGCGCGCGGGCCCTGCGCGAAAAGAAGAAGGACGACAAGCCAATGTTTGATGATGCCGCTTCAATCTACAACGTGGGCAGCGAGTGGCCCGGACCGAGCAGCGTTAACTCCGCCTCGGGCGTGTCTGGCTCGTCGCTCTACCTCCACGAACCTTTCGACAGCGGGAAGTACGGGCTCAACGGCATGGCAGCTGACGATGCGTGGCCATATTTGAAGGCGAAGCTGCTCGTCATATTCGAGGGTGAAGACGTCCTTCTGCCAATAGAGGACTTGAACCGCATCGTCTCGCTCCATATCCAGTACTGCATCGCACGTCGGAGCCCGAATATTATCGTGGACGATCTCAGGGACCTACTCGCCACGGGGTTCGCGAGCCTTGATCAAACCCTGCGTAAGACGCCGGAGGACAGGCTCGTCCCCGCGCTGGTGGAGCTGTGGATCATCACATTCACGAACATCCTGCCGTATCTGCAATCCGTCTTCCTGCCTCTAGACTTGGAGTTCTGCGGAAACGGCTCCCTGCTCACCCGTGAGCAATCCCGCGATTTCTGGGGCGGCGTAGTGCCTCACACCACGCCGACCGAGGCCGCGTCCAACCAGGGCACCGGCCACGGGGCCGGCATCAATGTGGAGCCCGCGTCCTCGGTTCTGGAAGTCCGTTCCATCGCCCTGATATCATTCCGGGACATCGTCATCCTCCCCCGGTACGAGACGCTCAAGGGCATGTTCTCGCGCCTGTCGCTCGAGTTCCTCCCGCAGTCCCTCGCCTCCATGGCGCTGGCCTCGCCGATGCCGGCCCAGTCGCCCGGGTTCCAGATGCCGGGCCAATACCCGCTGTCGACCTCGCCGTCAGCCGACTCGACCGCGTCCTTCGGCCTCGGCGGCGGCGCATACGGTCCCCCCCGGCCGGGCACGGCCATGTCGCTCGACCCGTCGGTGGCCAGCTACAACTCGACGAGCACGACCCTCCTCGGCGACGGCTCGGCCGCCGGGAGCAGCAGCCGCAGCCGGGCGATCAGCAACGTCAGCTTTGGCAGCGACAACACGGGCGGCGGCGGGGGCGGCGTAGGCGTCCGGCCCTTCACGCCGAGCAGCGGCCTGAACGTGCCGAGCAGCGGCACCGTCGCGGCCGGGGCCGCTGGCAACCTGCGCGACCAGAACGTCGAGGACAGCAAGCAGGTCACCGACATGGTGGGTCGCATGCTGCAGTGCATGAGCGTGCTGTCGAACGTGGGCATCGCCGACGGGGGTAGCGACGAGGGGAGCAGGGTCGATGAGCTGAATAAGCTGCTCAAGCTGAACTGGCTGGGTAGGGGGAGGACGGGGCGCAACAGGAGGGGGATCGTGGGCGGGAGGGTGAGGAGGGCGACGGGGGGGACTGCTTAGTTGGGTCTGGGATTTTCTTATCAAGCGATGGTGCAACCGTTTTGCGGGACTGGGGGGGGTGGGGTGAAGAGGGATGCATGTACTTGTATGATTACAACGGGACACAGGTGTTACATAGCTGGAAGTGGAATCCGGCAGGCCAGGGAAAGGGGGAAAGCTGATCGATGCGAGTTGTCATGGAGTTTGGTGTCACGTTTCCTGCATGGTTGCAGGGAACTGTGTAGGTAATTACGGAAAGAGTGCACAAGGTAGCCAACATGGCGATTATGAAATAATATTTTGAACCTTCACCTGAATTCCTAAAGTCACAAGTGGATAATAGCATGGATGAGTAGAGAAATGGAACTTGAGTCTTGATTTTGGTCATGATTACTCTGAAATGAAAGTTTTACAACTGAACCGTCACGGTCGGGTCGGGTCAGCTGGGACGAATCAACGAAGGCGGAGTTTAAACCTATAACAGCTACGTTAGCAACCAATTCAAGGAATGAGTGGTAGACGTAGTGAAGATGACAGTAAGGGATTCGATAAGACATCCAAGGAAGTATTAGCCGTCACCCTCCCAGATAGGCTCTATGCGGGAGTCGAGTGGAAACTGCGAATGTTGGAATATATTTCATCATGTCGAAGTGTGTGTTGTGTGGTTGAGAAGCAAAGCAGCAGAAGGAAATTTTGAACTAACCTGCGATGTGAATTTCATGCATATTTCCTGGGTTAGCATGAAAATGTCAACAAGAGCAGCACAGTCAGACGGTGTGGTCAAGACAGTCGAGCAACGAGATCTAAATGCGAACGATTAGCGGGCTGACCAAACGATCCTGTTGGTAACACATTTTGAGGTTGCCAAGTCGCATATCTCCCAAGTCAGGTAAAGATACTGGCAAGTAACAGGCCCTCCCTGTCGGAGAGGGCCCGAGCAGACGGAATTTCTTCATGGTCGATTCAGTTGGGAAAAGAAGACAAGTTTATTCGTTGTCATCACAAAGAGGAAAGATATGCGAGAGAGGACGAGATGAGAGAGCGCGGCTTACCTGTAGTATCAGTATCCAGGCGGATCCCTGGCCAGAGTGGTAAGAGAGCCCCAAAGTTGGCATGAGAAGGTAGAAGCATCTGCATGATGTACGACCATCTTTCTGCAGCAGATCTCGAGCTGCGCTGTTGGTTTGGTTGGATGAGCGGATGGAAGAGAAAATTGCAAGGAAGGAAATTTTTTGGTCTCCATTGAAATAGGCTTTCGGCGGCCGGAGATATTGGTCTGGATTTTTCCGGTTCCGGAAGTTGGACCTAGGGAGCGGAGGTACCCGATCTCAGGCTCCACTAGGAGCAACGCTTCATTGCATTTTTATCGTACAGTCGGGGTTTCGCAGAACACGAATTAGGAAATTGAATATGCCGATGAGGTGTATCAGCTATCTATGTTCCACTACTAGCCATTTTCCTGCCTAGATTGTTGGGGGAAATCTCTTCTGCGCTCTCCATAAGCATCCCTAAGGAATTTACAGAATGCAAGATTGAGTTTCTTCGTCAGGAAGGCAGGCATCCATTCGCTCTCCGCAGGTTAAATAGAGTTTATGTATATATGCATAAGCTTTGTTATTGCGATAGTTTAGCCTTTCGCCGTCGTGGATAATATAAGAAGGGACCAGCCACCCCCAATAGGTACGTGTTTGCCCGGTCACAGTCGCAATTTTCCAGACCCACAAACCTTACAAATAAGGCAGCCCTGCCACCAAGCCACCACCCTACTCATTCTCTCTCACGACGGTATCCACGCTGTGGATAATCGACAGGCCGAGAAATGATGGCTAGCATGGGACCGTCATTTTCGCCGCATCCAGGCGGTATGCAACAGCATCCAGGAGCCCCTCCGGGCCATCCCATGGCCCAAGGAATGGCTCACAACCCAAGCCAGCCCGGCGCGCAGCCCGGAGGCATGCCTCACCAGCTCGTCGGACACATGGGAGTATCTGCCCCTGGAGGCCAGATGAACCCCTCGGCTCTCATGGGTGGCATGCCGCCCGGCGCTGGTGGGCCGAATGCCCATGCCATGCAGCATCTCAGTCCCGCGCAGGCTCAGATGTTCCAGACGCAGCACTTGAACCCGATGGCCTGTAAGTTCCGGACGCGCTTCTGTTGTCTACTCTCCCATGGTCTGATGCTGATTGACACCCGTCCGCAGTCAACAACCAGGCCGCCTTGCAACAGCAGATGCAGCAGCAGCAGAGACTCCAACAGCTACAACACCAGCAGCAGAGACAGTTGATGGCCCAACAAGCGGCATACGGCAATATGGGCGGCATGCCGATGGGGATTCCCATGCAGCAGATGTCTGCTCAGGCCCAGATGGCCGCCATGAGAGGCCGATTACAGGTAGGACTACTCCAATTGCGGTCGCGTCAATTGAAACGCGCTTTTCTGACTTGCGATACCAGGGGCAACCTCCGAACTCCCATCCACATGTAAGTTCGCCATTGCTCATCAGTCATACCACATCAATGGTCCAGGAAGTCGGCTAACTTGGAACTAGCCCTCCATGATTGCGCAACAGATCGCGCTCCAGCAGCAACACGTAGCGGCAGCGAATAACCAACTGGCGCAGCAGGGGGGCAACCCCAACCAATCTCAGATGAGCGCCCAGCAGATGCACCAAATAGCAGCGTTGCAGGCTCAGCAACAAGCAGCTCAGGCTCAAGCTCAAGCTCAAGCTCAGGCCCAAGCTCAAGCGCAGGCTCAAGCGCAAGCGCAAGCACAGGGACAACTTCAACAGCCCCAGAACCACCAGCAGCAGCCTGGCCAGCCCCAACAGCAGGCTGGGCAACAAGGGTCGAATCAGGGAGGGCCCGGAGGGAATGTCCAACAGCAGAACCAGGGGCAGGCTCCGGGGCAGGGCCAGCAACCAAATCCGCAACAACAGCCCCAAGGCCCACCTCAGACACCCCAGCAGCAGGCCATGCAACAACAGGTGCAGTTAGCCCAGGCACAACATCACTCAGCGGCTGTAGCTGCCAGCCTGATGCAACAGAAGCACCGGGAGGGGATGAAGGGGCACTGTCTTCTAAAACTCATGCAGTTTGGAGAGCATTTGAGCGGATTTCCGGTGAGCATCGTGTTCTCAAACCCGTTCCTCCAACTCATTGTCTAACCAGCCGGGCTTCTAGGGTTCGAGAGCTAGGGACGACTTATCATACTGGAACGACTTTGTCCACCGCTTTTTCTCCCCGAGGGGCATATTCCGACACGCAGTTCACGTAGTAAATGGCGACGACCCCACGGAAAAGCAGTACGAGATCACATATCCGGCACTGCCACGATACTTCCACACCCATTTCGATAGTGGCGTCAAGAACATGCAGTTGATTATGGATAAGGGTACCACGGACAAATCCTTGCCAGGAGACTGCCATTTTATCGAGAACACCAAAGCAAGTTTGGTGTACTGGTTCGAGGGTGGCTCACATGTACGATACGGCCACCACACACAAATCCCCTCGCTCTCCTGTGATGCTAACTCTCGGTGCAGTTGGTTGCTACTGGCACCCTCCGGGCTCAGTTCGACGCAGACCAAAAGTTCGAACTGTTCGAGTTCATCACGACCGGACATGAGGAGTTCATATCTCGGCGACTGGTGATCCAGGCCGCCAAGCCAGCCCACAATTGGGTTAAAGAATGGCATAGAGTCAACAACCAGGACAACAAACAATCTCCTGAGATGAGCAAGAAAAGCAAGGCACGGCAAATGAAGTCTCCGCAAACTGCGCCACCCGATCTTGACCTTCCGCACTCGGTTGTTACGCAAAGCGTGGGAATAACGGAAGCCGTCCATCAGTTTCTTGAGGTACTTACTCTTTGCGCGTCCCTGCGCCTTCACGTGATGTCACAGTAACTAAGTCCGTCGCAGGTGGTTGAGATCATGGGTCAAATGAACCCCTTGTTCGGGCTCTGTCAGATGAATCCGGGACTCAGGCCATATGAAGCTCTAGACCAATATGTCAATCACATCAATGTCTCGGCACAACAAAACGCTGTCAATGGGCAGCCCATGGGCCAGGTCGGACCTAGGACGCCGGCATTCGGACAATTCCCCGTAGGAGCGAGCCCAGCACAGGTCCACCAGATGCTGCCTGTTTCTCCACACATGGGCAGCCCGGCGCAGGGCCAGATGCAAGCACCAGGGATGCAACTTCAAGCAAGCCAGCAAGGGACCAGCTCGAGCGGGCCGAGCGCCAACACCTCGCCTTCCCAGAGCAATAAGAGGAGGCGGCCCTCGGCCGTCAAGAACGACGACGATACGGCCCCAACGCCGTCTGCAACTTCGACCCCACAGGTCAACGGTATACAGTCGAAGGGGAAACCGCCCACGCCAAGGATGCCGAAACGGGTCAAGGGCAACCCGTCATGAGCTCTGGAGTCTTCCAAGCTCTTCCAACACCAACTGTGCGGTTCTAATGTGCCACGTGGGTATCGCGGCGTCACCTCTCTGGGTTGTCTTGGTTGTTCTTGCGGTGGGAAGCATTGTATGTCGGTTTTTGGTTGCTGTTTTTTTGGTCGCTTCCATTATTTCTTTTCTTTATTTTGTCCCTTGTTTCTTTCCTTTCTTTTGTGTCTCTGGCCGGCGAAGGAAAGCATCTCAGGTGTCGGGCCCTGCATATACCCTTATTTTGAGTTGGGCTTGTGGCAAAGGCTTGCCCCGAACGGCCAATGAACAGGCATGCAAGCTGTGGCATGCAAGCTTCGGGCCGCACTTGTCCCTTGGCCAGTGTGCAATGGGGCAGGCCGTCAGGTTGTTTGCACTACCATGTTTTTATGCATTGGCGTTTTGGAGATTATCGACCCCTCCCCCCCTGTGGTTTTATGATGGACGGGTGGACGGGATTCGCGTGAAAGACGGGAGAAGAGTCACGTACGGAGTCTAATATGGCAACGGTTCTTGTTCCCTTACTGTGTAACATCAATACCACGCGCTCGGGTCCGGTCTCCGGCGTTCTTGTGTCTTTAGGTATCATTAGCCCATGTTTGGTTGCGTTTTTCTGGTACCTTTGCTTTGGTTTTATTATTGTGTGGATGGAAGCTCCGAAGGGAGAGGTCGGAGTGGCACAGAAAACAGGGCGAGTTAGCCAGCTAATGGCAGTAAGGAGAGGATAGCAACTGTGTCTGAATCAATTCTGGATGAAATTCACGCATCTTCAACTTTGAATTTGGAGTATCTATTTGAAAGGCCAATTTTGCCTAGGTGACCAGTCCTGCCCAGCTGCGTAGGCAGCGTGTTCCTTTGCGCAGCCTCCTCTTAGTCAAAACAGCAGCAGAGACGACGACGATAATGGCAATTATCGGGGTTGTAGTTGCAGACGAGGACGCACTGCCCACCTAACATTGGCTATTTGCTTGTAACCCGAACCACATGGCCGAGCCGAGCCCCTGATACCAGCTCCTCCACCCTCCTTCATTTTATCACCCCCTTCCCTCCCATTCAACAGTCCATTCTTCCCCGGAATACCAAGTTGACGGTGCCTCTAGGCGGAGAGTGCTTCCCCTCGCCATCTTTCCGTGCATCCCCGTCCGTCGAAGCGCTCCCGTCCTTCGAGTCCGGAGCCGGCATAACCGGCCTGTTTGGGTCTCCTCCTTTGCACCACTGCACCACGTGCTCGCCACGGCACTCAGATAAATAACCCGCGGAACCTTCGTGGCATCTAATTCTGCCAGATCGACACCACTCGAGCTCGCTCGTGGCAGCAACGAGCCACTCCAGGTGCGTCTGGGACTGCTCCAGTGCCAGGCGGGTGGTCTTGAGCGCTTCTCTTTGCGTCCCCAGCAGCCTCCACCTTGCTCTTGTCGCACTTGGGCCATAATCAACCTCTGGTTGTCCTCCAGTCGGTGTTCGGTGTTCTCGGCCTGCCGGATGAGGTATTGGATGTGTTGGTGTTGAGATCGCTGCATTGCAATGCAATCTTCAATGGTCCTTTCGTCCGGCGTGACAGGTGATAACTTGACTCGCTCTTCAAGGGCTGCACTGCCGGTTTGCATTTGATGTTTGGACATGCTGGTGTTGGCGTTTTTTGGACTCTTGTCCCAAGCGCCGGGTCGAGCATCGTCGTCTTGGAGACCAACGATTTCCCATTCATCATCAAGCGCCATCATGCCTCGTACGGCAAAATGGAATACGATGGATTATTGCTCCTTCCTTTCCAGAGCTCACTTATTACTCAGTCAACCGGTGGGTACGGGAGCAGCATCAAATATCTCTGACTTCTGCCCCTGGAGCCTTTGCACTCGTCCTTAATTTCTTTTCTGAAGTTTGATCGATTAATTGATTTTCTGGCTATTTGGAGCCACCGAAGTAAAAAGAATACCGTGATATTATGGGTAAGCTTGAGGTAAAACAAGCAGGGAAGTTGGAAGCGCAGGGTTGGGTGGCAGACGCCTCTGGCGGTACAGTGCAAACGATCTTTGTGCCCGCCTGCAACATACCGGACTAAAGGAGAGGGTTCCCTGTCAAGAACAAAGCCATGTCGGAGAAAACTGACGGTAGAGAAACCGTGCCAAAGTGTGAGGTATCAAACTGCTGGCTAACTTACTCTCTACCCTAGCTTCCCGAAGTAGTTGCTGCGGAAGAGACTCCAAATGCTCCACCAGGCCAGTATGAGTGTCTCGAGATCTATCAAAGGATAAAGGATATCATAATCTCGGAGTTTCTAGCCTGATGACAGGTCGAGGTTTCTCATACGAGTTGATTCACCGGCCTCAAGGCATACAAACATGGTGGTTATGCAAGTGCCATGCCTTTAGAGGACTTGGAACCTCCCTTCCCAACCCAGGCTGAAACAATATCCACAAGGTCACTAAGGAGCCTTTGAGCCAGAGAGCATCTCTAGGCTTTACTGCCACAAAATGAGCACTCTGAGATCTGAGATCTGATAGCCTGACTGCAACTGGTCTGCCTCGGGCCCCTCTTGCGTGACCGGGCTTCCTATATATGCCTTCCCACTCCTAGCAGTTCTGGTCTTCCCTCAAGCAAGAGCACAGGAATCACCTTCGACTCATATTCGCGGAAAACACACTTCAACAAACACACCATGATGATTGTTCTCGGGTTCTGGACGTTCATCATCTTCAACGTCGTCTTGCACATCGCGTTCGCCGTGATTGTCCACCTGTTCCTGTATGGCGAAGGCGGCATATTCCCGACTTCGGATGCCTGCCCCCCAGCCGAGTCCACCATGGACAGCTCATGGGAGGAGCCTCTCGAATCCGGCGACGAGGCAGTCGAGATTGTTGGCCCCGAGAAACCAACCATCGAGCATGCGGGTAATGACCTTCAGACAGCCAGCGGCGATGGCGAACCCCCCTCACAGAGCGAGCCCGGCACTCCACAAGGGGACCGGCCCGTCGACCAGGCCCAGGATGGTGCCCACGACGCGGACGGCCCCGATCTCTCCGTCGTCGTCGTCAGGGTCGGCAGTGACACGAAGCTCGGCTACCTATTCGAGGCCCTCTCCAGGAACCTATCAGCGGAGACGAACAACCACCCGGAAGAACAGGTCCCATCGTCGACCAACCAGCAGCACAATTCCGCCACGGCCGCCACCATCGGGGCACTCGAGATCCTCGGGATGGTCGGGCACGAGGTCCTGCCCGCACGCGAAGCCGACGATACCACGCTGCCCGACTTCGCGGATATCATCAGGCAGCGCCTGGGCGACTCGGGGGACCTGATCTGCGGCATGGTGATGCTGCGTAAGAGGGACGCGGACCGCAAGCTGTGGGGACTTGTGTATGAGCCACGCCCGGCGGACGAGACACCCGGCGTCCCCGACCCTTCTGAGCAGGCGGCGCGAGAGATCCCCTCGCCGGCCACGGAGTGACTGCGGCCCCGGGTGCTCGACTCGGAGACGGTCGGCTACGGGAAGGCTTGTTGGTGGTCAGGCTTGGATATGTTAGTAGTGGCCGTGGAGCGGTTGTCTGAACCGGCATGGGGGTTGGGTTGGGCTGGGTTGGGTTAGGGGATACTGCCTGTTATTGGGGAATGGGCTCAGTGCCGACATGCAGGTTTAGGATGTTGTCCAACTTTGGAACCCACGTATCCCTTACTTCATTTCATCGTCACTGGTCCTGGGCGACCGGAGACAGGGGTTTTTGGCTTTTCCTTTTCTTTCAGTGGTTGGTTGGTTCCTACACATGGAAGTGATGAGTTGGCAGATTGAATGAACCGTAACACTTCCACACTCGTATGGTGCAGAACTAGGGACTGTCATGGACAAGTCCATACTTCCAATTCTATCGGCTGTAGGAAGCTGGTGAAACAGGGTAGGCAATAATACGACTATGGTTGCTAGAAATGTTAATCGCAATGGCAATCTGCCCCTAGTCGAGACATAGAGGACTGAGGTCGTAGTGGTCCAGGCGCTTCCCGGGTGTTCCATTTGGATGAATTTCTCACGAGACAGACTGTCATTGAACAATACACAGCAAGTAGAAAACTGTGTAGGAGCGATGGTCAGGAAGAGAAATTCGTCAACTCTGTCTGCCCATAAATTTCAAGCCGTTCAGAAGGGGAGCCATGACCCGGACGAGAAGGATACCCCTTGTTGGGACCACGACGAGACAGAGGGGGAGACACGGGTGTGGCAAAGAAACGTTGAATCCGATATTCCCAAGACATTAACTAGAATGCCACCACGTCGGAGAAACAAGACAGGATCGGATCTTCGCCCAGCCAAACCAGACTCAGTGCTGACGATAATCTATTCCTCCCCGTGCCTCTTCACCCCAAACCGGCCAAAGCAAACATGAAAACGATGCTTCCGGTAAAGCCCATCCCTGCACCAAATGATCAACGAGAAAGACCCAAACGCCCCGAGTAATCTGTACCAAGGAACCTAGAGTGTCGCGCCATCAAACAGAGGTCATTTAAGCAGAGTCGAACTCGCCGAACGTGTTCTCGCCGGAGTATGTGATGTAAAGGAAGCTAGAGATACAAGTTAGCAGGGGGATCCAGACGCGTTTGACGGGACTTGAGAGGGAGCTCTTACCCATCCTCGTCCTTGTGCTCCTCGTAAATGCTGCTCATGAGAGCGGCAGTGGGCGGCAGGACTTCATCGACGAAGATGAAGATGGCCTTCTCGGGTGACAGCTTGATCCGCTTCCTGATGACGTAGACAAACTGACCGACGGTCAGGTCGGCGGGCACCAGGTACTTCTTCTTGTCGATAGTGGCGATATCACTCTTCTCGACCTTCTCGCATATGACCTGTGAAGCTGGTTGTTAGCCCGAGATACGGAGAGTTGGTTGGAGATCGCCCAGGAGGCGGTCAAAGGGCGGCTGCGAGGCTGGGTTGAAAGTGATGGCTGGGTGCGATAGCTTGTAAATGGTATGCTTCATGGAGCGTCACTTACCGGAATACGGTCAGAATACTTCTGGCGAATACGCTCAGCCTCAGCCTTGCGCTTCTCGAAGGGGTGCTCGTCCTTGAACTTGCTTCGCATCTTGGCGGTGACTGGGATACGGGTTGTTCGGGTTGAGATGAACAGTTGGCAGTGGCGCCGCAGGAGAGATCGAGATAAATAAACGATCCCTTACTGTGAGGAGAGTGATGGAAGCCGAGGAGTTGCAATAGGTCTCGTTCTGTGGATGATGTGGGATGGAAGAAGGTCAACGAAGAGGGAGGTTGCCTGGCAGTGTTGCCGCCTTGAGCTTGATGTAAGTAAGCTTGGGGGAGGAGGCGGGGCTGTCTTAACACCAGGGAGATGACTAATTGGAGGAGACCAACGCTGTTTGAGGTTTAGCGCATCCCAGGCCGGTGACCGACCGTTGTCACAAATATGCTTTCACGTGGTGTCGTCATCTGAGCCAGCCTCAGCTGGACCGATGACAGCCACCTCAGTTACCTACCTAGGTACGCCGCTACGTTACGTACCTGCAAAGTAGTCATTCCGTTTCGCGGTATGACTCAGCAATGAAGGAAGCGGCGTCTACTCTTGGTCGGTACTGTCCTGTCAGGCCGTCCGAGAATCCGCAATGGCTCGACCAAGGGGTTCTTATGAACCTCGGGAGACAAATATGAAAGTCATTCCACTGGGCTGACCATTTGCAGTCTTGCGACCTTTCTCCGGCGTTGTCGACCGGGAGTCGCCTGGTCAGACCCGCCCGCCCTGGCGGGTACCCTAGCGCCAAACCTACTCCGAGTTGCCGTTTCAATGATCCAGAATTTCGGAACATTCGATTCTGGCAACATAACCTGGACTTCGCAATGGCGATTCCTAAGAAGTGGCCTCATGTCTGCACAACGAGATAGTATCGACTGATCATCCTTTTAGCTTAGTCTTTTATGGTTTCCCTCGGAGCTTCCCACTGCGACTATTTATAGACTCGTGTCCAAAATGGCCTCCCGGCGTTTGGTTCCTCGACTGTTCGCTCAGTGCAAGTCGCAAGGCCAATTGACCAGCTTAAGAGTCTCAACCCTCTCTCCTTCAACTCGGCGTGGATTTAGCGCCTCTTCGAGCTCCGGGTTCTCGTCTCGGAGCAGTCGTGCATCCCTTGGACCCTTGCGCTGGACCGCCGCTCTCATCGCTGTGGCCTCTCCCTTGCTGTACATGATGGTATGCCCCCCCGGGTCAAACATGCTCGTCCCCTACTAGATACGGTTGGCTCACTGTGTGCTCCTCTACAGGCTGTCGAGAAACCCCTCCAACTTGACTCTCCCACGCTCGCCGAACGCGACGTTCAGCTGAAGCGCGAGCGGCCTGTGACTGACTACTCGCCCATGCGCCTGCGCATGGAAAAGTTCGTCAAGGAGCAGCAGCAAGAGATCGTGCGAGCCCTTGAGAAAGCGGACGGGACAGAATTCCGTCAAGACGAGTGGCAGCGCCCGGAAGGCGGTGGCGGCATTACCTGCGTGCTGCAAGATGGGAAGGTTTTCGAGAAGGCTGGAGTGGGCGTCAGCGTCGTCTACGGCACCCTTCCGAAGCCGGCGATCATGAAGATGCGCGTGAACCACAAGAACCTGGTGGAGGGCACCGAAATCCCTGACAGCCTGGAGTTCTTTGCCGCGGGGCTCAGCCTGATCGTCCATCCTCGCAACCCCATGGCGCCCACCGTCCATTTGAACTATCGATACTTCGAGACGGCAGGGCCGGACGGATCTCCCGGGGCCTGGTGGTTTGGTGGTGGCTCTGACCTGACTCCGAGCTACCTCTTCGAGGAGGATGCCACCAACTTCCACAAGGCCTTGAAGGACGTCTGTGATGCACACGACGCGACATACTACTCCAAGTTCAAGAAATGGTGCGACGAGTACTTCTACAACAAGCACCGGGGCGAGAGCAGAGGGGTCGGTGGCATCTTCTTTGATGACCTGGACGAGACTGTTGCCGACAAAGAGAAGAGCTTTGCCTTCATCCAGGATGCTCTCAAGTCCTTCCTCCCATCGTATCTCCCAATTGTGGAGAAACGGAAGGATATGTCATTTACCCCCCAAGAAAAGGAATGGCAGCAGATCCGGAGAGGAAAGTATGTCGAGTTCAATTTGGTCCACGACCGCGGCACTGCGTTCGGTCTGACCACACCTGGCGCCAGGGTTGAGAGTATTCTAATGAGCTTGCCGTTGACGGCAAGCTGGAAGTACATGTATGAACCAGAACCGGGTAGCAGAGAACAGCGTCTCGTAGACGTTCTCAAGACCCCGAGGGAATGGGTATGAGCGCGATGGATGGAGTGGCGGCTCCTTTGTACAAACATACCTAACTATCACTTCGGATGTACTCTATAATACTGGGACAACTTGGCTATTGGAATCTGGAGAACAATCATAAAAAGTCGAGGTGTTTCAAATGCCCGAGTTGTATACAGTTTCTAAGGTATTGGTTGATGAGAAAATGACAAAGTTTTTCTAAGTCATAGGTTCTGACGGTTATCGCCCACCCTCATTGCTTCTTAGCCTCATCTCGCACTTGAGATAAAACCAAGTACCTACATCCATCCTCGAATTCAGAGAATAAAATGGTCATCCCACATCCAAAAAGCGCATGACATCCAAGGGCTATTTGTCAAATGGCCCGGCAAAAGAGTCACTCGAGAGCAAATAATGCTATACAAAGATGGCCACACTACCCCAGCCAAGAGAGCTGCTCACCTCTCTCATAAACTCGATAAGCGACATCCCCCTCTCGCAACCCCGGCCAGCCAACGACCAACCAGGTAGAGAGGAGGAACCCTTCCACCCCCTCAGAGCCGTCCCCATCTCCCACCGCCACCTCCTCACCACCCTCCACGTCCTCTTCCCCACCCTCCTCCTCCCCGCCCTGGACCTCCTCGACCGCGGCCTCGTCACCCGCCTCGTCCTCGAGGGTGGCGGCCGTCCCACCATCACGGAGGACCAAGACGGACCAGGACCCGGGGCCCCAAAGGGCACGTACGTCGTCCGGTCGGCGCGGTCGGCACACCCGCACCCGCACCCGCACCCGCGACGACAGCATCAGCAGCAAACCACCACTCCGGCGGGTGCGGGGAGCGGGGCGTACGTGGCGCGCCTCGGCGCCTGGAACTGCACCTGCGCGGCGTTCGCGTTCGCGGCCTTCCCGACGACGGGGGTGAGCCGCCCTGACAGCGACGGGGGCGGGCTGGACCCGCCTAACGACGATGGACCCCGGTGGTCGTTTGGGGGCATGAGCTTTGACGGCAGGGTCGGCAAGGGCGAGGGCGAGGGCGATGTACCGTGCTGCAAGCACCTGTTGGCCTGCCTGCTTGCGGAGCGGTGGCAGGCTGCGCTGGGGAGCTACATGGTGGAGAGGAGGGTGGGGAGGGAGGAGATGGCTGGTATTATTGCGGACGTGTGACTCCCTCCTGCGTATAGATAGGGAGGACGAGCTGGGCGTGATGATCAACGGACCAAAGAGGAGCTTGCTATGATGGGGATAGCATGCCCAGCCTATCAAGTCTCGGGGGTTAATCCCAGGGGTAGCAGGAACGTTCAAACTCCTAGGTAGCATTACTGCAATTTATACCATTCTGCGCCCCTTTCCTTTAGACGCTTGTTGTCGCCCGAGGGCGCAAACGGATGCTGTGCCCGGCTGCTCAATAATGCCTGCCATGGAACGCCAGGCCGGTAGTAATATTAACACGCCCAAGAAATCTCTACCCTTGAGCCGTCTATCGTGAGCCCTCGTACATCGATCGCCCCGCGCCTCTTTGCCTGCCTATTTCTTCTTCTCCTTCGACCCCTCCTTGTCTTTCTCGCTGCCGCCTTCCTTCGCCTCCCCGGCCACGCCATTCACCGCACCGGCACCGTTCTCCTTCTTCTCGCCCTCTTTCGCACCCTCTTCGCCCTCTTTCTTGGCCGCCTCTTTCTCCTCCTGCTGCTGACGGTTCTGTATCTTGTTCTCAATGAGATCATGGAATGCGGTGATAGCACGGATTAGACTGCTGAGATAAATGGCCATGAGCTGGTCGTTCGACTTGATGCTCATGGCATAGCTGAGCTCGGAGTCGGCCTTGGTTCCGGTTGCGCTCGGAGCCGAGCTCGGTGTTGCCAGGTTTGGTAGGAGATTGAATACATCTTGAAGATTGCCTAGGATGGCGTGATTTACGGGCAGTTGGCCGTCGAGGACCTTCTGGAGGTAGGCATGGATGTCTCGCAAGCGGAGGTGCAGACCCTGGAGGGACTGAAGCTGGTTTGTCAGACGTGTGGAGAGCGTGCCGACAGCGACGTCACGGATGTCTCGTAGGAGATGCTCGACACCAATCTCCTCGGCTTCCTCGGCCTCGATAATGGAGGGAGTGTGGACGAATGTCTTGGAGGTGGTTGTTCCATCCTGTAAAGCAGCAATGTCAGACTAAGCGTTCTTCGACCCAGTACGGTTACGGTCCTCGATCGGGAGGGGCGGAGAAGGACGTACGTCTTTGATTTCCTCAACGGCAAAGTATGCATCCGTAGGCACACCGGACTCCTTCGGTTGTACATCGATGATGACCAGGAGTGGATTCGGCGTATACCGTTTGAAGAGCTCGTTGATTTCGAGATCTGAAGCCCGGAGCTTTGGGCCCGAGTGGTACCAGCCTATCAGCTTCTCCCGCGCATTGATTTTCTTGAACATGTCGTTCATAGATTCAACGTAGTTGTGGTCTAAGAACCATACTGACGGGTCCTTGTCGTCCTCCTCGAAGGGCACTGTAAAGAAGCAACCTGTCAGCTGGCATATTGGAGCGGTGGAGGGAAACCTGGGAGCAAGAGCATACCAGCAAAGCTGTTCGACACGCGCACATTCTTGCCGTCGTTTTGACCCAGCAACACACCGACCACTCGTTTGCTCTTCGACTGCTTCGTATCAGTTCGGTTATAATGATCAACAGCGGAGAGAAGGACGAGGGGAGCAACGGAGACGCTGCGCGTAACAAGAGAGAGGGTTTCTGCGGTAGTGGCAGGCATTTTTAAGAAGCTGGATATTGGGTATCAGAAGAGAATATCAGCTGTTCATCGGAGGTGAGGATGGGAGACGGTGATTCTTGATGAGGCTGCGCGTTTGGAGGTCGAGTTCCCTGCCGTATTGGGCTAGGTAGGTAGCTGGCGGCAAGGCTGGCGGGCCAGGCACTACCTACTTACTGCCTCGTAGGCCGCAGCAAATTTACGCAATCGGAACAACCTCCTTAGCGGCGGAAGGAGCAAGGCGCTCGAGCCAATATCCGACCGTCACCGCGTTGTAGTGCATGTGCACAACTATACATACCTATGCTAGTGCGGGTACCTACTAGGGCGGTCTTGGTACCTTACCTAATTATTAAACTTTTCAGAGCGCGGCTGGTGAAGATCGTCAAGCTTCGGACGGGCGGGCGAGCTCTGGATGGCCTATACTACAAACGTATAATACCTCACCTGCCTGGCATCCAGAGTCTGGAAGCTCAAGGTAGTTTCCATTAGTCCAGGCTGTATAGTCCTGCTTACAGTACCACAAGATATAACTGTAGCAAACGAGTACCAGCTCGATTGGACGTGGGATGAGAGAATATACCTAGTTGCCTGACTTCCAGGTTGATCGAAGTCCACCGTCCATCTATCCGCCCGGATGCCCGTGACATGCATGCTTGAGCGTTGTGAGACTTTTGCAGTGTAGAATCAGAGTGATGCTTCGGCAGTACGGACGAGGCAGGCGCGGAAATATGCAGGCATTACAGTGGAGAAGAAGCTGGAGAAGCCGAGCAAGTACCACCGGTTACAACTGCTTGTAGCACAGCAAGCTTGAAGGTCCCGGCTAGAGGCTGTCGCAACCTGTTCCCTGCATTACCTGCGCCAAAAATCTCCCAGCCAAAAATTCCTATCTTCAACCCGGCATTTCATCTTGCAACATCTCACATTTCACCACCGTCCTGCGGTCAATTCCTCCTCACCTCTACCCTTCTTGCATCTTCCCCCCCCTCCTCTTACCTTCTTCCCCTTCTCGACTGTTTGCGCCTTGGCCGAGCTCTTCCCGCGCCATATAGCTCAACATGGGTTACCTCGAAGATGAAGTCAAGCGCCTACAGAATGTCCTGGATAGTGTCGAGGGCCGGTTAAAGCGTCTGGAGGACCGACAGTTCGGCAGTGGCTCCTCGACGGCCGAGACGGTCCGCATGATACTCATTGGCCCTCCCGGTGCAGGTATGTGGTCGCCATGCTTGTTGGCTTTTACTACCGTGAACAGGCCGAGGCTAAATCTTGAACGTGATGCGACACAGGCAAGGGAACCCAAGCACCCAAGATCAAGGAGAAGTTCTCCTGCTGTCATCTGGTAGGTCAATGCCACTACCCCGATGAGCCTTTTTCGTGCACTCCTCGCCCAGCTACTAACACTGTTCCTCCCCACTATCACAGGCTACCGGTGACATGCTCCGATCCCAGGTTGCCAAGAAGACACCACTCGGCCGGGAAGCCAAGAAGATCATGGACCAGGGAGGTCTTGTCAGTGATGACATTGTTATCGGCATGATCAAGGAGGAGCTGGAGAACAACCAAGAATGCAAAGGAGGGTACGTTCACAGCCCCCCTCCCGTTTGCTACCCCCACCCCTCTCCGTCAGGGCCTAATCTCTCCCTCTCTTGTCCCCCGCTCTCTGTCCCCCCCGAGGAACTTTGCTAACCTCCCGGCTCCCTCAGCTTCATCCTCGACGGTTTCCCCCGCACGGTGCCTCAGGCCGAGGGCCTCGACGCCATGCTCCGCGAGCGCAAGCAGAAGCTCCAGCACGCCGTGGAGCTGCAGATCGACGACGGGCTCCTGGTGGCGCGCATCACGGGCCGGCTGGTCCACCCGGCATCGGGGCGGTCGTACCACTCGACCTTCAACCCGCCCAAGCAGCCAATGACGGACGACGTGACGGGCGAGCCGCTGATCCAGCGGTCCGACGACACGGCCGAGGCCCTCAAGAAGCGCCTCGACACGTACCACAAGCAGACCGCCCCCGTCGTCGACTACTACCGTGGCACCGGAATCTGGAAGGCCGTCGACGCCTCCCAGGAGCCCGGCCAGGTCTGGAAGAGCCTGCTGGCCATCTTCGACGGCGACAAGGCTAAGGCCGCCGGCGCCGGCAGCGGCATTCTGAATAAGCTGACGCATCACTCTTAGTGGCACTGATATCCTTATTACTCAAGAGACTGGGTTAGGTTTCGAGTGGCCGGGGCTGCAAAATCTTGCCCGGCATGACTTGGCCAAGGGGGGAATTAAGGGGGGGAGGGTCTGTGAATGCTGGATTGCTGGTCACTGGTCGGTTCCTCCGTCTTTCTTGCCTGGCTAGGTAGGAGTGGAAATGGGTCTGTCTGAACGAGCATGACAAGGGTGGAAAGGTGGAAAGGTGTGAGGGACCGGCGGATTCGGGCGCTGTCCTCCGTCACTGGGAATGGAGGCAAAAAAGTGACTGACATGTATAAGAAACAAGCCGTGGCTGGTAGAGTTGTCGCCACCCGTGTTTTATCTACCCCTTAACCACGAATGTATTGAAATTGACGCAAAATCAGAACCTCGAGATTCCACGATGGGTGCCATTGCGGGCTTTGAGGTTACAGGGGCTCTCCACTATGCAGTCTTCTTTGACTCTGAGTTTGACCTCGAAGACTACCTAGATTGCGTGGGTAGGGTTATTGTAGACATCAACCAGTCAAGTGTCGGTGCACGACGCAGAGAAAATGCTAGTTCGACATGTATTGTATTTTGACCATGCGAAGCTGTAGCAAAAGGGGTATTGACGAACGGACTTGGAAGAGGAACGTCGCCTCGTCAAACGCAGCCGCCCGAGTCTATAGGACTAGTAGTAATGGGGAGAAAGGGAAGAAACAGATCAACCTCCTTCGTTATATACTCTTTCCCATGCGGAAACATATCCCCCCATGGAAATGCTGAAAAAGCAACCTTAAATACAGAAAAATAAAAAGGGGAGGACACCGTCATGCAAGAATGGAACCCGCCTCCGTTGACCGATGAGATCGCACCGCTATGCTACGACGAGGAAGAAAAAAGAAAGAAGAAAAAAGGTGGCTGGATACGGAAAGATGCAACATATCAAAAAGATCGCCCTACAACGAGAAGGAGACGAAGCACCCCGAGACGAGACACTAGGTGCTTAGCTGCACCGAGGCGACCCCTACCTTCGCGGCGTTGCTGTGGATGCGCGTCTACGTTAGCCAAACGGCACATGGCCCCCGTTCCCATACCACAACTTACCGTTAACCATCTGGCGCTGCCTGTTCAGCCAGCTCTTTGGCACGTCGTGCCTCCTCTGGAGAACCACGTGGTTACTCTGCAGGCGGCTCGTGAGATCGTACCATGCAGTAGTAATCATAGCATTCTCTCGCTTGAGGTCCTTGATAGTCGATTCATATTGGGCCTTTGATCCACGCATGTCAGTAAGAGGATGATGGATGCATTGAGCACGTATGACCCAGAAACCATACTCTTCGGGGGGGATAAGGGGGAAGGGAACATGGAAGTCCAACACATTGGATTGCAATTACGCATGGAATACTATCAAGACTCGCTGATGTCCAGCAAATGGGAAAACGTACCTTCTGTGCCGTGAATCCGCTACCACCCTCCGCGGCCTTGATGCGTCGCTGCAGCTCGTATTTATCGAGCTCAGCCTTCTCAAGTTGCTGCGATTGAAGAGTTGTAATGTTAGCAATATGCACTCTCCCGGCAAATGTCTACTTAGCGGGCCTGTATGCGTCCGGGGGAGCACTGTTCCTCCATTTGAGCTTCCACCACTTCTCCTTCTTCCCCTGTTGCCTGGGGGGGACGAGCTGCGGTGGAGGGGCGCGGGAGAGAAGCCCGTCGAAAAGATCATCCGAACTTCCGGACGAGGAAACGTGCACCCTCGGCGGTGGCAGAGGAAGCGGGCCAAAGCCGGATGTTGCGACGGAAGAAGGGCGGGGGCAGGATGAGCTAGGACTTACCTGAACTTTCTGCTTGAGCGCTGCCTTGTACTTTTCTGTCTTTTCGCTGTCATCCTTCTTCGGCTTCTGGGCATCCGCTTCGCTAGCGGCGACGCTGACAGGGCTTTGCGACCTTGGCTTCAGCTGGATGCCGGTAATGCCGGCGTCGTCGAGTTGCTGTCGGAGGTGGTCCTTGGAGATGAGGGCGTTCGTCAGCTGCTGACGGAGCTGCTCGAGGTCGATCTCCCGGAGCTTGATCTTCTCGCGGGTCGACTCCAGCTCGGTCCTCAGCGAGGCCGAGATGAGCTGATCGGACGATTTCAGGACCTCGAGGGCGTCGATGGACTGCTGGCCAACGGCGTTTACTAGACCGAAATTGTCAGACATATATCTCTCCACTTCCATCTCTTCGACGGCGCAGAGCCACATACGATCAGTCTGAGCGGCAAGAAGCTCGCGATTCCGGTCAGCCAGCTCGGACTCGAGCTTCTGGATCTTGGCCCGGTGGCGGTCGAGTTCGGCAATGGTGTCGGCGAGCTTCGTCTTCTTCTCCTCGTAAGACTGGTCCCTGTGATACTCGAGTGTGAGCAAGACGACAGGCCCAAGCTTGAGCATAGCATCGGTGGCTTCGACTAACCGTTCGCCTTTCATGTTGCTAAGGAGCACCTTGATCTGCTCCTGAGCAAGAACGTACTTGTTGTTAGCATCCGCGTACATATCTTCGATGGCCTTGTGTTTCTGCTTCTCAAAGTCAACCTCGGACCGAAGCCGCTCGTTGTCCGCGGCAACGCCCATGTTGTTCTTGAGAAGCTTGTTCTCGGCTTCCAGCCGTGAGATTTCCAGCCGGTATCTGATCGCCGGGTCGGTGGAGGTGGTCTCAAGCTCCCGCTCGAGGTTAGATGAGGCACCGTTGCCACCAGGACTTGCCGGAGGCTGGAGCAGGATCCCGACCTGCATCCTTTCCTGTAGGTCCTTGATCTGATCTTCTCCGATACGGAGCTGGTCAGCCAGCACCTGTTTCTCCAACTTGAGGGTCTCATTCTCTTCCTTCAGACTCGCCTTGATGGCCTGGTCTTCGAACTTCTCGCTCTCATACGTGCCCATCTGCTTGCGATACTGCTGGCAAGTATGGTGCATGATCTCGTTATCGGCCTTGAGCTTGTCAAATTCTTGGACTTGCTCTCTCAGCTCGTGGTTCTGGCTCTCGAGTTCTCGGTTCTTCTGGTCGGTAATCTTGGCCTGTTCCGCGCTCTTCTTGTACCACTCGGCCTGCTTGAGCCTCGAGTTTAGATTGTCCCTCTCATGTTCGAGCTCTTTGACGCGGTCTTCAAGGTCCTTGGCCTGTTCTGCTTTGTTCTTGAAGTGTTCGAGTTCGTTCCGGAGCCTAATCCTCTCAAGTCGGTCGTCCTCAACCTGCGCTTGCAGGGTGTCAATAAGGTGCACTTCCTCCCGCTTCTCCTGTTCCAGTTTCCTAATGATTGCAGACGCATCGGACTCGTTAGTCTTGCGCAGCACGTCCACCTCTCGCTGGGAGATCTGCAAGTCTTGAACGACCTCCTCCCTGGACATCTGGAGCTGCTCGTTCCGGGTAAGAAGGTCCGCGTTTTGCTTCTTGACGGTATCGAGGTCTTTGCGAAGCCTCGCAACTTCGGCTTCCTTCTCCAGGTCGGGATCTCTCGAAGGGTGCTGGAGGGCGTAGACATCGTCGTAAGCGCTGTCAGGAGTCGCATCGTCCAGGTCTCCATTCGTCTCTGCACGCTTCTGAGCGTCTTCGATCTGTATTTGCTTCCGTTGGATGATTGCCATTATCTCTCTCTGGTCGGGCCTATCCATTTTCATGATCGCCGGTACGTGACTCGCAGCAAGGCCTCCGAGGCATGCCGCCGACACAAACGCGGAGAGGAACTGGTCAGTTAGCGCGCGATCAACCTCATCACCGTCGTCAAGATCGAGGAACGGGAAGTCCGTCGCGGGGGTAGGTACCTCGCACATGCCATTGGCATCCGGATTGTCCACGATTGTGCGGAACTGGTTGGGTGAAGGAGCAAGATAGGGGTTCTCCTGGCGGAGGAACTGGGCAAGAGACCGGTATACGATCTCCAAGTTCCGCTTCTTCTCCAACCATGAGGTGGCGTTCGGGTTCAGGGAGGAGCGGTTGAAGTCGGAATTCAGGATTTGGAGGACTTGACCTAGGATAACGCCATCCTTGAGATCGTCCAAGGAGTCTGCCCTCCTGTCGAGACCTTCGAATGTGTTGACCCATTTCAAGAGCGCGGCCTGCGCGCCTTTACTGAGCGACATTGCTGCTATTCGGGCGGATCGCCGTGGTCTATGGCGCTGAAACGATGTTAGGGTTCAAGGTCGGACCGTATCTCCCCCGTTCGGTTGGGGTCGGTTGGTAGCTGCAGTCAAGGCGCAAGACAAGCGCAGACTTACTCGCTGCAATTGAACCTGTATCTGCAGCGGGTACGGATCAGGTATATAGTTGTCGAGGTGAAACCACTGTCGCTGGCGAAAGAGTGGAGGTTGCAGTCGGTAGTCGGTAGGGTTGAAGGGTTGAAGGTGTAGGGCGCGCAAGCATTCTCGCGCGGATGGTCGAGCCTTAAGAAGTCAGCGTTTCATTGTTTTCAGCCGGCGGGTTGTTGTGGTTTAATCAGGCAAAGAGTAGAAGAAGGACATTGTTCTAGACTACTTTGTTCTCTTTCTTTCATACGAGGCATTGCATTGACACAAAGGAGAAGATCTTCTATCCTTATCGTCAAGCCCATGGATTAGCCCCGAATTTCCCCAAACGCAAGGTGACGCTTGCTGTTTCTGATCTGCATGGATGCTCCTCGGCTTGAGATTGGCCTGCATACCGATTCCGCACCCCTGACAAAGGGTGTGCCCCTAGTGTTGAGGAACAATCTATATGTACGGATCCGTAGGCAGTACATAAAGATGGAAAGCACCATGTCATGGTTTGAGACTTGTTGAGAAACAACCTTATTATTGCGCCCCATGAAAGGCTCGGAAAGACTCGACAGACTCGACCAAGTCACCGGCCGTTTCGACAGGCCTTTTGGGTTCTCCAAGCTGGGGTGGCCTCCACTCGAGCTCATTCTCACAAGCGGATTCTCTCGGCGCGGGTGACGATACCGATGGGGCTGCAAGCGGCACGCTGATTACTCACTCTGCCAGATTCACGCAGGCTGCTACCAAGAAGCACAGCAATATCGTGCCTAAGAACCTAGTGTTGGGGGAACTTGGGCATTCGCTGTTGGGACAAAGCACATCTCCGGCGCGCACGGCGATGGAAGCGTCGGGTTTACGCAGTCATGAAGTCAGCTGCGACTCATGTTTGTAGGTGGCCAAGGAGAACGGCTGGATCTCCAGATGATTCTAAACGACGATGATTGATGGATGCCAAGCATTGGAAATACAAGTTGGCCAACTATAACACCACCCCGTATTACCAGTGGTATACCAAAACTCCCAAAACACCGTTCATTTGCACGATCATACTTTGGCTCCAGTTAAGATGTTAACGACTTGTCGGCGCCGTACATCCTCGTCCTGTCATCCAACGACGACATTCATCCCTCAGCCTTTGACAACGGAACTAGAGGCGATACCCATGGTGGGTTGACGATTCCTTATAGCGACGAGACGAGCTGGTCTTCCTCGATCAGGGCATTGTACGGCTTCCCCCATGCAGTCACCGTATCGAGGACTTTCTCTCCAACCTTCGCAGCAAAGCCCCTGGAGACAAAGTTAGCTTCCCAACCGCTTCTCAACTTCTCCAGGGAGGACGCGCGTCATCGACGACTTACTTGATCAACTGATACTCGTGCGTAATAACGCCGCCTCCCTCCCGGATTGCCTGCTTTGCCTGGTCCAATACCGAGTTCGGGGTATCTGCTGGGTAGGTGATGATAACCGACTTCTGAACATCAACGGCGACGGCAGCGCAGACGATGCTGAGCGCGGCGACGAGGAAAGCGAGCAGTCTCATGGTTGCGGTTGCGGGTCTTTGGATGTCGATGTATTGATGTCGAAATGAATATGCTGGTGAATTTGCAGGAGATGGAGTAACTGTTGGAAGTTCCTACAACTAAGTCGGTGGTGCAGTTGCCAGGGTTGTAAGTCGGGCGAGGTGGTCCTCGCCTTTGTTTTAGGTTGGCTGATGATCCCACCCCTGCAGGCAGCCCCGCCCGCTCCGTCATACCATTTCAGGGATACGGAGCATTCCAGCACGTTTTAGTACTAACCCGTTTGAGGAGGAGCCGTTTACAAGGTAATCCGCTTTTTAACTTGCCTAGCTAATCCGGCAGTGGCGACCGTTATTACAACTTACACTCTGTCGAAAGAAAGTAACAGTGTAACCGCAAGAGGAATACAACGCATGCGCACTATCTAGGTCCTTAGTATCTGTAAAGCATCGAGGCCCGTGGCATGAGTGGGCAGGTAAACCCATAGGAGTCACCATTTGTCTCACTTGTCTCCCTGGACTCAGGTGCAACTTATAGGTAACCCAGTTAGGAATAGAAACGCCCTCCTATGCTCCCTGTAAAGACCAAACGCCACAGCCATAGCCAGGAATGTGAATATGGCAGTCATGACTTTGCGCTTCCAGGAACACTGTCATCAACCCAGATATCCTTGCTTTCTTGTTCAACGTCTCGCATGGCCACGGCCACTTCCTCGAGTTTCGCAACCACATCAAGGACGCCTTGATTAACCCGCTGGAAATACCGATCGTTCGCCTCCCTCCTCTTCCTCGCTAGAAGGATATCCGCGTCCGTCTCCTCCTCGAGCTTCGCGCCCAGCTTCGCCTGTCCCCCAGCCCCCGTCCCGCTGCTCGCGGGCCTCGCGCTCCCCGTACCTGCCGTGCTCCTCGCGGTGCCCTCAGCAACCCCGGCGGCACCGTCAGTCTTCCCCCCATCGGCCCCGGACTCGGCGGCCCCGGCCGTCGACGCCTTCGCATTCCCGGCAGCACTCCCGCCCCCCCTCGTCTCGATGGCCTCGTCCGCCTCGCTCCGCGCCCAGGCCTGCGCGAGCGCGATCTGGGCCATGCGCAGCGCGCCCAGCTTCCGGTCGTGATCCGGCCCGAAGACCCGCGTGCCCCCGGACGCAGACAGCTCCACCTCCTCCAGCGTCGCCTGCATCTCCGCCCACAGCGCGTCCGTCCTATCGGTCGCGCGTGTGGACTCGCTCCTGTACAGCTGCAGCGGGTGGCCGAGACCGGGTGCGGCGGCGCCCGGCGAGAACTTGGGCCGGCGGTGGTTGTTGCTGGCGGGCTGGAGGGGCTCTATAGGCGATGTCAACGTCGCTGCATCGCGGCCAGCGAGGTAGGAGGTGCTGCGTTGCAGGGACGGTCCTGCTGCAGCTTGTTGTCCCGGACCTTGTGGGTGGGAGGTCGGCGGGGTGCCGAGAAGGCCTGGGAGGGAGGCATGGGAGGCGCCGGGCGACGGGTGCAGGAAGAGTGAAGGTGGGGGATTGCGTGCTGTTGATTTGCCTTTGGCTGGTTGAGACATAGCTACATCTTGATTCTTTAAGCAGATTCGAGCTTCGAGCTTCGAGCTTCAATAAGCTAAGGAAGCCGCCCAAAAAAAAACCCGAAAAAGAGGCAGAATTGTAGATAGCACTTCAAGGAGTCGAGGATTCCATGTTCAGAGCTTCTGGGGTGGGTACCTAGGTACCTACGCTAAAGGTGGGTTCCACTGTGCTCGTGATTTACTGTAACTGCCGAAGTTTCCCCGACAAATTTCCTTTGCCTGAGGCTCAATATTCGGCCCCACCTCGACTCTAGGGCGCGAAAACCCTATCAGCGAAATCCAACCGGTCACCGGAACTTAGGGGAAAAATTACCTGCACGGAATTCCAGACTTCACGACTCCAACGCTCGACCACCTAAACAAACCCATTGCAGCGATACAAATTTTAAGTCGGTATGTGACGCCAATTGCGATCCATTTGATGCTCAGCGAGCCTTTCGCATCAGATTGAGCATCTTCCACTGCCTGCGTCGGGCATCGAGAGGGTTCACTGCTAACTTGTGCCTCCTTCAAGCAACCATGGGTAAGGGACAGCCTCGTGGCCTGAACGCGGCCCGCAAACTTCGCACCCACCGCCGGGATCAGCGATGGGCCGATCTGGGATATAAGAAGCGTGCTCTCGGAACCGCCTTCAAGTCTTCGCCGTTCGGTGGCTCCTCCCACGCCAAGGGAATCGTCCTCGAGAAGGTCGGTGTCGAGGCCAAGCAGCCCAACTCTGCCATTCGGAAGTGTGTCCGTGTGCAGTTGATCAAGAACGGAAAGAAGGTCACAGCTTTCGGTACGAACAACCCTCCCCAGATCGAGATGATGTGATCCCGGAGAGACAATGGTTATGGACAGAATACTGACTGGTACCCTGCGATACAGTCCCCAACGACGGTTGCTTGAACTTTGTGGACGAGAACGACGAGGTCCTGCTTGCTGGTTTCGGTCGTAAGGGCAAGGCGAAGGGTGATATTCCCGGTGTCCGTTTCAAGGTTGTCAAGGTCTCTGGTGTCGGTCTGCTCGCCCTGTGGAAGGAGAAGAAGGAGAAGCCCAGATCATAAGCTTGAGGACGGAAACGGAAAAGGGTCACGGTTTGGCATGCGGAGTCTTCGTTGCTTGTTTACATCGGCATCAGTGGCATCGGGTTACGGCACCTGATTCTTTCACGGTAGACACGATCACGCGAATGGAAGGTCATTGAACACCAAGATTCGCTACCCCTTCTTGACACAGCGTGATGCTCTAAATTGATCCTGGTCCTCCGGCCGGCCGAATATCGCGCCTGGAGCCGAGTCTCTAGATACTGTAAGGTAAAAACATGTTATAATACAATGTCATACAGCCTCGCTGAGTTGTTACAATGAATCCTCCTCATCCTCGTCTTTTTGTACGTAACGTTGGAGATAGTCAGCACCGAGTCCCAGGCAGACAACGCCGCCAGTCATCCAGCAGCCATTGACGAACCACCACCAGCAGTTCTTGACGCTCTTGAGATTTACCCGCTTGATCATGATACCCAAGGTCAGCAGTGCTCCCCCGCAGCTTCCAATAAAGAAAGCCGGTCCAGCACCAGCCGCCATTCCGGCGCCGGCGAGGAGGCCGACCTGAGTGATGGCCAGCCCCGTAAGAACTTGTTTGGTCTGCTGGTCGTGCTTCAGGGCGATGCTCTTAATCCCGGCTTTGGCGTCGTCCTTTATGTCCATATGGGCGTAAATCATATCGTACAAGACGGTCCAGGCGATGTTTGACGCATACAAGAGCCCCGCCGCAGACGAGGCCGAGGTGTTGGAGAGCAGGTCGATGCCGAGGGCAGGAAACCCCATGATCGCGCCCCAGGAGAAGGTCAGGCCGAGCACGAACTGGGGGTAGTAGGTGACCCGCTTGGCGAGCGGGTAGGCTGCCACGAAGAGGAGACTCGGGGCGGCGTAGAAGAAACACTGGGCCGGGAACTGCAGGAGGATGCCGAGCCCGGCAAGCAGCTGGAAGCCGGTGAAGACGAGCCCCTGGAAGGGGGTGACGGCCTTCCTCGCAATGGGCCGCAGGCGAGTCCGGGCCACATGGGGATCCAAGTTGCGGTCCCAGAGATCATTGATCGTACAGCCTGCCCCACGCATGATCAAGGCGCCGGTGAAGAAGAGGAGGGAGGTACCGATGACTGAGCCGGGTGAAGCCATTGGAACCGCCATCGGGGCTGCCATGAGAGTGGAGAATAGGCATGGGAAGTAGAGGTAGTAAGACCCTGTAGGCTTATCGATGCGAACTAGCTCAGCATATGGGACCCATGAGGATGGAAGCAGCGAGAGAATGCCGGAGGTCGGTGGGGTGTATGCTCGGCCGGGGTTGACAATCTCATCGGTTGGTGCTTGCTGTACATGAGCAGACGCAGGTGCAGAGGCTTTGGGAGTGGCGGAGGAGAATTTCCTTGCATCAAGGCAGCCCAAGAATCTGTCATAGTGTGCTCTGTGAGCATTGATGCTCCGAAATTGAGCCCTCCGAGATCCCTTGTTTACATATGCAGAGAGCCTGGCCGGATGGAGATGACCATGGATGACAGGCCTCAGAGACATCCTCAAAGGGACGCAATAGCCCGGCATAGTTAAGAGAGTACACCTAGCTCCCTTCTCTTCAGGCGCGCTTCGGAAGCAAGTCACAAGTTCGTGTGCATCCACATGCCATTGGTTTCCCTTCCATTGTCTGTCCCATGCTCCTACAAGGAGAAATCGCTCGCTGATAAGATGTCTTGTCTGTGTTCTTTTTCGAGGAATATGGGCAGAATACTGCTAGCCGATTGGTCCAATGTGCGGTCAGAGTGTGGTCTGTGCGTTTCTGTGCCACTTACCCACACCGGAGGATAGGTACCTTCGAGAACCGACACCAACGGCGGCACGTCATTAATTAAGCTTGAACCGCGTCTCTGCTCCGGCGCCCGATTTGCCAGCATCACAACAGAGAAGCCCCAAACTGGGGCTGGTACTAAGGTTTCCTGTATTGTTTAGAGGCAAGCCGACAGCTCCTTGTTTGTCAGGCAATTTTGCCCTCAGGAGTTGGTTGCAATAGATTTTCTTGGTCGCGCAGTCGCGGGGTTGAAAGCGATGTCCCAGCGCGACGAATCAACCTCTTAGACCTATGCCTTCGACTTTGTCAAGCCTCGCCCACGACTAAGAATGACCTCCATTTGATTCACTCCTTCCAGGTCGTGACAATGCCTTCACTCCACCCCCAGGCCAAGTTCGACCCGATTCCACCAGATCTCGATCTCCACGCCTTGGTGGAAAACACCCCGAACTTCGACTGGGTCAAGCGAATATCCGCCACACAGATCCGTAACATCGGCCAACGCGAGTTCGAGAAATTGGTTCTATTTCATGTTATCCAAGGAGGGAAGCCCTTGGTTATTGAAAAATGGAACGATCGCCTGCCGAAGTCGTTCTTTAGCGCCCAGTGGGTAGAGAACACCTACGACAAGAAACGTAAGTCCTGCTCTGCTCTGCTCTGCCCTATATTCCCCTGCAGCCCATTTACCAGCCGTCGCAGAGGAGAATGTTCGCGATATCACCTCCCAGACCGATATTCCGATGACAACTGGCCACTACCTCCGCTCCATGAAGCAACTCACCAACCAATGGTCCCCATCCAACTTCCGCGACGAGAGGAGGCAGCGCCTGTACCTCAAGGACATCGACTGCCCTCCCGAGTGGCATGATCGCTTGCGCAGCGTCCTCCCGCCGAATCTGTTCTACTTGAATGAGAATGTCGAACAAAACGCATCCCGGCGCAACGAGGAGATGGACATGTTCCCCGAGGACCACGTTACAGCCCCCGCAGGGGACCTCATGAGCAGCCTTCCTCCGGAGATGCGGGCCCAGAATCTCATGTGCTACATCGGGCATGAGGGAACATATACTCCGGCTCATAAAGAGATGTGTGCCAGTCTCGGCCAAAACATCATGGTTGATGCATCAGGAGCTGACAACGGTGAGAAGGTGGGCAGCTCCATCTGGTTCATGACCGAGACGAAAGACAGGGAAGTCGTAAGGGAATACTTTCTTTCGATGCTGGGCCACGACATCGAGATCGAGAAGCACTTCGCCCAGATCAACGCGTGGAAGAAAGCGACCTTTCCGGTGTATATTGTCGAGCAGAAGGTTGGAGACTTCATCCTCATCCCTCCTCTTGCGCCCCATCAGGTCTGGAATCGCGGTACCAGAACGATGAAGGTTGCCTGGAACCGTACCACAGTGGAGACCCTGGAGATGGCCTTGCACGAAGCACTGCCAAAGGCAAGGCTTGTCTGCCGCGACGAGCAATACAAGAACAAGGCCATCGTCTATTTCACCCTAAAGAAATACCACAGGGAGCTGCTGGAGCTGCAGAAGAACACTGACATGGCATGGCTCGGGATCGGCCAGGGCTTGTTCAGGGACTCGCCGCGAGTGCAGCAGCTGCTCAAGGATTTCAAGAGTCTCTTCGGCCTGTACACCGAGATCCTGGTCGATGAGATGTTCATGACTCGGGAGAAGGAGGTGGAATACATCGAATTCGACTCCTGCATCACGTGTTCTTACTGTCGCGCCAACATCTTCAACCGCTTCCTAACATGCAAGCACTGTGTCCGGCACCTGGTCGACGGGAGTGAAGATACCTACGACGTCTGCATGGAATGCTACGCCATGGGTCGCTCTTGTCTCTGCATATCCGGTCTTAGCTGGTGCGAGCAGTGGAAATGGTCGGAGCTGGTTGACAACTACGAAGACTGGCGAACTGTCATTATTAGAAATGACGGGTTTGTCGATCTGGATCTGTCACCCATGCCCCTCGAGGTGGCCAGGAGAAAGTACGGCAAGAAGCCGGTTGCCCAGATCTGCCAGGAACAGCTGAAAAGGAGGCCCTGGAAAGACATTACCAAGCACGACACCCCGTCCGAACCAGAACCGTCGGATCACGAAGTTGACGACGAAGGCCGTCCTGTCAAGAAGAAACGCCGGAAGAAGAAGAAGAAGGGCGACGTCTATCGATGTCACGTATGCAGTCACAAGGAGTATACATACAAGCTGGCTTTCTGTTCGACGCCAGGCTGTGGGGAAGCCTACTGCTATGGCGTCCTTCACAGGGCTTTCGACCTGATGCCGCAGGCTGTCATGCAGAACGAGAATTGGAAGTGTCCCAAGTGCCTTCAGATCTGTAACTGCGGTTATTGCAGGCGCTTGAAGGGGGGTAACCCCTACATGCCAAAGAATACACTTCTCGGGCATGATACACGTCCCATAGCTGATGACCGGAGTGTCGAGGCCCTGGTCGACTTCAGGTTGCATAACCTCACATGGCTGAAGAATGCCGGCGACGAAAGCCGCAACTTGCAGAGCAAACGAATGCAGAGGCTCAGACAAGCTGCTGAAGCCGAAAAGGCCAAGGACGACGAACTGGTCAACAGCATACCCATACCCGCCTTAGCCAATGGCGACGAAGCCGCCAGCCCGAGTGCCACCACCATGCAGCAGCCAATTACCAATGGGTTCGACGATCAAGTCAATGGTCCCCGTCCTGGGGCCGTGGACGAGAACGTCGAGATGCCTCTGCCACTGGGACAAGATCAATCTGAACTTCAAACCTTGGCCACAAATGGGGGCCCCGCTGCCGTCGCCGATATGTCACTCATGGAAGATGAGTCTACGTATCCGGATCCTTCCTCCTACCCGGACCCATCTATGCTTGGCCATGAACGCATGCTCGGCATGGGATATTACCAGCAGGACGACAGTCCGGATAAGATCCTCTTCGATCCTTACCATATGCCATCAGCCGGTGCCATGTCCGAGAATGACCTAGAAATGACCGACCACGTCAAGAAGACTCTGAGAGCAGCGAAACGTCGAGCCAGACAAGAGGAGGACGATGACCCCGACTTTGCAGCACCTCGTTCATGGAAGCGCCCCAGACTTGACGACGGCATCCCGTATGACGGCCAGCAAGAAGCACTGAACAACATGGACCCAGCTCTATTCGCTCAAGATTCTACCATGCTGGATGCACTTGATCAGCAAGATGCCGCCGCCGAACCGGTCAACCCAGAGGAGGCAGATCAAGTACAGGATTCGACCGCCTCGCTCGAGCCAGGGGATGAACGCCGCTCAGTATCTCCACACCGTCCAGCTCTCCGCCCCTCACGGCCTAAGATGTCGTACGCAGAGCTTTTTGATGGCGGTGAGGACGAGTTCAACGAAGTTGTCTCACAAGCGGATGAGGGGCCAGAGGCCGGATTTCTCGGTTTTGATCCGGAAAACGCCAACAGGGACCCTCTCGATCTGGCTTCAGTAGGCATCCGAGCTATGAGTCCAGCTGGCGATGAACCGGACAAGGCCCAGACCCCTACCACTGCACCAGCAGCTACTCTTGCTCCGGTCAGCGGGAAGAGACGGGGCCGACCTCCAGGCCGGCCGCGCAAGTCGGATGCTACTCCATCTCAGGCATCCGCCCCGGCATCAGATAAAGGGCCGAGCATCCCCACACCGCAGGCCGGCACTGGGAGGAAACGTGGACGTCCCCGAAGGTCATTGGCGAACGAAGAACCAAGCGAGGCTGTGCAAGTCGAGGTCGAACATCATGAATCCCCGATTGACCATACAAGTGACGAGTTGGAGGCTCAGTTGGCTAAAGAACTGGAGGCTTTTGATGAAAACAGCGAGCAGATCGAGCAGCCAGAGCAGCCCGAGCAGCCCGATGAACCCGAGGAGCCCGAACATCCTGTGGCTAGACAGGACCAACAAGCCCCGAGTTCTGCCGCCAAGAGGCGTGGCCGCCCGCCAAAGAACGCCCAGGTGCAGTCCCAAGTAAAGACACAGGTAAAGACGGTCGCTGTAGAGATACGCTCAAGCCGCCCTGCTTCGCCGCCTCCAGATATGAAGTTCTTGTCTATGAAAGAGCGTATGGCACTGAGGGGCAAGAAGTTCAAGATCGCAAAGCGGAAATCCGACAGTGTTGATATTTCGAGGGATAAGGATGCCAGTCCAACGACCGTCACCCCGAGAGGTAGTCACGGTGCAGAGACCGCAGGCCGTGATTTTGTTTCCAGAATGGAAGCGAGATCGGCTACTCGGGAGACTTCCGCTTCACCATTTGTTGCGTCGAGCTCCGGGTATTCGAGCCGATCCCCTGCTACTCGTCGGCCTGCACCACCAGCTTCAGAGCCCAAAAGGCCGCCTGGGCCTACGATTGTACGACTTGGAGATACCGAAGATGAGTATGAGAGCGAGGATTTTAGCACCAACCGCGATGGTCGGGGCGATATCAGCTCAGATGTGACATCCGAGGCGACCTCCGATTTCGATGAAGACGAGGATATTCCGGCCCGCAAAGCCCCAGTCGGTGCTGCCCGCCACGACGGACGTACGGCTATCAGAGCATCTGCGCGAGGTGGCCGGGCCGGTCGACCTCGCGGCCGTGGGCGTGGGCGTGGGCGTAGGAGGGGTTAAGGTTGGCTGTGGTTTGAGATGGAACTAACTGATCATGGGGGAGGTTGCCGGCACAATGATACCCTGCTCTGCGATTTCCTGGCAACTGAGTTGTATTTCCCCTATATCAAGTCGACACAACCATCGAACAGTTAGGTGACTCGCTGACTGGGCGCTGTTTATCGATGTTGTACCACAGTAGTAATAACCACGCTTGTTTGAGTATCTGCTGGCCAATTGACGAAATATGCACATTCATATCGTCACTACCGTCGCCCGCTCTCAGCGTTTATCGGCCAAGTCAGTCTAAGGAACGCCTTGTCCTCCCCTCCCACCCTCCTCCCCCACAACCGCCCAGGCCAGTTGCCATATGCCATGCTATTGTTTCCCCCTTCCCCCTTCTCCCTTCCCCTCTCAGCCCCTTTTTTGCCTTCCCAGCCCAAAGCGAGTCAAGCCTCAGAGGCCGTCCCGCATGCTCGTGCCATGCTTGGCCTTCTCCTCGGCGGCCTCCTTGGTGCGCTCCTGCAGGCGCTTCATGGCGGCCTCGCCGGCCTCGTGCGGGCTCATGCGGTCGGCCTTGACGCTCTCCTCGCTCTCCGACGCTAGCTCCGGCTTCCAGTGGCCCTTGCCCTGGCGCTGCTTCGACAGCGAGTCTTGCTTGTGCTTGTCGAATTCATCTGGGCTGGGGTCCTCTGTGGGGAGGGGGTTAGTTGATGCTACGTTTGTGCAGGAGGGCAGTTGGTTGAATTGGAAAGGGGGAGGGGGAGGGGGGTTTGAGATGGGACGTTGTTGGTGGGGGCCATGCTTACTGCTGAGGCTTTCTTTCAAACCGAGACTCCTTCCTTGCATGAGTGTCCTTCTCGTCGTGGTCCCTGTGCCAGCAACGATTCGAGGAGTCATGATAGTTCTTGAAAGTAGCGAACGGGAGGCCATGATGAAATATAGATGTAGATGCCGTTGGTCGTGATTTGAGTTGAACTTGTCTAACACTCGTAATTTATATAATTGATACGCGGTCAATGCCAATTGATGGTTTTCGATTGCAACTTCAAGTTATAAGAGTGTTCAGGGAAAGATACTTGGTCCAATACCGGTAGCTGCTTTCCAATGCGTTGCCTCTGCGCGACTTGCAAGGAGCTCTAAGTGAGGTGACGTCATCATGAGCCTGCTCTCGGTACGCAGGTCGCTACCAAAAGTATTCTCTCACCGCCTGAATTAGAGGTCGCTGGAACTTCAGTGGCATAACCTCCCTAACAATTTTGGTAGGTGCTTGGTGCTAGTGGACATAGTGCCTAAGTCCTCTATAAGTTACTGGATTTATTCTGCCGGCACTTAAAAGGTGGTGGCGATTTCTTTTGGTAGCGACTTCCGTAGGTATTTTCAACACAGAACACTGAGTGACGAACAAATGTTGGCTACCTAAGTGGAGTGTCCCATCATCAACTGCCTGGAACTGCTCTAAGCTGGCCTTTGGCTCATATCTATCTATACAGTAAGGTACCGTTCAAGTTGTGCGCCTTATATTTGCCCATCATACAGCATCTGCTCTCTAGTGATTCTGCAGGCGACAGGTGAGAGGACGCCCAGATAGCAATTTCCAGCGGCGTGCTTATATCCGACTCATGATGACTGTTTCTCCCCGATTCAAGAATCCGTAGGTATCCATGTTTACCTAGGTATCCATTTTTACGTACTGCGTACCTAGGTAGAGGAAACCTAGCTGAGCATGTTCGAAAGAGCTCACCTTGAGGATTTCCGTTCGGCAAGGGATGATGAATCAGCACATTCCTCCGAATCTTGCATAATCGACACGCATCACTAGCCACCATTTTTATTTGATTTATTTGATTTGCGTTGGATGGCTCAGTAAAAATACTCATTCCGGCGATACCCGCTGCCAGTTCAATCTCGATACCCTTTTATCAAGCGTTTGTTCACAGCGTGACTCATCGGAGGTTGAGTTTGAGCTTGCGCATACCATGGTGACATTATCGCCCCTCGCTCTCATACTCATCTTCGGTATCTCCAAGTCGTACAATCGTAGGCCCAGGCGGCCTTTTGGGCTCTGAAGCTGGTGGTGCAGGCCGTCCAACATAAATCAAATAAAAACCACAGAGGAGTGTACGATAGTAAGCCCATCCTAACAACAGCCCGCCCTCAGCCCATCTCAACTAGGAGAGAGCTGAAGATTAGCTTATTAGGAGTCAGGAGTGGGGTGATGACCGGGAGTCAGAGACTCACGGGCCGATCTGCAGGGCGTCATCCTCCTCGGTTACCGTTGCATTTGTCATGTCATCAACGCCCTGTCTGAGTCTTGGCTTGACATACGTTGGAAGGCCAAGAACTTCCGGTAAAAGCCAACGATAATTGAATCTTCAGACACTTGGGCCGAAGTTACCGTCGGGATGACCTGGCTCTGTTTTCGTGGCTCCGCAGCGCCACAGCTATGGTGTTAGAGGTGTACATACAAAGCTGGCCCTGCTCCTGGAACGGGCAGCCCGTTGGCATGCTTATATCATGAAGATTATCAATGATCTCAGGATTCCCAATTTTGCACAGTACTTCGCCATCACGCAAGGACCGACTAGCATACCGTTAGCCTCTAAAAAGGTTACCTGCAGTCTGGCAAGTCTGGCTATGGGGGGTTTCTTTCCCTGTCTGTTTTACCTAATCTAAGGTGGCCGTTAGCGCAAAAAATCTCACTGTTGCACGATGGGAGGAAGAAAGGGTGTCACTTATTCGGCGGCCTGGTACAGGCCAACTCTACTCCCTGGGGGTGAACATGAAATTCACCACTTTATACCCAATCTTAAGCTTATCTTCACAGTTTTCGAACCACCACACAATAATAAAAGGTTTTAAATGCCTTAATCGTTCCCGCCCTGAAATAATCTATTAATTAATGTATATAACATGTAGGTTTTGTAGTTGACTTTCAAATGAAATTTCAGTTTGAAAGTCTTTAAATCTTGACTTATAGCTGAGCGGGATTTTTGGTGGTGATAAGAATGGGATGGGGTAGCTGAAGTGACTTTCAACTAATTTTGACCAAGGTTTTGGCTTAATAAGCGAAAAGTGCAAGTATCTTCACATACTAAAATTGGTGCAGAGTACTTACCAAACCGCCACAGCGGCCGAATAAGCGACGCCGAAGAATGGCTGGTATTCTGTTCTGCGCAACGAAAGTCCCTCACTATCAGTGACAGTGCCCCGCCTTGAATAAAAGGTTGTGATGCAACCACCCCACTTTCCCAACCATATATATGTCCCCTCATGCCACCACCATCATTCCTCGTAACTTGCTGATATTTTGACAACAACAGTCAACCCTACTTTATTCTCTTGTCACAAGAAGCTGACAAGATAAATCTTTTGCCCTCTACTGATTACCTCTCACACGAACAAAAGCTCCAAACAACAGCTCAGGTAAGCCATTGATAGCTCTTTCTCGCTCTGGACCCCGCAGTTGCCCTTTTCACACATTGCTACCCGTGTGTTGAGGGGTTTAAAACCGCTCACATCCTCCCGATTCCATCATCTACCTACCTAATCTTCTTCTTCTCCCAAATACCTGTTGTTTATTACTATCTCTGAACCTCGTCCTCTGAATACCCCTTGCTATCCTTGAAAGCCTTTACTCACCAGCTCTTTCTACCCCAGACAAAATGGTCGTCAAGGTTGGAATCAACGGCTTCGGTCGTATTGGCCGGATCGTCTTCCGCAACGCGGTCGAGCACCCCGATGTCCAGATCGTTGCTGTCAACGACCCCTTCATCGAGCCCAAGTACGCTGTAAGTTGATCCAGAGCTCCCCAGGGCGACAATCGTTGGCAAGCCAGCCTTATCTAACGCCTGACTCTCTACCTTCAGGAATACATGCTCAAGTATGACTCCACCCACGGCAACTTCAAGGGTGAGGTCTCCGTCGACGGCAGCGACCTCGTCGTCAATGGCAAGAAAGTCAAGTTCTACACCGAGAGGGATCCGGCTGCCATCCCGTGGAAGGACACCGGCGCCGAGTACATCGTCGAGTCCACCGGTGTCTTCACCACCACTGAGAAGGCCGGTGCCCACTTGAAGGGTGGTGCCAAGAAGGTCATCATCTCGGCCCCTTCTGCCGATGCCCCCATGTACGTCATGGGCGTCAACGAGAAGTCGTACGACGGCAGCGCCGACGTCATCTCCAACGCGTCGTGCACCACCAACTGCCTGGCTCCCCTGGCCAAGGTCATCAACGACAAGTTCACCATTGTCGAGGGCCTGATGACCACCATCCACGCCTACACCGCCACCCAGAAGACCGTTGACGGTCCTTCCGGCAAGGACTGGCGCGGTGGCCGCGGCGCTGCCCAGAACATCATCCCCAGCAGCACCGGCGCCGCCAAGGCCGTCGGCAAGGTCATCCCCGACCTCAACGGGAAGCTCACCGGCATGTCCATGCGCGTGCCCACCTCCAACGTCTCCGTCGTCGACTTGACCTGCCGCATCGAGAAGGGCGCCACCTACGACGAGATCAAGGCCGCCGTCAAGGAGGCCGCCGATGGTCCCCTCAAGGGTGAGTAGTTGATCTTCCCCCCACCATTTACAAACCCCCCCAACCTGTGTTTGGGGAGACAATGATGATATCAGGTGCTAACTGTGAAAAAACAAGGCATCCTCGCTTACACCGAGGACGAGGTCGTGTCGAGCGACATGAACGGCAACCCCAACTCGTCCATCTTCGACGCCAAGGCCGGCATCTCGCTGAACAAGAACTTCGTCAAGCTCGTCAGCTGGTACGACAACGAGTGGGGCTACAGCCGGCGTGTGCTGGACCTCCTCGCCTACGTCGCCAAAGTCGACGCCGGCAAGTAAATTTGGAGGTGAAATGGGGGCTGGTTAAGCCTCGCCGAAACGGCATGGAGAAGGATGGGGAACAAAAACATGAGGAGGGTTCCGTCGTAATTGCGGGAACCAGGACAAGGGGCGCGTACTATTTTATGGGCGGGCGCTTCCCTACCCTACCCTACCTGCGCTATCTACGATTCCTTTCCATTTATTCGAGGAAGCATCTGTAGCGGAAGAGACAAAAGGATAAAAATAATAGATTACTGAATCGTCTCATTGTCACCTGACATTTTCAAGGAGATTGTCTCTGCGGGCAGGGGCATTTGGCTATTCAGGCGGGGGCCAATGCTGGGCAGGGGTTCCGGGCTGCCAAAATTATTGGGACAGTTCGAGCATGAAGAAGACCAGCTGCCAGCTACTGAACAAGCGACGGCAACGGCAACGGCAACAGCAACAGCAACGGCAACGGCAACGGCAACAGCAACGGCAACAGCAACAGAGACGGGAACAGCAAGAGAGCCTGACATGGCAATAGTGACAGCGACGGCTAGCCAAATGCCCCCTACCCTAACAGTTAAATGCCCCTGCCCGCGGAGACAACCTCAACCTCAAACTCAACCTCAAACTTAATGCAAGTCGCCAATGAGTCACGCTGTAAACCCTAATGCCCAGCCATACAAAACGACCACCACCATCTCAATCAATTCCATTGAACACCACCTCAATCTTACCACCTCAATCTCAATCCAGGCCAAATGCCTATTGTCAACGTCACCTATCCTCTCCCCCCAGGCAAGATGGACCAAGCCCAGGACTTCAACTTGCGCGGCAGGGCTGCGCTTTATTGCGGAAGGCGCGTGACACCTTTCCCGACCTTCCATTTCGCAATCATGAGTTCTAATGGGCAAACACCGGATGGTGCCCGGCCTAGGGCGCTTCGTCAACAGTCGACCGCAGAGGAAGCCGAGCTGATACCGCAAGAAGACTATCGCTTCCCTTACCACAAGCTCAAACGAACCCTGGTGGATGAGAGCAAGACTCCCTTGGTTCTGGTGGCGTGCGGCTCGTTTTCGCCTGTGACATATCTACACCTGCGTATGTTCCGAGATGGCATCCGATTTTGTGCGATTCAACACCGACTTTGAAGTCTCTGGGGGTTATCTATCCCCTGTGAGTGATGGGTACAAGAAAGTTGGCCTTGCTGCAGGCTATCACCGAGTCAACATGTGCGTAGCAGCGATTGAGCAGTCGTCATGGTTGATGGTCGACCCGTTTGAAACTTCCGTTCGGAATTCCAAGGGGGAGCCTCAGTACGTTCCGACAGCCTGTGTGCTTGCGCACATCGACCACGAAATCAACGATGTGCTTGGAGGTGTCAGCGGAAAGCGGGCTAGGATCTGTTTGCTGGCGGGCTCTGACCTCATCCAAACCATGAGCACCCCGAATTTGTGGTCCTCTGCCGACCTCGACATCATTCTGAGCCACTATGGTTGCTTTATTATCGAGCGCTCCGGAACAGATATCGAGGAGGCTCTTGCAGCGTTGCGGCAATATGAGGACAACATCTGGCTTATTAGCCAGGTGGTCCAGAACAACATTAGCTCGACCAAAGTCAGGCTCTTCCTGAAAAAGGGATTGAGTGTCCGCTACCTAATACCCGACCCAGTTGTTGCCTACATCGAGGAACATGGCTTGTTCCAAGAGGGCAGCCAGGAGAATTCCAAGGGGGAGACTGCGGCAGGGGATTCCCGCAATTCCTCGAATGCGCAACCAAGCAAACCTCGGTAAGTTGCTTGCCTAAGCACTATGTAAGGCAGCCACAATTGCGGCGTTCCTACCAGGTTAATATGCCCCTGGCGCTGCTGAAATGGCGGTGTGGCGGCGCCGTCCCTGTGTTAGTGAGGTAACCTAACCCACCACACCAAAGTGGCTTATTTACCAACACAGGAGGTGAGAGGCGGGAGTCACCGTACGGTATGAATAACCTCTCCCAATCTTTGAACGATGAAAACCTGGGCTGGTTCATGCAGGAACTGGAAGGCTGGTCCATCTAGGGCTATGGCCACATGCTGAGAAACGGATGAGTTTCAACTTCTGGGCGAAAGGGACCAGTCACCTCAGCACAGCCTTGCTGGGTCTAGCGGGCAGGTGACCAAAATAGCAACCCCCTCTTCCCCGCCTCAGAACTTGCGCCTCCGGGTTCCCCAGCCATTGACAAATCGAAAGACCAACCTCGCTCTTCCCGGACGGTGGACTGCGATTTCGATTGGGCTCAATCTCAATATCCGTACCTACTTGCGATGCCAAAATGGCTAGGCGGTAAGAATCAGGCGGCGGGTGTTTAGAGTAGGAAAAGTGGGATGACACCTGTGGCCTGGTGTTGGGACAGTGGGCGGATTTCCTTGTTTCGCCTTTCCTCTCCCAATCGAATTCTAGCAATTCGAGGCGAGAGGCAAATCTTCAGAACAATGGTGGCCAGTTGGCTGATGGAGACATTATGCACCGAGTAGCCATGCATCCAGGCTGAATCTCCCTTCTTGCTGCTGATAAGTTCGCACGGCAGACGGGATTGGTCCAGGGTCTTGTTTGGTCGGTTGAGCCCTTCGCCATCTATCTCTGTCATGCATCCATATGGCCGCAAGGCGGCTACTGAAGCAATCCAATGATGAACCTGAGCCAGTGCCTCATCTTGATTGCGGGCAAGCCCGGATTAGGCATGAAAGGTTTGGTAGCGTCAAGCGTCACTGTCGCCAATCAGTGTGGCAACACTGTCATCGGCGCTTTCTCTAAGTCTACGCATACAGTTTGAAGACACTGTCCTGGAAGGGTTTTTGTTCCAGGCTCTTCCGCTTCGGGTGGGTATCTGCAGATGCAGGCAGCACACCTGGATGCAATCTCCCCATTTTTACCAAGGAATTTGAACGATCCCATATGGTGTCTCCAATTTTCTTCAGTTATCGATTTGACAGTGCACAAAACACACTCCGAGTCCAGGCTCCGCTATCCATTGTTTTATCCCTACGACTGTCCGCCACAAATGCTAATGGCCACTGCCTCGTTCCACCTTCCACTCAGGCCTGAAGCGCCCGCCATGATCGGGGTAGGTACCTACATGCGTATGCAAAGTACCTCATTCGGTCACTTTTCTCGACTTGACCTTGCCGCGATTGCCCAAATACCTATTAGGTACCTACGTATTCCGAAGGAATGCGGTATCGACAGTCTCACGGGATGAGCACAGCCGCGGAAAGCAGCACGTTTGCGTCGATGGGTTCTGTCTTTACACAGTAACGGCTTGAAGGAGCGAGTTCTTGGAATGTAGCTATTCGCCGCCCGAGACGAAGCGTTCCAAAAACAAACAGGTGGGTGAGCCATATGGAACACTCTACTGTTCCCGGCACTGTCTGTACATCTGTCCTAGCTGGACTGGCCTGCAGGCAATGCCGGAAACGCCATGACCAAAATTATTCAAGCTGCCCATGCCAGTTTCAGACTAGACTGGATGAACGGTCCAATGATAAATATGTGGCGAATGCTATTGGTGGAACGCTAGTGGCTAGCTCCAACTGCACAGTATTTTAGCGAGGATCATACTGTAACACAGCGATTTGTTCTTCTATCCTCCCTAGATTTGGCCTTGTCATTGGCTGCCAGCCTCAGCTATCCCCACTCCAATCTCGCCCACGCATTTCTCACTGTGCAAGGCCATGTGGCCAATGCTCGACGTCTCTTTTGGTCTCCTGTCCCCATCGGAGACTCCACTACCCCTGCCTCCATCGAAGAAAGCGCATTGAAGGCCCCTGGTCGCCTCCCCCTCTCAACAAAAGGCATCATCTGTTCCGATCCTCCTTTCACCCTTCACTTGTCCAACCTTCGCCCCCGATTCGATTTAAGCTTCATCCCACCAAGAAGACCGCACAGGAACCAGAACAGCTTCCTTCAACCTCATCCCGAACTCCACATCGACAAGATTCGAGTCTATTTTGACACACCACAGCTGGGTTCCATTGTTGTTGTCTTAAGTTTAATAGCGCAAACCTCGGCACCCGCATAAAACACTCGACACCCACACAACCTTGACCGATTTGTTGCCACAGAACTTTCAGACGCTTTTGCTCCCATATACTTTGGCTCGGAAATCATAATGTCTTCATACTACCACTTCAACGGTCACCAACAACATCCAACAAGCGTCGCAGCGCCACCCATCTCCCATGGCCACCATGGAGGCCGGAATCGGAGAGCACCGCGGCTGTCGGTGTCCCAGAACTCCCACAAGCATTTCCGGGGAGTGCGGAGCATGAAAGAACTGACCGAGACGGCCTCGCTATCCACCTTCCGCCTAAAGTTTGAGGCCGGCCGGTCTTTCGACCTGGAGGACGACCTGGAGTTCTGTCCCGGCCTCTTGACCGACAATGATGTGAGTCCTAGAGGACAAGGTAGCACGACGCGTTAGCTCCTTTGCGGTGGCTAATACGATCCATCACAGATGGTGTCAATCCACAGCGCATCCTCGGAACGCTCGTCCGTGGCGAGCCACTCGCCAGAATCGTCGCCAACCCAACAACCAAACACTGTCGCTCCAAGCTTCTCTCTCAACTCGACATCTCCTGCATTCGTCCCTCCGTTCCAGACCCATCACTCGTCCCTGAAACTGCACCAGCCTGCGGCGACTCGTGCTCGTGGTAGCGCCATCCCTATCATCAACCCTTCCACCGGCATTACCATGTCGAGCCCGCCACCGTCGGTATCTCCCGCCCGGATGCAGCAGGCCATTGGCCGGCGATGGTAGGTTGCCACAGCCTCACCGTCGTCGCCGATGCAAATGGGACTGTAAAAATTACTGCACGTTCCTTTCAACCAAGCTGCTCATCTTGGCGGGCACCGACATAAAATAGCAGGCATCGATTCTTTTCTTTCGCCGTCAGACAGGGCTCCTTCAACGCTTTTTCAAGGTCGACTGGACACTTGACATCCGACCCACTGAACTCCTAACCTGTACAAACAACCTCTCTCGACATAAGCTCCCTGTTTCGGATGAACAAATTCGGTAATTTCCGACTGCGCGATACGAAGATAATCGATACCTCCCTTGCTCTTTTTTGTCAAAATCTACATATTTTTTGTGGTGTTCCGACCTCCGGAAGATGAGGGCTTATTTGGTTCACGGGAGGGCGTTCCAACGGTGATTTTGCATTCTCGATAAGCGGCCTTTTTTCTTTTTGCATCGGTCTTTCCACGGCGGAGTTTCGGCACTTTTTTCGATACCATCCAACGGGTTCCGGTCCTCTTTTTTCCCTCGTCGTCATCACAGAAGCGGGCACATCCACATGATAAAAAAAGTCATTATGGTTGTCATGGGTCTACGAGTCCGAAAAGATTATTCGATATATAGAACGAGAGTTCTGATGGGTATGTTGGCGGGGTGTTAGCACTTGGCGGGGTTGTTTCCTGACATCTTTTGGGCTACATGGGCAACTGTTTGGCAGGTGGGCAAAGACATGGTGGTTTTTTAACCTGTTGCAAAGTCACAAAGCTGGAATCTGGGAATGGCTGAGGAGTTGGTTCGTGGTTTTTTTAATCCGTTATCTCATTTGTTTCGTTGTATCATGGCGGTGGCAGGGCGTGTCTGTCTAACCGTTAACTTATGGGATCTTTTTTTCAGCGCAATGGGCTGCATCTCGGACTGGCTGGTGCGGTGGAATGAGATTCCTGGGTTGTCTTGAAGAATTACCTCTCATTTTGGCTGGCTGGTTTGGCAAAGCATTTTGGGCTATGAGCGGGCGTGTGGACGATGGGTGTTGGAGCTTTGTCTTGTCCTGCCAACCGACATGACGTCTGCGAAGATATGATACGGTGCTTCAACGGAAATACAAGCGCGATCTTATTCGCTTCTTCCCTCAAACCTCGATTCTGGTCTGAATGTGCTCCTGTGATCTGTAACCTTGATATGGGTGGCCTGATAGCCGCTCGGGAGCCTGACACGCCTGCTTCTCTTCCCACACCAGACAGGGAGCACACCCTGCTATTGTTATTGTCTCTCGCCTACCAGTCAGACAGGAAATCATTGTTGCCTGGTATCCCACAATTGGGTCTAGTGACTGACACGTGGGGGTTGAGCAACTTGATGATGAGCACAAGGCTTTAAGTGAGAGATGGGTGTTTCCTTTTTATGTTTTGGTTGCTGGAGAACAACCCAAGGCAGAAGAATTATGACTTGCCTATCCCCATCGGAGTTTCTCAACTTGTCGGTCGGTAAATACTAGGTAAGTAGAGGTATGTCAGTATGTCGGCCAGTCAGCGGGCATGTGGAAGAATCTTCACTATCTACATAACATTCGGAGTTCATAAAGACATTTCAGCACTTGGAGACGGGGACAAGGTTTACGACTTGGATGGACTACGAGAGTAAGATGGATTGAGATGCACTTGTCTCTCTGTTCTGGCCCTGGTAATTTGTAGGTGACTCTCTTCACACACACAAGGCTCGCCATTCGAGCTATTCGGTAATTTCAAGCAGGGTCTTTCTCGTCGATGGCCTCTTCCATTAGAATAGGTTTGCTGGGAGGATATTTTTTACTCAACCTGGTTCTCTGCCCTCCGAACCTGCACCTTCCAACTCTCTCCAACGCCCCTGCCAATCCTTCCTCACATGGGCGGCAACTCCGAAGCGTTCGATATGTCGCTCAGCGGTAACGGGACGACCTCCGGCAAGGCCACCGAGAAGTAAGTGAGAGTCGCTTTTACCCTTAACTACCACCTACTTATCTGAGGGTGGTATCAGATGGCTTTCAGATCGCGTCGTGACCGTCTACGTTGGCGCGGAGCGGAAGAGGTGGGCCGTCCATGAGAAACTGCTCACCTCGCAGTCCGACTACTTCAAGAGGGCCATCAGCTCCATGGACCGGCGCAAGATCTTCAAGGGCAAGAAAGGCAGCGGGGAGCCCGGCGAGAGCGGCGGCAGCGACGACCCGGACAGCCTCGACCTGCCCGACGACGACCCCAAGCTGTTCGCGCTGACGGTGCGGTGGCTGTACGGGATCACGTTCGCGGGACGGTACGAGTTCGCGCCGGTGGTGGCGGCGGTGGCGGGGGCCGAGGACGTGACGGTGCGCGACTACATGGCCCTGTACGTGCTCGGCACCAAGCTGGGGATCGAGGGGCTCAAGAACGCGGCCATCAACGTGGTGTACGACCACTACCACGCGGGCCTGTCGTCGCCGTCGTCGGGCGTGGAGAGGCGCCGATGCCCGGACCTGCGGGACGTGCGGTACGTGTTCGAGAACACGGCCGAGGACGCGCAGCTGCGCCGCCTGCTCATCGTCAGCACGCTCTTCTACCTGTTCAGCAGCAAGGACCTCCCCGGGAACCTCCCGCCCGAGTGGGAGGGCGTGCTTCGCTCCAACGGCGATATCGGCTGGGAGCTGATCAAGATGGTCAACGGATGGCGGTGGGTCATGGGCGCGAGCTGCCCGTCCATGACGATCAAGAAGCGGTGCAGTTTCCACGAGCACACCGACGGCGGCCAGAGATGCGATGACTGAAGGGGCCGAGCGGTATCCGAGACTGTTCGGCAGGCATGGAGTTGGTCTGGACGGGAATAGCATGGGGTTCGTGCTGGGATATGCCATTGAAATCAGGAGGCATTAGGTTTGCACTCTGACGGGACTGCGCGGAGACGGGATTACCAGGCGTTATTGGGACATCAAGGCCTCCTTAGACTAAGCTGCGCTCTTATATTGAGATGGTTGGTCATAATTCAATGAATTGCCCCGTCAAAACTCGTACTCCGGAAGTTACCATCAGAAACTTGGTCAGGGGTAGTCCCAACTGCCCACCAGTTTTCAGGGTGAACTGTGACTGAACCTCGGCAGGTGTCGACCCAGCATGCTGAATCTTATTCCAAGAGGAACAGGATTGGTAAATGTCTCCATCTCTTGCTGCATTTGCCACCTTGGCAAGGGGAAAGGTGCTATATATCCCAACCTCTTCTCTGTTGGCATCACCACTTGGATGACATCGGGAAAAGTCGATGACAGGCTAGCCCTGGGAGCTGGACGTCTGCAACGATATCCTAAAATAGATAGCTATCAGGGACAAGTGATGGCAAGTAGTCCGTCCATGGGGCCAGCGGGGAAACTGCCAAGGCTCTCCACAGGGATGACATCCTGGTCGTCGAAGGGGATGCAGAGCTCGAGGGGCAGCACGGCGACCCCTCCCAGATTTCTGGCTTGTCCGCATATGAACAGGAGTAGATCTACGGACTGGAACCCTCATTCTGCCCTTCATCGCGGAGACCCTTTCGGCAGTTCGACTTCCTCCCCGAATAGAGAGACGTTTTGGATATACGGGCTCGGAGAGAGTTTGGGTTTGCTTGAAAATATGCAAATTCCTGGGAGTCTCCTTTTCGACAATGGGTCTCCTGATCCCAACTCTTCTATTGCACTAAGGATGAGAGACAGACGCGATGCCAGTAAGGGGTTAGTGTAGTGCCTCTGAGGAATGTCCGATGGGTGTCCCGGGGATCATTACATCAACAGGAAGGAGGAGTAAGAAAATGCCACAGCAATCCTCTCACCACGGCTTCCAACCTCGAATGCTCAAGTTTCCTCGACCGCAGCAGCCAGCTATCAATGGACGGGCTATATGCTGCACCGCTCACCTGGGCCACGCACTAAACGTGTTGCGCTCCAAGAATGGAAGATGGAGAGTGCCGAAGACGGAGAAACGGATTTGACTTGTAGATCACCAACAAATCCGGGAAACCACGGCGGCCGACAGTCTAACGATTACCTCATATTATGCTGTGAACATCACTGCCGTGATGCCAGGTGTAGAGGGTGTCCAGTTTTGGGACGCGCCTAGCAGGTCACATTCAGCCGGCAGTGCAACTCAACCCACCAGTACGCCAAAAATCCAAGGCGCCGATTCGGCCCCTACCTCTCTGCCGTGACTTGGACTGCCGCATCCCCGCATTCTGACGCCGGCCCCCGCGTTGAATGGGTGGGCTAGGGATATATGATCAGGGGGCTAACCTGCCGTGCTCCGTCCGAGTATGACCTGACCTGGTCTTGATTTGACCCTCGTCAGAGATACGCGAAACACTATCGAGGAATACTTGGCGAACCAGACGCTGGCAGATATACGTTTTTAATAAATTATCCCATTCTTCATACTATACCCAAGATGCCGGGTTTGCTTATCCAGGAGACTCCCTTTAAGACCTTGAAGGTCAAGGAGCTTCACCCCACGTTTGGGGCTGAAATCGAGGGTGTCGATTTTGACAATGTCAGCGATGAGACTCTCCAGGAAATCCTGGCCGCCATGGCCAAGGTAAGACTCTCCCCCAAGGGCCAGCCACCCTCTGAATTGGCGTATCCCATTCACCCCATATCCAACCCCTGAATACTAATACGCGAGCCGACACCAGTACGGCGTGTGCGTCTTCCGCAACACGAGCCTGAACGACGACAGCCACGTGGAATTTAGCAAGCGCCTGGGCGAGCTGGACAACATCAGGCGGTACCTCCAAGGGGGCCGCGGGCTGCGCTACAAGCACTACGAGCTGTTCGACGCCGGCAACCTGGACGAGGACAACAACATCGTCGACCCGGAGTCGCATCGCGCGCACGCCAACCGCGGCAACGGCCTCTTCCACGTCGACAGTAGCTTCAACCCGCGGCGGGCGGGGCTCAGCCTGCTGCGCGCCGTCGTCATCCCGCCCAAGGAGACGGGCGGCAACACCGACTTCGCCGACAGCAGGGCCGCGTGGGACGACCTGCCCGAGGACCTGAAGAAGGAGCTGCTGGAAGGCGACTACGCCGGCTCCCACTCCATGGCGCACTCGAGGAAGCTGGCAAGCCCGGAGTACTTCAAGGATGTGGAACCGGACAAGGCGCCGCAGTCCAAGCACAGGATCGTGCAGCGCCACGAGCCGAGCGGGAGGATGAATCTGTACATTGGTGCTCACCTGCACCACATCGAGGGGGAGGGCATGACGCCCGAGAGGTCGGCCGAGCTGGTCGAGAAGCTGAACAAGCACGCCACGCAGGACAAATATAGGATCACCGTGTCGTGGGACCAGCCCGGCGACATGGTCATCTGGGACAATCGGTGTGTGATGCACCGCGCCGGGCCCTGGACCGGCGGTGGCAAGTACAAGCGAGACCTGCGGAGGACGACTGTCCATGATGACGGGCCCACCGCGTGGGGCTTGAACTCGAAGGAGATGGAGATGCCCGGATCCGCCGCATGGACTAAGCCCACGGTGGGTGCCTGAAGCGGCGGGTTGGCTTTTCCGGACCCCCCAACCATCCAATATGTAATTAGATGATAAGGGGGATGCAACATCGTATAGCGCAGACAAGCGGAACAACCGGACAGCACGGGGGATTCATTGTCCGGTTCGCGTCCCCCTAGTCTAGCAATGCAACATTGTCTTTCCTGCTTCTTATCTGCCCTCTGCCCTCTCCCATCTCCCGCCTGCATCGATATGATAGTCTTTTGGGGCTGTGGCTGTGGCCAGTCATTCCTCTCACTTATCGAGTCCCCGTGCTTTAACATATCGGTTGATCTGCTCCCGGGTGAGCTTGTCATTATACTGCTCATGGCATTCGTAAAATGAAATCAGCTCCTGCGTCGAGTCCACCATGACCTCGATATCGATGCTGCTCTCGGCCAGCCAGCCCGCGAACCGCGCGACCTTGCCGATCCTGGCGTCGCCCGCCTTCTTGTCACCGCCGGCGGCGCCGTCTCCCTGCGACGATCCGCCAGCCCCCTGAAGCTGGCTTCCGCCCTGCAAGGCGGAGGAGGAGGCGGCCAAGGCGCGGGCCTGCGCCTGCGCCAGGGCCGCCGTCGCCGCGGCGATGCCGGGCCCTTGGCCCCCACCCGCGCTGGCGCCGCCTTGGCCGGCCCCTTGAGTGGCCGAGGGGCGGAGTACGAGGGCCAGGAGGATGGCCGTCAGGGCGATGATGTGCGGGGGGTAGAGGAGCGGCAGGTCGGTCATGTAGTGGTCGTTGATGGCGGACCAGGCGAGGGCGAACTCGTCCTGGGTGAGAGAAAATTCGGACTGCAGCGTGGTGAGGGTGCGGTAGGGCTGGTGCACGATAAGCTGCGAGTTCATCTCCGAGATGAGGAAGAACTCGCACTCGCCGAGCTTGGAGGTGTCGAGCCCGATGAAGTCGGCCGGCCAGAGGGAGCGGGCCTCGCTGACGACAAGCCTGATGTGCTGCGGGCACTCTTCCATCTTGCAGGCCAGGTATACGGCTGTTGATATGACTAGGTACGGGTTCGTCCTTCGGATCTCGACCTTGGTGTAGAACCGCTTCATATATATCTGCGCCGTCGCCATGGCTTGTTGCCGGACTCCCAGGCGTTTGCCTAACCGGTTGATCTCTGTTAAGGAGCCCCAAGTTAGCCAGCCGATGCTATCATTCCCCACGATCCAGTGGGTGGCGGGAGGAAACTTTACGCTGGTTGAAATATATGTAAAGATGCCGCAATTGGGGCAGCGGGAACATTTGAACGAGGCTGGCATCTTCAGCTTCGAGATTCTGCCGCATCGAAGTGAGCTGATCCTTGGTAAACTGCCAGTGCTTCCGCTGGCTTGATTCCCAGTAATTTGCGGCCATCTTTTGCCAGGCACGAAGCGACTGTTTGCCGGGTGTGCCCGAGTAGACGGACGGCCACCTGTGTCGCGACTTAGCTAGCTTTCCATCGGGATCAATGTGGTTGTACGCAGTTGAGCCTACTAGGTATTCGGGCAGTAACAAGAAGGTCGGTACGGATTACAACCTATGCATCCTTGCCCCCCTGTGGGAAGCTGTGGCGTCGGAACGTGGCTGGAGCTCCATCTTAAACATCCGGGCCGAGGGACTCAGAAAATCGCGGCAATATTACTGGGTGGTCGATTGGAGCAACTTTGAACATCCTTGTTCCAGGCTTTTCGTGTCAACCAAGTTCCTGAATGACGAGCCCCGACTCTCCTCAGCGCTGTTTCCCATCGCATCTGGACACGGCGCGCCCCCAATTGGGCTCTTCCGACTCTTCTGTACGATGCCTCTGTCATAGCAAAGCGGCTTCCAAACTTACCCGAGCCGACTCGAGTTATTGCCGCATACGTCATAACCGCCCCTTCTCTGCGATGATAGCTTGGCGATGAAGATCACCGATGTGGTCTCAACGGTGGAAATGGAGATGCAGGAATCGCAGAACCAGAGGGACAAGAGGGTCGAAGATTTATGGCGGAAGCTAGATCCCCAGGGGCGTGGGGAGTTGGACTTCAAGGGCCTTCAAAGGGGGTTGAGGAAGATTGACCACCGTTAGAGCCCCCCTACTGGCCTCGCCATCTACATTGCCGGACCTCTGCTGACCCTGCGGGCTTTAGCGATGAAGAATGCCGACAATCTGCTCAAAGCCATAGTGCAGACTGTTGATACAAACGGGGACGGCAAGATCCAATATGAAGGTATGTCTTGGTTCCAACAGCAGGAGCGGCCTAAACCGTGATCCATGGGGCTAATCTTCTGACGATTTCCCTAGAGTTCCGAGTCTTCGTGGAGGCTGCGGAGCGGCAGCTTCTCTTATTATTCCGCTCCATTGACAAAGACCAAGACGGCCACCTGGATAAGGATGACCTTCGGGCAGCATTCCAAAAGGCAGGCCTGGCAGTGCCCATGAGGAGATTGACGGGCTTCTTCGACGAGATCGATATGAACCGCGACGGCTTCATAAGCTTCGATGAATGGCGGTGAGTTTGCCCGTTACCTCAGTTATCGCGACACCTCTTCTTCATGCATTGCGGGATTGTGCGGTCGGTGGAAGCTGAAGATATTCTTTTTTCTCCCCCTGACCTCCCTGAGTCGGATCTGGTGTCATGGCTGCTAGGTGGTATACGAATGAAATGTTGCTTGAGGAATGAATGCTGACAAGCTGTGGCCTTCAAAGTGACTTCCTCTTATTCATGCCCACCAGCGAGGCAGAGTCACCCCTGGAAGCTGTATTATCTTTTTATTCCACCATCGTCACAATTAACTCCGAGGGAGATTCTATGGTCAGTGATGACACACTAGAGGGACTAGGTACGACTGGCTTCCTATTCCAAGCTCTCTTTGGTTCCCTTTTGAAGCTCGCCGATCCCGACCAATTGTACCACCCTCAGCCGTCTACGGCTACATCAACATCATCGATAGAGCGCTTCTCTTCTGAGGCCGCGCGATCGGCAATAGCAGAAGACGACGACTGGTTGGCACGGACGGACATGGCGGCGGCGGTACGGGCGACTGACAACGCGATCAAAAATCTCATGGCACAGATGGAGGAAGAGGATGCTCTTAACACCCACCCGGAACCCCGGTCGGCTATCGCGTCTGCGAGATCTAGACTGACTGAGTTCCTACCCGAACCAGGTTACTTCCTCGCCGGAGCCATTTCTGGTGGTGTCTCTCGTACTGCTACCGCCCCGCTCGATCGACTGAAGGTCTTTCTGCTTGTCAATACCCAGTCCAGCGCCACCCCAGCCCTTGATGCCGCCAAGAAGGGTCAACCGCTCAAAGCAGTCGAAGGTGCCGGGAAGCCAATCCGCGATGCAATCGTGACCTTATGGAGGGCTGGTGGCTTCCGGACCTTTTTTGCAGGTAAGGCAGCCGGTGTCCCGACCTTTGTCTCACCTCTCCCAGTAGTGGGCGCTGACATAAACGACAGGAAATGGTCTCAACGTCGTCAAGATCATGCCTGAGACTGCAATCCGGGTGAGTCGATAAACAATCTTCGTGATTGCTGCCAGCTAATATTCGGTGGTAGTTTGGATCCTACGAAGCTGCCAAGAGAGCCCTTTCGACATGGGAAGGTCATGGCGACCCTCAGAAGATCAATACCTGGTCCAAGTTTGTTGCTGGCGGCATCGGCGGCATCACGGCTCAATTCTGCGTGTATCCGATTGACACACTCAAGTTCCGTCTTCAATGCGAGACCGTTGAGGGTGGGTTGAAAGGAAATCCCCTCCTAATTCGAACCGCGAAGACGATGTGGATGGATGGAGGAATGCGCGCGGCCTACCGTGGCCTGACCATGGGGCTCGTCGGCATGTTCCCCTACAGTGCCATTGACATTGGGACATTCGAGCTGCTCAAGAATACGTTTACGAAACACAAGGCGAGGTACTATGGCATCCATGAAGAGGACGCCGGCCCCGGAAGCTTGGCCACAGCGGCCATTGGCGCATCGTCGGGAGCCTTCGGCGCCACGATTGTGTACCCGCTCAACGTCCTGCGGACGCGCCTGCAGACCCAAGGCACGGCGATGCATCCTCCGACGTACACGGGCATCTGGGACGTTGCCCAGCGAACCGTCCGCAATGAAGGGTTCCGAGGCCTATACAAGGGTCTGACACCGAACCTCCTGAAAGTTGCCCCTGCGCTCAGCATCACATGGGTATGCTACGAGAACTGCAAGAAACTGCTTGACCTTAGTTAAAGAAGATGGGAGGAGCATCGCGGATCGCCAGCCCTAGGCTTGGCCGGTGATATTTATCGGGAACCGAAAGTGGCGGGAGGAAGAGGAAATAGGGGTTCCATAATCATCCACATCACCAACGGGCGTTGATGCGGATAGGCGACGATTAGCCCCCTTGATTTGGTCGGGCTCACATAGCTGGCGGCGTTTGAACTAAAAGGATACCAACTTTGCGAAGATACCACCCAACATGTTCACATAGAAGAGCATATAAACCAGGCTCACTTCTCTGGGATTAAATGGGAACGTAAACGGTGGGAGGGATGGCTAGGTGGAAGCGATGTAGCTATAAAAGAATAAAAGTAATGGTCTTGATACTCCGTCCTAGCAAGAGTTCCCTAGTTTTCGATTGACGATTCCGGCCCCGGGCTGAATGTCGTCACCCAGCACGTCGTGCTGCATGTCGTCGTGAGCCCATTCGTAAGACGGGAGATCTCAGTGCAGATCTGTGGCCAATCAAGCCCGTTCCCAGCCCTGCGAGGCACGACCACCAATCTGGCTGGCGGTTCACACCTTCCTAATTCTTCCAAGTCTGGCAATCAGTTAGGGACAAGTGCCATCTCTCCACGCCGACCCCGGGATATAAATCGACTGCAGCAGAAGTTTGCACGCTATTATTTCACTGCTGACGAAGCCTCAGCCGCTTATCCTGCATGGGAAAGTGGCATGGTGTGAGGGCTTCATCATCCCCGAATCCCCCACTGACTCACTCGTAACCTTGCTCCTGGATGAACGGCGTCGCTCGTGTCGTAGCTTTCTCCGTAGAACACAGACGACTCTCCTCGTTGAATCAGTTAACCCACGATTACGGTCTCTGCCGAGTAATTGCTTGTTGTAGAGCGGTAGGATAGGATCCATTGCCCGTGCTCGACAATCGACAATCGCCAATCGCCAATTCGGCGGCGATAGTTTCACAACCCCGCCAAGCCGTCTCGTAACCATGCCGTTCTCCGACAACCTCTACTCCATCGACGACGACTCAGACACCGAGCCAATTGGCCGGGCTGACCACCATCTTCAGCCCGTGAATGATGGACACCGGGATCATCTAAGAAGCGGGAACGAAGCCGACGACGAGGTGTTCGCTCCGGCTGATGGCTACTTCCACGCAGCCTCGCCGCCCGGGCCATATGGTACTCCTGCAGTAGCAGCATCATCCAATGTTCCCCATGTACCTAATGTCTGGGTCCGTGACCCGTCTCTTGAACAAGGGACTACTGCTGAGAGCAAGGCTCGAGAGGCACGCCAGGAAACGTTGGCAAACAACGCTGCCTTTAATTTCCCACACGATGGTGAATTGGCCCCAGCTGGACGTGAACACGCCTCTTCTGCGTACGCCTACCAACCATCCCATCGAAGCTCCGGCTCCACCTCCAGCAGGGCCGCGCAGTACCAGCCGTCATCGGCCGCGTACACGCCTTCGACGACAGCATCTTATACGTCGTATGCCCCTCGGCAGCGGCCCTCTGAGCCCTCTGACCAGCGCTCGCCCTTCTTCTCCCAGGACGCACCACCTGCTTACACTCCATCCGCCACTGCTTCGTCAACGTCGCCGACCACATCCCAGGCTCGAACTGACTTGTCCCGGAATTACAGTACCTTCTTGCGATCCGACATGGGGCGAGAGGAGACTCAGGGCCTGCTGGCCGATAACCCCCAGAGTATGGGAGGCCCAGATGACGAGTTCGCAGGCGTCACGCCGGCATGGAGGGAACGAGTCAAACGCCGTGTCCCTTACCTCAACGGGAGGAACTGCAGGGTGATACTGCTTGGCTTGGTCTTGCTGGCAATCACCCTTGGCTTTCTCATCAGCGCTGTCACATCGGTCCATAATGAGGTAAGAAGTCTTGCTCTGCTTGCGTATACAGCCTGCGTAATTTTGAGATTGGCAATGTACATATATGTACATACAAACTCATCATCTCTCAAGTTGACTCGCACCTCATTTTCGTTCACGGCTAACGAGACCGACAGAAAGAAAGTCACCCTTCTCCTGAGGACCCGCCAGCCCAAAAAGATCCGCAACCAATAACTAACCCTCCTCATATGGACGACCCTGCCTTTGACGGCGACCACCCCTGGAATCCCGACCGCTTTTGCAAGGATCTTGCATTCAGACAACCCTCATTTTCGTTCGATCTATCCTTTGGGTCAGGAAAGGAACTCTCGATCGTGCAGGATGTTAAAAAGGATGACCCCATCAGGGGCCGGGACGTCAAAGTCTCCGGAGACGTCATCTTCCGTCGATCTCGTGGAGGGGACCCGGGTCCTTCGGCCGTGGTCAGCGTCATCACCAATGACGAGAACATCACCCCTGAAATCCAGTTCCTCTCGGATCCCCAAGCCCTGCTTGTTACAGTACCTCGCAGCCTCCCCTGGGGCGAAAGCAGTACATGGCCCTGTATGAGAGTCCAAGTTACCGTTTGGGTCCCGGCGGATGCCGCCCTCTACGCCCTTGACGTTGAAACCGTCCACCTAGGCATCCAGTTGGTGGACGACCTGTCGTTGCAAGTCGGCCAGACAACGCGCCTCACCACCGTCGTTGGCCCCGTCGTAGCAGCTGACGGGACAGACCCGCTCGATGACGGCGCCCCCAGTTCCTTCAACCTCGAGAGTCGGTGGATCGAGGTCAAATCGACATCAGCTGACATCAAGGGGCATTGGCCCCTGTATGATTACCTGGGGTTGCACAGCACTTCCGGCAACATCCGCGTCGGCATCGAGCCCAGAGAAGTGAGCGAAGAAGCGGCCAAACCCGCGAACCTGTACATCAAGTCGCTCTCCGGCGACGTCGAGTTCCAGGAGCCCATCCAGAGAGCCAAGGCCGGAAAGTACGTCCCGCCGCGAGACTACCGAGTCAACATCGAGACGACGAGCGGCGACATCAAGGGCGGCCTGGCGTTCAGCTCGACCTGCCGATTCCACTCCACGAGCGGCGACTTGGACGTGGACCTCCTGCCGGTGCTGGATACGGACCTGGCCATCGAGGCCAGGAAGTACGCCTGGCTCGAGACGGCGAGCACCAGCGGCACGACCACGGTCCGCGTCCGCGACCCGCTGTGGTTCGATGGCATCAGCGTTCGCGCCTCGTCCGCAGCCGAAGTCCAGGCCCAACAGCAGCAAGCTGCCGCCGCCGCCGCAGCAGCAGCAGCGGAGGCTCCGGCCTTCCGCTCCCTGCGGAGCAGGCACAGCACCACGTCGGCGAACATCAAGGTGCGCTACCCGCCGTTGTGGGAGGGCGACCTCGACCTGAGCACCATCTCGGGGCGCCTGAGGGTGTCGGGCAAGGACGTCAGGAAGATCAAGGAGGGGAGCGAGTGGCCGGGCGTGAACAAGCACCTCTTGGCGAGGAAGGGCGCCGAGGGCGCTGGGTCTGTCACGCTGAAGACTACGTCGGGCAATATTGATGCGGCCGTGTATTGATTTGTTTGGGGAGCTTGGAAAAGGGGGCATGGAGGGATGGAGGGTGAGGCGTGGTTGGGGGGGGGTTCTCTGGTTATGGGGACTGGCTCTAGGGGGTCGAGGTGGGATTTCCCCATCTTTAATGTGGTTGGTGGTCTAGGGCGGAGCTGTTGTCTCCCTGCCTTCGTGAAGGGCTTCTTGACGGCGTTTTGGGTGTTGGATCAATGGAATTGGCAACTGGAACGTGTTCACGAGATGGCGAGGCAAAGAACGGCCAGTGGCCGCAATGGTTGACTGATATCTACGGGAAGTACCGTCTACGCACTCATTCACTAAGCTACTGGGCAACAATTTAGTCTGATAAGCATGTGGTATTCTGAAAATATTAAGGGAGACCTGGTGTGAGTTGTTGCCGAGTGCTTTCCCTGCAACTTACTCAGGTGACTCCCCCCTTCAAAGAACCATGGAGACCAGGTAGATGCACCGCTGCGTGGGGAACGCAGTCCTACTGACCGGCCTGCAAACCAGAATATTCCGTAGGAAGATTATTTTAATACGCTACATGCCCAACGTTCTCTTCGGCAATGGCCTTGGCCTGGGAGAGGAGATTCAAGGATCTAGTGCCGTCAATGTATTTCCGTACATGTAGTAGGCAAGGCACCTAGGTCAAAGAGACGCCAGAAACGGTCCCAATGCTCGGTATTCAGAGTAATACTGAAGTGGCCTCGAGAATCTAGGTGTGGCCCTGAAGGATTGCTTTGACTTGTCCAGTAGTGAAATGAGGAATGGCAAATTGGCAGTCATGAACAGAGCTATGCTTTGGGATGCAAGGACACGAGGCAAAGAAGGATTCATTCTATCAGTGATGTAGCCCTGGCTGTGACCCAAAGAAAGACACAAAAAACCGACCAGCTTGCTGGCCATCCTCGGGGTTATTCGGGTCGAGGTCCGGACTCTCCTGTCTCTCCTGTCGAGGACCAGTGCGATCGGGCACAGCATAAAATATAAAATCTCTGGGCCCCGTACTTCGAGGCAAACAAAGCAGAGTATGGCTTCGAGTATGGACTCGGAGTTCCGAATAGAAGCAACTCCCAGCAGAATACGATATTGAGGGCCGAGAGAGAAAGAGCCACGAAGAAAGTCCGTCAGTCTCATATCCGACTGCTTCACCAATATCAACCAGACGGTAAACAAACCCACACTCCTAGACCACCCACACACACAAACCACCGCGTGTTTTTGTTGCTGTTGGCTGACCATGTGCTACATCTTTTCCACGTCGCATGTGGCATGCAGACACAAGCAGTACCAGAACACATTTGCATGTAGCATTGCTCGCGGCATCGAATCTCATCTGGACTGCACCTTGGAGAAGACGGTATTTCTGCCAGACACGGCAAACCCGCCACCACACCCGCTATCCGGAGACAGCAAGGGACCTTGCCAGAAGAGATATCCCGTACGAACCGTCAACGGCTATTGCAACACCTGCAAGAGGTCCAATACTAAGAAGACCGCGTCCGGGAAAGGCGATCAGGCCGTCACAAGCGACGAGGGTGAGTATAGCTTCTTGCACCCCCCTCGATCCCGCCTCCTTAACCCTGACGCCGATGTGAGAGCGAACTGCACAACACTGGAGAAACTGAGGATGCAAACATAGAATCTCGTCCTTCGCTCCATGCTGACGATACAACTTTGACAATGTCGTATTCCAGTGAGTGGCCGCCCAGATACCCGTTGCGTGACAGAATACTGACGACGCCGTGCCAGGGTACGAGATGGCTCAGACCCCGGGCGAGATGATCCGCCAAATCGAGTCAGATTTAGGCGATCTATCCAGTTAGTTATCTTTCCGAGTCTGACAATAGTAGCTCGAAGCTGACGTGGGGGATAGGAGGCAGCGATTTCCCACACCCTTCTAGAGCCGAAAATACCACTCGAGCCGTGAATATCCCTGGAAGAGCAAGAATTGGTTCCGATGCGGGTCGAGCCCAATCCATGCAGAGCGTGCCATCTGACCGTGTTCAGTCGTATGGCAGTATGCCGTCTGCTTACAGCCCTGTGGAGCGGGTCGCCTCGGGCGGTTCCCGCTCAGCTCATGTCCAAGCCAATCGTATGCCCCCAGACTGCTTCCTTGGACGTGGCCATTGCCTCGCTCGTTGAGGACCACAGGACTGACACGAAACAGACCGAGACCAGGGTTATTACATGCCACCACCTCAGAGTGTTGGTCAAGCTGCGTCGAGAGACTTTCCGAGTCAGCAGGGTAAGTCGAGTCGGGTGTTGAGCCAAACAGTCAGGCAATGTGACTTACCTAAGACAGACATACGGAGAGGTTCCCTCGAGCTATCCAGGAACGAGCCGCCCAACTCTGAATATAGAGTACCGCCAAGTGAGTGTAGCGATATAGGCCGGAGACGGCAACCGAACTAACGAGAAGATCGAGGAATGCGTCGCCGAAACCCATATGTAGGTTCGTGGGTCCGAGAACAACAACATGGTGATCCGTCTGGCTATCCCAATGAGCCTTCTTCTGGTAAGATAGAAAGGATATGACCAAGCCTAGGGGATGTGACTTGCTAACAAATGGAGAAACCCACATGAACCGGTTCCCACAGCAATACGAGGAGGAAATTGGCGCTGCTTTGACCCCTGACGTCGAATTTGGTCCGGCTCCAGGAAACACCGCATGGAGGCCGAGGAGTTCCGACTCTTCACATGGGTCTGTTGCCTCGTCTGCGGCCTCGTCTGGTGCTGATGTCCCTTATGGGTTTGACCGCTCTTACGGATATAATACCCTATACGGAACTCGAGTTCCTCGCCGCCCCGCGCATTGGGGCGATAGGTTTCCGCAAGACGAGGGTCCATCCATGCGCCCATCCATGGGCACTGGTGCTCATGGGCGCCAACCTGGTAAGCCACGGAGCAAGCGAGAAGCCGGACGGCAAAGCTGATGAACAACAGGTTACGGAATGGTGCTTCCAAAACAGCGGCGAAACGGCCCCGACCTCTCTGGCCGCGCCACTACGACCCCCCATGCCAAATATTCACGAGAGACTCATGAGAGCCTGCGCCATGGTCACCATCAGATGACAGCATCCTCGCCAAGACTTAGTCCTGCTCATCAGACTCCGAGTAAGCCTAGAAACCCATTCTTGGTTCTGTACGGCAAGTTAACGGAATATCAAGACAGCTTTCCCCCTCCATCTGGTAATAGTCTGATCCCATATGAGGCACGGGAGAAGAGGCCCTTGGTTTATTAGGCCAGCAGTTAAATGGAATACAGGAATTACCGCTCCATACACCAGCCAGAACGATACAATGCACCCTGACCCGGGATGCTTCGAGCTGGGAGATCAACCGCATCACGAAACGCCGGCACATATGGGAGGGGAGCCACCAGAGGGTAAGCGGCCGGGTGTCCAGTTTGCAGGAACAAGTGGCTGCGAAGAAGAAGAAAACCTAGACATGCAGGGCAATTTCCGTCACGGGATAGCTATTGATCGCACCAGATCTGCGTCCCAAGCCGGCTCGGAAGGGACAACGAGACGGTACTATGCTGAGCCTGAAGAGATGGCCCCCTAGGAGGCGAGCCATGCCTGCTCAGACGATAGAAGACGGACCTTTTTTATCAACGGCGGAGTCGAGATGCCATATGAGCACGAGACCGAGGCTACTGCCATGATTCAGGGGCCGGGCGAAGCTCCTGAAGGCCTGAAAGCGGTGTTCCCCGAGGCAACGCCGCCGAGCACTCATCCTCTCATGGAATTTGAGGAGCGGGGACTGTACCCATCCTGATTGTTGATGCGCGTCTTGCGCGCTCGCGGGTTCGAGGAGCACTGGTAGGATCTGTCCGTCAGGTATATTGTGTTAATTTTGTAAGTGCCAGGCCATCATGAGGTGCACAGTGAGGAGAATGCATTCGGCGCCGGGCTAAGACATGGTTTGGAAGACGTGTACAAAGTGCGGAAACCTGAAAGTTGTGGGCTGGAGACGGCGGCCTTTCTGTTGAGTACTGTGTATACAGAATAGACCAGCCAGGGCGAGGAAAAGGGGATCATGAATCTCGTTCGCTCAGCCGGAACTCGGCTAAAATTGACCGTTATAAGCATGAGCAGACCAACCCACGCCTTCCCTTCCCGCCGAACCGGGACAGGCAATAGTGACAGCGATGCAGCTGTTGCCAACTTGCCACCTGCCCCGAGATTGTCTCCGCGGCCAGGGGCATTTGGCTATTCAGGCAGGGTCTATGCTGGGCAAGGGTTCCGGGCTGCCAAAATTATTGGGACAGTTGGATCATGAAGAAGACCAGCTGCCAGCTAGGTACCTACTGAACAAGCGACGGCAACGGCAACGGCGACGGCAACAGCAACAGAGACAGCGACAGCAAGAGAGCCCGACTTGGCAATAGTGACAGCGACGGCTAGCCAAATGAGCTTGTCTCTGCCTGGGCTTACTATCGTACACTCCTGTCTGACTCCCTTGACACCGTGGTCAAGTCCCTGACAGTCATCATGTTATCCCGTGGTTGTCGCCACTCGCCACACCATCCGACCTCGCATCGGATCGTCCGTCGTTTATAGATAATCCATCTTCGACCAGGTGGTATTATCCTGCGCGCTCATAGCCAGTTTACCACCGCTCATGTACAGCATCCTCACCTGATTATCCCATGCCACGGAAGCTATCCCGCCATCAGCGGTCCCCCAGGCCTTGTCTTGATTCGGTGTCCAGTCGGCTTTTGCTCCTGTACGAAAGTAACCGACAATGTCGCCCGTCGTACGTCCGACATAGTATATGTGGTAAGTGTCGGTTGTCGCGCCAAAACACGCCGCAAACCTCGATGTTTTCACGAATCCGGAACCCGCCCTGCCGTAGACATCCTGTCCTACTGGAAATGGTCAGCTCTGAGACTTCAAGAATACCATGGCTGTGTGGTTCGTAGGTTCCATCGGAAGTTCTGTCACTCACCGCCTCCACCTCCGATCGAGTCCGTATACTCCACCGCTCGCAGCATCCCATTGTCATTAAAGACAAATGCCACCATAATGGCGCCGTCTTTGTCTCCAAGGGAAGCGGCTATGCTGGATCCATCAGCGGCTGGACCAGCGATCTGGTGCGGCGACCAGCCGTGTTCGGACGGATCGTCCCCGACCATTGTCCAAATAAGGCCCTTCGCGGCTTGGAAATACACTCGAAATCTAGAAGGCTCGTTGTTCAGAAGGACTGCTGACAGCCCAGACGCTGGGCTGATCCCGTTTGCGAATGAGCTGCTGATTACTTGGTTGGAGACGGTACTACAAGTAGCTGCCCCAAGCGAGCACTCAAGGGCGGCCTGGACGATGACAAGGTCCGTCGCGTTTTGAACAGAGAGGTAGAAGAGGTTAACATCGATACCCCGGTTGTCGGTCATGTTCGATGCTGTGACTGCAAGTGGCGTTCCTTGTTGGGCGTCATTTTGAGGCTCACTCGGTGCTCTGCCTTCGCTTTATCTTCCCAGACCAATCGATAGAAGATATCGGTGGTGTCGAGATCTTGGTAGAAGACCTGGAGGGTTGACTTCTTCGACCCCGAGGTAGTGGCCGCAGCTATCGCCCGCTTCGCCGGATCTAGTGGCCCAGTAGGTGAAGGAAACGGGGGAGATGTTGATGACGTGCCGGAGCTCGAATCGGAGTCGCCGCCTCTGCTCCTTTCTCGCGCTTTGAGTCCGCCAACCAGTCCGCCCACCAGCGCGGCGATTGCCCCTATAACGACGACGGCTGCCACGATCCAGAAAGTGCGTCTTCTGAGACCGCATATTGTCGCCCGTCTCGGCTCCTCTCCTGCAACTGCTTCGACTTTTATCCCGCCATTCTGAATTTCGCCTGCCTCATTTGGGACAATATACTTGTCCTGTGGGTCCCCATAATGCTCCTGGTGAGGATTTGAAGCTACCTGAGGCATCTCCCCATCCAGATAGGACTGGACTGGGATTGGGTATCTCTCATCATCTCTCTGTTGATGAGATCCGTCAGTCTTTTCTTCCGCACTAGACGCGTCAACTGGCAGGCCACATACCATCTTGGGCTTGAGGGGGCAAACGAGCGAGCAGAGCACGACTACGACTCAGAGACGGGGCAGGACCGGGTGGGTTTTGGTAGATATACAGTATGTACTCTACATTGGGGTAGAGCTGGCCTCGGAAAAGCACATCGCGGAGTACTACGTAGAGATCTCCTGAGATCTTCGCCTTTGGTTACATTTTTGGCCCGTTTCACCATCTTGATAGGGTTAGAAACGGGCGGAGCAAGGAAACTGATCCTACGCGTGAAGATCATGTTGGGTTTAGAAATGCAACAACCAATTAAACCCACAAGGTCTAATAAGTAAAATGTGGGCACGACAAGGCTGGGAAACCTCCCTCCGTAATACACCCAACCAACCCGAGCGGAGCATTGGGAGGTGTGAAGTGGGCATTGGCAAGGCTGGATGTGAGTGGGTGGCCACACAGCCACATAACTGCTTGGGGTGCGCGATGCAATGGGAAGCGAAGCGCGTTGACGTCAGGAACAGCTCTTAGATTAGATTGTTGATTGAGCCAATGATTTTCTGGTTGAAGATATGTAAGCTAACTATTTACAGTCAGGTTGGTTCTGGCTGGTGATGTTGTTCATGGCCGCAAAGGGGTCCCAGCAGGGATCCTCATGCGGTTGATACTCAATGAGCTTGGCAAACTCGTCAAAAAGAGCTTGTCCGTCAGGATACATGGTCTTGACAAATGCAAAGATGCAGTCGATACCAGCAGTTATCTATTACTGTCTCAGTGACTGGGCAGCCGAGGCTTCAGGGAAGGAGGAAGAAGCTAAGCAGTGCAGATAGGGGGGTTTGTTTACTTACCCCTGACGAACTCCAAATGTTCCCGTCCACCACCCACCGAGCCGGTGCAACCCACTTTACAAGCGGACCCATGGGTATGATGGATGGCCAAGACGTCTTATTCGTTGTGGCTCTCTTGCCATTCAGAATACCCGTCTTTGCCACGAGACCGGATCCTGTGCATATCGTGATGAGATATTTGACTTTGGGGTACGTCCTGGTGATGTAGTCGAGCGTTGAGTTCAACTCGGGTGAGCGGACTCCCGGTCCACCGGGCACGATTAGCACGTCCAGGTCCGGATCGTCGGCGAAGGTGTGCGATGGCTGGATGATGGGAGAGAAGCTGGAGTTCTTGGGGTTCATAGCGGCCGACGCTGGTTCGGTTGTGACGGGATCGAGAGTGTCGGCCAGAAGATAGAGGTTCATATGATGCTGGTGCGAGACCAATTGCAAAAGCTCGAGCGGCCCAAAGACATCTTGCGGGTCAAAAGCCCGGAAGAGGACGACACCGTAATTTCGGAGTATGGCAGAGTTGTCGCCTGGAGCACCTACCTCTACATAAGCACACCTTGCCGCCAGACTAGGTGTCAGCGCACCGGAATCAGAAGCCAACCTACATGCTCGATTCACGATAGGAGAACGCCCACCGGCAGCCACGGGTGACTCCAGGGAGGCCAAGGCACCAAGTGCCAGTGCGACAAGGGAAAGCGAGGTGGAAGCTCGCATTTTTTGCGCAAGGTATCACGCACAAGGATAAGGAGGTGGAGAAGAAGGGAGCTAACTACTTGGGTAGGTAGGCACCTAGGTAATTGGCAGAATATGTAGGATAAGTACCTAGGAGAGGCAAGACTGGTTGCCCACGGCAAGCAGCAACCCCCCGATCTTATATAGGAAGTCTCCATCATACAATGCGGCCGCGTGATGGATGCTCCTGGAGGGATGTCAGCATCCACTGTGTGGGCTAGACCGGACATCGAGCTCGGGAGTTCTGGGCCCGAGAGGCTCCATGAACGATCCAGTGGATAGCTACTGCCTATTCAGAGACCCCGGATATGAGCATGTATGAGCCCTTTTGCGCTGGTGTAAGAGTTATGTACAGAAGTAGCTTACGATGTACATGTTGGCTGCGGGTTGTTTTTTACCCCCCTGCACTGCGCCAATCAACCACCCAATCTCCAATTTCCCCGCAACGAAAAACATATCAAGTGACATCACCGACAGCTTGATACCCCGCGCCAGTCATCAACAACAACTCCAACGATACCTAGTTGGCTGATTTCTTGACTGGATGCCCTATTCTGCCGACTCCATATAGACCATTGCACTCAACCATTGTACTCGACCATGTTTTCTGGTCATTTCCACGACGCAGTTCACGACCACTCCCATGATGGCCTTGTGATCGACCATGGCCACAGCCACGAAATTCTTGACGGCCCTGGCAGTTACCTAGGACGGGAGATGCCAATCATTGAGGGCAGGAATTGGAACGAGAGAGCCTTCACAGTCGGCATTGGCGGGTAGGTAGCCATCCAATCCAGCCTTCCCCCTGGCCTGCAATTCTGATCCTACCCCCCTTCATGACAACCTATTGGCTCTCCTCCCTTGTTCCCGCTTCAACCCCAAAGCGCGCCAAGCCAACTGACCCAACTGGCTAACCACAATGCCCTCCCGCGGCCTTGCGTCCCTACAGTCCCGTCGGCTCCGGTAAAACCGCCCTGATGCTGGCGCTCTGCCTCGCACTCCGGGACAAGTACTCGATCGCGGCGGTGACCAACGACATCTTCACGCGCGAGGACGCCGAGTTCCTGACCCGCAACGCCGCGCTCCCCGCCGAGCGGATCCGCGCCATCGAGACGGGCGGGTGCCCGCACGCGGCGGTGCGCGAGGACATCAGCGCCAACCTCGCCGCCCTCGAGGACCTGCACGCCCGCTTCAGCTCGGACCTGCTGCTGATTGAGAGCGGCGGCGACAACCTCGCCGCCAACTACTCGCGCGAGCTGGCCGACTACATAATCTACGTCATCGACGTCAGCGGCGGCGACAAGATACCCCGGAAGGGGGGCCCGGGGATCACCCAGAGCGACCTGCTCGTCGTCAACAAGACGGACCTGGCCGAGGCCGTCGGCGCGGACCTCGGCGTCATGGAGAGGGACGCCCGCAAGATGCGCGAGGGCGGCCCCACCGTGTTCGGCCAGGTCAAGAAGGGCGTCGGCGTCGACCACATCATCAATCTGATGCTCAGTGCCTGGAGGTCTAGCGGCGCCGAGGAGGTCTGTAGGGCGCATGGCGGGCCGAAGCCGACACCCGGCTTGGATGCCCTCGGTGCCTGAGAAGGGGGTCGTCCGGTCTTGTGGGATTTTGAAACGAGGGGCAGAGATACTTAGACTGCAAACATACTATATGTTATAATGGCTCTGCTAGCCAAACTAGGTAGACTTAGGGGCTAAGTAAAACAAAGAAAAAGAAAAATCCCACAAGAACATCCCGTACACCGCACACAGCATGGTTAATTTCCTTTACGAATTCATCATATCATTTGACTTGGGAAGCCCCGGGCTTCGTGACTTTCTATGAGACATCCTCAACCATGACCTCTTCTCGAACGGCCGCTTCCGCGGGAGGGTCAAACAACGAACCATAATAGGGTCTTGCGTTGCGAGGCCAGACCCTCTTATACAAACTCACGCCGATGGAATCCTGCGGGTTGATCCTGGCATCGAACGTTGCCTTGAAATAGCCGTGGGTGCCGAGGGCCTCCTTCATATAACCGCTCCGCCCCCTCTTCGTCCACAGCGGCAGGGCCTTGAACCACTCGACGTCCTCCCTGTTGAAGAACATGTATCGGATGGTGACGACCTTCTTGTGGATGTGGTACGGATGTCCCGTGAGGATGACCCGCTTCGCAATGACGCGGCCCGTCGACGGCTGCATGGAAGTTCCGGTTCCGATCAATGTCAGGGGCGGACTCGGACCGTCATCCCCTTCCGAGCCACTGGCCGGGGCCGTCCTCTTGTAGAAGAGGGTCGGGACGGCACCCCACGTAACCGGGGCCACGAACGTTGCGATGGCGGATTGCCCAGGGTGCAGGAACCTGCAGTATTTGTGGACGTCGTTTTGCGTGTTTCCGCCCTGTGAGAAGAGAGGGTTCACGACAAACCGCCGCGGTCCGCACTGGATGATGAGCTCCTCCTTCGATTTGATAGAATCGGGGTAGTCGGAGCTCAGATTTATGAGGAAGTTGACCGAAGTTTGCTTGTGCTCGTGACGCAGCAGAGAGAACAGCGTCAACGGCCGATCGGGGTTGTACAACTCCCGGAGTGAAGTCGGAACTGCCCGAAGATGGACATGGACCCGAGTCCCGGGTGCGACGCCGCCGACTAATGCTTCCCGTACCGACTTGATCCGAGAGGCCTGATAGTCAGGAATCCGCAACAAGCGTTGCCAATTTTCTGGTTCGAAACTGCGGTCTGCATCTTCCATCCACGGGCTGGTCCTCAGGCTCTTCAGTCCCCGGTACTTGAGCAATCGCTCTCTTGCTAGAGCATTAGGGTGAAGCTCGATTTCGTCGGGGAACTCCATATCGTCCTGAGCTTCATCGTCTCGCTTCTTGGCTCGGAACGCCTCCAGCTGCGCAGCATCGTCGAGTTCGTCGAGTTCTTCGAACTTGACTGACTGGGGGTATTCGGAAGGTCCACCTTCAGTCTGGGCATCATCTGCGTATCCTTCCATTCCATCTTCAGGCCTCGCGGGTTCCTCCTCTACGTCTTTCATTTCGTGATCATCAAGGTCGGAGCCGGAGTCTGATACATCGTCTTCCAGGTACCATGCTGCCTGGTATGCCGACGTTCCCTTGGGTAGCTTCTTCGGTGTTTTTGGTATATGACTTTCGTCGTCGGAGAAGTAATGATGATCATCGAGCAGGACCCCCTTTTTCATGGACTCTGTGACGGTGGTGGCCGCATCGGCATCCATATCCTCATCCTCATCACCATCTATGGCATGATTCTCTGGCGCAAGCTCCTCCAGGTCATCGCAATCATCTCCTGGAGTATCGAGAATTTCTTCCGGAGCCTCAGCATCGACGGCCATGCTGTCTTCGGCCCTCTTCCGCCTCGCCGCGATCGGTGCCGCGGTTATCTTCTCGATTTGAAACGTGCCCCAGTCGCCGACTTGGACGAGGCGGTCAGCTTTGAGACCCCTTCCTCTCACAACTCCTGTAAGAACGGCCGACTGAGAATCTTGGGCTGGGAATTGGACCTCCTCGACGAGCATCCAACTCCGCTCATCTCGCCACCTAATTCCCTTAGGTGTCGTACTGCATAGCGACCTCATCAGATTGCTGCACTCCTGTCTGTTTTCGAGATTATACAACTTTTCCTGCTCGGGGTGGAAATGCGTAATGTAGCTCTTCAGCGACGCCAGGGTCGACAATCTTTGTTTCGCAGGCTCGACTTTGTTGAGGCCCTGCACGACTGTAAAGAGGGTAGACAGTCCCTGGCTCTCGACACTTCGCAGAATGAGCTCGCCAAGGTCGTCAACCTCGACTTCGGCGGAGAGGATCAACACCACAAAGTCGGCTACCCTGGCAGCATCAAGACATGCCGAGAGATCCCGCTCTAGAGGGATATATTGGACCTTCTGTTTGAATCTGTCGACAGGTACTCTAACGCAGCCGTTCCCTATCTCGGCTGTGATGTCGAGGCACTCGTTCAGATGGCCAATCGCAGCTTTGGCGTCGCCGTCGTGGCAGAGGGGGATAACGGCGACGTTCCTCGGAGCCCCATCCTTGGCAGAGAACACCGAATTCTCTCTCTGATGCTCCTTGTGCTTCTCCAGTTGCCGTTGCTTGGCCTGGTTCCGGCGATCGAGCTTGGACATGACTTGCTGGTGAGGTGTCTTGCGCTGGCCAAATTCGGTTGACACTTTGCCTGAGAGGAAGAGATTCGTCAGCCCGCCGGTAGAGATGAACCATGCTTTCCTCATATACCCCATCCACCCAGTCCGAAATACATGTCAAGAAGATTCGGCGTGACTCATACCTTTTGCCAACCGCCGCAAAGCCCCTTTTGTCGCCGCTCGAGACTTGAACGGTTTGTTGGAGACCTTGGTGGTCGCTCGGTGAGAGTGGGCGGATGCCACGGGGCCGGACATCTTGCCGTCACCACCAGATTTGAACCTAAATGGGAGGGAAGCCACGTTGGGAATTTGGGATTTCGGGGATTCGTCTTTTGGCGGAAGACTAACACAAGCTCTTGCCTTAGGTGTAAGTGCAATGGAAATATCGAGGGATGCACCCTTGTGGAGGGGCAATTTTTTTGTGCGATAAGTCCTTGCTTATCTTATCGCACTGCGGGCGGCTTCTGAACATTACCCACATATTAATTTTAAACCAATCATTGTTTCGCCATTCTTCAAGAGTGGGACTTCCGATTCGATAAGGACGAAAAAAAGTTGCTCGCAACTCGACATTCAATTACATGCTAATTCAACTCTCGACGAGCCGGAGCAACATGGAGGGCCAGGAGACAGCCGTTATCCCCTCACTCGGATCCCAGCCAAACGGCGCCCTTGCCATTGGTGCGAGGACAGATTTTAGGGCAAAAGAAGAGCAGCAGAAGGCCCGCCGCATAAAGGAAGCCCAGAAGGCTTATGGAAGGGGTCGCACGATCGATGTCAAGCGCGTCCGGGACAAGAAGCTCCGCAGCAATCTCAAGTTGCTCGAGAACAAGTTCCAGGATGCTGCTCTCAAGGCAAAGGATGCCGAGATCCTACACGAAAATACGAGTGGGTTCTTGGAACCCGAGACCGAGTTGGAGAGGACATACCGTGTGCGCCAGGACGAGGTCGAGAAAGACGTCTCCATCGCAACGGCCCAGAAGAAGTTCGACCTCAAGCTAGATACTCTGGGCCCTTATATCTGCGAGTACACGAGGAACGGCAGGGCATTGCTGCTCGCGGGCAGGAAAGGCCATGTTGCGACGATGGATTGGCGCGAGGGAAAGCTGGGCTGCGAATTGCAGTTGAATGAGACTGTGAGGGACGTACGATGGCTACACAACGACCAGTACTTTGCCGTTGCTCAGAAGAAGCATTGCTACATCTACGATCACAACGGCGTCGAGCTCCATTGTCTCACGAAGCACCAGGAGGTTTCCCACATGGAGTTCCTCCCCTACCACTTCCTGCTAGCTACTCTGGTGAGTCCTGCCCCTTCGTGGTCCCCGGTGTTGGCCCGTTTGCTAAGACCAATCTCCCCCAGGCCATCCAGGGTACCCTAAAATACCACGACGTATCCACGGGCCAGATCGTCGCGGAGATCCCTACAAAGATGGGTACTCCCGCATCACTCACTCAGAACCCCTACAACGGCGTAATGCACGTTGGTCACCAGAACGGCACGGTGACGCTATGGTCGCCGAGCTCTACAGAACCTCTAGTGAAGTTACTAGCGCACAGGGGACCAGTCCGCTCACTGGCCGTGGACCGCGAAGGCAGATATATGGTTTCGACGGGCCAGGATATGAGGATGGCCGTGTGGGATATCCGCATGTTCAAGGAGGTGAATAATTATTTCACCAGATCGCCGGCGTCGTCCGTATCCATTTCGGACACAGGCCTGACAGCTGTATCCTGGGGCACTCGGGCAACTATTTGGAAAGGGCTGTTCTCAAAAGACAGCCCAACTCAGGAAAAAGTCCAGAGTCCGTATATGGCCTGGGGAGGAGAGGGGAAGGCTATCGAAAGGGTTCGGTGGTGCCCCTTCGAAGATGTCTTGGGACTGGGCCACGACGAGGGCTTCTCGTCCATCATCATACCCGGGGCGGGCGAGGCGAACTACGATGCCCTGGAAGTGAACCCCTTCGAGACGACCAAGCAACGGCAGGAGGGCGAAGTGAGGGCGCTGCTCAACAAGCTCCAACCGGAGATGATCTCCCTGGACCCCAACTTCATCGGAAACCTAGATCTGCGGTCGGAACAGCAGCGTCAAGCGGACAAGGACTTGGACGCCCCTCCCGTCGACATTGCCGAGGAAATCAGGAATCGCGCCAGGGGCAAGAACACCGCGCTGAAAAAGTACCTGAGAAAGCAGAGGAAGAAGAACATTATAGACGAGAAGAGACTCAAGGTGGAGGAGATCTGGAAGGAGCAACAGGAAAAGAAGGGCAAGAAGCACGAGGAGAAGAAGGCCGAGCTGGGGCCCGCGTTGGCGAGATTCGCGAGGAAAGATTAGTCCAATGTGTACATATGATACCCCGGTTTATCTTCGGCGACGTGACTTGTCTGGGAGCGTCTCCTGTCAGTCCCCATGTCCCAATGCCTCTATTTATCCTCTATCCCAGTGTCTGAGTTTTCCCTTCCGAGCGCCTGGACTCTTTGTCTTCTTCTGCCTACAGTAGGCTTTACCTGCTGTGAGGTATTAGAGTCCCCGATACATCTACGTGTGCGTACCTAGTGGCCCTATACGTACCTAAATATACAGAGAGCTCAGGTGTCATCAGACTTGAGCTCTGGCATCCGGGCATTGTCCAGATTCCTCCACACAGACCCAAGGTCCGACGTTGAGGGAACCATTCGCCGGACAAAATGTTGCCGTGCATGTCCTGGTTGTCTCTACATCCGCTCAGAGCAACTTCAGATGGCCAGTAATACCGTCCACCAAACTCTTCGGCGCTGGCCCGACACCGAGCACCGTCAGGCTCCCCGCCTCAATCTGGGTCCGTCCAGCGTCTTGGATGACTTCGGCCGTGACACCCAAGCTGCGGGCCTTGCCCATAAGTTCCATCATCTCGTCCTGGCTCTTGGTCTGCACGGCGATCTTGGCTTGGCCGTACTTCTCCCACTTCTTGAGTAGCCGAGCCTGAGGGCCGTTGGGCGCCTTTGCGGAAGCCTTGAGGAGGGTTTTGTAGCATGCCAGTGTTGCGTGGCCGCATTGCGCTGCAATCTTGCCTGTGGAGAGAGAAGAACGGGTCAGTTTCCTGGGAAGAACGATACAAGGAGATAGTGGGTAAAGCGAGGAAGGCCATACCCTTGGTCATGCCAAGATCAGTTCGCACAACCAGAACGAGCTTGCACTCCTCGGTAGCATCAACAACCGGTTCCGCAGGGGCCGCCGGGGCAGCAGCCCGGGCCGGCGCACGCAGGCCCTGCCTACGGTCTGCCTCCTCGCCGTTGGTCCAGTTCGGCGCATGGTCGAGGATGGTGTCGTCCTCGTCAATATCTGACTCCTCGCTCTCGACTGGGTCCTCGAGGTTGGCCCGCCGCTCCTGGACAAGCATCGGCGAGATCAGGTAACCCCGGATGGAGTAGACGCCGAACATGAAGCCCGACAGGAAGGCCACGAGTGTGGATGAGATTAGGACGGTGGTGGTTTGCCGGTCGGACATCTTGATCGAGGTGAGGCGCGGTGCGCGCAAGATGCCTTCGGCTGGTTGTCGGATCGGTCTCACGGCTTTACGTCGTTTGATCTCGAGTTCTCCAATCTTAGAATCAAGCCGTAGGTGGGTGTTTGAATTTTGGAGAAATATCGTTGGGGTTTTTCTTTCCACTTCCAAACGGTCATTGTATTGTACCTTAGCATCATCAGCTTACCTAATCAGCATAAGTCTGCCGCCTCCTTTAGACTATCCGTGAATGGGGTGTTACTCTTATAATTTCTAAGCTCGTATACTCAGTTGCTGTGCTTGGCTTCGTTTCCACGAGACAGACTCCTGGAGGACGGTGTGTTTAATCAGGCTTTCGCAGATGAATGGAAATTTAGCATCGTATATATCAAGTTGCCTCCAGGGAGCAACAGCCCTCTTGACTGACTGGCTACCCACCATCACGCCGACCGCCTTATAGTGCAGCGACAGGTGAAGTCGGTCGAGAATGGGCAAAGAGCGGGCTGTGGTGATCGGTATTAGCGGGTGCTCCTCGAGCGGCAAAACTACCTTGGCCAGGCTTCTTCGAGACATCTTCCCCAACACCTTCATCCTCCACGAAGATGATTTCTACAAACCCGAGGATCAGTAAGCTGGCTGCTATTCCCCATCTAAATTCCATAACATCGCCCTCCGCTACCTAGCTAACACATCTCCCCAGACTACCACTGAAAGACGGCCTAGTAGACTGGGACTGTCCAGAAGCCATCTCCGTGCCGGACATGGTGAGGGCGCTCTCCCACATCCGCGCCACGGGCACATTCCCAGTCAGTCCCAGGTTACCCCTTTCCTCCCCCCCCACCACCTCCCGCGCCGACCACGGCTGCGGCTTCCCCGCTGCCCTCCCCCGCCGCCATGACCGCTACCCCCCGCCTACCAGCTCGCCCCCGCTCACCACCCCCTCCCCTCCGCAGCCAGACGTACACTCGAAGGAGGACCAGAACAGCGTCGGCCCATGCCCCGTGTCCGACGCCAAAATCGCCTCCCTGCGCGCCCGCGTCGAGGCATGGCTGCAGCCGGGGCAACCAGGGCACGCGATCCTCGGCGGCGGCGGCGGCGGCGGCGCGCGACGGCTGTGCCTCCTCGACGGGTTCCTCCTCTACAGCGCGTCGGTGGCGCCCGTGACGGACGCCATCGACGTGCGCCTGTTCCTGCTAGCGAGCCGCGCGGCGGCAACGCGGCGGCGCGCGACGCGCGACGGGTACGTGACGCTCGAGGGCTTCTGGCGGGACCCGCCGGGGTACGTGGACCGCGTGGTGTGGCCCAACTACGAGGCGGCGCACGCGTGGCTGTTTGAGGGCGGCGACGTGCAGGGGGAGCCGAGGCGGGACGTCCTGGCCCGGGAGCGGATACGCGTGCAGCTGGGTAAGGGGCTGGACGTTGATATGGAGACGACGCTGGAATGGGCTGTTGATACTATCATGGGGGATTTGGAGGCTTTTGTTGGGAGGATGTCCTTTGACTAAGCAGCATTTCATTCGCAGATAAGAAATGTTTTGGCCAATAGGTACTTGTACAAGAGTTGGATGTCTCATAGATAATAACACCCGCATGTAGTGCAACCATCTGTCCTCAACTCGGCAACAGTGACGCTGCAAACTCCAGTAACCGGAAGGCAAAAATGGTCGATACGCTGGTACCACATGCGGCCCCAAAAATGCCAGCAGTAGAGACTACCTAAGATTGCCACCTATCCGTCTTGGTCACCGCAGTCGAACAACTCACGGGAACGGTGTAGGTGTGATTGGGGTCAGACTCCCAGCTGACCGAACCGTCTGCCCCAACATTGATGTACTTGTACTGGATGACCTGACCGGCCCCCAGGTCGATGGTCGCGCTCCAGAGTGGGTTGCTGGACGTGTATTGTGAAGCACTCAGAGCAACGGCGTTGCCTGTGTCCCAGTTGCCCAGCCCGTCAATGTCTCCGACAATCTTGATTGTCTGGCCCGGAGTGGTCGTTACAAACTCGTTGAATGTCACGGCCACAGACGTCGGGGTGGCACATGGCGTGGTCGTGCTGATGGTTCCTGAAGTGGGTATGCCTATCTGGGGCGTCTGAGAACTGGGGAAGCTGGTCGAGGTTGCTGAAGAGTATGTGCCGATGATCGAGGTCGCCAAGCAAGATTCAGGAAGAGAATTGCCGGAGCCGGCATTCCAGGAGGACGGAGCTACGCCAGCCCGACGGGCGGCAGCGGTGAGGAAGGACGCGTATGACCAGGTCAGGTCGTATGCCGACAGAGGGCTTCCGCTGTTCCTGTCAAACTGCTCGGAAAGGGACCCGTTGGCCTGGGCGTAAGTTGCGACGATATCAAAGTAGCCGTCGGCATATGCTTGAACCGCGCCGTGGAGCGCCGTGTAAGTGGAAGACCCGGCGTCGTATGTTCCTGCCGACACCGAGGGGACTAAATCCTTGAAGAAAGCCAGAGATGTCGAGGTGACGGTGATCGATCCTTGCTTATCCCAAACGTGCAGAGCATCGTACAGCTGCTCGGCTGCCGCGAGAGTGCTGAGATACCAGGGGTTCCCTTTGTAGTAAATGTCTTCTGGATATCGGCCAATAGTTACGGCTTTCCCCTGAGCAATCCCCTTGTTGATTGAGTAGATGGAACGGAATGAGTCAGTGACGACCTTGTGGTTGGCCAAGGCCTTGTCGCTGCATGGCTGGAAAGTGCTAGCATCACATCCAACCGTCGGATCGAAGGTATGGATCGAGCCTAGGATCGTGTTTGCGTCCTTCCCACTTCGACCGCTAGCGTTGACTGTTGTAGAGTGTCAGAGGCATTGACAGGAATATGAGTTTCAATGAAACACCCACTATTAGCAATTATGTAACCGCCCGCGGTTGACCAGAAGCTCTGGAGGAAGCAGAGTATGTGAGGCGCGACCTCATCACAGTAGCTGCAAGACGTGCCGAGCGACTTCGCCAGGGCACTGCCTTCGACCAGAGCTATTGCAGGATCAGTCAGTCAAGAAACAAGTCAAGAGGGTGCGTAGTTAATCATACATACATCGATGCTGGTTGGCCACAGTGAAGAAGGAGCTGCCCTGGACTTCTTCCCAAAGGTCAAAGCCAGTTTGGTTCCTTTTGCCGTTAGTCATTCGTCCTCGAGAAGATGAGAAGGATGGAAGTCTATTACCAATACTCGGCCACATAGGCAAGATCGTTGTGAATAACGGGCCAAAGAATGCTAGAAGCTGTGGACGAGTAGCCATTGTTTACCAGCCAGTTGGCATAGTTAATCATAGCAATAGCTCGAAGGGCTGGACCATCTCGTTGAGGTCGACCTGATCTCCATGTTAGTATCACTGGCCTTCATAGATAGGTTGGTCAACCTCGCACCATGTCTTTTACTTACCCCATGGGTCAGTGTACTCGGTCAGATTTGCGTGGAACTTCGGCTCTCCCAGGCCCGCGCCGTCATATAGCGAGCCAGAAGGATTGGAAACGCCCTGAAGCTTCGCTTGAGAAGTAACATAATTCTGGATCTGCTCCTGAAGGTCGGGGCTATATTCATTGCCGACGGTATCTACTATGCATTTGAAGACCAAGGCTGAGTCTCTGATCCAGGTGTAATAGTCTACAAGCAGCATCAACATCCAACAATATATACGCAGTAGAGGTTGCGGTGGGGAAGAGAAGACTGACAGTCTGGATTGTCCGTTGATGGACTGGCAATGACGACGCCCGAGGCAGCCGCCGAAGCATGGCAACCATCAGTGCCAATGTTGCAAAGGAGGTTCCGGAGGGCAATGGGACTTTCGGTAGCAATGAAGGAGTCGACCGATCTCTTCAGGATCTCGCCCTCCCGCTTGATGCGCACGGCTTCAGGACGGCTTAAAACGGCCTGGAAGGCTAACGTGCCTAGAAGCAACAGGGATGAGACAGTACGCATGATGGGTTCAACGAGGCTGGTACTGTTGCTGGAGGGTAGGCACAGCCCATAGCTGGTGAGGACTTCCATGTTTGATATTTATATTGACCTTGAACCTTCATCGTCGCCTACTGGGAGGTGGCAATGCGGAGAAAGGGCCGACCAACACACGACGGACCAAACACGGCTCGATGATCATGGGGATACCCCTGGATGGAAGTGGCCAACAGCTTGCTGTCCGTCGTCTTCGCCCAAGAAGCACCGATGTCGTGCCGTCTGCATGTCACATACTCTCCGTGCCTGCGTCGAGGAGCTGGGGTGTAGTTGGGGGTGTGGGGTAGTGGAGGAGAATTGCCATTATCATTGGAAGGTGTAACAGGACAATCTTCGGATTTGGAGTCTGCTACCGAATCAAGCCACGGATACTTCCCCAGGGCCGACAAGACGGCGTTTCTTGACCTGAGGTGCCCGGTGATCAAATCGGTCCGTCATTCTACATGATAGGTGCTTCGGCCTCGGAAGCATCTCATCGCAGATACTGCCGACGACTACCGCCAAAAATGGAAACGCTTCCCGGCTGACAGGGTAGCAGGTGTTTTTTTATGTGATTTGAGCCAGCGTTCCAGCTTGCTTCGAAATCCATACTACATTGCCATGAAGGCGGTGTGGCTCCAAGACCACAAACCCGAGGGGGTTGTAGGCAGGTCTACTCGGGTCACTCGACAAGGGCAGGAGAATGCCTCGGTACTCTCCAGAAATAGTGCTAAGCCTCCGGACACAAGATGCAAGGTGATAGTATGCAGCCTATCATGGTTTTCCTCAACCTCACAGATCGACGATCTCGGTGAAAGGGGTGGAATATGACGACTACAGGACATCCGAGGCATCACGCTCAGCGTTTGACCGCGAACATGACACCCCAGAGCCTGATTGATCTGGGATCTGACGATAGGAAGATTTACACCACTGTTTAAAAGATGTGCTCCTTAAATTATCGAGCTGCCTTCAGCAATCAACCCTGAACCCACCGTGGTGGGCAGAGGATCGCTGAGGACCAGATCCGTAGAGAAGAAAAAGAAAAAGAAGAGAGGAAAAGTCGGCGATGAGAATTTCGAATTTAAGGCGGCAAAAGGACGCTTGCTGACGTAACCGGTGCACGGGCTACCAAAAGCTCCCACTAGGTAGAGAATACAAGTTCAGGCTGGAGTGTAGCCTTGCAGACCCTTGCAGAACTTATCTTCTCAGGAGAGTTGCGTATCTCTCTTGCGACCCATTTTCAACAACTCCAAGGAACAAGACCGCCACCATGGATGCAGCATCTATCGAGGAGGTCAACAAGCTCCGGAAGTCGATGGGCATGAAGCTCTTGCCCGTCCCCGGAGCAGACACATCGACCCGCGACGAATCCGCCTCCCCAGAGCCCGATGAAGATGCTCCAAGTACCCTTGAAACCCGCGAAGCACAGGCATATGACAATTTCCGAAAAACCCGCGAGGCGGAAGAATCCAAGAAAAGGCGTGAAGCGAAAGCGGCCGCCGTCAAGAAAGCCCGAGAGAAAGCCCAGCGCTCTGCGGTTCTCGAAGGGAAAGGATTGGGAGACTTGGATGATGGGGCTGACGTCGATGCCAAGTCATGGCTCATGAGTCAGAAGAAGAGACAGAAGAAGATTGCCAAGGCCAGAAAGTTGGAGGAGAAGGCCGCGGCAGAAGCAGCAGCAGCGGCGGCGGCAGCGGCCGAGTATACTGCCAAAGACATCGCCGGGATCAAAGTCGGCCATGACATGACAAGCTTCCTCGATGGCGATGAGCAGGTCCTTACGCTGAAGGACACGAATGTCCTGGACGAGGAAGAGAGCGAGGACGAACTTGAGAACCAAGAACTACGGGAGCGCGAGAAGTTGACGGAGAGGCTTGAGCTGAAGAAGAAGAAGCCTGTCTATGATCCAAACGACTTTGACGATACTGGCGAGAGAAGCATCCTCGCCCAATACGACGAGGAGATTAGCGGCAAAAAGAAGAAGCTGTTCAAGTTAAACCAGCTGGAAACATCGACCGAGTTGGCGGATATTCTCGACGGACCAGTTCAAAAGAGGAGGTTCGAGAACCTAGACGTTGCCGAGCTGGGTAAGTCGTTTCTCTCCTATCAAAATCCTATTCCTCCCTAGTGACAAACAACTAACGCATGACTTGGCAGAGCACGCCCCGCCCTCGGATTACCTTGATATATCCGAAATCAAGGTCAAGAAGCCGAAAAAGAAGAAATCCAAGACTACAAGGCAGCGCCCTGTAGATGAAGACGACGTGCTACTACCCACCGAGGGACCGAACGGCGACGACGCCCAGCTTATGGATGTCGACTCTGGAGCCGGCTCTTTCTCTAAAAAGAGAAAAACGGTGGATGAGTCCTTTGTAGATGATGATGACCTTCAGGCTTCCTTGGCTCTTCACAGAAGAGAGGCCCTGAAGAAGCGGAAGCGAACACGGCCTGAAGACCTTGCAAGACAACTTCGAGAGGAAGCGAGCCAGGAGCAAGGTTCCGAAAACGGGAAAGCTGGGGATCAACCCGGGGGAATCGTCCTGGATGAAATCACAGGCTTTGTGGACACCTTACAGAAGCCCGGTGAGAATGAGGAACGCAAGCGCCGGCCGAACCCCAAGTCGGAGGAGCAGGCTGTTACTGCCATGGACCAAGATTCGTCAGACGAAGATGAGGTTATGAGGGATGCCGCGGTGGTTAAGGAGGAATCCCCCGATCGAGAACAAAGTACCGCTCTAGGCATGACAACAACGGGAGTGGAAGAAGAGGAGTCGATTTCGCAAGGGATGGGCGCGGCACTGAAACTCCTAAAGGACCGCGGCTTGCTTAAAGATGAGCATGGCACCGAGCGAAACGAACAGTTCCGCAGAAAGCAGCTTTTCCTTGCCGAACTCAATCGGCGTATGTCGCAGTTTGACGAGGAAGTCAAGGTTCAGCGCGAGCGTGACCGGGCCAGCGGTCGACTTGACCGGATGTCTGTTCGGGATCGCGAGGACTGGCAGAGGCAACAGAATACGATGCGGGACCAGCACCAGTCGCGAATCATGGACCAGCTATACAGAGAGGGATACAAGCCGACCGTGGAGCTCAAGTACTTTGACGACTACGGACGCAGCCTGGACCAGAAGGAAGCGTTCAAGCACCTCAGCCACCAGTTCCACGGCAAGGGGAGTGGCAAGGGCAAGACGGACAAGCGACTCAAGAAGATTGAGGATGAGAAGCGGCGGGAGTCCCAGAGCATGCTGGACGTTAGCCAGAATGTTGGCATGAGCTCTGCCGCCGCGCAACAGCTCAAGAAGCGCAGGGAAGCCGGCGTTCGACTTGCTTGATGATGCTGGGGACGGGAGATCATGCATGTTTATTCTAATTATTAGACCTCCAGGGTGGGAATCTAAAAGGTGCCTCTTACCCTCCATTCTACTCGCAACTGTTTATTTATTCTTGCCTGTGCTGACACGGATGCGAACCGCTTATCTGTCAATTACACTCAGCCATCGTGGGATCGACAGAGTCCTTAGCATTGCCATGATCTTTACAAAACGTGCAGGTGAGGGAACAATGACCCCCCTGTAGCCCCCTAGCCTCCTTTCCCGTTTTCATATGATACTATACAAAGTTGACTCCGTAACTCTATACCCCATGTAAAAGAACTTGAAGAAGTGACAGGAAAAGAGGGAAAACGACTTATACCTCACCTACCTTCTGATCACTGGTTGCCATGATGATCAGGCAGCTGAGAGCAGATACCTCCAGCAGTCATGCCGGACTCGGCAACCAAGTCGGCGATGCATGTGCCCCTATGTTCCCCTATCCTCGACCTCGGACCATCCCTTCTTGATGCTGAGCGGCTTGGGCATGTCCGGGTGCGCCTTCCGGGACCCTGCGGCAGGGCACTTGCCCAGTGCCGGAGAAGACAACGGGATTCGCTTGTCCCCGGTGTAGACATTCTTGGGCCTGTCGAGGATGAAATCGTCGACGTTGTCGCCGTGCCTCTTGGCCCGCAACAGGCGGTAGATGGGGCGCTCAATAAGGGCCTGGCCCTCCTTGTGATCGCAGTACCCGCCACACGGGCAGCGCCGCTGGAGAGGTTCCTGGGAGGGAATGGTTGAGCTTGAGGGGCCCGGGGGCTTGGACGTACCTTTCTCGACGGCCTCCATTTTGGACGACTGAGATGGATGGATGGCCTGGAGTAGAGTGGATATATCCTGGCAGATGCGACTTGCGGAAGGCCCTCAGGACTCGGATGTGGCAGGTAATTCGAGTCGACTCTTCACTTTCGAGGGGCTCTGGATTTCCTACTTTCGACTCTGGATTCCGGGCTATGGGCTTGGTATTTATATCCGCGAGGATATGCCCACCACCAATATCAAAACTGTACAGATAAATTACAGCTAGATAATTACATTATATGCTTGAAAGAACTTCCCGCCCTTTAAATCTGCACAAAGACAGAAAAGCTCAAAGGCCCAAATCCTTTGTTGCCCCACGAGGAGCTCGGAACAATCGACCTTGCCCTCCCGTAGTCGTCAGTTCGAGGGACAACGACATGGCCAGATAACTGAGCAGGGGACCTATCCAACCGCCAAAATCCCTTCGCATCCATCCCGTCCCCAGCTGGTAGAGCCACCCTCCGTTCCACCTGGCTCCCCGTCCCCGAAATGGGAGCAATGATGATTTGAGAAGTAAGGCATGTCTCTCTCACGACGCGTCGCCCCCGGCATCCTGCTTGACCCTGCCGCCCATGACGAATTCCGAGGTGTAGGACTTGGCCGTCTCCTTGTGGCGCGTGGTTATGTACCAGGTCATGACCAGGATGGCGACGAAGCAGGTCACCCAGAGGACGACGAGCTGGTTGGACCGCCTGGGTCGCTGGCCGTAGGGACTGTAGAGCTTCGGTGCCATGATTTTTTTTTTCTGGATGGCTGAGTTTGGGGCGACCTGGGGTGGGTTGGTTGATGTGTCTGTCTGTGGGAGTGGTGGGTATTTGTCTAGGCGGAAATATTGAGCTGGCAGGATTTGAGACTGGTTTGGTTGCTGGAGCGAAAACTTGACCAGAGCAGTCAATGCCACCTCAAAAGGTGAGCGCGGCAGCAAAGTTGGTGACGTCTGCTCCGCCCCGCTAAAACTTGCGAGAGTTAAGATTTACGGATGGACACCTTCTATCATATATATACCTATGTAGTGTGGAAACAAATGAACTTGGTATTTCAAATATCAGTCCTTTAGCTGGTGACACCAGAACTACCTATGTTACATATCAAAATGACATTCTCATCCCTTCCCACCGCCGTCGCCTTTCATCCGGCTCATCCTCAAATCTCGGTTTCAACATCCGGCGTTCGTCCGGCCAGACTGCCCATCTTTTTGACCCGACGGACAGCGAAAAGAGCCTCATCCTTTGCAAACTGAATATTCCGCATTGGTTTCCTGCAACCCGGTGACAGGTCAGCCAACTGAAAAAGGAAAAAGAGGGGGGGAAATAGAGGGAAAGGTGTCGGCATGGGAATCACTTACCATTGCATCAAGCCTCGTTGCTGCCGGTGTAGATCCCGGCTCCTGCTCCTGTAGTCCTTGAGCGCCTGAATAGGACTGTTGCCCCCGGACTTCGACCCTCCAGATTCCGCATTGTCATTTGTATCATGGGATGGCCTCGCCGCGGATCCGCCCTCCCCATTCGCCATCGCATCTCCATCGGGCCTGCCCCCATCGTCCATGCTGCCGTCTCGGATCCCGAGGTCCATATCAGACGACTCGGACGACTCGCAGTCCTGGTTCTGGTCTTGGTCCAGATTCTCCCCGGCGCTGCCGTCCTCGCGACGACCGCCCAGCATCTCCGCAGGGTCCTTGCCGAACGCGCCGGTCCAGTCGGTGCCATCCCTAGCCAGCCACTTTCGCCTGTCCTTCTCCGGCGCCTGGGCCAACACGTCGCGGCCGTGGGTCAGCGACTCTTCGTGCAGCCTCTGCACCGTGTCCGGGACCTCCCGCTTGACCGACTCGGTGCGCACGCCTTCGGCGAAGCACGCCTCCCAGCTCTCGATGGTCTCGCGCGAGTCGTTGTCGCTGACGAAGCGCAGGTGGTCGCGGTCGGTGCCGGGCTTGAACCGGCCGCGGAAGCGCACGCGGCCGACCTCCTCGAGCCGCAGGTCCGGCACCGTCGCGTGGTTCGCCTCGTTGATGTAGTTCTGCGACAGCCGCGTGCCGTTGTTGCACCGCCACACCGGCAGGTCGAAGTCCTTCTCCTCGCCGTCCACCACCTCCTGGAGCCAGAGCGACGCGAAGAACTCGGTGTGCCGCTTCCCCGCAGGGTGGAACTCGAAGAAGATGGGCGACCGGTACCGGAAGCGCACCGGCATCCGGATCTTGGCCCCCTTCTTATGCTGCTGGCCGCTGATGTCCCAGGAGAGCGAGCTGCCGTCCTCGGACTTGGTGCAGGCGTCGGGCTTGACGGTGGCCGAGCTGCCGCCCGTCCGCAACTTGATCTTCACCCTGGAGCTGGGCGCGAAGCCGGCGGTAGTGATGGAATCGCTCAGGAACTCGAACGTGCCGATCTCGCCGAAGCCGAGCTGCGTCGGCGGCAGCCTGAGCTCGACGGAGCGGAACAAGAGGCTGATCCGGATGCGGCCGAAGCCGATGCCGCCGTCCAGAGGGTACCACCGGGAGCTCTGGCTGGCTGTCTGGAGGATGTCGGACAGCTTCAGGGGCACGACGCCGATGATGGGGTCGTGCTGCCGGTTGCGCGAGTCGCGCACCGTGACGGTGACGATGCACGACCGCCAGTCGCGGACGAACCGCTCCGTCCCGGCCTGGAAGATGGGCTTCGACGACACCACCTTGGTCCGGGTCTTGTAAATCAGCTCGTCGTTGAGCAGGATCGTGCAGTAGGAGCTGGGCAGGCTCTTGTCCTGCTCTTCCTTGATGTCCCCGGCCTCCGGGCGGGCGGGCTCGTACTCGTGGCCCTTCTTCTTCCACTGCGACCCCTTGACGTTCTGGAGCTCGAGGTTTACGATCTGGTGGATGACGATGCTGAGAATGCCGCTCGGCCACAGCGGGTCGGGAGGCGTGTGCGTGACGGCGTCCTCCATGGCCGTGTTGATGCTGCCTTTGTCGTCCTGCAGCTCCTTTTTGTCGCGGAGCTCCTTGGGCAGGTTGGGGTCCTTGCCGTCGGTCCTCAGCGCTCGCCTGAACTGCGTCTTGCCGAAGAAGCCGACCTCCCAGTGCAGCTCTCCGGGCATGGTGCTCCCGGCCTTGACGCCCTTGAGCTTGGAGACCTGCGGGAAGGACTTGCCGGGGTGCTGGATTAGCTTCTGGATGCTTATCTCGACCTTGCCGACTACGTCGTCGGCAGAGGACCGGTCGCTGTCCCACAGCTCGAGCGACAGCTGTTCGTCGGCCTTGATGATGTCAGTGGTGACCAGCAGGCCGCAGGACTCGGAGAAGATAGGGTTCAGGTCGTCCTGGATGACGCGGGTGCAGTACTGTGGCTTGGCGAACTTGGAGAAGGCTACGCAGATGTACGGGTCCGAGCCGCCGCCCTCGCTTCCACGCCGATCCTGCTTGCTGAGTCCCACGGCTTTGTGGATGCGGACGAACAGGACGCCCAGGGCCTCCGTCTCCTTGAGGATGTCGTCCCCCTGGAGCATCTTGCCGATGTCGAGGGTCATGGACTTGGGCGCCACGTACATGTCCGCCGCGGTGGAGATCGCCCAGTTGACAAATTTAGAGATGATGGGGAGATTGAGGATATTGGCCCCCTTCTCGACTAGGGGGATGCAGCTGGCATCCACCATGGGTAGGCCCATGAGGGTGCAGCTGACGGTGTTGACGAAGGGTGGGTTCGGAGTCAGAGCGACCCTGATCCTGACGGTGCAGAGCAAGCCCCTGAGCTCGACCCAGACCGGGAAGGGGACCCCGAAGAGACCCTTGACGCCGAGGTAGAAGACCAACTGCATGCCCATGTTCTTGGCCTTGGATGACACATCGCCCGACGAAGGCAACGCGTGGTACGCTATCGTGGCCTCGAGGTTGTAGTAGTCGCCGCCCGCCTCGTCTGCAGCCAGCTGCTGGGGGTCCTTGACCTTCTCGTCCCGCTTTCGGATCTCTTCTTTGAGATCCTTGACCTCAGAGTCGGGTAGCGCACGCAGACTGAGGATCCGGAGCGGGTTACTGCCTTGGGAGATCTCATTGACCTTCACATTCTCAATCACACCGGGTACGCTGGCTTGCATGACGTCCTGGGGAAATCTGGTAAGTATTTGGGGACAAAGGAGGGGGATTTGACCGAACGATCAGTCTATCGGGAGAGGCACGCTCACCTCAAGAGTGTCAGCAACAGCTGCGAACATATCCGGGTTGATGAGGCCCCAGATCAGGCCGAGGGCGGTGTTGAGCCACTCGACGGACTCGGGGATCAGGTTGATGACGGCGGTCTCGCCGCGGCGCTGCTCGGCCGACCACTCGATGTCGCGGCCCCGGCGCACGAGGTCCTTGGCCCAGAGGAAGACGCCCGAGGCGACGCACGCGGCCAGCGGAAGGAGCCCCCACATGCTGCCGCCGAACACCTTGCCCATCAGCACGATGGCCAGGAAGATGCCGGTGCAGAGCACATTCGCCCGTGCCTCGACCGCCGCGTACATGGGCTCGTAGCTAACCGCAGGCGTCGGGTGGAAGAGCACGTTGGTCTTCTCGCCGTGGATCGGTAGGTCGCTCGTCGAGCCCTCCGCCACGGGGTCGGGTGGCGCCGTCACGTCTTGGTTGTGCCGGTATTCCTCGCCCGACTGCGTGGGTTCGGTCTTGACGGTCGTTTCTTTGCCAAGGTTGGCGTTGGGGACGGATATCTGGGGAAGGAAAATAGGATTGTCAACACCCGAACATCCCCTGTTCACCTAGTATTCCAGGACTTGGAGGCAATTAGGGGGGGGGGGGCTTTCTTCTCACATGTGGGTCTTTAGCAGACTTCACGTAGCTGCGGTCAATGTCGTCGATCTCGACATCCTTGCCGGTGACCGGGTCCCGGACAGTCCGCCGGTTCTTGCCGACTTTCCTGGATACCTGCTCGTGGTCCGTTACCTCAGCGGCGGGGCGGTTCGCCTGGGGGTCAGATTCAGCTTTGGCCTCTCGATCCCTCTTGTCCTGGTCAAGGCTTTCCATAAACTGCTTGATGTTGGGTACGCGGTTATGGCCCGAGTAGTGCTGCCCCGAAGGGAACACTTTCTCCTGGGTGTTCATGGTGAAGGAGTCCCGACTGATGAGGTGAGTAGTAGAGCGGGTGTGGGCACTCGATGGGGATAGGTAGTTTGTGACACTCGCATTAACCACAGCGTCACTCCAGAGCCGGAGCCGTTGGATATGGGAGTAAGTAAGTGCTTTCACTAGACTATAGTCGTAGAGCGAAAGGTTCTGAGGATTCCCTGGGGAGAATCGTCAAAATCCGGGTCGAGAGAGGGTACGTAAGACGGCAATTATATCAAGGGCAGGACGGACAGCGTACGCAATTCAATCAAGAATGATTATATGACTACCACGGAGATGATCGCTACTAGAATTACATGCCTTCTCGGCTTCGGGCTGGTTGATTCGTTTATCTTCCCAGTCACGGGCCAGTCTCCCAGATCTGATGATTGTTGGAAGCTTGAGAGTCCTCCGATCCACATATGACGTCTTCTCCGGGATCCGGGAGCTGCAAACCAGACCCCTGTTCAAGCTCCTCCACCACACTATAATATGCCTGTTATGGCTCTTGTGTAACAGTACTGGCCCTACCATGACGTTAGCTAGCAAAAACCTCCCGTTATCCTACTGCCCATGTTCCTCGATGGGCTCTCATTGATTTGCGTGTCTGCATCGAAATATTTAATTGCTCAATTAGAAGAAGGGAGCAATCTTCCCAGGCTAGCCAGTGTCTGCAGCAAGGATCGACATATATACCTCGGCCAACGTAAGAGGCGGCGGACATTTGCTTGCTGATAGACTTAACACACGTTGTTCACGTCATCATTGCCTTGGGATGAGATCCACCGCATTCTAGGCTAGATAGGATGGGGGGTTGGTTGATTCGTCACATTTATCGTCAATCGTATATCGTCCAGCCTTGCAAAGCAGTGCAGAGGTAGTGTACATGTCCCATAATTCAATGTGCCCGACTCCAGCCCGCATGCGATGCAACAAGTCAAACACCTGCCCAAGACACCGTATTCACACAGTACGCCTTCTGCACCTCCGGGCCAACCCGCATCTCATGCCCAGATGATCAAGCCGCAACCAAATCGGGAGGGATGGGCGTGTCCCTATTTGTCCCCTGTCTTAGAAGACCGAGATCCACGGAGTCCAGCCACTTGGATCCCATCACCAACGCCCCACTGGTAGCGACCGGCGTGTCCACGTCCAGTTCCATCATGTCTGGGTCTAGCATGGCCTTGCCGTCAACCTCGGACAGCATGCTGCTGACGTCCGACATCTCAACGTCGGCCGACATGTCGAACACCGAGTCTTGACTCATGGCAGACTCGACGCTCGGCGTGGGAGGCTCTGCGGGCCAGGAAGACTCCGCAGCCAGGGTAGGGATATGCTCGATGGGGGCCGGTGGAGCAACCGCGGCCGGCGCGCTGAGTGAGATCACCCTAGCTGTCTTTTGCCGCCGTGGCCGAGGCGCCGGCACGGCAATGACAGGTACCACGGGCTCTGGCGCAGGAGACTCGGCAGGCTTCTCGGCCACTTTGGGAATTGCGACGTCATCTTCCTCCTCGTCCTGGCCAATGGTCCAAACCCAGCGCCGCTTCTTCTCCTTCTTCCGCTTTTTAACCCCTGCGGCCACAGGGGAGAGCAGCGACGACGTTCCCAGCCCAGCCATCCGGCGGCGCATCTCCTCAAACGGTCCTGGTGTCTGACCGCCATCCCGTGTCTCGTTGCCTGTGTATGCCATGGTGTGGTCAAGCACCGTCTCCGGGTCCTCCTCCGCGTTGCTAGGGGAGAAGGGAGAGGCATCATCGGACAGTAGGTCGACGTGCGACTTGACATACTTGTTCGTCGTGATGGTCTGCTCCAAGGGGCTGTTGTATGCCACTCTCTTCGCCGCCTTTTCCTGGAGACGCAGTGACCGCCTGCTTGGGGAGAGGGGTGACTTGGTGCTCAGCGGCGGAAGTGGCGAGTTCCGGAGGATGCTGTGGAGGCAACGTGGGTGGGTATAGGGAGGTTTGGCTAATGAAGCCGGCAAGGTGGTTCGCCGTTGCGGCGTCCCTGGCGATGGCGGGACGTGGATGCCAGCCCAAGGTCCGGCGGTATCCCTGGGCGAGAAGGAAAAGATGCGTGCCATGTTTGGGTCGGCAGGCCCGGCCGACAGCGGAGGTGTCGCCGTCATGGTGCTTGGGAAGTTCACGTCCCTCGAGACAGCGGGGGAGAGGGGCTGGGCTGTCAAGGGCGTATCTAGATAGGGTCCAAGGTAGGGAGACTGGTGCCGGCGCTCCTTGCCATCATTTTGAGGGGTCTGGAGGACCACCTTAGTTCTGATGGCTGTCACCGGTTCTTGCTGCTGGACCGGCGTGGAGCGGTCAATAGCGGTGACGTATACATTGGAGAGGGTATTGAACGAGGTAGGAGATGACGGATCAACCGAAGCGGCGAGGGTCCTCGACTTTCGGGCGCCTGCCCCTTTGGAGATGGCTTTGATCTGTAGAGATAGCCTTGGCCTCCTGGGAGGACTTGAGGACTCTGACATGGCAGCGACCTATCTGCGGCGAGGTATGTGTAGTGATGAGCCAGGATGAGATGATGCGGTATTATAAAACAGTATTGAGAGACCCTACGAGTGGAGAATGCAGAAGAAACCACCATCTGGTTGGTCTCGATCCTGAGAAGGAAAACTAGGTATTGAATGGACGGGAAACATGCGAAGGAGGAACATGGCTGCTATATAGAAACAAGCGGAAGAGCACGACTGGCGGCGGCAAGCAAGGCCGACTGGCAAGTCGAAGAAGGGGACGAACCGCCAAGGGTCGAGGGGCTAATGCGCGCTGCAGTTTCGGCGCACATATTAGACGCGATGAGAGAGGCTGGAAGCACCGGAGGATGGTTCGTCAGACGGAGGAGTGCTCTGTTGGAGGGCGGCAGCGGTCTAGGCTGAGACGATCATTGGATATAAAAAGAACCAAGCTAGTGATGCAAAGCAGGCAGTGGGCGCAAGCGCCGACTTCTTGGCCAATAGCCCTGCCGCATCCTCTGGTTTATGCGGCCAACTGGTAGCCAGTCACACCGCGCCTATCTTAGGTTCCTTTTGTCTCCGTCTGGGCCCAGACACCAGACGCCGTGCGGGGCCGGCGCAGCGTTGGGCACGAAATGAGTCGGGATCCTAAGGCGCGCTTATCCTCATGATCACGGCAATCATCGTGCTTTCCATGTTCGGACTCGGGACTAGAATCATTCTACCGCTAACCTGGGGTATATTTGGGAGGGGCTTGGGCTACTCGGATGACGATGGGCATCTCACCCCAGCCTCAAAAGCAGCAGGATTGGTGATGGCATGAGCCACGATGTCTACGCCAGGCCGCCAATTCCATTCCCGACCATGAAGCGATGTCCGTATGGTGATTGAACAAGTATGGGCCTGAATTTCCAGGCCTCTTTCGTGCTTAAAACGAATGGATTATGGCTTACCATGGCTTACCATGGCCCTATCGTAGATGTATCGTCGGTCGGTTAGGCATAAGCGATCTGGCCAAGCAACCGGGTTTCCTCTCCAAACAGGACCTGTTTTGATACGTTTCAATTAATCGGGCTCCTTGTTCAGCAGAGCGGGGCTGATGAACTATGCTCTCCTAAGAGACAAACGTACCTACTGCTACACGGTAGGTAACTTTTGACTAGGTAAACAGGGGATAATATGAAGAATAGGAAAAGAGAAGGAGAAACACAGCGTTACGGATCCGTACAGGTGTCTTGAAGCTTGCAGGTACGAATCCCTGAAATAGATACCGAGGTACCTATTTACCTCCACTCCCAATGCAATGGATCCCAGACACACGGACCATGTAAACGACCTTTTTTTAGTATACGGACGGACCAACCCCCCCGTCCCGGCTGGAAATGCCTCCGGCTTCCAGGCACCCGCAACAACCTCCAGGTATGCAACCAGTCTCCAATAACGCACAGAAGCCTCCAAGTCCGGCTCGGATGGCTGTTTTTAGCATGACGAGGATGCCTGGGGATGGATCACCCAAAGCTAAAGCGTCCTCGGCGGAGAGACGACATATCTATTCTTCATTTTGTGTGTATTGCCAATCGCTGAGCCCTCGCTGATCAAACTTATGCTGGTAGCCCGTTACTAACCACGCAGATCAGGATTATGACTGCTTCTATGCCCAGGTCATTGAGAATCAGCAGCCGTCCCTAAAAGCACTGCCACTTGGCATCAAACAAAAGGGCATCCTTGCCACTTGCAATTACGAAGCTCGGCGTCGAGGCGTCAAGAAGCTGATGCACATCTATGAGGCTACCAAGCTATGCCCCGAACTTGTTTTGGCAGATGGTGAGGACCTGTCCCCCTTCAGGGATGTCTCTAAGAAGCTGTACAACCTGCTGCAACCCTACTCTTGGAACAAGAAGATCGAGCGCCTGGGCCTGGATGAGGTATTCTTAGATGTCAGCGACATTGTCGCGTACAATGTCGAGCTTCTCAACTTCAATGCCCTCCAGCAGTCCTTCTTCTGTCTGTCCAAGGAAGACCCCGAGCATGGCTTCCGTTACGATGCCAGCGGAGTTTCTGGGTGTATGAGCGGCGAACCTCCGAGTCGGGATGACCCGAGCTTCGCGCAGTATTTGCGTGTCTTAGTAGCGTCCCATCTCGCTCGATACCTCCGTCTCAAAATTGAGGAGCAGGGATATACATCGGCCTGTGGTATCGCGTCGAATAAACTCCTGAGCAAGCTAGTCGGCAACCAGAATAAGCCCAGGAACCAGACCGCTCTCCTGGCCTTCCAGGAAGATGAGGTGCTGTCTTTCATGGACAAGCATAATCTTAGAAAGGTCCCAGGAATAGGGGCCAGGACCTCACGTCTCCTGGAAGGTCATGTGCTCTCCAAGGAGATAGATCCAAATATTTACACGATGGAATGTTCCGTCTCTGCCGGGCAAGTCCGGACACATCCGGGGATGTCTGCCCCGGCACTAGAAAGGCTACTTGGCGGGCCTGGATCTGAAAAGGGCATCGGCGAGAAGGTTTGGGGGCTCCTTCACGGCGTCGACAACGCCGAGGTCAAAACCGGCAGCGGCATACCCACCCAGATCAGCATCGAGGACACATACAAGGGGCTGAACGAGCTATCCGAGATCAACCGCGAGCTACGCCTGCTCTCGGCGTCCCTGCTGAGGAGGATGCACGTCGACCTCGTGGAGAACGACCCCGGCGGCGGCGGCGGCGCAGATAGCCCGGGGCGGAGGTGGGTCGCCCACCCCAAGACGATCCGCCTCACCACGCGGCCCAAGACGTCGCCGAGCGACGCCAAGCCGTACAACTGGGCGCGCACGAGCCGGAGCCAGCCCATGCCCAGCTTCGTCTTCGGGCCCCCGGCCGCAAGCGAGGACGTCGTCGAGAGGCTGGCGTCGGACGTGCTGCTGCCCATGTTCCACAAGCTCAACCCTGCGCAGCGCGGGTGGAATGTCGGGCTGATCAACGTGTGCGCCGCCAACATGGTGGTGACGGGGAACGACGGCGGCCTAGGCAGCGGTCGCGACATCTCGGCCATGTTCAGGAGGCAGGAGGACGTGCTTCGTGAGTGGACGGCCTACAGCGACGATCCGCCCCCGGACCGGGGCCGGGATCAGGGCTCACTCAGCTACGATGGAGAGATCATGGCATCTCACAACCAGGGCCCATCACGAGACTCTGCCGGTGATGTTGATGGAGGGGATGGCATGGATGAGGAGGATTCAGAGACCAAGACATGGGAGGAGGATAGTTGGCATGGCATGGAGGAGCATTGCTCTCAATGCGATCGATTGATACCTGTTTTCGCACTCATAGCCCACCAGAGATACCATGACACAGAATGCAATTGATCCCAAAATCGATATCCGTTACAACCCGTTGCAACCCGACCGTGCACATGTGGCTGTCAAACGAGTGGGGGTGCAGACAGCCTGGCGATCTGCAGCCTCGGCTTACCCCCTCATCGTTATTGTGAGGCTTGAAGCGGGGATCGACATGCGCGTAGATGTGAGGCCAACGGACTCCAGGACGGCGAAAGCCTCGGGAATTCGGGAATTGACGGGTATAATCTTCTGTCTACCTACCTACCTAATACAGCAACCAACGAGGCCTCTCGTTTTACATCATCCGGGCAATCCTCGCCCTATTCCGCCTCATCAGTCTAAGGCCATGCCCCAACACCCTTCCCCCCAATACCCCCTAGTCATGATTCCTGGACCTGTTTTTGCACCACCACGCCCGCGACATTACCATCCGTTGTGAAGACATCAGCCGCCCTGGCCATCCCATCCAACGAACGCCTTCCCCAAAAGCAAGAAGCCAGAAAATACCCCAGCCCTTCCGTGATTCGTTTCCCTTCCCAGTACAAAAAAAAGTAGAAAAAAAGGAGAGAAACGGGAAGGGGGATAAACTCCGACAAAAATAACAACAACAGTTATATAGTAGTTAACAGCCCTGGAGCTCGGCCAGCTGGGCCTTCAGTTGCTCGTTGCCCTTGAGCAAGTCTTCCAGCCACTCGGCGGACATGGTAAGCATCGTGCTCTTGCTGAAGCCACCCCCTTTCAGTCCCGGCACGATGTCGCACAGGTCATCGAACCCTTCCTTGATCAGGGTCCGCCTCTTCTGCTCACTTCTGATGTGATTCTCGCGCTTTTGCTCCTCCGTAAGGTTCTCTCTTGCCGCCTTTGATGCTGCGTTGGCGACGGATTTCCTCCTCCTGCCCGAACCGTCCCTGCTGGCCGGCGAGGTAGATGCTGGATAGTCGGCCTTGGGCCTCCGCTTCCGCGTAGCTTTGGATCCCGTGCCTGACGCGTCCTCATCCACATATTGCGACTCCTCTTTGGCCTTGCTCTTCCGCCTTTTCCTCGCCGGCGCGTCCATATCGTCCTCGTGTTTTATTTGGTCCCCGATCCTGGTTCTAAGCTTTGGCGGAGACAAGTCTCCGTTGCGTGTCGGGCTTGAAGGGCGCGAGTTCGCAGCGCTAGTGTTGACTTCCAGGCATCCCATGTACACAAGGCGTTCCTCCTCTAGGGCCTCAGAGGTCTCCTTTTCGGACTGGGGGACAAAATGCCGGCCAAAATTGGCATCTGAACCCCATTGTACATCCACCTGTTGATTTACTCGTGGCGGAATGGTGCCAGCCGGAGAGCCAAACATGATGCCCGCGAAGGCGTCATGCTCCGGGGGCAGGTGCCGCTGTGACATGCGTCGCCCATCCTCTCTGAAGTCTGCCATCGGTTGATGGCGGAGATGCCCAACGGGAGGCCCCATGGGAGGCCCGGTATTCCTGCTCGGAAACGCATGAGTGCGGCTGACGCTTCTGGCTCGCGATAGGGAACCGTTCTGGAGCAGGGTTGCGGCGGCGAGCACATCCGCAGAAGCCTGTTGCCCGAGCGACGGATGGGTCGTGGGAGGTGGAGGGGGAGGTGGAGGTGGCGCCATCATGGATGAAGATGGCGGAGGTATTAGGTCATGAAATCCGCCCGGCGGCAGGCCGTGTACTGGTGACTCGAGGGGCGCGCTCGGCTGCTGGCCGAACGAGGTTGCAGTCCCCATAAGCTGGGGTGGTAGAATCCAGTCCTCGGTGAAGTTCAGTCCTTCGCCCATCGCGTCATTGTTGTAGTTGTCCGAGGTTATATCCTCGAAGAAGGTGCTGAGCACCTTCTGCTCATTATCCGACAGGATTGGCTGTCCCGGAGGCGGCTCAGGAGGGTCGGAGAAGAAGTAGTCTTGCGATGTATCAAACGCATCTATGGTGGCCGTAGGTTAGACAGCGATCTTCTCCCTCGATGGACGGAAGACAAAGACTTACAGCCAAATGGCAGGTCGTCTGGCGGCTGCGTCGAACCCATTGTTCCGGTACGTTGTATGGCCAGCATCGATGCGACTTTTGCCTCCTATGGTTCGTAGCTGTTGGTTCTTCTCGGGTAGGAGGGCGCGGAAGCGTAGGCTAATTCCGACGTTGGCCTCGACCTTGGGCAAGAAGTTGGCCCTGAAAGAGCTTGTCCCGTTTCCTAACACAGAGCAGGCAGTGTCATGGACGCTCCTGGGCAAAGGAAGGCAGATTTCAGCAGGATCCGGTGGTCGCAAGCTGAAAGCGCTCTCCGGATGCCACCCTGGGCGCAGCGAGGCCCAGTGATATTGTCGAAGACGTCTGCTAGCTAGCCGGTTGGCGATGGGCGAAACCAGGACCGATAAGAGAAAAAGCACATGCAAAAGTGGCGGTAAGACAGTACCTATGCAGGACGGCAGGTCGCGGAGAGTGGGGAGGCGGCGATGCTGTTACTTTTATGTGCTAGATCTTGACCCAACCCGATGCGCTACTTGCAGTTTGATGGTCGCTTGGCCTGGAGTTGGGAGAGGCTGCCGCTTGAGTCGCCTGCAGGAGGATGGCTCAGAAGCATCGGGGATGTTGTACGCAGCTGCAACGAGCAGGACAGCGGTGATGTGGTGCAATAAATGACGGAACTAGTAGACAGGGTATACTACGAGTAAGGCCCGGGGCGTCACATATTTAGAGATGCGGGAGGAAATCGTGGAGGATTCTCCAAAAACGTCCATATCGCCCGGGCTTGGTGACAGTCAACAAAATCGCACCGAGCGATAAGTTCCAGGTTCTTAGCTGCAGTAATATCGCTGTAGTGCAGCGTTGGAGGTACTGGGAGATGGCTAGTCTGCTTTCGGCCAGAGGCACAGCATTTACCGCGAAAACTATTGGTCGAACGCTTGAGCTAGAGTCCCCGCTTGTCGACTACACTGTCTACTGCACCATCACATGCTCGTGAATCGGTCTCAATCAAGAAGCCTTGGTTAGCCGCCCCGCGTTCATTCCATCATCAGGGGGGTCAAAAGCTTGGCTTGCGACTAGGTTCTCAACTGTCCAACTATCCACTCCCGACATGAGCAAGGTTGAGGCAGGCCGCAGGTTTTGACCAAACAGTTGATGGGATGCAAATGCTTCCCAACCTTCGGTCGTGCAAGCAGCAATCCAAAGTTCTCCTATGTATACGTCGATGATCATCATCAACACGTTTTGACACAAGACCTAGACCAAAAGTACAGGGCCGCGTCCGCGTCCGGTGGGGCAGGAGAGTGGGTACTCACTCGAGGAACGCATTCGTAAACCAAGGAGACTTGGAATTTGATTACTTGCTATGTAACTGCTGCCCAGCACCGAAAACAGACACAAGCCCGGAATAAAAGTTGCGAGGGGTCTACTATCTAGTGCGTTTCCAAGACCCTCCCCATTTCCGAGCTTCTATAACGGGGCATTTACCACCCATACTAGGTAGGTAGGTACCTACCACCCACTGAGCATCGATGTGGAGTCGGTGCATCCCCAGATTGCCGAGATCCATCCATGAGTTCCAGAATCCAGAACGATCTGTCGTATTACTGCCCTGTTTGTTTGTTTTCTCCTCTACTTCTGCAGACAATCAGGGGCAATGTATGGTCACGTTTCTATGTCTCTCCGGCCTTCTCCTTACCTTGTATAGACGCGCTGACGCGCTCTTCCCCCCAAATAAGATACCAGTAAATTGCTGTATGTATCCTCCCGTTCTGGCGTTGCCTGGGACGAGAGCCCGCCTTAGAAGGCTCGATCGATCAACTGAAACTAAGCCATCCATCATCACACACAGAATAGAACGGCTCTACCCGGCACGTTCGTACAACCCAGTTTCCAGTCCTTTGCACCGGAAAGGGCGCTTTATGGCTTGCTTGCTTTGCCCCAGAATTACCTCTATAGAGTCTAGCTCCGTGAAACCCCATTTCTCACGGAGGTGATCTCAATTCGTAAACCAGCCTCCCAACGCTGATTTCCATCTCTGGGGCTTCACAGACAGCGGCAGAAGTGGTTACCGGCCTAGGACAGCCGAGACCCCTCACCCATTGCTGCCGTAACAGCCATGACATCGTCGATGCTCCCTTCTAGGATGCCTGTCTTCCCCCCCGCCCTCCGTGCCCAGAGGGTCCGGCAACGATGGGATAGCAGCATACCAACACCGCTTCGACCTCTAGCCCGCGCCTACTTGTTGGCCTATGTATCTGTCGTTGCACCAAGGATCGTGTCATTGCTAGCCCGTCGGTTGGCGAGAGCGTATCAACGCACTGCAAAGGCAGCAGATCGGGGCCCGCAGGCTCCATTCTTAGTATCCCTGAGGCGTATCCTCAGCGACGCCCTCCATTGGCAACGTTTTCCCACCTTCTGTGCCGTCTTGATTGGCGGGAGCACCTGGCTGGAGGTATGTCACTCCCACGAGTTGCCCTCGCATGGTTCCATGTCCCTCGATCTCTCGTGGGCAAGTACTGATTTCGTATGACATGTCAAGGCTCCCCTCCAGAAGGTCTTCTCCCTGTTGACCGAGAGTCTCTCCGATGTGTCACGCAGAAGGTCAGTCTTGTAATCCTAGCCCTTCAGAGCCCTCGGTTCGGTTGGCTAACGTATGCAAAACCCAGACTCGCAAGATGGTGCGCCTCGTTCATCGCTGCCTGGTTTGGCCTGCGGCTCCTGCAGTCCAGAAAGAGTGCGAGCTTTTCCGAGACTGTGGTTGTCAAGTCGGATACTCCGCCCGGAGCCAAGGCCCAGACCGTCAGGTACGGCGGCCGAACCCTGGACCTGTCTCTCTTCGCCGCAACCCGAGCCTTGGATGTCGTAGTGGGCGAGCTCTGGTCCCGCCGTCGAGCCAGGCGGAGAGCGGCCGGGACGTGGACCAAGGTCGAGACGGCCATCTCCCGCCTCACCGACCCGGGCGTGTTTGCGTTGTCCAGTGGGCTGGTCATGTGGGCTTGGTTCTACAGCCCGGAGCGTCTACCTTACACATATAACAAGTGGATTTCTTCGGCAGCTGCCGTCGACTCCCGTCTTATCGAGGCTCTCCGTCGTTGCAAGACAGGCGAGTTGCGATACGGCGAGGACACCGGCCAGGCTCCCCTTCTGCAGGGCATGTGTGCCGATCACAAATGGCCACTAGCTTGGGGAGATCCGGCCAAGGCAATCCCATTCCCCTGCGAGATGGTTCACATGGGATGCGGACCCTCCTGTGAGGTCCATGCCATTTCCCGATTTGGACGTTCCTTCCTCTGGGCCATGGGGACTTATCTACCCCTGAACCTGCTCCTCGTTATGCGGAGTCCGAACAGAAAGGGTCTCGCAAGGGCATTGTTCTCGGCCGTAAGATCCTCGACCTTCCTAGGCACCTTCATTACTCTCTTCTACTACGGCGTGTGTCTGGCTCGGACAAGGGTCGGCCCCCTTGTCCTGGGGAAGAAGACTCCGTCGAGGCAGAAGATCGACAGCGGCATATGTGTGGGGTCCGGATGTCTCCTCTGTGGCTGGAGCATCCTAATCGAATATGCCAATCGGAGAAAGGACATGGCCCTCTTCGTTGCGCCTCGGGCTCTGGCGACACTCCTACCCCGGCGGTACCCCTTGGATAAGCAGTGGCGCGAAACCCTCGTCTTTGCTTTCAGTACCGCAATCGTGTTCACTTGCGTTCGAGAGAACAAGGGACGTGTCCGCGGCGTTATGGGGAACGTCCTGGGAACCGTCTTGGAGGCCTAACTTCGACCTTGATTTCGGGGTGTATGAACTGCCTCGTGTGTTCCTGGACTTTTTGCAAGAACACAGATGGTTGGCTCCGGCCTTGGCAGGACGTCACATTTGAAGACAGCCTTTTTGATGAGATGGGCGGCCCATGCATTTGGGGTTGCACAACTCCTGCTTTGGGATGTGGGATGTCTTCATATGGAGAGGAACATGTTGCCAGCACGCGGAGATCTATCGATTGTCTCGCACATCGGGTTTATAGATAAGAAGATTCACTGTATATTAGATTGGTAATTGAAGAGCATATCTAATTCATAGCAAGAAACTTGTGTCATTTGCACATTGGGTTCAAGCATACGAGCGATGGGTGAGGGATCTTCCTGTCACTTCCTTCCCTCACACGACCGGGAAGGTCGATGGATGTGGCTGCCGTTATTTATTTAACTTATTGCTGGGAGATTCAACAACCACCTACCTAACAGGATTTCCGCACTTTGAACCACAAGGAATGTCTCTATATAGTAACCTCACTACGACGCACACTCCACTAAGGCCTACATGCGTATGTCTTAGCACTTATTTGCCCCCGTTCCCCTTAAAACCAATACTGTCTAGGATGGGTTGTTGCTACCGTGTAACTCGACGAGGTCGGGATCCACGACAAAGCCGTTCTGGGCCCTCGGGGTCAGCCATATCAGGTTTAACGTGGGAGAAATCACGAACCCGGCGGGGATCTCAGAGACCTGATATGCATGTCCTTCTATTCCAGCCACGATTCCTTGCCTGGGCACACTTTCTGGCTGCTTGTGCTCCCCAGCTATGCACCTTAGACACGACTTGGTCCTGCATGGGGAGGATACCACCAGGACAACCCCCTCCTCCCTCCGCATCTCAACTAGGCTCCGGAACTGGGGAATGAAGCAGTGTGAGGGTGTACTGTACCGTCGGGATCGTGCTACGTGACTGTCACAAGTCCGCTCGTGGGATAACGCTGATAGGATGGTTTACGTCCACCGTAGGACCAGGCGGGGCGACACAGGGGGTTGTCCTTAAAGCGACTGCCACCAACAAAGACCAAGTAGGGAGGGAACAGAGCCTCACTACGTCGCTGCTTCATAGGCTGAGAAAAGGTCAATAAACTTGCTTCTCCATGGCATCGAACGACGTTGCGGGCTAGGTCAAGGCTGCGGACAGCTTGCGAGGATATAACCTTGCTGAAGGGGTTACTTGTAATGGGAGGTTACTGTCTTGACGAACTTGCAGTACACACTGCAGTATGAGTAGATGCCGAGGAAGGTCTCTCGCAGGATAGTTGTGGCTTCGGAGCTACGCGAATCCTTACCAGATGTCCAAGAAACTATTAGGAGAGCGAGTAAGAAAGCGGTTAGTGTTCAATTGTATGAACCATTCCAGTATTACTATGATGAGCTTGCCAAAAAAAAAGAGAGAAACAACCTGCAAGTGAGACGCCATCGCACCACATTATCCAAACCATCATACCGCCCTAGCCTAGGCGCACACGCCCAGCACAAAGATGCAGACCAGAATATCCGACTTGACCGTGCTGAACATCTGCCCATACCTCAGCCCGGTCTCCAAGTACCCCTTAAGCGGTACCGGCAGGAACCCCGCGAGGCTCCACAGCGCCCCGCCCGGCGGCGCCCTAGAGCGGTCGAGGAAGAACCTCGTCGTCAGCAGGACCGTCTCCGCCGTCGCAAACGCCCAGAAGAAGAACCTCGGATCGGGCGCTCCTCCGTCCGCCCAGCTGCCGCCGCCGCCGCCATCCTTCCTTTCGCCGGCCGACGCCGCTGCCGGCAGCCCCGAGTGGTCCCTCTCCAGCTTCGTCCCGCTAAACGGCGTCCAGAGCGCAATGTAGAGCCCCAGCCCCAGCGCGACCGCCGTGTGCAGCAGCCGCCAGAGTGCAGAGTACCGGTCCGGCACGACGGCCTGCTGCTGTTGCTGCTGCGGGCCGCCGAACGGGCTGGCGCCCGGGGGCGGGAAACCGCCTGGCCCGCCGGGCCCGCCGGCCATCATCTGCTGGAGGAGCTTCATCATCGGGTCCTCGCCCGCGCCGGCGGCACCCGGACCCATACCCATACCCATACCCATACCCGGACCCGCACCTACGCCGGGCGCCTCGAACCCGAGCATCATCTGCCGCAGCTGGGCCTCCGACACGCCCGCCGGGTCGAAGGGGGCCGCCCCGGGGCTCGGGGCCGCCGACGTCCGCGGGGCGTAGTAGTGCTGCGATATGTCCACCTCCTCCGGGTCGGCGTGCTCGGTGTTCGTCGCTCGCGGCGCGCCACCGCCGCCGCCGCTCGTTGCGTCCTCGGAGGGCATGGGCGCGGGGTCTGGTGCGGGTTGAGACTGCTTAGCTTCCTGCCCCCTTGGATAGATGACCGGGGGGGGGGAGGAGGAGGAGGAGGAGCACCCCTGTTTTCCTCTTCTCTACTCACCTCTTTGGATACCGCCGCCGAGCCCGGTGATCCGATTCAGACGGGCGGCGCCCCCGGCCTTGATCTTTGCCTCGCGGCGTTCCTTGCGCAGCCGCGCTTGCTCTGCCGCCCTGGCGGCTGCGGCATCGTCGCTGCTTGTGGATGCGCCTTCTGTCATGTTTGGGACCCGTTTCAAGGGTTGTCGTTCCGTCGTGGGGATTTTCGAAGGATGTAGGTTGTGACCTTGGCAAGCCTGTGAGGCTGTGAGGCTACATAGGTGCAGTACCTTGGGGAGTGTCGTAGAAAATGCTTATCTTATCAGTCACCCATGCTCTGCTGTGGATGCTATGGAGACCAGCCATTCACGTGCTTTCCTTTCAGAGTTGGCGGAAGCTTGCAGCAGCTTCCATGTCTAAAGACTACATTCAATGTAACTGTAAATTGGAAATACCAAGTCTACCGTTAGTTTGCCTATTATTCCAGCAAGCGATGACTATGAGGAATCCAGGACGGGAAGTGGATGAGCCAAGGCCAGCATCATGAATACAGCAGGAGATGGATACTATTGGGATGTGGAATATGGGAATCACTGTGTTCTGTGCTAAACATCTCGCAATCGCTCTACTCTGATACATTGATACTTTTTACTGCCTTTAGTTGGCGGCTGTCACGTCCGATCCACTGTGATTTTGGACATCCAGCATATCGATGCCTCAGGGAGTGGCCTTGCTCATGGCGACAAGGCGTTTGATTCCGACCTACAGTTTTCTAGGTTAGCAATGCAATGACGACCATCAAAGAAGGACACCTTACCATCCAGTTGCCACATTCGTCCGTCTTGTCTCGCTGAATCTCAACCTGCAGTCTTTGGGCGACGTCGTAATTCTTGGACTCGAGCGCCTCGCCGAGTTGAGATAGTTGTCCAATCGTATCTTCTTTGACCAGCTCGGAATTGTTGAGGTGATCAAAGAGGAGGCCAAGGCGTTTTTGTGTATCCTTGACCTGCTGTGCGAATGATGCCGGAGCCTTCGACGCTACGCGCTGCATATCGCGCTCGAGTATCTCCACTAGTCGCTGAGCGCTGGCCGGGATGTGGGACCTGTCACCTTGAGGGTGTCTGGCTTTGGGAGGTGCTGTAGCTCGCGGTGGCGGCGGCGTCGGCGCTGGTTTAGTGGTCGCTGGGGGTCCTGTGTATTGTGGTGGTGGTGCTACTGCCGGCCGACCCATCTGAGGGGCGGCCTCGAACGAGGCCGGCGCATACTGACTGGAGGCTTGGGTGGTTTGGGGAGCAGGAGCATATGGACTTTGTGGCGGTGGTCGAGTGTTACCTGGTGGAGGCGCAAGCGGTATCCCGGGAGAAGGTTGGTTGAACTGCTGGGGCGCCGGTGACGGCGCATACCTGCTCGTGGGCGGAGGGCCTGAAGGGGCTGCATTGTAAGGCGACGCTGTCCGTGGCACGACCTGGGGCATCATAGAAGTGCCACCTTGCGGCGGTGGAGGTGCGTAAGCATTGGTAGCTGCCGAAGGTGGTCTTGCAGGCTGGTAGCCCGCTTGTGGCGGCCCTGACAGTTGGGGGGAGAGCATCCGGGGCGGGGCCGACCCTTTCGGAGGGGGTGGAGGGGGCGTTGCAGTGCTCCGCGGCCCCTGTTGAAAGGCACCGGATGGAGGTGGCGATGCCAAGTTGGGCTGGTTGGGGAACGGCGATGTGATTGGGGCAACCTTTGGTGTTTGCTTGCGAGTTGGCGGCTTAACCACCATGGGAACGTCATTCCAGTCGCTGACATCCTTGGGCTTGAAAGGAGGCGGAGGAGGGGCCGACCCTCGCTGATTGCCCCCTGGTGGTGCGCCGTAAGGTGTTGGCTGGCCGTAACCTAGCGGGGGACCATAGCTTCCAACCGATGGGGGAGTCTGCATGTAGCCCTGCTGCCCCTGAGGAGCATAGGGAGATGCTCCCACGGGCTGATACGGCATAGCCCCAGCGGGCGCATAGGGATTGTTCGCAGCGGGCACCGATGATTGCTGCGTTGGTGCCGCATAGGGATTTAAAGGACTCGCGCTGGGAGCCGGGGCCGAAGCTTGATATGGCTGTTGACGAGAAGCCGCTCTGGCGGTGGACGCGGGTTGGCGAGCCGCACCGTGAGGAGTAGCTCTCTGAGTCGCAAGTCTGATGCGGCTCCTTGCAACCTCCGCAGCAGGGTATTGTGTCGGAAGAAGATCGAGATACTTCTGCGCAATGGCGAGCTGACCATGGGCAGCCACTATATCAGCATACTCGGTGTACTTGTCATACAACGCGGCAAGCTTCCACCCAGAGGCCAACTCCTTCTCCGAGTCGGCATATTTGGTGACGTGTCGGAAGACGGTGACCTTCTCGATAAAGTGCTGCAGTGACCTGGCATGAACGGAGAAGGTCGAATCGTCAGCAGACTCCTTCATACCGGCCAGCTCCGCTTCCTTTAGCTCTTCAACCCAGATGCCCACGACTTTATCGAGCTTGGAGCCAACAATGTAGCAAAAGCAGGCATCCGTTCTAGACCCCGATTCAATGATCCGGTCACCAAGACCTTCGCAAAGATCGGGAAATTCCGAGGGGTCGGCAAAGGTGCAGAGAGTTACCATGGTCTCCTTCCAGTTTGCTAGATCCGCATTATACACCACGTCCCAGAGATTATTGGAAACGACCGAGGTGAGGAGGCGCAGATAGCTCGGGCTACCCTTCTTCTTCGCCAGATACGCAGCCTGAACCTTGTCGAGCAGGTCCTTCCCACCGCAGTTGCCGATGACGAAGGCATCGGCCATTCTGTCCTCTTGCAGGCAAATCTCGGCGGCCTTCTCGAAATTACCGACCACCAGAGCCTTTGTGATCTGGTCTTCAAGAGCAGTATTCCCCTCGCTGAGCAAGTGGAAAGGATCATCTGTCTTGGCTCCTTTATTTGCCGTCAAGTCGGACAGGAAGTCTTCTGTGTCTTCACCATCCGCCCACAGACTGGACAGGCGTTTCTTGTGTCCTCCCATGCCGTTAGCCTGGGTTGGGGCAGACAGTCCCTCATCCTTCTGTTCTGTGGATGCCGCAGTCTCGTCCTCGGCTCCGGCCACTGTTTCTTCTTTGCCAAAACCAAGATGCTCTACGATCTTGGCCCGGCCGTCGGCGCCATCAAGGCTTTGGAGGATTTGCCATGCTGCCTTGTCTTCCTCGGTCTTGGACTGCTCCACATGAGATTGGCAGATGCTGGAAATGTCCCCAGCTTTCAATGCTTCGTCGAATTTTTCAGTTGCGGATCCAATGTCGGAATCAACAGAGAATTGCGAGATCTGGATCCGGGACGACCTGCGTTGACCGGGGCTTGTCTGATTCTTCCCAAATATGACCAGCTTTCCGCCATAACCAAAGGAGACTCCCACCGGTCTCTCGTACCAGGACGGCGCCTTTCCCAAGGAAAAGGAGGCCCCCTGAGGCTGGGTCTGAGCCTTGGTGAAGAAATCCTCCCCATCAAGGCCGCTCTGAGTGGAAGCCTGCGCAGCAGAGGGGTTGGTGTTCTGCAGCGTCTGCACGGTGATCTTGCCGTCGAAGGAGGCCGTAGCCGACAAGTCGGGGTTGCTAGGATTGAACCTGGTCAGGAATGTCCAGTTCGTAACCTCGGGGAACTCTCCATAACGCTCGCCAGTCTGGGGATTCCAGATCAGGGTCCGGTTGTCTTTGCCGCAAGAGATCAACAAGTCGGGATCTTGCTGACACCATGAGAGAGACAGGACTCCTTGGTCATGACCTTGCAGAGTCCGTTCTGGGGCGTTCGAGTTCCTGAGATCCCACAGGAGAATGACAGGAGTGGTGTCATCAGGTGTGGCCGTCAGGAGCTTGGTGGAATTGTTGGGATCCCACGCAATGGCGCTCACGGGCTTTCGGTTGTTGTTCAAGGTCAAGGAAGCCTTTTTTGTCTTGAGATCCCAAACCGTGACAAACCCACCGGCGGCGCCGGTCGCAAGGATGTTTGGCACTTTTCTGTTCCAGGCAATGCACTCGATATCGTCAGAACGAGCTGCGGCGGTACCGAGGCGAAAAGGCGTCGATACGTCGTCGACGTCGTACACGAACAGCTCGCCTTTGGCGCCCGCAGTCGCCAAAAGCTGGGGCTTTATGGGGTTGAATTGTAAAGACTTGATGGCGCCGGTATGTTTGGTGGTGCGCGACATGAACGCGTCCGAAGCTCCGGCAATCAGCTTCTCGGCGTCCCATAGGTCGAGGGAGCCATTCTCCAAGGCACCGGCGATGATTCCTCGGGGGTGCTCGGCATTCGGGGGGCCCCAGGCGATATCGTAGAATCTAAGGAGAGGCTATTTGAGCATGGCATTCATGGGTGCGAACACGAGAATGAAGTAATAGCTACCTCGAGTCGGTGACAATGCTTGCAATGGGCTGGAGTTCCAAGCCCTGTTCCAGGCTATCGAGGTTGAGGTCCCACAGCTCGAGAGTTGTCTCGTCCGAGAAGTCGGCATCGACAGCTCCTGCACGAGTCCCCGTTACGAGCAGTGGTTTGGCACTGCCTGGCGACCACGCAAAGGCGGCAGTCCGGGGGATTTCCCTTAATCGGACCATGATGGTTGTTGGTCCTCACTTTCACGATGTTGTTGACGTATGCCAATTTTGGGTGACGGAGAAGGGAACAATTGGGCAGGAAAGATTTCAAATGCACTTCAATAACAGCCCGCAACCCTTCCGCAAGTCAATAAAAAAGAAGCTGAAGGGAGGGCTGGTCCTTTGGTGGTGGAATTTTAAGGATCAAAAGGAGAGAGTACAAGTTGCCAGATATGCTGCCCCTGCCACCACAGCTCCTTGGTCAAAAATAGTCAGGAGCCATGGATGCCTCAGCTACTCCATGTCAGCACCCCCTAGTGTGAGCGTACAAAAGATACTTGGAACTTGGGGGAGTCCCCAGTTTGGGTGGGCGTAATTTCTTGTACTGCCGCCGCAAAACTTCACGTGATTATTCCCGTACTCGGCCAATGTCGTTTCCTGGTTCTTCGCCTCAACGCGCCCCCCACTACCAGTATTCCTGCTCCAAAGCTTGCTAGTCAGCTCTAACCAAGTCGAATATATTGAAATATTGAGGACGTAGGGCCGGTCATCTGGAAATGACAGACTCGGCTCGGTGGAAGGCCACGGTCTATGTGGGCGGATTGGCTTCACTTGTCACGACAACCAGTTTACATGATGCCTTCATACCATTCGGTGAGATCGCAGATGTATCTTTGCCTAAGAATGAGAACCCAAAGACCACCGACCTTCACCGAGGGTTCGCCTACGTCGAGTATGAGGATGCCGAGGACGCCAAAGAAGCCATCGACAATATGGACCAGGCCGAGTTCTTTGGTCGGGTGATCAAGGTGTCGGCAGCTAAAGCACCGAAGAGCGCGGATGAGGGACTGGGAAGCAAGACGGCCGTCTGGCAACAGGTTAGGTGCAAAGCCCAGACACTATTGACACGGCTTGCTGACAGGCACACAGGAAGGATGGCTCGCCGAAAATGCCGTTAGCGAAGAGGACCGCATGGCAGGCGATCAAGCACAGGCGGTTGGAGGCGCGAGGCCGGGAGACCCCATGCAGGGACTTGAGGGCCTGGATGTGGCAGGTCCTAAGCCAGAGTAAGGGAGTAATGGAGTTGAGCCATTTTTTGGGGGGGGGGATCCCAGGGTGGTTTTCTAGCATGACAGCGGCGTTATGGTGAAAAGTTTTGGCCAAGTTTTGAAACATCAAAGCCATCAGGGAAAATGGAATCCTCGGTCCAGTGCGTACGGCTGTATTCTGAACATCATGTACAAATATTCTCTCTCAAGTGTGAACGCCAGCCCCTTGTCTTCGTCTCGCCGATTTCAATATCAATGATGTTCCGCATTGTCTGCGGCGCGGTTCTGGCGCTTGAGACGCATGGTCTTGTCGGTAAGGAAGTGGCGGAGGCTCGAGTAGCTGGCAGCGCCGAGAGCGAAGATCACGACGACACCTAGTGGTCATTGTTAGTTGATTCGGCATTCCTTTCATCTGGGGGCGCTCACCAAGAGGCAAAAGCTCGGGCGGGATCCTTCGGAGGCGCCGCAGACGTTGGGAGACGGTATGAGCTATTGGGAGACGTATATCAGCACCGAGATCCCGAATGAACACTTGAACATGAGAGAGCAATGGCATATATAGCTCCTAGGAGTGGTGCGGGCTGTCAATGCCCCCTCCAAAACATACCAGCCTGCTCTTCCTTCTGCAAAGCTAGTTAGCGGGATGTATGACGAAAGCGAGCTTCGTGGTTATGCAACTCACAGGTACGGGCCGCATCATGCGAGCCGTAGGGCGGAACATTCTGAGGGATCGCGTGGCATACATCCTGCCGGTTTTGAATGGAGATGAATGTGACTTGAGCTGTGTTGAACGTTGGTCGAGCTTTCAAGTCCACAATTGAAGGGAGTTGAGTTGCGGGTTGTCGGCTAGAGGAGCATTGGTTGATCCGCTAAAGCTTCCAATTGAAATCAGGCCATTTCAGGTTTTTGGTGCTTTTGGACCGGGGGTTTCGGCTCTTGGGCCTTAGAGTTCAGGCATTCCAGTGCCGCCCGCCCCATAATCATCTGCTTCCGAAAGCTCCTTAGCTGGGACCTCAAAAGTGACATACACGAGCTCTTTTGTTCGCCGATATCCCTCCACCGTCAGCCATTGACCCGACCGCACCTCCCCAATTTCAGAGATAATCTTCTCAGTAGCCAAGATGTCTGACGAGGAGCGCGTTACGAAGCCGTTCAAGTTCGTTACAGGTATGACGAGACTCCAAACTGCGCCTGGGAAAATCGCATGATTTTCGATCAAATGCTAACGTTCTGTCCAGCTGGTACGGAGCACCCAAACCCTCACTTCGTCTCCCCTTCAACATAATACATGGATCAATTGGCGGGCCCAGAGCACGCTAGCAGCCACCCTCTCCTTCAATAGCCACCGCAACCGTTCCAATTGAGTCGACAAGGATAGCTCTGACCTCCCACATTGCAGGAACCGATGCTCGATTCCCGAACATGAACCAGACCAAGCACTGCTGGCAAAACTACGTCGACTGTGAGGAAACCCCGGAGCGAAAGCGACATGGGTTGTATCTGAGGGGCTCGGAGAGATGGCTGAAGAGAAGCGGGTTGTTCGACTTCTCTCTAGCCATATCCCGAGACCCCTCTACGGCTGCTTGCAGAGGCACATGTACTGACGAAGGAATCTTTGTAGACCACAAGTGCATTCTCGCCAAGGGCGAGGACTTCGCTCCTTGCAAACAGTTCTGGCTCGCCTACCGATCCCTGTGCCCCAGCGGTTGGTATCAGCGATGGGATGACCAACGAGGTGCGCAATTTTATTCTATGGGATAGGCCTGATTGCCCTTACTGACATCTTGACAGAGGCTGGTAACTTCCCTGCTCGCCTGGAGTAAGCGGCTGTGACAGGAAAACGGATATTAGAGGTTTGGGATCACTCGAGCTTGTTGTACTAGGACTATCGTAGCACCTGGGGAATGCACGCAGAGCAGCTAAGATGACGTTGTACTTTATCGTCTGACTTGCCCCGTAACGTTGTCGACTCCTTGAATAGCAGATGTCGGCGGTGATTTTATTTACTGGATACACTTTTGCAACCGCCTCTCCAGTGGTAAATACTGTGGGATAGAATGCCCCTTTGCTTGACCGGACTGAAGTCTCACCCAGACGCCAAAAGATAACCCTTGCTCGATGGTGCAAACTCCCTCGCGTCAGAAACTCCCGTTGTAGAAAGAAATGATACAATATCCCATGAACACCAGACGGACTGATAATATGATTATGACCCTCTCATGCCTTTGCTGACTCATCCTCGCTCTCACTATCAGAACTCATAAACTCGTCGTCTTCATCAAAACCAAAGAATGTCCTCGCACTCCCCTTTCCTTTCTGCTCTGGCTCAGACAACGGCGTTGTCTCTTTGGAGCTGCTCCCCTCGGCTTGTTGTTCGTCGCCGGCAAAGGACTCGCCGCTCTCCGCGGTGGACGTCGATCCTTGAGATGTGCTGAGCAAGTTGTCCTTGTAATTGCCGGCTTTCATGGCAGCAAGGACTGCGTCCCGCGTACGCTCGCCAGCCTCCTCCTTGTCCTCGACCCACTTGCCATCGAGATTTCCTCGTTTGCCGAATTTGATCTCCTCCTGCTTTTTCTCCGCCATCTCGACAATCTGCTCCCATCGTTGCCGTCGCTTCTCCTTCTCTTTCCGCTCCATATCCGGCTTGATGGCTAGGTATTCGGCTAGGGCTTTGGCCTCGGTGACGGTGCGGATCCGCCTTCCGTCCAGGTTCCTGCTCGAGCCGTTGTCTTCTCCCTGGTTCTTCTTGCGCTTGGAGCTCATGCGCCCACCGGCAGCACGAAGTTGTGATCCGAAGCCTCCCTTGCCACCGTAAACGGGAACCGTGAGGCGAAGGGAAAGAAAGTCATCTTCTAGGCCGGAGAGTAGTTCGGAAACGGGTTGCGGAGAATCCAACGATAGTTGCTTGTTGGAAACGGTAGTCAGGATCAGGCGCATGCGTATGTCTGGCAGGTACTCATCGAGCTCTTCGCGCAGCTCAGATAGAGAAGTTGACGGTGCTACAGCCATCGATAGCGTTGATGGTAGGCCCAGCCCGCTGGCGCCGGAGACGAGAACGTTGATACGGCTTGCTGCCATCTTGTACAAACCGTAGGGTAGCCCGTATAAAATATTCCTGAGCTTTCAGCGACGATAGCTAGTCAGCTGAATAACTGCCTTGATGGGTAAGTCAGTGGTGAAGACAGATGCAAGTGATACTATCGAGAGGCCCGTGATAATTTGCTAGGCTATAGCTGGGGTGCTGGGCGAGGGGCAAATTGTAGCCTTGGAGAACCTCGTTGTCGTCCAGCCACAATGAAAGTTATGGAGACCACCCCAGCCACTTTTTGAAAGTCCAGCTGTGGCTGTGCAGCCCCACCCCCGGCTATGGCCGCCCTAGGGCAGGTAATTCTTTGCGCACACCTTAAATTATACTCGAAATCTTTCCGAACCTACGTCCTAACGAGTCGACACAACCACACCTCAGCATCTTAACTGAGCAAATCCGCCAAGATGTTGATTCCCAAGGCTGATCGTAAGAAGATCCATGAGGTACGTTTCTCGTGCGGGCAGATGGGTGCCCTTTCCTTCTCTGGCCACCAGCACGCCAAATACGATTGAAGAACTCCACGCCAAAGCTTCCCCTCTGGCTCTCGTCGAAAATTCCCAATTCCGGGCCTCTGAGCCTACGACTCTCGAGATATCCGTGGCCCATGCTTCACGTCAATTCACGGGCTTCGTCCTCCGCTCGAGAACCACCATTCCCACCCCACATCGCTGCCAGAGCATGCACGAGAGAAATGTTCAAACGCATCGAGAAGGCTGACCGTTGTACCACAGTCCCTCTTCCGGGAGGGAGTTCTCACTGCCGAGAAGAACTACGAGATCGACCACGCCGGCATCGAGACGAAGAACCTCTGGGTCATCAAGGCGATGCAGTCGCTGGACAGCCGTGGCTACGTCAAGACCAGGTACTCGTGGCGCAACTTCTACTACACGGTGAGCATCCTCGGGGTGGTGGAGATGAAAATGGGGAAGGGAGACTGATGGAGGTTTCTTTTTTTTGCAGCTCACCCCTGAGGGTCTGGACTACCTCCGAGAGTGGCTCCATCTCCCCGCCGAGATTGTTCCCGCCACACACATCAAGCAGCAGCGATCGCATGCTCCCCCGCGTGGCATGATGGGCGAGGAGCGTGGCGACCGTGGCGGCGAGCGCAGGTTCGGCGGCGGCCGTGGCCGTGGTGACCGCGACCGAGGTGACCGAGGTGACCGCGACGGCGGCTACCGAAGACGGGATGCCGGCGAGGGCAAGGAGGGTGGTGCCCCTGGCGAGTTCGCTCCCAAATTGTAAGCATTCTGGGCCGATGATCTGGTCCCCCCCCCCGGTTTCATAAGGGACGGGGCATGCTAACTCGGAAAACAGCCGTGGTGGCTTTGGCCGTGGCCGTGAAGGAGCTCCCCCATCTTAATGGAGGCAGTAGGAAGGCGGAATGAGGCTCTTTCCTTGCTTGGACTGGCACTTATGATAGGACGGCACGTGTACTCTAATTCAAGAGTCGAGGGCCGACTAGCAACGCACCTACTCGCGTAGATCATAGCCGTAGGGGCTTGCGTGAGGAGTTCGGTGGTTAGAGTTTATTCGGAAAACTCGTGCATTCAGGGACATCATTTTGCGGACAACATGCTATTTGGTCTCTCTCAACCCCGTTGCAAAAAAGTTCGATAGGTGAACGATGTCCATCCAAAACACCAAAATAGAGTCATGAGTAGCCTTTGATGGGATCCTAGTCGATACGTAGGAAAGGTGGGTTAACGCCAATCGGCCAACAGATCTCTCTCCAGTTCGTGTTGACAAAGACTTGATGTTGAGGAAGGTTGTCTCGACCAATTGAGTGAGCACCATGGATCTAGGAATACATGGGACAGTTCCGCGGGGGTTGTCATATCGGGCTGTTGGTTGTACAGCTCACTCGCAGCGTTTCTTTCCTTGTTTTTCCTTCTTTAGTTTACCCCTTGCTCGACCTCGCTGTTGCTGATCCCCCCGCCCCCAACCCTCCAACGTTTCTTATCCTCCCCGAGCTTATGCTCGATGAGGATCCTTCCTTTCTCAGATGCTTGCTTTTGGTGAAGTTTTTCCTTAGCAATCTGGGGACCTGCGTACGGTCGTTATTGTGTGTCACACCGTCCAAGGACCGCCGCTCCGTGGTTTGACCCTCGAACAAGCGGTATGGGATGGTCGGCTCCCCCTCACCTCACTGAGCTTCCTCAACCCTGAGCGGTTCTGTGCCTTCTCCAAATCCAGGGCTTGGCATCTTTGATTTGCTGCGTCGGCATGGTATCCGGGTGGACCTCGAAACCATCCGAGTTCTCAATAACCACGGCTAAGATTGTGATCTCTGCTTGGCTACAGCCAACCTTAGCTGGCGCCTCACAGGCTGCATGATGACTGTAAGTCCAAGTAGTGCCATGCGGAACCTCACCTCAACACTCCAAGGTAATTAGTTTCTACATAAAGGGAGCTCTACTGTCTTAGCTCTATTTTCCATTTAGCCTCTACCCGTACCTTTCCTTCAACTCACCAACCCGGTCAACTAACAAACATTCCGCCCCCTCCCACCCCGTCCAAAATGGCTTCCCTCCCCAAGGAAATGAAGGCATTGATGTAAGTCAAATATCCCTCTTCGCAATTACTTCTCCTCGGAGGCTAGAGACTCTTCGACCCTGTTGAAAAGGGCCAATTCATGATCCTCGAGTCTTCACAACACCTCATTGGAGGAGGTGTCGCGCTGACCCAGCTCCTCAGGTACACCAAGCCGGAGGTGTTCTCGGTTGTCACGGTGCCATTGCCAGAACTCCGTGAAGATGATGTTCTCGTCAAGGTGAAAGCTTGTGGTGTCTGCGGGACAGGTAGACAAGGCCCCCGTGAGGATCCTGAGCATGTGAGAGAGGGGCTAACAGTTTGGGCCAGATTTGGTATGACCTACGTCGCTCGTGGTATAAGTCGTCGAGAGGTTTTCCCTGCAACTAACCCTGCCGCGCTAGCACATCCACGAGGGGGAGTTTATCGCCAAGTTCCCCCTGATCCCCGGCCACGAGACCGTCGGCGTCGTCGCTGCCATCGGTCCCAAGGTGGTTGGCTTCGAGGTTGGCGACCGCGTTGTGGCAGACAACGCCGAGCTGTGCGGCCACTGCTTCTACTGCCGGCGCGGCGAGGCGCTACTCTGTGAGAACGTATGGTAGAGAAAATCCAATCCCTCCTCCCCGACGCACCTCTCTGTCTGAAGTCGCCCGCTGACGTCCCTTCTCTCCCCCGCGCCCCTTATCGCCAGTGGAGCGGTCACGGTATTAACCTCAGCGGCGGGTTTGCTGAATATGTCGCCTACCCTCACGGAAAGGTCTTCAAGATCCACAACATGAGTGATATCGACGCCACCTTGATCGAGCCCGCGTCCTGTGCCTGCCACGGCCTGGACAAGATCAAGCCGCGCCTAGGTTCCAGCGTGCTCATGTTCGGCGCGGGCCCCACCGGCCTGGTAATGCCCCCTCTCCGCGGCGTTACTTGAGCATCTCGAAATTCAGGGGCTAACCGGCATCCAAGATGCTCGCGCAGCTTCTCCGGCAGAACGGGTGTTCCCAGGTCACGATCGCCGCGCCCCAGGGCCTGAAGATGGACCTGGCCCGGAGCCTGGACGCCGCCGACACGTATGTCGAGCTGTCCCGCTCCAACCCCGGCCCGCAGTTCGAGCAGCTGAAGAAGGACAACCCTTACGGGTTCGACATCGTCATTGAGGCCACCGGCTCCGTGAAGATCCTCGAGGATGCTATCAACTACTGCCGGCGAGGAGGCACCCTGGTTGTCTACGGGTTCGTGCCCGACTTTTGTTCTTCCTCTTCCCCCAAGGCAGCCTAGGCGGCTCACTCACACACCCCTGAAATAAACAGTGTCTACGCCAAGGCCGACCGTGTGACCTGGCCGCCGGCCAAGATCTTCGGCGACGAGATCCGCATCATTGGATCGTTCTCCGAGGTCTACATGTTCCGTACGTTTCTCTCTCCATGCCTGTCCTCGAAAAACCCCTAACACCTAGGCCCCAGCTCAAACCGTCGATTACCTCGACTCCGGCAAAATCAAGACCAAGGGCATCGTGAACAAGGTCTTTCCGCTCGAGAAGTTCGGCGAGGCCCTGGAGAGCATCAGGAACAAGAGCGCCATCAAGGCAGCCATTGTGTTCGATTGACTCGCCGATTCACAGCCGGGTTCCCAAGGCCCCGCTGGCAACGAAGGAAAACCAAAACTGTGAGGCAAGAAGCATCTAGTTGGCCCTATTTGTATGTTGTTGGGCCGCTCTAGCGACAAGGGGTGTCTGGTGCCGTACTCGTGACAGAGTCTAGTATATGGTTCCAAATATATGTCCCTTTCACCTGCCATCAACGGTGACTATGACGACTCATTCGAGTTATTTCAATCCAAGCCGATGGAAGTCACCTACAGGCCACAAAGGCAACCCAAGATGCAACCTTGTAAGCTGCCACTGAATAAAAATAAGGCGGTCAGGTAAGAGAGACGCTCTACGTTTGACCGTCAAGATGTTTGTATATTTTGACCCTGCTTCTATGTGACGCAGCCAATAACAGGAGGTTCTCTGGCATAACAACTCTCCGCCATTATGTGGTGATTCCTCAACCACAATCTTAATCATCAAATGATTGGATGTCAAACGCCAACTCTAAGGGATAGGTGGGCTCAAGGACCCAAACTGAAGAAAGTTCTGAGTTCTGAGATCACCGTGGTTTCTTTGACGCTGCCTAATAAAGAAGTGAGCTGCAAAGTAGAGCAGTGGAGGAGTCAAGGGGCTGCCCTACCAGGTAGCAGTCTTTCAATTTGAGAAACTCCTTGGCACACTTGTCTTTATGGACTGAGTTGTAATCGACAACGATGCATTTGCCATAGACAGCAGCCTAGCAATACCCCTTTTTTAGTCCACAATGCGGTATTAAGCATAGCACTGGCAAGTAGGCACTTACCTCTGCGGAACACTTGGAAACTGCTTCAGCAAGCTTCTGGATTGGTCGAGTTCGTGGCTGCATTCTGCTTCCGGAACAAAAGCCCTCAACATACGAGAGAGAGATAAAGGGAAAAAAGCAAGCCGCTCAGTCCATTCCAGTCGTCAATGACAAAGATAATTTCATTGGCACTGGTTTTCTGGAACGGGGGAAGGAAGCGTCCTGAGGTCCTTTTTTGTTATAGGGAAACGCTAGCCTTGGCATGCAGCCGTTTCCGACGGTGGCCTCAGGGCCTGAGGACCCATAATTAGGTGCTAAAGCGACATAAAACGGACTGTTACCGTTCTCTCCGTTTCAACATTGTCGTCCAACCACCAACAACCCCGTAAGCGCGAGGACGCGATCCGACGCGCTCAGCGTGACAACCTTTGCTCCCAGCTCCCAGCATAATTCCAATTCATGCGCTACTAAATGGGCAATTTTCCATGATTACACAACTACGCCTTCTCGATAGCCTCTATCTCGGGATTAGACATACCTGCCCCCTCCGCCCTCCACGCCTGCGCTGAGCTCAATCCTATCATGCCGTCATTGGCGCGCCCTCTCACATGCCGCCTCAACCCTCTCTGCCCCTCCGAGATGGCAGACTCGGCGCCTCTTCTCTCGTCGACAGCCGTCGCCACAATGAACCTTACTACTCCAACGAAGGCAGGGTCTTGACGTGTTCACAGTCCCAAGCTTGTGCTAACCGGCCTCGTCTCCAGACATCGCGCTTCTCCATGAAATCGTCGCCGAGGGCGAGGCCATCTATCCTACCTTGCCTGAACGAGACCGTCTCCCTACCAATGCGCTATTTCAAGCAGCCGAGCAGATCTTGCCGATACACGGCCACGACCCCGAACATGCGCCCCCAAATATATCCCGCCTCATATTCAGAGTCGGCGGGATGCGATCCGAAGGGTCGCTCATGGACAAATTCAAGTCCGTCCTAAAGGATATGGGCATTGAACTCGAATTTGTCCCACAAGACCAACCAGAGAGATCACCGTCGGCTACATCACCATCCGTTCGATCATTATCATCAGGCGGCAGTCCTGACCAGACTGGCACATTCCCCGTCTCACCTTTTTATAATGGCCGTCGTCGGCGCAATTCGGACACGGCCGCCCCATCTTTGCTTGACTATCAACGGGGTGCACCCGCTCCTTCGAACAGAGCAAGGTCCGTCTCTCCCACCGCTTCTAGGCACCGTGCCGAGGAGCTACCCAGCACTAGGGGTGTAGGTGGCGTTGGTCAACTACCCCTGTCGTACCACGGGGCTCAACACGATGAGACGGACGCCCCGGAGGACGAGGACGTAGGTGAAGATTTCACCCAAGACTTACCCGTCCTCGCTCATCTCGCACCCGTTCGCGGTGGCGAGCCTACCGGCGATCTGCCGCAGGGGTTCGACTACTTCGGGAGACGCCCTCTGTCGCACGATGAACCTACCGGTGGCTCGTGGCTGGGCTATTTTGACCAGTCAGATACTGAACACCGCCCAATTTCTCGTGCTGAAGATGGATCGGACAGATTCGTCGGTGCTAGCGACACAACTGCCCAGTCTTGGGATGATGGGCTTCCCTACCGCTCTCTGGACGAGAAAGAACACGCCGCTTTGGAGGGTAAAGTTCAGGCTTTCAGAAACCATGTCCTGAAATCCGAATCGGCACGAGCCACTGGCGCATGGCGAGCGATTGCGCACCAAGCATTTCAACGTCATGGACGGAAGGAGTTCTCTGCAGTACAGGTGAATGAGAAAACTGCTCTCACCAGGGCCGTTAGTACGTGGCGAGAGAATGCCATCATGGCACGGGAAGATCGACTCATGGCGGCCGGCCCTTACTTGAATCCAGCAAAGGAGGCGAGGATGGAAAGGAGAGCCGATAGGGCATATTCTATTTTATTGCTACACAAAGCTTTTACACACTGGGTCGCTTGCACCCGGGACGAGACGAACCGAACGGCAGTTGCCCGACGACATATCCTCCGGAAACGCTGTTTCAGTGCTTGGCGTTCGCAGCAATCCGCCGATGAGGCCAAAGTGCGCGATTTCAGGCTACAGAGCCTCGTTCGCCTTTGGAGCAGAGCATCCATACATCACGAAGTGCGCGCAGAAGTTGCCATCCAAAGCTATCGCCACAATTTGGTCAAGACCGTGTTTGAGAGATGGAGGGCCGAGTACTTGGCGCGACTTGCCGACGAGTTGAGAACATGTCGGATCAAGGAGCGGTGCCTTGCGATCTGGCTGACGAAGTCCCGGGAGGCCACTGCACTGTACGAGGGTTGTGCAGTCTACGACGAGAGACTCCTCCTTGACGACGCTCTAGCTACTTGGCGGGCCGAACACGAGGAAACCCGCATATTTGCGAGCGGCTGTATACGCCAGAAGCTAGTGCTGGACTGCCAGAGGATCCTGGAGGAGTGGCGAACAGAAGCAACTCTGAGAAGGTTGCTGAGCTCTTTTACAGGGGCGCGACACCGGCAGACAAAGCAACGCACCATCGACATTTGGGCGTCGAGCGCCAACGAAGTGAGACAAAAGGCATCAATTGCCAAGAAGATGGTCCTGCAAGAGTTAATCACCCACTGGGAAAACGAGACAAAGCTCAAACGATTCGAGGACTCCGTGAATGAGCAACGAAAGACTCGGGCAATGTACCACTGGATACTGGAACGGAAGCTGGTAAGCTTCAGGCGATCCTCGGAGGAAAGGACGAAAGCGCAAACATTGACCTCGTTTCGGGCCGCGTCGAGCAAAGCGAACGCGAGGTCGGGCCGCGGGCGACAGGTCGCAGACTATTTCGCCCTCCAGACTGTCCAGGCCTCTGTCATCGGGAAATGGTGGACCAGTTTGGAAGCTCATAGGCGACAGCAGAAGCGCGCCGCGTCATTGTTTTTCCACAACACTGCGAGCCAGCGGCTTGATCTCTGGCTAGCCCGCGAGGCCGAGGCTTTCGTGAGAACCTCTATATACAAAGAACGGGCTAAGAGTGGTGCCTATTACTGCACGGCCACGAACACACTCTCGCTGTGGTCGGCGACAGCGGCACAGGCGAGCAGGGAGAGGCTCACGAGGACCTATCACGCCGCTAAACGGCAGTATCGAGTCAACCTCGCGACCAGATGCATGTCAAATTGGCGGAAGGCGACCGGAGATGCCCTCGCCCTTGGCTGGTATGCCGACGAGGTCTGCGCCAGCCAACAGAAGGCTAAACTTGGGGAGCACGCCCAGCACTGGAACACATGCGCGAAGAGATTGCAAGTCGTTCGTGAGGTCGCAGCAGGCGCGGAGCTGGAGGTCTGGTGGGGCAGGTGGTCGGTCTGCGCGAGCCAACAGCGGGAGACGGAGTTGGATGCTGCCGAATACAACTCGGTTCAGACGCTTCTGCGGTGCTGGAAGAGCTGGGACTTTTCGGCATTGCAATGCAAGGGTCGGCGGAATACCGTCGCAACACTGCGGCAGAAGAATGACCAGAGGCTGCGTCGACAGATCCTCAGTGTCTGGAGCCACGAGGCGGGACTGGAAGGAACATTCCAGGATATGCGCTCGAGCTCAATGTCGAGACGAAGTCTGCGGCACGGCAGTGCCCGTCAGGGCAGCCGCTTCCACCAACCGGAGACACCGAGGCATGGCAGCTCGGTCAACCACCCGTCGTCACAGTCGTCATTCCAGCAACTATCGTACATACCGGAAGCCGACGAGCGCAAGACAAGCGAGAGGGGGTTCGCACCGTCCTCACAGCTTCGGGATCTCCCCACGCTTGGGTCCAGAGACTTGTACCAGAGCTTGCCACACCGTCCCAACAGGCACTCTGGATATGGCGAGGACCTGAGGTCCACAGCTCCCCAGCGTTTCCGATCCGAGGGGCCGATCCCAAAGCCTCCGATGAACTACCCGGAAGCACATTTCAGTCCCGGACCCTACGGTAGTCTGATTGATCCAATTCGAGACACACCACGGTACGAAGGCAGCACGCCCCACGTTCCCCCTCGAGGATACGGAAGCCCGGGACAGCTGGGACCCATGTCGGATTTCGACGAGGAGTCTTTCTCCCCAGGGGAAGAAGAGGGGGCCGACAACGCCGCCGCCTTCATGAGCACACCGTCCAGGTTCACCGGGTCGGCGAGGCAACAACAGGGCATCCGCCCCACGACGACGCCGTCGGCGATACTGTCCACGCCCTTTGAGAGGGCGTTGAGGGAGGAATATGGAGGGGGCGTGGCGGCGGCGGGGCGAACTGCGACGAGGGAGACGCCCCGGGTCACGTTTGCGGACATCAGAGAGGAGTCTGCGGAGTATGAGGAGGGATATGGCGGATAAGCCGGGGAGCAGTGGGCAATTATAGGACCTGGGTTATTTATGGATTGGTTTCATTTGATCAGCGTGGGCGCACACTTGGATGGCGTTGGTCGGCGCTCTCAGGTCATTGGGCATGGAAGGAAACTGTGCGTTCAAGTTGGCTGGGTTTGCCGGCTTGGATATACCCCTGTGTTCTTCCGGTCTAGGTTCAAAAGGGGTTTGCATGGACATGGCGTTAGTGCTTCAAAAACGAAAGGAGTCCGTCAGGGGCGTACGGCTAGTGAGCATACCATGTGCATAATTTATCCTTGGTAATGCTGGAAGGTTAGATAAGTTAGGTTGGTATATAAATATAACGTCTTCAAGGGAGACGGCCCAAATGCAATCAAACAAGATCCGCGCTTGTGATCTGACGTTGGGAGAGTATTTCTCTGCATCACTGACTCGTGAGCTTCGTCTATTTTCTTGTACGCCGGGGAGTATCGACATATCTACCGTGGAAGGCATCCATATATAGTTAGTTGACCTGGGCAGTCCCCAACGGAATCTAACTTCGGCAGCCCGGGAAACACTTGTTGAGCTTCACGGACAATCTTTAAAGTATAAATTTAAAGTTTTTCTCTGATATTATATGAATGTGATTCCCAAGGCACCCATCTGCACCTTCTCTTCACCTCCTCTATCCACTTTCCTCGAACCCCGACCCCTTCTCTCTCTTCCTAAGAACGTTTCCACGATCTATCCACAATGACATGTTGGCAAAAGCTACCACCAGAGATCCGGTGGGAGATCTTCGAGATCGTCTCACAGGATTACAATCACAACTCCGAACCTCTCGCCCGCGCAGGCTACGAAAGGGTATGTAGAGAGTGGCACGCCTTTTTCGGGGAGAGAAATTTCCGGGAACTTGTCCTCGACCAGAATAGTCTCTTTGGCCTTGACAGAATGGCCGATGGAAAGTATAGATGGAGGCGTGATTACCTTCGACGTCTGGTGCTTCGCGTCAGGCCTGAGGGGTACCACTGCGTTGCTGGCGAGTTGCGGGAGGATAGAACCAATATCAGAGAGTAAGTCAATTTATTTGATGTCCGCTTCTCCTTGCCCAAACTCTCACATTGTCCCAAAACTGGGAACCGGGTCGTCCGATCTGCGCCTTTCTGTCACTGACCCGGACAACGCTGCGCAGAGACGGGGAACTCTTGAACAGAGCCCTGTGGAATCTATTGGCAATTGTCTCGACTTGGAAAAGAACAGAGCATGGCGACCGAGGGCTGATCTTGGAGATTGGTCCCGACTCGCCCAGTGACTCGAGGCATGCTTTTGGCAACTATCAGTATCTGCAAACGGAAGATAGAGGTAGGCAATTCAGGACGTACGAGCCAGAAGCACTCGCTTGGGACTTTCACAGAGGGCATCAAGGCTTTCCAGAAGCCAGGGCTGTCACCGGCCTGGTCATCCGTCGGCATTGCTACCGGAACATCGACCCCCATTTACTCTCAACTCTCCTCAGAGGGAGTTTCACCTGCCTGAAGTGGTTCCGTCACGAAGTGTGGCATGGTGTTCACCCACCCCTGCAGCCACTGTTTGAGAAAGGTTGGTCAAGTTAACTTGCTTATCCAGACATGGAATGGCGACTAATGTGCTATTGCAGACCACCAATGGTTGATCTCGGGGGACTTGCCAAGCACGCGGCGACAGCTTCGCCTACTTGAAGACTTAAACGGTCTTCAACAGAGACAACCCATGAGACCAGCGAGGTCAACCTGGAGTGAAGCTCTGTCGAGGTCCAGCCGTCACATCGAGCTGTTATCCGCTTGTTTCCTTGCTGAGGCCGAATCCTTCTTCTCAAAAGTCGCGCACGTGGAACTTGATAGCGGCGAGCTTGACGAGCCTGGCTGGCAGAATCTTCGGACGATGGTCCTGACCGCCCGATTGGCGAACCCAGGGGAGCCGTTGTCGGAGATTGACGAGCTGCTTGTGAACGCAATGATTACGGCTTGCTTCATGCCCAAACTAGAAACTATGGAAATATGGAATGCCAGCCAGGGACAAGCCTGTCTCTTTCGATACAGCACCAAGGGCGAACATCCTCAAATTGCTTGGAGAACTACACGGGATGTAAACTTCGAGCTACAGCCTTGTTTGATTATTCTGGCGAGCGAGCGAGCGCAGGGAAACGCGCAACGCCCTCCTGCTGTTGTGCAGGAACGCTTACTCGGGGAAGATGGCATGGCGGAGACTTATAGCTTTGTTCCTTCCTAGTTAGAACTACGGACATCAGTCCTTCAACCCGTGTCGGATTACCAGGTGTGATGGGAGTGGAAGAAGCGTTGACTGGGCTAGGTGGGAAGGAGAAATATCCCCTTTTGCGGTGGTTAGCAGGCAGTGATGTTGCTGTCGACGACTAATCACTGGTGCTGAGCCGCCTGAAACATGGCTGTTTAAAGTTCGCGATCTATAATTTGAATTGTTCGTTGGAACCACTGGTCACCGCATCAAACGTGTACGTCTTGAATTTATGTATAATTTACTTCAGTCTACAGGTTCCATTCTCCGTAGCCTCAAATATACCCCTTCACGGCCTCTCTGCAGATCGAGGGAGAGCAAAACTGAGAGGCCCTATTTAATGATAACACGACTCTCAACTGTCTACCAACCCATCATGTAGGTCACGTCCTTGGTCGCTCACCACACCTCCTGCCTCTCACCAACTCCCATCCACTGGACCGGCTCCGCCTTCTGCCGTCCCCTCCGACACTCAGGAACCCACGTCTCCGCATCCCCGAATCAGTCGACAGTAAGCCCAGCCTGGCCAGGGTTCTCCATCCCAGCCTCGAGCCGGCGCTGGTACGAGACGTTCCGCAGACGCTCGTGTTCGGCAGGGGTGAGTCGGAGCTACATCACACGTCAGCATCGGCGATGCAACAAGAAAACGAGAGAAAAAGGGGGGGGCTTGAGCTAAACTCCTCCAGAAAATCCCCAACTCACGTATATTTCAACGCCAATGGCGTGCAGCGCCATCGCCAACCACGCCGACGCGCCAAAGGTCATGCCCAGGGCAGCGGCGGCCCCGATGGCGCTGCCGCCGTCGCCGCCCAGCTGCGCCTTGACGGCCGCGTGCCTGTCCGGGTCCGCGCCGGAGAAGAAGGCCGCGCATTCCGGGTAGTGCTGCAGGGTCGTGGTCTGGTTCCCCTCGAGGGTGTCGAAGATCTGGGCGCACGGCCGGGCGGAGTAGTAGCCTGACATGGTGCTTATGATTGTGGTGCTGATGATCTCGATGATGCGGAGGGTGATTACTGCCGACGCCTATGTAGGGTAGGCTAATGAGCCGCTTATTTTTTTTTCTCTCTTTCTTTCTTTCTTTTTCTAGAGAAAAAAAAAAGGGGGGGGGGGGGGGGGGGGGGAAAGAAAAAAGGGGTTGTTTTTGTATGTTACATAGAACCAGGCTCTCAGCATCCACGCCCGGTGCGGCGAAATA